TATTAATTATAGTTATTAATTATAATTAAACCTCTTCTTATAAAGATAATAAAAGTAATTTATATCTCTTTAAGTAATTAAGAATTATAAGGATAATTAAAAGGTTAATAATAGAGGGGAGAGCTATTATAGGAAGAGGATTTTAACCTCTTTAGCTAATTAAGATATAATTTATTTATTATGAATAAAGTTATTATTAAAGGTATTAATAATTATATAAATAAACCTTATTAATTTAAGCCTATTAAGACCTTAGGCTTTAGGTATAGAGCCTTTATTATTAAAATTACTAAGATATTAATTATAATATTTTAATTCCTATTTTAGGTAAAATAAAATTAGAAAATAATAATATAATATTATTAATATTATATATATTATATCTACTATTAAAATTACTATTAAACTTACTATTATTCGCATATTTATACGAGCTAATATTTACATATTATGCATTTAACCGGATAAGTTTGATTAATTAAACCTATAGACTTCTATCTACCGCCGAGTTTTAGTCCGGCGCCGAGCCCCGGCGCTAATACTTTTTAGGTTTATAGAACTCCGCCGCCGACTCTAAGAACTAATCCCTCTAAATAAACCTATAACGCCAATAACCTTAATAACCTCTATTTCCTAATATTACGCCTATAGCTATATAGCTAAATCCTAGCTAGCTATAAGACTTCTTTAATCTTTATTTAGCGGTATAAAAAGTCTTAATAATTATTATAAGTATTATAAGCTATGCCCCGTATTAATTACTATTTATATCCTTAAAGAAGTTTCTTTTTTTATTAATAAGATCTTCTTTTTTCTTTATCTCTATCTTAAGAGCCTTAAGTAAAAAAAACTCTTTTTTAATAAAATTAATCCTTATATAGGTATAAGAACTAAATACGAAGAGGCTAAGTAAAAAAAGAAAAAGGTTATAATTAAAGATTACGAGCTTAATTAATATTAGATCGCTAAGTAGCGCGCTTAAATTAATATTCTAAATAGCTCTATATAAGATTATCTCTTATAGCTTATTATAAGTATTTTTTATGCCTTTACGAAGCTTATAAACCTCTTTAGCAAGGTTATCTTAATTATATAAGAAGGCCTACTAATAGGTATTAGCTATATTATTATAATTATTTAATTAGAGGTCTTTATGAAAGGTAGCTATTATAATCTTCTTTTATATTATTAATTAGTTAGCTAATTATTAATTAATTAATTAGTTAGTTATAGTTATTAGTTATAATTATTAGTTATTAATTAAACCTCCTCTTATAAGGATAATAGAAGCGTAATCTTTTAAGATTTATATCTCTTTAAGTAATTAAGAATCCTAAGGATAATTAAAAGATTAATAATAAAGGGGAGAGCTATTATAGGAAGAGGTTAGATATTAATCTCTTTAGCTAATTAAGATATAATTTATTTATTATAAATAGAGCTATTATTAAAGGTATTAATAATTATATAGATAAACCTTATTAATTTAAGCCTATTAAGACCTTAGGCTTTAAGTATAGAGCCTTTATTATTAAACTTACTAAGATTTTAATTAAGATACTTTAATCCCCTTTTTAGGTAGAATAAAGTTAAATAATAATATATATTATATAAATATATAATAATAGCTTTTCTTTTTTTAAAAAAAAATTTAGACTTTTAATAATTTTAATTTCTTAAAAGAATTTTTATTTATTTATATAAAAAGATTTTTAATATATATTAAATAAAAGCTTTAATTTTAAATTATATCTCTTTTATAATAATATTTATAAATATAAAGTTATTTCTTTTAAGATTATATTTAATTATTTATAAAATTAAAAATTAAAAATTAAAGCTTTTAATAAGAAATTATTTAATAATTAATTTATATTAGATTTTAACTTACTTAGCTTAAAAAAGTATAATAAATAAGGTCTAAAAACGAGTTTTACTTTACTAAGCTCTTATATTTCTTAAGTTTTTATAGTATTAATAAAGCACGCTCTTAGCTTGCCGTTATCAGGTATAGGCAGTTATCAGGTATACTACCTTAGGTCTTCGATGTTACCCCACCTTGGTTTTCTTTCCAGGTGTGTGAGCTAGATCCACTCGAGTGCCTTATCTTATCATGCCCAGAAAAAAAATATGTCTTCAGATTGCGGTCCATCGATTCGGCATTCTTTTTCGACCAAAACTACACCTAACGCTGTTTTTTCGGCCACAACCTGCCAATGGCGCCATTAATAACCTCTCGCAAAAGGAAGGGGCCCTCTGAGGCTGCCCCAGTCGACGATGATCTTGCTGGCGTTCAATTAGACGGCGTACTCTCACAGAGCGAAGACGACTCCGACATTGACGAGGACGAGTTTGATGCCCTTGACGGCCTGTCTTCTGATGAGCATGTAGAAGACCCTGACGAAGACGAAGAAGAAGAAGAGGCGCATAGCGACGATGCCTCTTCTGAGCTTGGCGACAGCACGCGGGCGCTTCCCGCTCTAGACGACGAGGACGATCAGCCCAACTATCGCGTCGTGAAGGATGCGAATGGAGGCGAGCGCTACGAGTATGCCGAGGTCGACCCTGTTTATGACAGCGATGACTCCGATGCGCAGGGACCTGCGAACACAATCGGCAATATCCCTCTCTCTTTCTACGACTCGTATCCTCACATTGGATATGATATCAATGGAAAGAAGATTATGCGCCCCGCCACGGGCGAGGCGCTCGACGCCCTCCTCGACAGCATCGAGATCCCCAAGGGTTGGACTGGCTTGACAGATCCAGAGACCGGAAAGCCTCTGAACCTTAGTCAAGATGAGCTCGAACTTCTCAAGCGACTCCAGATGAACGAAGTTCCTGATGAGGGTTACGATCCTTATCCTGTGAGTCCCTAACCCATCATGGGTCGTCATCGAGTTTTGCTAACCTCTCCTAGGACATGGTCCCGTATTTCACTGGTATCGAGGAGAAGATGCCGCTGAGCGCAGCACCCGAGCCGAAGCGTCGCTTTGTTCCCTCAAAACACGAAGCGAAGCGTGTCGCGAAACTTGTTCGGGCGATCAAGGAGGGAAGAATCCTTCCATACAAGCCTCCGGAGGAACGACAACGGGAAGAGGAGGAAAAGGAAGAGGTCTATTACGATGTATGGGCCAACGAGGAGCCTCAGGATCCTCATGTCATGAACATTCCCGCGCCCAAGCTGGCCCCCCCTGGATACGACCTCAGCTACAACCCTCCACCGGAATACCTGCCTACTGAGGAAGAGAAGGAGGCTTGGAAGAACCTGGATCCTGAAGAGAGAGAGAAGGAATACCTTCCCGAGAAATTCGATTCTCTCCGGAAGGTCCCTGGCTACGGCCAGTTCGTCAAGGAGAGATTCGAACGATGCTTGGACTTGTACCTGGCCCCTCGAATCAGGAAGAACAGGCTCAACATCGACCCCAACTCTCTTCTGCCCAAGCTCCCTCGGCCCGAAGACCTCAAGCCCTTCCCTACTCTCAACCAGACAATCTTCCGAGGCCACGAGGGTCGTGTGCGCTCTGTGGCATTCAGCCCTGACGGCGAGTTTGTGGCATCAGGAGGTGACGATGGTACTGTCCGCGTTTGGGGTCTCAACGGCCATCAAGAATGGATGGCCAAGCTGAGCAGCGAGGAGCCTGTCAACGTTGTTCGATGGCGACCCAACAGGGAGACTTTCATTCTGGCCGCGGCAGCTGGTGAAGATCTCTTCTTCATGATTCCTTCAGCCGCAAGCGACGCCGTGGAAAAGGCGAGCCGCGAAGTCCTCGATGCTGGTTTTGGATACGCAACAAACGGCGCCCAACCCACCGCGGCCAATGGAGTCAAGAAGGACCCTCCAGCCAAGTGGTCAAGGCCTGGAGCCAAGCTTGAGGATGCCGGTGTGCTCCTCAAGGCCACTGTGAGGTCCTTGATCAAGGTGATCAGCTGGCACAGGCGGGGCGAGTTCGTGTGCTCCGTCTCTCCCACTGGACAGCGAAGCTCTGTGGCCATTCACACGCTCTCCAAGCATCTCAGTCAGATCCCGTTCCGCAAGCTCCCTGGTCTTGCCCAGACGGCCCAGTTCCATCCCTCAAGACCCCTGTTCTTTGTCGCAACCCAACGAATGATCCGCTGCTACGATCTGCAGCGACAAGAGCTTGTCAAGGTTGTCCAACCTGGTGCCCGATGGATCTCCTCGTTCGATATCCACCCCGGCGGTGACAACCTCATCGTTGGTTCTTACGACCGAAGATTGCTATGGCATGATCTGGATCTGTCCGCTCGCCCATACAAGACCATGAGATTCCACCCTGAGGCCATCCGAGCCGTCAAGTATCACCGCAGCCTGCCGCTCTTCGCTGATGCCAGTGACGACGGAACCCTCCAGATCTTCCACGGCAAGGTTGTCAGCGACCTCATGGAGAATGCCACGATTGTGCCTGTCAAGATGCTCCGAGGCCACAAGGTCATAAACAAGCTTGGTGTTCTGGACGTTGACTGGCACCCGAAGCACCCCTGGTGCCTCAGCGCCGGTGCGGATGGAACTTGCAGGCTTTGGGCGTAATTTGCAGGACATCATCCACATAGAAGGGTACCTCGAAGGGCAGTTAGGCCCACGATGGGTTCTACCAGCGATGGCGTTAGGATGTTAAAAAAGATGTCAAATATAGTTGTTCGCTTCATTCCCTGAGTCTCGTGTTGTGACATACAAGCCAAACTTGCAAACCGTCCCCCTTCCTTTCGAGGACTTTGTCGCACTCCCATATGTAGACTACACCGACCATAGCCTAGCTAATAGTAATTTATATAACCATGTCTATTACTACGGACATGACTGTTGAAACTCGTGTTTGCGTATTAAGAGCCGCAAGTGGGATTATCCCACAATTGTCCAGTTGACACACCACGCTCATCACTTCATCTAGGTTTTATCACATAAAATACTATTGCAGATTCTTGTTCAAGTTCACATCGGTACCCTACGCGAGAGTCCCATATAACACACATCTCACATTCTCTAGGAAATGCCGAAGTCAAGAATTCATAGGGCAATTCATAATACATGACTACTTGCTAAAGCAAACGAAGCGCAAAATCGCAGCCTGCACGAAACCAGTAATTAAGTGATATCCGATCACTTCGATCTCATCATCTTCTTCTTGCCTTTTCTTCACGCTGACAGATGCCGAAACACCGGCCTAGTGTCTTTCAACTGCAACGCAATGTTGCTCGGAGGATGTTGTCATCTCATCCAGTACACCAAGCTAAATGGCATTACAGGTCCTCACGAATCTTCTCCTTGGCATCCTCTTCCGTCTCAGCAGCCTTCTGCTTAGCAGCCTCACCGCCAATCTTGAGTTGGCTGGTGATCCAGTTCCAAGTCTCTCCGATCTTAGCGAAGAAAGTCTCCGCGGGAGAGTTGGTGCCGTACTTGAAGTACGTAGACTGCTTTCGGGCCTGAGCCTTCAGATCCTCGATCTTGGAGCCCTGGGGGACGGGCACGCCATAGCTGTCGAGATACGCCTTGAGATCGGTCTCGGTCCACTGGTCGAAAGCGCTTTGCTTAGCAGACGCAGTCGCAGCGGTGAGGTAGTTGGTGGCAGAAGCCCAATTAGATCCGCCAGCAGATGAGGCAGAAGAGTAGGCCGATTGGGCGGCACTGTAAAGCTCATCACGGCTAGCATCCTTCTTGTCCGCGACCTTCTTGGCAGTTGCGTCACCTTGGCTGGAGATGTACTTCTTGAGGTTGTCATAGCTGAAGTCATCGAAAGTCCACGCGTTGCCTCCGTGGGCAGCTATGTGCGAGTTCTTGCGAACAAGAGCCTCGAGCTCATTCTTCTTGGATCCCTGGGGGACAGGAACGCCACGAGAATCAAGATAGGCCTTGAGTCGGCTGTCAGACCACGTGCCAGCAGCCTTGTTGAAAGCGTCTTGAGCGGCGAGCGAGGCACTGTCGGTAGCCTTGGCGTACTGGTTCTGTGCGTTCGAGGTGGCCGCACCAAAGGCCGAGGAGGCGCTACCAGCAATGTTGTTTCCTAGGATATCGGCACGGTGCTTGCGGACCAAAGCGCGGAGCTCGTTGGACTTGGTACCCTGAGGCACAGCGATGCCATTCTTGTCACAGAACTCCTTGAGCTGAGACTCGCTCCAGGCGTCAATGATCATGTCAGTCAGAGTAGCGTAGGCAGCCTGAGCGCTGGCCGTGGCGCTGGCGGCCTGGTCTTGAGCTCGGAGGTAGGCAAGGCGAGAGTTGCGGCGCACAGAGGCAATGAGCTTGTCGCGGGTCATTGGCTGGGGAGCAGGGAAACCATGAGTGTCGAGCCATTCCTTGAAGTCAGACTCAGACCAGGTCTCGTACAGCCAGTTTCCAGGGTACGAAACAGCCTCATTGGACTTCTTGGCAGCAGTCTCGTAACCAGAACGGGCCTTCTGGAGAAGAGTGTCTCGCTGACGAGGCTGAGGGACTGCAAGCGCTTGGTCAGTACCGTTGAAACATTTAGGGAACAAGTTATTAGCAGAGAGCTGGCTTACCAGGGATACCATTCTTGTCACAGAAAGCCTTCAACTGGCTCTCGGTCCATGTGTCAAGGATCCAGTCTCGAACGTTGAGGAAAGCGGACTGGGCATTGTCCTCAGTCTCGTACCAGTTGGCCTTGACCTGGGACAGCAAGCTGTCTTTGGTGGCAGCGGCTTCTTCCTGGGTCTCTTTGCCCTTGGCTTGCAAATAGGAGCTCAGCTGGGCGGTGTCCCAGCTGTTGTATGGGGAGACGACATAGGAATCCCAGTTCTTCTCGAGAAGTGTTTCCAGGTCCTTACGATCGGCGGGAGTGGGATAGGGAATGTCGTGGTCAGAAAGCCAGCGCTCCAACTCGGTCTCGTGCCATTTGTTGTAGACTATCAATCTGTTAGCCACGAGCAGCTTGCTATGGCAAAAGACGGTTGACTTACCAGGCTTAGAGCCGGGGAACCATGTGCTGGCGGCAACGCCGTTGGCGACCGCCACGACAGAGAGGGCAGTCAAGAACCGCATCGTGGATGCAGCTGGTTCGGTAGGTTAGGGATCGCTGCACTTTGTTGTGAGTAAAAGCACAACAGATTGTCAGGCAATAGGTTGAGGTAGAATAGGAAGGGGTATCACAGAGAAATGGCCGCGACGATGTGGGTGGTTTTTGTTGATGGAGGGGAAAGGAATGAAAACAAATACGCATCAAGGGAGATGAATGTGGGCAGGAAGGAAGGAAGGAGAGCAAGCCACGAACTGAGGAATCTATCACGTCACTGTGCCGTTGTCGTGGGTGGCTGGAATCTGGCAGCTGTGCACACACGGCAGAAGGTACTGTATACCTATGCATGAGCTCATCAAATCATGAAACAGGGCACCAAATGGTTTCACTGGGTCCTGTATCTGGCTACCTGTCCGTTCGCACAAAGCGAGGGGCTCTTCCTCCTCGTCAGCGTCACCACCGGCATCATCATCGTCCATCGTTCATCATCTCGATACGGTTTGAACAAACAGACCTTGAATATGGGTGCCACCATGACGTAGTTCACCGATCAGCCCCGCACAAGCTCCAGGCCTAACGAGGGCAAGCGCGAGATTATCTAAGGCAACACTGCGAAAATCGGTACGTTCCGCTGCCAAACATCGACCCGTGCGAGGCACATGCTTGCTACAACGGTTAATCTGACTGCAATAATGGGCAGTCTCCATCCTTGAATGGAACAAAAGCTCCGGGGGTGGCCTTTGCTTCCTGCGTGAAGACGTCTTTTTTGGGGGGCGGTCCCTGTGCAAGTTAGGTACTGTACCTCCAGGCTTCCACTACTTCAATAAAATCACCGCCTGCTACCAAACCCCATGGTGACTGTAGCTTCTGACAATCTCCACATCTTTATTACTGACATTCATCACATATGCGCCTTATCAGGGGGTTTCACCTGGTGAGTATGGGACTTGGTTGCTGGGACAAGTGAACCAAGTAACTGGGGGTTGCATAATTTCGTCCATGCCTCGAAACAGGCGGGCAACCGCTGTGAGATACTGTTACATTGATCTATGGATGCCTCTGCCTTGTCTATTCCCCAGCGCCTAGGCTTATATGGCCCATATCCGAACCCATGACATCCCCAATCATCAGCACAATTAAGCGTAGAAGTTGACCGTCTGTACCCCTGAGTTAGCGACTTGGCCATGTGGGTTGGGTTGGGTGGTGTGTAACTTACGTCCTTCTTCTTGGCCTGGACTTCGGCGATGGCATCAACATAATGCTCGTGGCCAATCTTATTCTTGCCTGACCGCAGGGCGATCATGCCAGCCTCCACACACACAGCCTTCAGCATAGCACCGCCGAACTCGTCCGTGCTTCGCGCAAGTTCGCCCCAGTTCACACCTGGGTCGACCTTCATCTTGCGGGAGTGAATCTTCAAGATCTGAGCACGTGCTTCCTCGTTCGGCAAGGGGAACTCGATCTTGCGATCCAATCGACCAGAACGGAGCAGCGCAGGGTCGAGCACATCGACACGGTTCGTGGCGGCGAGGACCTTGATCCGGTCATCGGATGCGAAACCATCAAGCTGGTTCAGCAACTCCAACATTGTTCGTTGCACCTCACGATCACCACTCTTTTCACTGTCGAATCGCTTGGTACCGACGGCGTCCAACTCATCGATGAAGATGATTGCGGGAGCCTTCTCCTTGGCCAGCGCGAAGCAGTCTCGAACGAGCTTGGCACCATCTCCTATGAACATCTGGACCAGTTGAGGTCCTGCCAGCTTCAGGAATGTAGCATCGGTCTGTGCCGCACAAGCTCGGGCGAGGAGGGTCTTTCCAGTACCGGGGGGGCCATACATCAGTGCACCTAGAACCAGTCAGCACAGCAAAAAGAGCCAGGGGGCAGTACCGGCGTTACCTTTAGGGGCCTTAATGCCAATCTTCTTGAATCGCTCAGCCTCCTTCATAGGCCAAACGATAGCTTCCACAAGCTCCTCAATCTGCTTGTCCAGTCCACCAACATCGGTGTACTGTTCTGTGGGCTTCTCGTCCACCTCCATGGCCTTGACACGGCTGTCGTACTCAGCGGGGAGGGTGTCCAAAATGAGGTATGAATCCTTGTTGACTCCAATGAGATCACCAGGCTTCAACTTGTCCGCGTCGACGAGACCGATCAGGGGGAGGAAGATTGTTTGGCGGGTAGATGTCTTGATGACGGCTGACTTTCCGACTCGGGTAGCGTCCAGGTCAATGTTGGCACCCTCCTCGGACGACTCAGCAGTTGGGTCAAGATCAAGTAGCTCCACGACGTTGCCAACGAGGTAGGGGAGTTGCCTGCCCCAGGTTAGCTATAATTATTATCAAACCCGCAGAAGATGAGAAACCAACCTGTTGTTGGCAATCTTGTCGACATTCTCCTTGATCTTCTCCGCCATGGCAGCCTTCTCGTGCGATAATCGGGAATACTCGCTCCTCATAATGCGAGAGTCGTTCTCGAGCAACCGTTTGCGGGTTAGGATGTCTTGTGTGCTGAGTCCAAGAATCTCGTCGTCGAGAATATCATCTTGCTCCTCTTCGGCATCCTTCATGTCTGCATCGCCGTCTGTAGGCTTCTTCTGGTTCTTGTCGCCATCATCTCTCTTGTCCTCCTCCTTCTCTCGGTGATCAAAATCGTCCAGCTCCTCGAGAGTCGACATGGTGGAAGGTGGCGTTGGGTATCGGTTTTTGGGGGGAAAGGAATGGTTTGATTAAGGGATGAGGTCAGCGCGACAGGTGGGAGGTTTATGGATGTCGATGTTGAAAGTCGGCCGTGGGTTGGGGAGGTGAAAGCTATTACTGCACCCGAGTCTCCAAGACGAAGCTGTTGAGGCAGGCAGTCAGGTCGCGCGTAATCAGCCTGGTTGGCACAGAGCCACAGCACAGCTCGGCATTGGCCCCAGTGGCCTTGCAGGTGGCCGGGGAGCGGCGGTGGGTTGATCCGGGAGCACGGCCCACTTTGACAGTTGCTCGCAATTGGTGATCGACGGCTGCGATACTTGTGGATTTTTTGATCTGGAGGACGAGCCAGCAACAGTCTCAATTCACGTATGTGCAGGCCTCGACTCCAAACATTGGCGTTTCTCATGCTGACCTGCCTCTTTTGCGCTTAGTCATTATGGCCTCCCGGATATCGAGGGCTGCCTCGCCCTGCCTGCGCCAATTGCGCAGAGAGTCCCATCTCCCGCAGCAATCATGGGCCTTGGCTCTTCGCACCCTCTCGACATCGTCAACCCACTCCGCTGCCGTTTCCGAAGTTCGAAAGCCTATCGATCATGCTCCCGCGACGAAGCCCCCGAGTGCCCGGCCAGTTGAGACAAGGAAGAGTCAGCTGATCCGAACTTACACATCACTTCTCCGCACCACACCCTTGATTCTGTTCTTCCAGCACAGCAACCTCACAGCGGTGGAATGGGCTGCTGTCCGACGAGAGCTGAAGAAGGCATTGTCTGCCGTCCCTCCGCCTAATGCAGCTCCTGGTACTGAACCAGTCGATATCACTCCCCTTGTCCAATTGCAGGTCCTGAGGACCAACATGCTACGAGTGGCTCTTAAGCTCGTCGAATTCTATGATCCGGAGGCTGCTGCTGCATCAGCAACAACTGCCCGTACGACTCGTGGCCCAGTAGTCCACGATTTATCCGAAGCTGCGTATGATGCTATTAAGAAGGCTGAAATCCCCGAGGATTCGAACTTCGCCCAGATCCAGCCCCTCCTAGTCGGCCCTTTGGCTGCTCTGGTGCTTCCTGCGGTGTCTCCAGCCCATGTGGCCGCTGCGCTCAGTGTTCTGGCTCCTGTTCCTGGTCAATTCCCAGCTCCCACGAGGAAAAAGAGTCCCGGTTACCACGATCCCATCTGCCAAAACGGCCTAGCCAAGCTTCTCCTTGTCGGCGGCCGCGTCGAGGGCAAGATCTTTGATCAGTCGGGCATCAACTGGGTTGGAGGTATCGAGGGTGGCCTCGACGGATTGCGGGCACAACTTGTGGCTATGCTCCAAGGCGCTGGTCTGGGCATTACCAGCACATTGGAGGGTGGAAGCAGAAGCCTCTGGTTGGCACTGGAGGGCCGAAAGGGTCAACTCGAGGAAGAGGCCAATGGAGGAAAGAAGGAGGGAGAATAAATCTAGCGTGGATTTGTTGGATTTGATGTACCACTAAAACGCCCAATGAGGGCAGTGTATGTGTAAATGTACGAACACTATACGGGGCGATCTCACCCGTTGAACATGAAAGGCGGCTTGGGATGCTGTATCCGTCTTATAGAGTGTCTAGTAGCATGGCCATGAGTGATTCTACACATCATTGACCAGAAGTCTAAAAACAATCGCAGCATCTTTAATTTCATGCCTACCATGGATATTAACGATTCTCAACCAAAGGGTTGAAGTTGGCGGTCAAAAGGCTGATTGGCTGGAGGATTCGTTGACAGCCGTTGGCTGGATGGAACTGTGGCTGGGACTCATGCGTGTGGCTGGGAGCTACCTATCACGGCGTCGTCGCCTCACATTTACACGAGAGGAGCTCGAGCAACCTCCATCCATCTCGCGCCCACCCCGCCTCGCTCCTCGACTGATCCCATCTTGCGTTTGCATCATCGTCTCCTCCGATAATCGCCCACTACCTCACCTCAGCCTCCGCGTTCATTGGAGCTTCTCGCTTCCAATTGCGACACCTTTCTACCCTCCAAGGCCGCACGTCCACCTTCCACCAGCAACTGTATCCCAAGCTGGTCATCCGCCTGTCCCACTTGCAAACGAGCTCTCTCTTGCGCCGAACCTCAGCGATTGTTGCTCCGATATATATCTCGCCTCACCGCACAGTCTGTCGATGCCACTCTCCGCCCTTTCATAGAAACCCAACGTATTCTCTCCGACCATGGACTTCGCACCCTATCAATCCTCTCCGCCCGAGCACTCGCGCGTGACCTCTCCCGAACACGCCTCTCCCCGACCCTCCTACGACGCTAGACGATCCTTCTCCCCGGTCGCTTCCCCTCCGCCCCTACAACACCCCCAGCCACAACGAGGATGGGGAGGATTCGATGGACAGGCCGCTGGATGGGCTGCCATTAGCCCTGACAACAGGGCCTTTGGAGCTTCAAGTACGATGCCCGGAGCATATCCCGCTGCAGAGGTCAGCGAGTTTGATACAAGTTTGGGAATGCGCCTCGACTATGAAGCTTGCCTGGCATATGTCGCGTTCCCACCTCTTGGAGCAATCATACTCCTCATTCTAGAACGAAACAGCGACTATGTGAGGTATGTTCACGTTTGCCAAGAATCTCGAGGCTGTGCATTTCCATCATGCACAGAAATTATGCCAGGTGCTAACCCTCCCTTCAGATTTCATGCTTGGCAATCAGCGCTGCTCTTCACCGCCATTATGATCTTCCATCTTGTCTTCGCATGGTCAACTTTCCTGAGTTGGCTGTTCTTCCTCTGCGATATTGCCTTAATCGCCGTCCTTACATTAAGGGCGTATAAAGATGCCGAGATACTGGATAGGTATGTGCTGCACAGCCATGGAAGACGGCATCACCACTAACATTCTCTCAGATTCGAAGTGCCCTTCTTTGGGGCCTTAGCAACTCGATTTCTTGATGATGAGTAGAAAGCGAAGTGTTTCAACAGAGTCAGTGTGTCAGCTGGCCGTCTGTTTAGTTATGAACCTAGAATACCCCTTTGCAATTAATGGATGCGAGACATGGACCCCAGTGCGGGAGATGTGATTTTTGGTGCGATCATAGAGAGACTCTTTTACATGCCTGGAACAGGTGCAGCTAGAAGCAATACACCGCTCAGAGCAATGACGTTACGATTCAACGATGATTTGGGTAGCGGAAAGCCCGTCTAGTTGTGTTTCGTTCTACAGTCCCAATTTCAACTGCCGAAATTCTACACGACGACGCCGCTTCCCTTCTAGATGTCTCCCCAGCCCATGAAATCTACATTTTCCCTTCAAAATCTTGCCAGTACGGGTGCGACCGTGCCCTTAAGCACCGGCTTTTCGGTGAAGACGATCTCGCCAATCTGGGTTTCTGGGGAGCTACCCACTTCCAACCATCGACCAAGTAAATCGTTGCTCTCCTTTGGCTTCACCGAGTCATCTCGAGTTCCAACCGTGATGTGAGCAACACGGTTGACACACTGCCACTGATCATCTTGATCTGACAGGCGGACAACGATGGCCATGATGCGGTCATCGAACACAACCTGCGTAAAGTTAGGACCTTCACCTAGAGTCACCAGTCGTAAGACTTACCCGCTCGAGCATCACATCGCACTCTCCCAGCTTCCCTTCTGGGTTTCCAGTCGCCTCTACTTGGTTTTGAAGTAGAGTGTACTTGTGCCACAGATCTGGGTGGTCCTTGCTAGCCGCTCGGTGCAGTAGAGTAACATGAAATTTGGGCTGCACGCGCCGTGTCTGTTTCAGTTGCATATAGAAGCGGGAAGTTGATGAATCTGCGCCCTTGAAAGCTCGCTCTAGGACAGTATTGACTTCTTGGCTGGGGACAGAAACAGACAAATACTCCATCTTTCTCTTCTTCTCTGCCTTTGTTTGTTGCTGTTGCTGCTTATTGTTCTTCTTGCCACGGTCAGGAATGTCATGCCTGAAGTCAGGCTTGTATCCCAGGGCAAACTCAATGGCATCGTCAAGTGCCTCGGGTGAAGGAACTTCCTTGACCAGGTTCGGGAAGAACTTGTGCAGCTGTGTGACAACGGTCTCGAGATTCTGTCGACTGTCCGCCGTTGGGTCGAGATCAATAACGACATCAAAGCCGTCGTCTGGGCGGGCGTGGGGGTTGCAAGGTTCGAATCTATTGATGAATCCTTCCATAACACCGATGAACTTGTCTTTGTCGCTTGCGGCATGGATAGTCTGGTGGTTATCTCCTCGAGCAATGATTCTCTCCTGAGTGACTTGGCGGATTGCATCGATCGATTCCTCGTCATGCTTGAAGTTGAGGCAAACGAGCTTGGCTGTGGCATGCTGAAGCTTGACATCAGTGATAATCTGCTTTCGTTCGTGTCTCTGTGCATTGTTTCTGTCTGCAATCACAGCATCATGGTCGTTGAGCTCATTCAATACCATCTTCGTAAACCGAGGAGGACGGCCCTTGCCCGAGATGTTGTCGTTCTGAATATGGCCCCATCCGAAGAGGTGCGTCAAGCCCATAGCAATTGTCGTCTTTCCACATCCGATGGTAGCAATGGGGCATAGGATCACGTCACGAGTGACTTCGGTCATGACAAGGGGATCCAGCTCGTCCATATTGGCTGCATCTGCGCCCTTGAGGTTCTTGAAGTTCAAGAAATCGTTACGCAGAGAGATGATACCGTGGTTGTTGCTGTACTCCTTGGCCAGCTTAGGATCCGCGGCCAGACGCCTCCGAGCGTAAAGCAGGTACTCCTCGGTGATCTTGGTGTGCTTCTTGAACTTGGGTTGTTTTCCGGAGATCAAGGCCTTGGTGCACTCTCGCCACTGGCGGTACATGAGATAAGGCTCCTCAAACTTGTACTTGAAGAACCAGTCACGGTAAGGGACCGAAGAGGGGTCGTGGGACATTCTGCAGCGGACGACGAAACCCTCTACATCACGGCCATCGTGGGCTCCCGTTTCGGCCACTTCTTCGAGGAAAGCCTTGACTTGCTGAATGTCGTCCATCATGATGAGACCCGTCTTTCGAAAGGCCCACTCGTCGGCAAACTCTTGGACAAGGGGGCTAGGATATGTGGCAAACTCGGGCATGTTGAGGTTGAGTCCATGGAGGTATAGGCCTGCCTTATCAGGGCCGTAGGCCAGAATGTGCTCTTCGAATGTGTCATCGCATAGTTCGGCGACAGCAGTGACATTTCTCTTGCGAAGCTCTCGAGCCAAATCTCTCTTTGTCTTGCCGATGGCAGCCAGTTGCTGCTCAAGACGCAGCTCACCCGCGCTCGCATGGCTAACCTGAATGTCTGACCGGTCGCCAGTGGAATGCTTGCTGCAAACGATCAGAGTCTCATCCTCAAGGCCAGCAATGAAGATGATGCAGCCGTTCTCCTTGAGAGTCAATTCATAGGGGCCCTGGGTTCGCGTGAAGATGTTCTCCCACTTTGTCTCATGGACCTCGTCGGTGTTGAAGAACTTGTCGTAGCCTCTCACGGCGATCTCGGGCCCATCCCTCCTCGTCTTTGCCGTGAAGAGGCCTCGAGCATAAGTTGGCATGTCGCGTCGCTTGTAGTCCCAGTCCTGCATCCTCCAAGAGTCAACCTGGATGCCATCCTGAGATCCCTTGACGTCATATGTCGTCTTCTTGACCGAGAATCCTCCGCGTCGCTTCTCTTTCCGAGAGTTCTCTAGGGCATGCAGCAGGGTCGAGACCGCCTGAGGGTCCTGGGGCATGTAGGGGGCAGCCATTTTCTCGATGCCCGTGGACGGGGTGTTGATGATTCGATGGTTTGTAATGGCTCTACTGACAGATGTGAGAAGAGATCGAAGTGAAAGGAGAAAGTTAGTGGGCATCTGGAGCTGGAAAGCAGTGATACCTCAGGCAAGACGTTGGTCTTGCTCATATGAGGGGCAGGCGTTTACTTGATTGTGCATCGGGGTTGCCTGAGTAGCTGCAGTTGCCCGGCTGAAGCAAACAAAACACTGCACCGTTTGCCGAGACTTAAAATGCCAAGGAAATTGGATAGACACCTACCCTTGAGTTATTTGCAAGAACCTAGAAAGGCTTGGACAGAGGCCAGAGGATATCTAGGTATCCGCCCTGTATTGGTAGATTGTGCTTGGCGAAGCCGTTTTAGACTGAGTGAGAACCTCTCGAGATACGCGAGATTGAGGTCAAGAAGGGACGGCCAATTCCGATATGGTCTGCTTGGGTGGATATCACAGGGCAGCCATAGGGCTCCTTTATATGATCAGCTTGCGGGTTGATGCCCGGGTTCAGACCACTCGCAGTGGTGGCGGATGGTTGTGTGGGTTAGGTATGGATTGATTGGAAACTGCCTTGGCGCACCGCCTCAGACCAGTGCTTGCAGTCTTTAAAATGAGTCAGACCGCAGGGAACACAGGCAACAAAGGCCAAGGGTATTGGCTCGTCTTACGGACCTGGTGAGATTACCCGCCTAGCTGTTTGACGGAATAGGTGCAAAAATTGGTTGTCAAGGTTGTTTTGGGTAGCATGAGGATCGCTTGTCGATACCAGGTGCAGCTGGCTCCTGTCGCCTTACCCTAAAGATCCTGGCCGAGACGGCGGGATGCGTCACACCGTTTGTGGCTGAAGAATTCGGGGTCGGTTTGTGACACTGAATCTTGTCCTTCGATGGCGAGTGAACGGCGTGTCAGGTTAATGCTTTGAGATGTACCTTGAGGCCTGAGCTGTTAGATAGTGCTCCAAAATCCCATTTTCATGATCATGGCGATGGACCCCGCGGTCTCATGCACGACATGGCATGACGCACTACTTCTAAGTGGGCGATTCCTATCTACTGAGCTGCCTACGCAGCACCTGTGTGTTAATAAATGTTAAATACATTAAATACCTTCCATACCCTCTCTTCTTTTCTCCGGTCTGTCTCACACAGTAGGCTGTACCAAGGGCTGGCACACAGTACAGAGGCAGAACCCTGTTAGACTCCATTCGCTGAGCCACATGCAAGCTACCCCGCCAAAAATCTTCTACATCACACCAAAGATTTGAGCTCGCGTTGGACGATTTGCGCCTGTAATACCTATAATCCGATACTTCGCCTTGATTTTCGACTACCAAGCGCCATAACAACATCTTCGACTCGATCTCATACACTCAATTGTCTGCGAACATGTCGAACCCGAACGTTTACCTCTTGGCTGCCGACAATGACCCCGCGTTGTTGCCCCTCCTTCGAGAAAAGCCTGCCCTGGCCGCCTCACAAGATGAACACGGCTACTCCCTTGTCCACGCTGCTGCCAGCTACAATCACCTCAACCTCCTCCGAGCGCTTATTCGCGAATTCAACGTGGACGTCGATCTAAAAGATGAGGACAGTGAAACCGCACTGTTCGTCGTTGAGACTGTGGCTGCCGCCAAGATTCTTGTCGACGCTGGCGCAAACGTGAACCACAGGGGCTCTGAAGGTTTCACAGCCAGAGAAAAAATCGAGACCGAGGGAGATTTTCCTATCGTTGCCGAGTACCTGTCTAGAATTGAGGCAAAGCAAGCCAACGACACTGCATCAACCGCGGCCGCCGTCTTGCCCGAAGCTATTCCCCCGCCTCCGGAAGGCATGAAGGTAACCGTTGGCACGATGGACAAGAGCCAGGACATTCCCGAAGATGTTGATCCCGAATTCCGGAGACGGATCGAAGAGTTGGCCGGACGCGACGACTTCAACACCCCTCAGGGCCAGGCCGAGTTGCGAAAACTGGTCGAAGACGCTATCCTGGGAGAGGGCATTGGCGACGAGCGAAACGTGCGATCGAAGCAAGGCTAGATGCTCATTCATGGGATTTTGTTTCCCACATGATGTAATTTCCAGCTGCGACAGACGGCCGAAGAATGGTGAGATCATCACTGTTACCAGCGACACTCTTTGAGAAGCGCGTGGCGCTGAGGGAGAACCACATTTCCGAAGGGCACACGGCCAAGACGTCCATAAGCAAACCATGAAGCCACTGTGCCGAAATGAATCCTTGCCAGCTCAACTTGCAGACCTTGCGGTTGCTGTGGGTGTCTCCCGGTACGCTGTATCGCGACAGATAGGAGTCAATGCTATCTTGGGGTTCAATTCGTGGGCTTGCCAGACGAACTAGCGACAACCATTCGTAGCACTCTGTTGCGAAGTGCTCGAGGCCCTCGCGGTCGATGTTGGCAAGGATTTCAGGGTCTACGTCCAGTCTTGGTTGAACTACGGCAGACTCTCGACTAATGCCTGGCGACGAGGTGTAGCCTGTAGGAAAGAACTGCTGTAATGGATCTGGGTTTGGCGCTATGAAACGCGAGGTTAATGTGGGATTATATTTGGGGAGGCCCCGGGTTAGATACTCACTCGTTTCTGTGTTATTACAAAAGAGCCAGGTTGTGGGCTTGTTGAAGACAGTCTTGCAGGCATAGATCAACCGGTCAAATCCCTTCTTCCCACGAAACATGGTTGGGTCTCGAAGGTTATATGAAACAACTGTCTGATTAGCATTCAGGAAGAGGAGAAATCTGAAGCTCAATTTCTTACCCCAGCGTGGCTTTGATCCCCTTCCGCCCTTGGCCCCGTATGGCTTCCCGACCAAGCCGGCACGTTCATATGTTTCCCTGTCAAGATACATGGTGAGAGTACCTAGGGAGTTATTGTGAGCTCATACTTGTTAGGATGGTATGTCCGGCGTGGTACCTTCGTGTAATGTGAAGAGTGTGCCGACAGTCGACTTGCCCTCTGAGAGCATGAGAATATTTCCTAGGAAATCAGCTTAGCACACACAGTAGTAGACGAGGCTAACATTCATACCCTTTTTGATGTACTCATTAAAGAAATCACCCTGCAAGACATCGCCAAGGGTCATGTGGACCTTGGAGTATCGAGGGCTCTTCTGCGTGTTGTTGAGCTGCTCAAGGATGACATCGCATGCCTCTGCTGGAAGAATGAGGTCAATCTGCAATCCATTCAGCTCGTGTGCTATTTGGTTTTCGGGGACCACAAATTCTAGTATACCTTGTGTATAAAATCCAGTGACATGATTGCCGACCAAGGCTTGCCCTTCTTAGGAGCTTGGTTTTGGTCAACATGACCCATGGTGCCGTATGTGACGAAGCATTTTGGCGACTGGTAAATGGACGGAGCAGCAGCCGGAAACATCACTAAGTGAAAGCTGCAGGTCTCTGCTTATGTGTTTTTGCAAGGATGAGCCGCAGATGTTTTCCCCCAAGGATGTTGGTTGAGAGCAAGCTGGTGGCACTTGGGAAAGCGCAGAAATGGCACTGATTTCTTAGCCGGGGTTTCGTCGGTGAATTTTTCCCTCTCACAAGATCATGATCCAAAGAGTTTGTGCAAGCGACCGCAGCTTAAAATCAGCACATTCGCCTCGACAAAGGATTTTGAGGATTCTTCTTCTTGAGCGCTGATAGATACTTTTTTCTGTCGAGTTTGATCCCGCAAACATCGCTGCCAAAGCAGCTATCTGCCAAAGAAGCTGTTCAAGGTTTTGGCATTTTCGCTGATCCCCCACCATCACTTTCATCTCATGGATCTAAAGTGAGCCGACTCTTGTTACTCCTCAACCAAATATCCACGGAAAAAAAAGTCAAGATGGACTTTCTCATAAAATTTGCGCAGGCGCACGAGTCCTTTCGAGTCGCCGAAATCGAGGCGCTCGCGCTTGTCGAGGGTCTTGACATGAAGATTATCGAGTATAGCGAGGATGTGCGTCCACCCACAAATGTATCTAGACTACAGACTTACCGTGAATAGTCCCCTTTCTGCGTTGTACGGCTGCCTTCGGTGGAGGCAGCCAAGAAGCTGATCAAGAGGTCTATCCTTGGCCAGTCTATCCATGAACTTTGGGGCCGTGGGAGCACTCTGGAAGATGTCCATAATGCCGTCAAGTCAGACACATCGCATCTTTGGGACCAGTACATGGACAAATCCTTCAGGTTCGAGGTCGAGCCTTTTCAAGGCTCCCGCTCTGCGAAGAAGAGACTTGAACTCATCAACTCTTTTCGATTCTTGGGCTGGAAGGGGCCCGTCAAAATGTCAAACCCCGACAACATGTTCACCATCTTTGAGATGTGGCCGTTCAACAGCGTCCCTCTCAAAATCCCAGATCCTAGAGCTATTTACCTTGGCCGTTACGTTGCGAGCTCATCTCGAGAAATCCTGGTCAGATTTGACTTAAAGAAACGAGGGTACATCTCGACAACGAGCATGGACTCGGAACTTGCCCTGGTCACTGCCAACATCGCTCTCGCTGCTCCAGGCAAACTCTTTTACGACCCCTTTGTTGGAACAGGCTCATTCCCCGTGGCTTGCGCTCACTTTGGCGCTCTTGCTTGGGGTAGCGATATCGATGGCCGGAGCATTCGCGGCGAGGGTGGAAAGAAGAGTCTGCTAGGGAACTTCCAGCAATATGGCCTGACGTCTTGTCTGGGGGATGTATTCTCCTCAGACTTGACCAATTCGCCCATCAGGAGACAACGAAGGACATGGGATGGGATCGTCTGCGACCCCCCATATGGTGTCCGAGAGGGACTCAGAGTGCTGGGTCTCCGAGACCCTGAGAAAACACCCTGGTTGATAGAGCAGGGGAAGGAAAGGGGAATGTTCGTGGCACTCCAGGACCGTTGTCTCACCTGAAGCTGACTCTTGCAGGAATCCCGACTACGTCCCGCCAAAGAAGCCATACAGCTTCCTCATAATGCTCGACGACATTCTCAGCTTCGCAGTGGACACACTGGTTGACAACGGCAGACTCTCGTTCTGGATGCCAACCGCTAACGAGGAGGAACTCGAGATCCCAGTACCTACCCATCCCTGCCTCGAGATTGTTGTGGTCTGCGTCCAGCCTTTCAACAAGTGTAAGCTTCTTCCCAATGACTCCTCCTCATTCTTGGCACAAGCTGACGCTATATAGGGTCAAGGAGGCTCATCACTTACCGCCGACTGCCCGACTCAGAAGTTTCACAACCTGCTCTGGAAGCTTACGCAAGCCGACAGAAGCTTACGGTCAACGGAACATCAGCAGATGAACTCAACCCATTTCGGCGTGGATATTTCAACAAGTTCGAGGCTGACGAATAAACCTCAAGTACAGGAATGATCTCGCTCTGCTCCCATCAAACATTTCCCGTGCTCCGCTTTCATATGTGACAGGCTCCCAGAAATCCCAAGCCTTGTGAACCCACTAAAAAAAAAAAAAAAATACTCGCGTAGGCCCGTCAAGACGTCATAACAAAACGGGATCATGCCCAACCCGCTTCCCATCTATGTGTTACTGTATATCAATATGGATATTTCCGACCAAGCCCAGCCAAGACTGAAGTAAGAAACAAGCAGTGTGCCCTAGGCAACACCGCATTCGGAGTGTGTTAGGTTCCGATACATTTGTGCTCAACGGAATTCGGTTGCGGCAAAGCAGCCCCGGTCAGGGACATGCTTTAGCTCCAGTTGCTGGAACCTGAGAATGACGTTAGCAAAGATACATCATTATCTGGCCGAGGATACCGACTTTTCGCTCTTGGAGTGAAAGTAGATGCCGCTAACTTCACCCTTGACTTGGTTGAAGCAGATGTAGTAGAAGCCCTCGAAGCTGGCACCTGTTATGGTGCGGACTCTGTGATCGGGGACCAGGAAGTGTTCCTTCCACCGCATAAAGATGGTTTCCCTCTGAGCGGCATCGCGGATCATGACGGGTCCCTTTCGAGCCTGTTTCTGGAATGGGCGGAAGGCGGCGAACTTGGCCCAGTGGCTCAAGTCAACCTTGCTGTTCGCACCCCAGTTTTCATGCTGGGTGTAAAAGCTGTATTTGGACCCAATGATCTCGCCTTCAAAGTATGTCGTGAGAGTTGGGTGGTCCTCAGTTAAGCCTTTTCAAGGGTCAGTGTTGTGCGAGTGGACATGGACCTATTGCTCCTGACCTTGAATGCGGAGATATCCGCAGAGAAAAGACTCGCGCATGTCGACATGCTTAATCTCCACCTGAACATCGTATACTTGACGCTCAGATTGCTGTGTGCCGTGGAATCGGCTACCCGATCGTAGGTATGATGATGGTGATGAAGGAATTGTCTGCTGTTGTCAGATGGTTGCGCCATGCCAAGAGGGCGCGGTGGTGTAACTCACCCGCATGCACGAGAAGTCGGCTCCCATCGATGGAGCCCAGAGCTCATCTTCTTGCGCATCCGCATCAATCCACTCCAACTCGCGGTTCGGCGAGCCTCTACGGCTGGACGGCGCGCGAGATATGGTTTCGGTTTCGGAGGATTGTCTTGTGTTGTTTGAGGTTTCCTGGCTCAGCTGGCTGCCGATTTCGGCGTCTCGACCCTTGGTGACGTCGGAACTGGGCCCGCTGGATATGGGAGATGTGACTGCAGTGTTGGCAGATTGGGGTCGGGGAGACATGGTAGATGATCTCGTCGATGGGTCATCGGATGAGCGTCCTTCGTACATGACGGTGTCGTCGCTCGCTGGACCTTCGGGTGCGGGCGGCGCGTCAACGGTGAGCGGCGAAGCGTCAGGCGTGGGTTGAACGCCCATGTCGTCGTTGTGGTCTTGGACGGCCTCGCGCGACTGCCAGGAAGGGCGCTGCTGATGTTGAACGTCGTCAGGGCAGGTCGAGAAGCTGTAGGAGCGAGGAGACGACGCCTCAGCGGGCGGATTGGATGATGGAGTTGGCATCGTGTGCGACGTAGGATGAAAGACGAAGCAATTAAAACAAGAATGAGCAGATGAATAAAAGAGCAAACGGTTGTAAAGAAGATGGCCGAAATCCAGGGTATCAAACAGGCCGATAGACGATGCAAGGTGTGAGAAGCTGGCCTGACGTAGAAAGCTCGTAGGGGTCGCAGAGAGGAGAGACAACCAACTTGGTGCCAGTCACCAAAACGGGTGGCGATCTCGGGGGAGACTAGAGTCGAGGAAGTAACGGTAAAAGTTAAAGGCGGAACAACAGCCAGTTCAAAAAGCAATAGAAAGGGCGCCCATCACACAAGTTGTAATAATACAAAAATAAATAAAAAGGCCACAAGAGTTGGGATCGAGCAACTAAGTAAACTCGGGCATGCCAGATCGCAAATGGGTCGATGGCGAGAAAAAGGGTCAAGTCGGTGATGATGGGCTGGCCTCTGGCTTTTCATGGGGAGACCTGGCGAGCCCGGGAAGCGCACGCGAGCCTGATTTGCTGGCATCCGGGGTCTTGAAGCGGTTGCGTGGAGACCTCCTAGATGGAGCGGGCCTCTAAGGGCTGATGCTGTGTCTTTAGTTAGGGGACTTGCAGGTGCTTTGTCCAAGGATGGATAGCTAAGGTTGCGCTTCGCTGCGCTGCGCTGGATGGAGTCATCCGTTGGTTGTGATGGAGGATGGATTTGTGCCGACGGGCGGGAGGGACCTTAACCAACGCTACACCATCGTGTCCGTCCAAAGGTACCTGGGGTACAGCTGTAGCTTTCCCCGGGCGCCATGTACCTTGGCGAGAGCGGATCCAACTCTCTCCATTTTCCTTTTCCCCTTGGGCGCGATGCAGATATGAGATGCTGTGTCAAAGCCCAGGGGTTCACTTCCATGTACAACACGGACACGGACCAGTGGAACCTTGGCCGTCATCATCATCAGCTCAATGATAATCGTCTGACAATTAGAGTCAGTCTCGGGATTTAGGAGCAAAGCCTGGTGTCTGAGGGAATCTCGGGAGTCATCTTGCCTGGATCTCCCATGAAAATCATCACACCAGACGGCCTTCTCAGCGACCTTCTTCTCGAGCAATAGGATCTGGGCAGCTCCCGTTCCGTCCCCAGAGGCGCCATCGGCCAGCCCCAGCGCCTCCTTTAAAGCGCCCCCACCGTGTTCCCGCCTGCATTCACATGGGGTGATGAGTTGCGAGAAGACATGATACACGCCAACTCCGAGACCGTTTCGTTGGCATGATCCGAAATCATACAATTCCTGGATCTGGCAATTTCGTTCCTCTGACGGGCCTAGCCGGCCGACGGGTGTTTCTTCACCCGCGAAGCCTCCGCCACATATGTATCCATCATGCCCTCCCACTCACCCAAGTCTCGGATGCAGGCTCAAGAATGACAATCCAGGACCAGGTTGTCACTTCATCCCTCCTTGGCATCTTCCTTGACCGCCCCGAATTTCACGTGTGAGTCCCCAACGTCCGAGCGCGTATTTTCCTTTGGATTCGGGTGCGTGCAGGGAGCAAGGCTGGAAATATACGGAAGAGGGCAGATAGCATGATTTGACCTTGCGTTGTTCAACGCGATTGGCATTTTTCTCAAGAACCTCCATCTCATGTCGTACCATGTCTTCCAGGGCTTCCAGGGCTTCCAGGGTTTTCCCAACATGCCGCGCGCACGCGATTTTCACCCTCTTGCCTTTGCCTCTGGTCGGAAGCTTGTATCTGAGCTATGGTACTGTGGCAGCCCATCCTTGGTTGCTGATGACGCTTAGACGCTTGACAGCTGCCTGTTGTGAACCTCTCTTCTCCAAATCTCCATGTTGTACTCCGTAGACATCTTCCCTGCCCATCGATGAGTTCCCACACCGTTCTTTTGACATTCCAGGGTATCGTTCGCCAGTACCAGGTCATCCATGCTATTATCCAGACTATTGCCTCAACTTGCGCCGGATGCCGAACCGTCTATGCTACATCCCCTCGCGCTTGATCATGATGATCCCTTAGATGGGCTTAATCTTGAAGTGCAGGGCAATTAGGCTGAAGACGAGTGCCTTCAAGTCTTGAACAAGGTAGTAGAATACTCGTAGGCCCTCGGGGTCGGCAGATTCTGTCACGTCAACCAGAGATCCTATCTTGGCAGTCTGTCTTTACTATTAGTGTATTGCCCTAGGGAGCAACCATAGTTACTGACCTCGAACGCGATATGGTCATTTCCAATGCGGATTTCCAACTCCTGTCGTCCGTCCTTGTTCTTTTGTGGCCACTTAGAATCGTCTTCCCTACACGGGGTTAGGTATAATCGAGTGGTATCGTGGATGGGGTCTCGCGTACTTGGTGATTTCGCTGGCCTTGATGATGCGCTTGATCTCGTCAACTACGACAGAGCTCACACACACTAAGGAGCCGTTAGAGACCATCAACTCCCAGTTACTGCCAATAACGCTTACTTTCTTTGCGAATCAAGCTATCGTTTCGGTAGTTGGAGTTGTTTGCATATCTCGCGACCGCGCTGCGACCATCGCCAACGACTCGGAAATCGAATTCTAATTGCGTTCGGTGTCAGATCGTACTTATGAACGGTTAAATAAGGGGCAGTCTAAGCAATTCGTACCTAGGAATTCGTGACCGAAGCGGCCCATGTGGCCAGAACTGTTTACAGACGTCATTAGCAATGGGTCATGAATGCGACAAGGCGGTGGAGCATCAAGATGAACGAATGGCAAGACATACTAATACCGAAGGTAGAACGGCTCGTTTGAGGCAGACATTGTGGCGACCGTAAGTAGACTGGGAAGACCGCCGAAGTCGTCAGGCTAGAGAGAAATAGAAATGCTGCGCTTAGGTTCGCAAGGCTGAGGAGGGATCGCGGGACTGGAAGAACAGGCACGGTGAGAAGAGAGCGCACGGACCCCATTGGCGGGGCACAGCAGCTTCACCACCATGGTGTAGACCCTTCACCTTCGGGAGCCAGCCACATGGGCTCAGGAATACAACGCCAGACACATGGAGCTTACCGAACTGCGGCAGTAAGGACTCAACTTCACAAAGATGGAAGGTTAAAAACAAGACAATGATTGATTCAAAGAGAAACACCAGATTATAGTCCTCATTTTATATTTATTCCCATCTATGTCACAGATCGTCTCAACATTCTCTTGTAACTAATAGTGCCAGCTTTACTTACCCCTTGCCAATTCACGTGACCGTCAACTCGCTTAGTGCCACCTGTTCGACATGGCACTGGCAGGACAGATCTTCTTGAAGCTGACGCTGCCCAGAGCTGGCCCAGAATATCAACGGGGACTCTGGCGATACTTGTCGGCGATTGCGCCCTGTGACGAATCAACGAATGGCCCAGACGGACTTTGCTACTTGTCCCGACGAATAGAGCTCCAGAGCTTCAAGCAACAGGCACCCCTGAGCTGAGCCTCCCCACCGCCGACTAGACACCACCTACACCTCCGATCCCACTTCCCACGTTCCCCTTAGAGCCACGTCCCATTTACAACAACCACTACCACCACCACAAACCTTCTCGGCCAGCTGCCGTTGACACTCGTCAAGATGTCTGGCTTCCTCGAGAATGCGTACAGTCTCGTCCACCAGGACAATGCGGCCGACGTCCCCACCGTCTCTGATCTGCGCATGCAGCTGGAGAAGGGTACCGACGAGACCAAGGTCGAGACCATGAAGCGCATCTTGACCATTATGCTCAACGGAGATCCCATGCCTACGCTTCTCATGCACATTATCCGCTTCGTCATGCCCTCAAAGTACAAGCCGCTCAAGAAGCTCCTCTACTTCTACTACGAGATCTGCCCCAAGCTTGATAACAGCGGCAAGTTGAAGCAGGAGATGATTCTGGTCTGGTAGGTCTCCCTTGCCCGTGTGCCGATGTCCCATTGTCGCATCGGCCGCACGTTACTGACCATGTTCGTGTAGCAACGGTATCCGTAACGATCTTCAGCACCCCAACGAATACATTCGAGGCAACACCCTGCGCTTCCTGTGCAAGCTGAGAGAGGCCGAGCTCATCGAACCCCTCCTTTCCTCGGCACGATCTTGCCTGGAGCACCGACATGCCTACGTCCGAAAGAACGCTGTCTTCGCCATCGCTTCCATTTTCCAACACTCGCCTTCCTTGATCCCCGATGCTTCAGAACTCATCGCCACCTTCCTCATGGGAGAGAGCGATGCCACCTGCAAGAGGAACGCCTTTGCGGCCCTCTCCAGTATTGATCATGATGCTGCGCTCTCATACCTGGGGTCCGTTTTCGAGGGTATCCCCAACGCAGAGGAGCTTCTTCAACTTGTTGAGCTCGAGTTCATCCGCAAGGATGCTGTTCAGAACTCCCAGAACAAGGTCTGTCTCGAATTTGTTGCGGCAGGCTTTGCCAAACAACTGACAATTGGTAGGCACGATATCTGAGGTTAATTTTCGATCTGCTAGAAGCTGGCGCATCCACCGTTGTATATGAAGCCGCTTCTTCCCTCACTGCCTTGACCAACAACCCCGTGGCGGTCAAGGCCGCCGCCGCCAAGTTTATCGAGCTAAGCATCAAGGAGGCAGACAACAATGTCAAGCTTATCGTGCTTGACCGGGTCGACCAGCTGCGCAAGAAGAACGAGGGTATCCTGGATGACCTGACCATGGAGATCCTTCGTGTCCTCTCGAGCACTGATATTGATGTGCGAAGAAAGGCACTTGGCCTTGCCCTCGAGATGGTTTCCAGCAAGAACGTCGAAGAGGTCGTTCTCCTGCTCAAGAAGGAGCTTTCCAAGACTGTCGACCAGGAGTATGAGAAGAACACCGAATATCGATCCCTCCTCATCCACTCGATTCACCAGTGCGCCATCAAGTTCTCCGAGGTTGCTGCTAGCGTTGTGGAGCTTCTCATGGACTTCATTGCCGACTTTAACAACGTCTCCGCTGTGGACGTCATCAACTTTGTCAAGGAGGTTGTTGAAAAGTTCCCCAGCCTCCGAACTACTATCATTGAGCGTCTCGTCTCTACTCTGGGCGAGGTCCGGGCTGGCAAGGTGTACCGGGGTATCATGTGGATCATTGGCGAGTACTCGCTTGAAGAGAAGGATATCCGTGAGGCTTGGAAGAGAATACGTGCTAGCTTGGGTGAGATGCCTATTCTTGCCTCTGAGCAACGGCTGCTGGACTCTCATGACGACGGCGAGAAGACTGATGACCACATCAACGGAACCTCTAAGCACGCCGCGCCCACTGGATCCCGTAAGGTCCTCGCCGACGGCACCTATGCTACTGAGACTGCTCTCACCAGCCAGTCTTCAGCTGCTGCTAAGCTTGAAGCCGTCAAGGCTGCTCAGAAGCCCCCATTGCGTCAGCTCATTCTCGATGGCGACTACTACCTGGCGACTGTCCTGTCCTCCACTCTCGTCAAGCTTGTGATGCGACACCACGAGATCTCCTCCGACAAGGCACGAACCAACGCCCTGAGGGCTGAGGCTATGCTCATCATGATTTCCATCATCCGAGTCGGCCAGTCCCACTTCGTCAAGGCACCCATCGATGAAGACTCCGTGGACCGAATCATGTCCTGCGTGCGCTCGCTGGCTGAGTTTGAGCAGAAGAAGGAGCTTGAGACTGTGTGGTTGGACGACACCCGCAAGGCTTTCCGTGCTATGGTCCAGGTTGAAGAGAAGAAGAGGGCGGCTAAGGAGGCTTTCGAGAAGGCCAAGACTGCCGTGCAGGTTGACGATGTTGTGCCTATCCGACAACTCGCCAAGAAGAATGCTTCCGACGGCCTCGATGAGATCGAGGTGGATCTGGAGCGGGCAACTGGTGGTGAAGGCGCTGCTGAGGACCTCTCATCCAAGCTTAGCCGTGTGGTTCAGCTGACCGGTTTCTCCGATCCCGTCTACGCCGAGGCTTATGTCAAGGTTCACCAATTCGATATCGTTCTCGATGTCCTCCTGGTCAACCAGACAACCGAGACTCTCCAGAACCTCTCGGTTGAGTTTGCCACCCTGGGTGACCTCAAGGTGGTTGAGCGCCCGACCACACAGAACCTGGGTCCTCACGACTTCCACAATGTGCAGTGCACAATCAAGGTTTCATCAACCGACACAGGTGTCATCTTTGGCAACGTTGTGTACGATGGAGCTCACTCCACTGACACTAACGTGGTGATCCTCAACGACCTGCACGTTGACATTATGGACTACATCCAGCCCGCTACTTGCACCGAGACCCAGTTCCGTACCATGTGGACCGAGTTTGAGTGGGAGAACAAGGTCAACATCAACTCAAAGGCCAAGTCGCTACGCGATTTCCTTGATCAGCTGATGGCCTGCACAAATATGAACTGTCTCACACCAGAGGCTAGTCTGAAGGGTGACTGCCAGTTCCTGAGCGCCAACCTCTACGCGAGGAGTGTGTTCGGTAAGTTGCTCACAAGAATATGCTCAAGGATATACCATGCTAACATTTTACCCAGGTGAGGATGCTCTGGCCAACCTGAGCATCGAGAAGGAGGGTGAGGATGGACCCATCACCGGTTTCGTTCGGATAAGAAGCCGATCGCAGGGTCTGGCGCTGAGCCTGGGCTCATTGAAGGGTCTCAACAAGATCGGCTCGACAGCGTAGACCAGCTGATGACAGTTGTAAGCGCCCGGATCGGACGAGAAGGGTTGCTACAGCATTGCAAGATTCATGACGATGGTTGGAGCGGAGTCAGGGTCGGAGCATGTTAATGGGTGTTTTCCCACCAAAAGGCTATGCGATGGGTCCCTGGTAGAGTTCAATTGTAAGCAGGTTAGGTAGACGTTGATTCCAAACAAAGGCATATGGTTTTCTATATGGGTCACGGGAGACGGCCAGAGGCTTTTCGATGAGTGGGTGCATGAATTAATGAGTCTATATTATCTTGTACCGTGCAAAACAACGTCAGGAGCATCATGGGGCAAATGTACGGCGTGTGTAAGAATAGTATTCAAAAGAATATCCAGAAGCAGTCTCAAAGCATGGGCTAAAGAAATATTTGAGTGATAAATCAAGACTCGCTAGGCCAGTACCGACCAAACTCCAGAAATGACAGACAACAGGAGAAATTGAAATGGGTATTATCCAGACATGGCCAATGACAGCAGACCAAAAGAAAGGGGAGGAGCCGTTGATGAAATATTGAGGCGTGTAATTGTAAGGAGACTGATGGGGAGAAGATGCTTTGACGTTCCTCTCATCAGGGTCATAATGAGCTGCCGGGTCAGGACACAGGGGATGTCGACGAGCGGCGAGGTGACGACTTGACAGCGGCGATCGATTTGTTACCGCTCGAAGACGAGGGCATTGACCATATGGCCGGTCTGCCAGTTTTGGGCCGAGAGCGACGAGTTCTCCTTGAGAATCTTGCCCAAGTATGCTATCCGGATCTTTTTTGTGGGTGCAAGCTATGAGACGTGTCAGCAAATCAATCTACTGAGCGTTTGGATATGAAGAACAACTTACATCAGCCTCCTGGGCGATCTTCTTGGCCACGCTTCGGACCGACTCTGTCTCTGTTATTCGGACTTTGATATCCCGGCCGTTCTCGCTGAGCCTGGCTCGTAGGATCACCTGCTCCCGCACATCTATGACTTCTTTGCCCTTTTCCCGTTTTCTCCCCTCAATCTCGTCATCATCGTCACTTAGGTCGTCGTCGTCTGCTGCCGTGTCGTCTCCCACTGTCGAAGCATCACCCTTGGCGCCCTCTTGGCCATCCTCTTGCACGTTCCGCGGGTCGCAGACAATCCATTCGGGCAGTTGGTAGTAGTTTCCGAGAGCGTCGTACACGCCGTTGGCGAGATTTCCGGTCGGGAGAGAGATCTCAGCAGCAGAGAGGATCATTTGGGCCGTCGCAAGGCCGTTGGTGCCGTCATCCTGAGCATCTTGACTCGCAGGGTCCCATAGCACCTTGAGCGCAGCATGGACCGTCTGCCAGATCTCAGGCCTGCCCGTGACTCGCGTATCGAAGAAGTCTGCACGCTCCTGGTCCAGCTTCCTCCTTGTCCAGGTACGATCGCGGGAAATCCATTCATGTCGTCGCAGAGGCTTATCGATATGCTGATCCAGAGGTCGGTCGTGGCGACGGCGACGGCGTCTCTCGGCGGGGATTTGAGGCACGGGGCCGTTCACGGGTTCTGGAAGGGCCAGCGGGGGAGGATTGATGGCGCGCGACGAAGCGTTGGGAGCGCCACCTGGGTAAGGCGAGTTAGGGCCTGATGAACGGGAGAAGCAGCAGCCCTTGAAGATGTCAGCATCGCAATAGCAAGCATCGCAGGTCGCGGGGAAGAGAAAAGAGGAGTCGCACCATCTTGTCTGAGGGGTTGCGAGGATCGGCGTTGACTTGGGAGGATTAGAGGTGAAATAAGGAAATGGAGACTGAGGGTCGTCGAGGTTCAGTGACTGGCCATCGCTGGCCAACGTCGGTCGCAGATCGCACAAGTTTTAAGTTGTTAAGCGTAAAGATGACGAGACGGTAATCAACAGGGCACCTCAGGGTCTAAGCTGTTGTCGGTAGGTAAAAAATGAAGAGAGAAAGAAGGAATATTGAAAGCAGTAAGAGGAGCGAGGCTAAGACGCTGGGCGCAGAAGTCGAGTACGGGAACCGAGATCTGGAGTCGCCGAAATCCATCCACCTCTGTCTTTGGGGGCGGTCCAAGGACAAGCACTGTAGGGACCAGGGGGAGGCGCAAAGCGGGACTCGACGAGCCTAAAAAAGGAAACCTCCAAGTGGCCAAGCTAAATCGAAGGGTCCTTCTTTGATTGAGTCCTAGCAGGCCTGGGTCTAGAAGCATCAACAGAGCCCGGAAGCGGCGAAGTCGGGGGCGGGTTTTTGCTGGCGAATTGGTGGGATGAGGAGACGTTGAAGCTGGCGTGGCAATGGTATCTCGTTATTGCCCACAACTTGATCGCCTGCTGGGTAAATTGGTATTGTTGGTAGATAAGTACAGGTCGGTTAATGACCTTTGGCAAAAAATGGCTGACGACTTGAGAGGGGAAAGGGTTGGAGGAGGCTACGCGGCCTTTCCTGTTGGATGATGCACACAGCAGAGCTTATGCACGCACGTCTGTTGATGTAATCCCGAGCTCCAAACCCCAAGAACGACCAACCAAGAGAAGCAAAGAAGCAAGAATAAAGAGCCGAGAAAGAGGAGAAGCTCTTGGCTTTTTCTTTGCCGGGCGGTATCACGGGCATTGGTGGGGAGGGAGAGGGACTTGAGTAGGTAGGTAGGTAGACGGGTAGACCGGGGGGTTGAGACTTCGGAGGGGAACCTTGTCTTCGGCTGATCCTTGACTGATGGCATTTTGAGGTTACCGAATGACCTTGGCTGTTGGTCAAGAGGCAGTCATCGGTTCCAATCATTGTGGGACTTTGGAACTGCTTGCTTGGTCTGGTGCACGCGTCATGATCTGATGTTGTAGTTCACCTTGACTATTGCTGGCCTTGCTATATAAGCACTTTGCTACAATATGTTCTGATCCTTCATAACAGAAATACTGTTCTCAGGAATATTCTTGCAGATTGAAGGATCGTTATTATTTCACTGAGCGATTGTGAGCCATCCATCAACTGTGCATCATGAGGCAATCGATCCCGAAGCTTCACATCGTTGTCAACGCGTCCACGTCATCCTCCAAACTTAAAGACAGGGCTAGCGATAACAGCTTGCTCTCTATCACTTCTTTATCTTTGAAGTAAAATGATAATTATGTATACATGCTCCAATGCCTTGCTCCGGTGCTGGTTCTTTGCTGCGACAGCACGCCCAGAAGGACCAAACGAGACGTACTCTAGTAATATGTAGGCTAGCATATCAAGTATGCGCTCAGGGAATCTAAGTTAGAGACAAAACATCTGAAAATGCCCTATGAAAGGTTACGCAAACGCAATTAGCCGTGAATGGCCTGCCCCGGCTTCGTTGAGTACTTGGAAAACCTTTTCCAGAATCTTGGGTCCAACTGCGACGACAGCATGAGCTCTTAAGGAATCTCTAGAAAAGTATCTACAGATTGAAGCCGTGCTTTGAAGGTTTAAAAGGCTCAAAGAAGATTAATACAATGACCGAATGGCATAGATCTCGTCGTTAGGGCTAAAAACAGAGAAGGCATACTATAATGCCCCTATAATGCCCCTCAAGCGTTTGATGACTTGTAAGTGATCACAGGATATCATTGGGGAATAGTTGAAATGATCAGCCTCTTACACATGTCCATTCTGCATCATTGGAGGGTGTCATCCCGCTGTTTGGTAGGCTTACACCGTATCTCAAAGGGCTCACATCCATGCAAACGCGACTAAGGGACGAACCAAGCAGGGGCAAGAAACAGGCAAAGGCTTCAATTGACATTGGCATACGTGAGTCGATTCATAAATTTCATATCTGGACCTGCTATGTACCAGTAGAAATTGGTATCCCCTCTTTACTGAAACGTTGCTCCTGCCGTTGAACCTGATGTCTCTCACCGAGGTGAGTAAGTCTTCACCGACGCCACCCACCAATCAGCCGCCAGCCTGTCCAACACAAACATCCACCAACTCATTATCCATCTCTCACAGTAAACCCCCTTCGCCAACTAGCATTTCGTGTCGCCACATTTCATCTAAATCAAGTATATGACTCGGTGAAAACAAACGAATCTTATCTCATATCGACTTGGTGAAATTTCTCATCGCAAACAGTACGATCTGATTCCTCGCATAAGCGCTCCATAGTTCATCAACAACCGCGTTTCAGCCTTAACAGAGTGAATCACTGAGGCACCGTGATCAGGCGCATCTATAATGGAAAAGGCAACCGAGAGGCACTTCTTCTACCACGGAAAAGAGGTGAGTAGTCATCCGCATCGCTCCAGTCATCACGCCCTTAACTAATCTCATCACAGGGTTACGAGGATGAACGCGATGGCTGCCACTGGTGTCAGATCCGCTCCTTTGCGACACACTCAACCATCCCCATCACGGTAGTCAATGAAGAAGACTCCGAGTTTCTGCCAGATGACTTCCGCTTCATCAACAACATGGTCCTTGGAGAAGGTGTTGAGCCAGCTGGTGATAGCTTCCGAAGCGGCTGCTCCTGCGCCAACGACGGAGACTGCCAGTACACGAGCTGCCTCTGTCTTGCCGACCTAGCAGAAGATGAATCAAGCGATGACGAAGATGACGATCCATTTGGGGACCGCATTGACGGCATGGATGTGGATGTGCCAAAGGTCCATAGAAAGGCCTACGCGTACCATACACACGGTTCCAAAGCTGGCCTCCTCCGCTCCAAGTTCTACGACTCCAAGGTGCCAATATATGAATGCCATCAAGGCTGCTCATGCAGCATTAACTGCCCGAACCGCGTCGTTGAACGTGGCCGTACGATTCCTCTGCAAATCTTTCGGACTGAGGATCGTGGATGGGGTGAGTGATTCTTTGTTTAACCTGTTGCTCAATCTCAATCTTGCAGCTTTCTGACTGGTCTCAAAGGAGTGCGATCACCAGTCCATATAAAAAAAGGCCAATTTGTTGACCGCTATCTCGGCGAGATCATCACGTCCACCGAGGCAGATCGCCGACGGTCCAAGTCAGCCATATCTCAGCGAAAGGATGTCTACCTCTTCGCCCTAGACAAATTCACCGACCCAAACTCCTACGATCCCCGCCTAAAAGGTCCGCCGCTGGAGGTTGATGGCGAGTTCATGTCGGGCCCAACTCGATTCATCAACCACTCTTGTGATCCCAACATGCGAATCTTTGCGCGAGTTGGTGACCACGCAGACAAGCACATTCACGACCTGGCTCTGTTCGCCATCAAGGATATTCCAAAGGGAACTGAACTTACGTTTGACTACGTTGATGGAGTATCGAATGATGGGGAGGAGCCTGAAGGTGATGTAGACCACATGACGCGGTGTCTTTGTGGAAGCAAGAAGTGCAGAAAGTTCCTATGGTGAACCAACCGCAATATCATACCCCGATCACAACCACGTGGTCATTTATCTTCAGCAAGCCAGCCACCATTTGGCTTTCACATACAAACTTATGAGCCTACCGATGTATGTCCACGTGTCTTTGTCTTTCAGGCCTCCTACCAACCAGGCCTGCTGCCTTCATCTTTGTTCCTCACCATTAATCATGCGCATATCCTATGCCAGAACATCTAGTCTGTCGCCAATATGTCTCTGTTCTTTGTTCTGGTCCTATGGTCTTCCACGATGTGTCACAATACTCCTTAGGCTTCCTCATGCATGTTCATTGTTCTTATTGGTGTTCCACCATTAGGTCCCAGGACGACAAGTGGGAAACACATTGGTTTGAGCCAGAAGTGACTACTTATCAATGTTATGAGTCCCTTTTGCAAATTCCCTTGAGAAACTGGCATCGTTACTTTGAAACTCACCCTTCTGCGGCAAACCATGGATCCCAAGAAGAACGCTCTGGGCACCGAGGTCCCTGGATCATCATCCCCAGAGACTCGCACGTCTAATGACAGCGGGCCAAACATGAACACATCCCTAACACCCGTCAAAGCACCAGAATCCGATACCAAGCCTTGCAACAATGACAAGGCCAAGGATACCAACATGACCAAATGGCCTTGGATGCGCAAGCATACCACTCCTCGTCGACCAAAGAGGCAGACTGCCCTTGCATCTCGAAGTCCAAGTGGTGTTCTTCGGAATCAGCACACCCGTCGAGAGTTCATTCGGCAGCAGATGTCCGAGGGCAGACCAGATCCATACCGGTCATGGTGCGGTGATCCCTCATGTAAGAAAGACGGACGGGTCTTTATGATGCCCTACTCATACCCCGTGAACGACGAGATATGCAAGAACGGGCTTCCCGTCGAAGACTACTTTCACGACCTCGCCAAAGCCATGGCGATCATGCTCTTCCCTGGGCTAAAGAGCGCCGAGGAAAAGACCCGCAAATTCTTCGAGATCTTGTCATTCATAGATTCGCCAATTATTCGATCCCAAGCTTCGAGAGTAATGGGTGGGATTACATGGCTGAGTATGAAATTCACCGACAGGCAATTCGAGGTGGCTCTCATCCGCGCCCGGCCAGTGTTCCTAGACCTCATGTTTGGTGTCAAGACGGCGGAAAGGGTCGAAAAGATACACAGCTACGTAACCGCCAAAGCGTCGCAGTACAAGGGATGGACTCTCCACGACTTTATCCTCCGATTCCTCATCTCGGCCGAGGTCTGGCGAGTGCACGAGACGCCCCGGAAGGAGGGCTGGGTCATTGGGTCCCGCGAGGCCGTCGGTGAGTTCCTCTCGGCGGTCCTCCTCGGCTACCATCAGCTATTTGCACGGCGGTGTCTGGTTTTAACGGACGTCTGGCTGCAGAGATGGGATCAGATCTGGCAAGAGTGGTTGGAAAAGTATCCAGTCTCAAAGACTCTCAAGGAGGATGACGAGAACGACTTTAAACTCAGGGAGAGGCAGGCTCTGACGGAGGAGGATGTGCTCGAACAAGTAGGGTATCTCGGAGGTATTGGAAAGGCTGATGGAACATATAAACCAAGAAGGAACAGACCAAAAGAGCCAGATCAGACCTTGTACTTCTTCTAAGGTCTGGTACTGATGAGGGCAAGGAGGTCTATGAGCTTGCAATACGCGAGCTGAAGGAGAGCGTACCTAGCCAAGCTGTGTCGTTTTCCTCACTAGTCTGTCTCTTCTTCTGGACTCATTGGAAGTCAAGAAAGGGGTGTGCGTCTTGCATTATGCTGTATCGTGAAGTTCGTCCCATCGTGGGAGCAGTCCATAGCAAGGATAGGATATGCTGCTACATCTCAGAGGAACTCGACCTTGAACTTGACGCATCAATAGAATAGAGACTAATACAACCTGAAATTTCTTTGCCTAGAACCCCCACATCCCTTTTTGCAAACCATTGGTTTTGATCTGGCGAGGTTCTCTCAAGAATTTAGGGTAGGTAAACTTCACAGTTCTCGTCGACAACACTAACACATCAGGTACCTACAGTCGCCCGTTCTTGACACTAAAGAGACATGAAATGTAGTTCGTCCAAGAAGTAGAAAGAGACCAGAAGGTGCATAACATCTACTTTCTGCAAAAAGAGAAAGAGCTTTGAAGAGCAAAAAACATACAACAGCGGGGATTCGCTGGTCGTCACCGACCCAACTACTAATCCGCCCCTCACTGGCTTATCTATGGGAGAGCGGACGGGATCCCGAGTTCTCCAGTGGGTATGGTCGTATGTACCAGAAGTGCCATTGTTTAGACATATAAGGGCGGTCGGCCAGGGAAATAGAACAAGCGTCTAGAACACCACGCTCAGCTCCCAACCCCGTTGACACTGGGACATAAGATCGTTCACCCGTCGGCTACGCCTGTGTTAAAGATATCAATCAACACTGAGAGAGGTTACGAGTGACGCTATTTGGTTCCAAATACGAACAAGGGGCCACAAGCGCCATCCCATGCAAGAGTATTAGCTTTCCTACCTTGTACGTGATGGCTTCTGCTGGCCTTGACTCGGTATTCGGGATCGGCCACCCCTCTTCGTAAGCGTTCACTCCCACTTACTATAAAGCTAAGCGAATCCAGATGCCAAGGAGGGCCTATTTCCTGGGGTAACTACCCGTAGCGGAGTTTGGCTTTGGAATAGGTGATATAGCTCGGACACCGACCTCTTGTTGCATCTGCACTTGCATCACATCCAAAGCCGAAGGCGCCCAGTGAACCAATTGACACATTCCAAGAGGGAGATTGGGCAATCAAGATGCAGTTCAGAAGCTCGGTGAACGCGGAAGCAGCAAAACTATATCCGAGAATGTCTTGCCTCGGCAACCGATAGTTTCTCCGCAAGCCTCTGACATGCACTTGCTTGCAACGACCTATGAGCTTGCTGATATTAACACAGCGGTCAGGCGGATTGGCATCTGTTGAAACGCGTCCGGCTTGAAGAAGCAAGATGTCATCTAACCGGGCCGTCTATGCTTCACGTTGCCGGGAAGGGGTGTGTCCACTGCCGGCCCGGAAGACGGAGACGCCCGTCTGGGGAACACACAGGGTTGAAGAGGGGAGCTGTCTGTTTCACTTGCTGTTCAACAAGCCCAGATCACTTGAATTGAGGCCATGCTGGCTGCAAGAGGATCAAAGTCAACGGCGCCGGTTGCAGCGCAAGTCGCGGGGGATGGCCATGAGACGGTCCAATAAAGGGCATGGCGGAGAAGCTGGGCGCAAAACGGCGGCATGCAGCACACAGTGGATTGATCGGCAGTTCGGCGTTGCGTTGTTTGCCGTCCTCCGTCTCAGACAATAGTCGTGGTGATATCCTGACGTCTTGAATACAAGACGATGTGATTGTGGCACCGAGGCTCTTCAAGACGGAGAGAAGCTTGACGTGCCTGGTTGTGGATGTTGTGGACAACGACCCGCCATGACACTGCGGTCTCGTGGAGCCATGATCGAATTGCTTAGCCTAGACCCTGGGATTCCCCATCGTGGCTGCAGGATTGAAGGAGGCTGAAGCGCCGTGATGAGAAGCGGCATATGAATGCGGATACGAAGGAGGAGGAGCACCGTCTTTGAGTTTTGTTTGCTGTAAGGGATTTTTGCATTGATCGACTCTGCGATGATGTGGTCGGTGAGGATAGTGGCTCTGTAGAGTTAGTAGATCAGTGGTAGGATCCCGTTTGGATTGGCGGCAGGGTGGCTTCTTGCAGATGGCCATACGCATGTCTTGTCGTGCCTTGACGCGCGTGGAGGGACGGCTGAAAATGTGTACGCAACGGGGTGCACGTGCTTGTGTTACCGTCGGAGGGAGAAGAACGCCTCGTTAGAGGAGCGTTAGGTCCTTGTGAGCCAAGTGAGCCAAGCCAAGTGTGTGACCGGGAAGACACAGCAGCAGGGGAATGAGGTGCAGTAGGGAAATGCGGGGAACTCGGAAAGTGACCGAGTAAAAGTACGTAGAAATCAATAAAACAAATGCACAAGTCTCCTTCTCTCGTTGTTTGAGAACAGACGTGTCAAGGATTGGGCGAGATGGAAGAGATGGAAGACGAGATGTGCCACGATGTGCCACAGATGCAGATGCACAGGGCAAAGGTGGTGGCGCCACAAAAACCGGGGAAGGGCAAGGAGCAACAGAAGCAGGAGGTCCAGTGACACACGAGACGTGCCCACTCGCCAGCGACTCCAGAGCGGCAGTCAAGGGCAATTTTTAGGGGATTTCCTCTGAGCAAACTGGCCACCCAGGACCCGAGAGAGACCATGGTGAGGTCATGGTGGTGAGACCGTCAAAGGGAGCGCCCCGCATTTGGCCACATACGGGTGCCTTCCCTGGCGGTTGCATTGCCGTGGTCGAATGTTTTCCCCTCTGGTTTTCCAGGGCCTCCCCTTGCCAACGTCGCAGAGCGAGATCTGGGGCAGCAGAGGGCGAAAACGCATTTCCCGAGTCCAGCCGATAATGGGTTGATTGCTGTTGAAGTTATCGTCATCTGGGACAACAGAGTCTTTTTGTCCTCCTGAGCCTTCCTGGCGGCACGTCCGGCATCACCATCATCATCAGGAGCACATCTTTGCTGGTCTCGGTGTAAAAAGCAACCCTCGTCAACTGCACAGGCTGCGAATGTGAAGATGCAGACTTGTCCAATCCCATCCTTCCCGACCCCGCCATTTTCAAGTTCCATCCCGCAATCGTGCCACACCCTCCAGACAGCTTTCCCCACTCTCTAAAACTCCCGTCCAGTCCCAAGCTCACGGGTGTCTTTACGCTTTCCAGTCCACCAGGGCAGATCCATCTTCCGTCCCCTAATTCTCCAGGCCGTTCAGGTCGTTCCCGGGCGAACCCTCCACTCTTCTAGGCGTCTGGGCACCTGATCGGCCCCAGTGCCGCACTCACACCCCCGCCCCACAGACGACCTAAGCATCGCCCATCGCCGCCATCCCCAGGCGTCTGTGGTTCGATCATCAGCGTCAGCCAGGCCACCAAACCAACTCCCGGGCCCAGTCGGCTATACACTCAGGGAAGACCAGGTTCACCTCGAGCAGTTATAATAACTTCCATGCCCACCACCCCCAACGCTTTTCGTAGCTCCTCCCCCATCAATAGACTAGTATTGCGGCTTATTTACCGAATCCATCTGTCACCTACCTACCTTGCCCTTGCCAAGACCCAAGACAAACATCCATCCATAGACTCTTACTTGACTTCCTTTTCCTCCTTTCACAATGATCCAAGTTCCTCGACAGCCCTTTTCCACCGCCGCCCGTATCCACCCCAACATCGTCCCTCACCTTCGACCCCAGAAGAGAATGCCCTTTGGCAGGTGGTAAGTAGTCTTGTCACGCGACTCATCTCATACACACAGGTGCTGACCACCATCTCAGGGTCAAGCCCGTTGGGGCCGTTTTGGTTGTAGGCTACGGCGTCAAGACCTACCTCGAAATGGTTCAAACACGCCGCATGGCCCAGATTGAGGCAATGGAACGCGAGAATGCCGCCTTCAAGGAGCGCAACGAGACCCTCATGAACATGTACGGCGATCGATCCAGTCTCAATGAGCTCGAAAAGGCCATCGAGTTTTACGAGAAGCGATAAATCATCACGCCCATGACAACCAAAACATGCACCATAAAACAACATAAAAAAAAAGAACCAGCCTGGATGGGATTCTCGTCCTCCCTTAGCAACTTGTTTGAAGCGACACCACCCTGGAAAACGGGTCGGCCTCGGAATTCACTGGACGGATATCACGACGATTTGAAGACATCAGTCGGCATTTGCATGGAAACGGCGTTTAAAGGGATACCACTTGCGGGATTATCATTTGAGAATGGCGGAATATTTTTGGTGTTTTTTACACCTCGCGGCTCGGAATCACATCGATCCTCGGTCATCGTCGACACCCCCAAGTATTTGGGACATCTCGACTCGGAGCCGACGGCCTCGGTGATCATATGCCCGGCTACTGGATATGGAAGACAAGTCCATATAGAAGAGATATTCAATGCGACAGTCCAGATCCATCCTCTCGTTTCATTTCACACATCGTCAACAGACATTTTTGCCTATTCACTCACTTATTCCATCCCCTGATTTTTCTTACCCTCGGTCTTCCGTCGTCTTGTTCCGTCAGACGTCATGCTCCTTTCGCTGGATCATAGGCCGAGGTCTTGCTTGTGCCGGCTTACACTCCCGACTGGTCTTTTAGCCCGACTGCCCCCACTCTCCGTCCTCCTCCACCAACTTCACTTAGCCGGCGTTTGGCCCGAAGCCCTATCAGGGGAAGCCATGCCGTTCCGAAGGGACCACTTTGGACGAGGTCGAGCCTCGATTTCCTGGCTCTCAGCCCGCGGTGATTGAAGTCCATTACGTCTAACCTCGCCCCGGGGTTCTTGTTCCGCGATTTTATACGACGATGATACGAAATGGATCAATTTTTACGCATTGTCCTCGAGTTTAAGCCGAGGAATTCCTTGCGTAATCAGCGAGAGAAGATTGGAAAGAAATGTTGGGTGTCTCTGGAGCCCCCTGAGTGTTGACCTCATTGCATCAAGATTGGGGGTGGGATGGATGGGGGATTGGATGATAGCTCAGATCCAGGAACAAGCGAATGTTCCAAGACATTAAGCATCAAATAAAACACCATACAATCAATGACTGGCATGTGCAGCTTCAAGGACCATTCGCGCAACCCTCTTGATTGGCCAGCCGTTCGGTGGGAAACCCGAGCTTGCATCCTATGGACGGCATCTACGCCTTAGCCAACAGCCTCCTCCGGGACCCTAGCCGTAGAGACTCAACAATATTTGAGGCGAGACACTTCTGACCATGGCGCACCGTTATTCAAGCTAATTACATCGCATCATCTGAACATGTAGTATGGATCGCCCAGTCAATACACAATGCAGTGGTTGATCCAAACTTATTACAGTCTAATTCCAAACTCATCATGGTGTTATGATAACCTCATCATATTGTTGTCCTGAGATAGCTTAGTAAAATGCGTATTGAATGATCAGTCTATGATAAGTGCTGTTAGAGTCCTAACCAAGGCGACTCTTGTGAGTGAATGTACAGTCGAGTTGACAATTTCCCATGAATGAGATGGTCAGTAATGAAATCGATGGATGGGCCTCAGAGGTGATTTTGACTGTAAGATTGGTCTGACATGTCGAGTTTGCTTGGCATTCAATCTATCTACGTATCTCTTTCGCAGTTGGTGCTGTATTCACTTCTCGTTTGACTTGGCTTCACCTGCCGTGATTCGCCTTGAGCTACGTTCAAACATGCACCACACAACAGGCATCACATAAAGACGAAAGCTTTCATTTTATATAAGTGGCTCTGGATGGATGCTGCCCATATCGTTCTCAGCTTGCTTGGGCCTGTATATCTACCTCCCGACCCTTGATATCAGGCAGTTTACATTCTCAATAACCATCCATCCACACCACTTTCCCAGAGTATCTCAACCCATAGTCACATCACCCCCGAGACAAACCGTGTGAATAGACCAGAAGCCCCAAGTTTAGGGAGTTTGAGCGCTGGGCCCGGACTGCTCCTTGCGCTTGAGCTTGCGGCTACCCTCGAGCTGAAGAAGCTTGAGCGCAAAGCCACGGGAGACGTGGGCAACGAAGCGGGGGTGGTCGTCGAGGGTGCCCGCGGTCATGCTGTTGGACCAGGCGCCGTAGTTGACGGCCTCGCAAAAGTAAGAGACCATGCGGTTGCCCATGTCGCGCTGTGCAACGTTCTCCTGGTAGAGGGCCTCGTACGCGGCGGCAAAGTCTCGCATGAGCAGGCGCTGGATGGCTTCGTCGCCGTGGGTGCGGAAGAGAGCGCGGTGTCCATCTCTAATGGCAACGTTAATGCACTCCTCGATGTAATCGCCTATCTTGGTGCTGATGAAGCGGTCGCAAAGCTTGTAGACCTCAACCCACTCGCGGAGAGGAGTTCTGGCCGCGGTCATCTCAGGGTTGGTCGCGGGACGAGGAGTCGTATGGGGAACCATGGAGACGTGACTATAAGCGACGCCGAGATAGAGGCCCAGGTAGCGGGGCTGAATATCATCATCGTCGTCGCCAAAGTCAATAACTCGCTTCTTGGCCTCAGCGAACTGGCTGTTGAGGCAGCCATCGAAGTACTCCGAGTTCTTCGTGAGAACGCTCTTGGCTACCTGGAAGGTCTCTCCCTTGACCTTGAGCTCAATAACCTGGTCCTCGCCCCTGGGAAGCGCAAACATGTTAGTGAAAAGCGCTGGTAAAGACATACAGAAGCAGACGTACTTGAGAAGCCAAGATGTGCGATAGTCGGAAAGAGCATTGAGAGACGGCTGTGCCACGGGCGAATCCTCCTTGCGAGGTCGCGAAGATCTAGCTCTCTTTCTGGGAGGAGCCATGGTGAGATTGCTGGTGCTTCAATGAGGTCTTCTTGTGAAGGCTTGGGAGTGCCGAGTGAAGGAAAGAGTGAAGTTGACGGTCACTTCTACCTGCAAGTCGGTAAGAAGTTGAGTGAAGAGCCTGGGCTCCATTCGGAATTGTCTGCGTTTTGATGAACTCGGGCCGTTTCCACACAATACCTTCATATTCAAACAGATCATCTTTCAAAAATGGCCGAATATGTATTCTGATGCGTTGGATAAAAGGTGGGTGGTGAGGTTGAGTTGTGCATTCCCAATCAAGAAAGTAAGGGAAAAAACGAGATGCAAACGCTGCAGATTATTATTGAAAGTTGAGAAATCTGCCCGAAGATGAAAAGATCGCTCGCTTCCAACGTCCTCTGTTTGAATATTCGCTGGCATACCACAAACGCACCTCACTTCTTCTTGATTCTTCGAATTGTCACCTTTTCTTCTTCCAGTTCCCAACCAACACTGTCCTTCTCTTTCAGCTCATCCCACTTGCGACTGGTGCAAAACTCCAAGAACGGTAGATCCACGTTAAGGTACGAGGCCCCAAAACATTTCAGGGTATGAAGCCTCATATCGTCGTCTGCCCATTCCATCAGCTTGTTGAATGGCAGGTCCACCTTATACTTGATGTTCTGCCAAGCGACATAATTGTCGTGGGCAAGCGCGCTTAGTATAATATCCAGCTTTCTGTTCTTGATCTTGAAGTCGTTTCTGATAGAATACGCCTCGGCCAGGTTCTTGCGCCGGCACGCGGCATCCAGAGCGTAGTAGGAAGCGATTTCCGCGAGCTCGCCGTGCGGCATGTTGTGCCATTTCGCGATGTATCGAAGGAGGTGAAGCATGGCGGGGTGATAAGATTCGGGGTGCTTGACAAATATCGACAACCGAATAGAAAAGATGTAGGCCTGGCAGGCGAACTCATCGGCACGCTTACTGGCCACCAGGCCCTCTCGAAGTTTCCGAAGCGCCATCAAAACATCTTGAAGCTCCTTTGTGTTGCTGGGATTCTGAAGAGCCGCCTTCATAGAGTCGGATGGACCGCTGGGTGGAATAATTGGTTGAATCTCCTTAGAAGGCTTTGCTGAAGCCGAAGCTGAGGATTCAGCGATGGTCGGAAGTGAGGCGGAAGACGGTAGACGGGAAGCATCGCTGGAAGGTCCCGCTATTGATAATGATGCAAGCCTCTCTGTAGCAGCTGTGACTCCGGTAGACTGTATCGGTGTTCCTCGCGGTTGCTTAGGAGTGGGTTGTCGGGGGGCTGAAGCCAAGGCAGCATCGACTGCCCTTATGTCAAGCGAATCTAACCTTCGTAACAACTCGTCTCTTTCGCCCGCATCCGTACAAAAGGACATAAAACGCCTTATGATCTGGTTGTAGTACCATTTCTGAGTCTCTGAGTGTAGTAACCTGGCCCTTGATTAGCGGGATTGCTCATCGTCGAGCCCAAGGGGCCATTGTCCCCTCTCGTGGACTGATCAAGCATCTTCCCGCGCATACCTTCCATCTCCCTTGGAAGGGTAGCCAACACTCTGCAAAGGATCTTGTTCGATAGGCTTTAGTCGGCCCCAAGGACCAGAGGGCATCCTGTTTCCTCGCCGACGCATCTCGTGATCGAGTTTCAGTGGCGCACAGGGGATTTGCAGTTGTGATCCGGTTTCTGATACTCGTAGGCGTCACGGAGGTCTCGAAACGACAGTAGATTGTAATGAAGGGTGATTTTGAAGAAGCTGAGTCTAGAGATAACGGTAAAGAATGAATGAAGATGCTTTGAAGGAGGTTTGTGGTGGGGTAGCTCTAGAGCTGGATATGGAGGTCGCGCTGACAGCCCCGCGATCCACAGTCGTTCCTGCATCCTGATTTGACATGCAACTCCCCAAAGGGCAATGACAAAGAGGTCGAATGCATTCACTTGGAATTTGCGTCAAGTCTTTGATGAACCAAGAATTTGATATTATTTATTGTTTGAACCTGAGTTGGTTTTATCTAGGCCCTTTTATTCTTGCCAAGAGACATGTTCTCTTCCAATGGGTATCATCTTCAGCCGCCCTGTCATTCCTCCTAATTACCTCCTCAACTCTCTCATACTTGTGCTAGAATGTGTTTCCAATCCGTTCTTACATTCAAGCGTGAATTCGATCCGACAGCGCCACCTTGTCCCAGTTCGCAGGGCCCTTAGCCTCATACTTGCCGGCCTTCGAGATGACCCTTCCAAGGCCCTGGTGAATCTCTGCCTGGATAGGTCCGAACGGAATCTTTTCACCATCAATGCTGATGAAGCCGTCATCCTGGTTTCGCGGGATGATTCTGTACGCGGTGATCTTCTTGTACGTGACATGCGGGTTGTCAAACAGCTTGTCGGCCTCAACGTCGAGAAGGACCCCGAGCGCCGTGAAAGGAGGCAAGTCGCCATCAATAGTGACGAGGTCCATGCAACCATCCGAAATCAGCGAGGCGGAGAAGAAGTTGGCATCGGGCGACATGTATGCCATCTGAGCAAAGTTAGCTTATGATGTTGGCCATCAGCGGCTCAGAACAACTTACGTTACCGGCATAGAATGTGCCAATCTTGTCGTAGGGAACTAGTTCCCATCCCTCAGGAAGGTCATCTTGAACCGTGCCATACTTGAGCGCAGGGAGGCCTTCGCTCTCCACAGGCGCCGCCTCGGCGGCCTTGGCCAGTGCAGCCAGACTAGTGTTGCTGGCATGGTGCTTGTAGTGAGCCTTAACGCCCTCCTTCTCGTCAATCTCGACCTTTACGGCCAAGTCACACGGATAGCATGTTCTCTTGAACATTCGCTGCAAGACTCCAACCTCGAATCGGGCACTGCCCATCCATCGAAGGTGCTCAGTGCCCAGATCACTCTCGGCGATGATGCCTAGGGTCTGAGACAGGAACGAGATGATGCGGTTGCTGCCTGACGTAACCGAGACCAGATCCATCGGAGTCACGACGCCCTTGATGATAGCAAGGGCAGCAAAGGAGGCCCGGTGGGATCCATAGAGGTTACAAGAGAATGCGTTTCCTGAACCACAGGGGATGTGGCTAACAGCAATCGAAGCAAGCGCCTTGGCAGCATCAGGTCGCTTCGCAAGGCCATTGAAGATCTCGTGCGGCGTTCCGTCTCCCGAACAAGCCATGATAGTATCGTACCTCGATAGGTCTGCCTTTTCCGCAAGTTCAGTGGCCTCGCCGCCGCGCTTCAGAACCACTACATCGAGCTGCAGTCTAGCAGCGTCGAAGAGCGGCTTGACCTCACTCTCCCACTTCTTGACGGCACCTCCAGGACCAGAGTTCGGGTTGATCAAGACATATGCGCGCTTCTGGGGAGGCGCATCGCCGTATGCGCGCGATAGGAGGGTCTTGACGAAGCTCTCGGGGGAGGTACCGCTACCGGCCTCGTCCATCACCGCGAGGGCAAACGACCATTTCCCGGGCTTGATCAGGGTTTTCGACGCGTGTATGGCATAGTCGACGGTGATGCGATTGTCGGAGAGCTCGGCCCAGAGAACGTTGTACAGTGGAACACTGTTCTTCGAGACGGGTCCTAGAGGGAGATGGGATCAGCAGCTGGCCTCACCAGCACAACGTGACGGTTCCAAGGGAGTCTTACGAGAAGAAAGGGGGCTACAAGATGAGCGGCCCGATCTCTTTGCAACAGGGTCTGGTTATTATCAGTAAAGGAGAGAACCTCCATGGGTATTCTCCGAGGCATCCGCACCGCTGAGCTCCAAAGCATCGACACCGATCGTCAGCGTCTTCTTGCCCTCCAGCAGGAGCTGCATTCCAACTCCCTCGTCCATTGTCCTGTCGCTCTCCGTCGTCATTTCGAAAGTAAAGTGTCTCGGCGATAGTTATGTCTTTAGAACGTCCTGCGCATTCACATGGGAAATGCAAGGATCCTGCTGTCGATGTTGCGCGGCTGTTCGTAAGCTCGTCAAGCGATGCGCGGCGTCGCAAATCAGAGATGGGTGAAGGTACTCTTAAAGAGCGAACAGAGTAGGCGAAGAAGAGAGCGATATCGGAAGGTGAATTCGAGCCCTAAATCGAGAAGGGAAGAAGGAAAAGAAATCGGGGGACAAAAGAAGGACAATTAAAAGAAGGTGTTGAATCTGGAGAGTTGTGCCGTGCCGTAGGTTGAATGGAACGGCGTCGGACACTGCGGATGCCCGTTGCAGGGCGGGCGTCCGCGGGGCGCGCTTCCGAGATTGGAGCCCCCTTGAAATGCCTGCAATGCGATAACTGTTGCAGCAGCGTTGAACAAGTGGCTGCTGACGGCGGTGTATGATTTTTGCGAGGACGAATCACTGCTCGTCAACATTTTCTCACCTGCGACATGCTTGGTGCCGCGTGTGGATGGATACTGCGACAAGTGCTTAGCTCAGACTCGGACTCAGGTTGAATCCTCCAGAGCAGCACAGATGAGGATTCCTATCCATAAACAGCATCAAACATGCAGGTGAGATCATCCTATACATTGTTATATACCTTGATCACCAAGACTGGTATGCTCGTTCTACAGGGCGCCTCGACTTTTCCGTATGTTCCCAAAAACTCCAAGTCCCCATCGTCTGTCTCCATGAGGATACCCATACGCCAGTCTGCCGCCCTTCACACCTTTTCCGCCAAATGCTCTGCTGCGCTATAAGCCCCATGGTCAGAACGTAACATCATAGCTCTCATATGCTCTCAGTGCTACATGCATGATTCAAACACCATCCATCTTTTTGTCTCTCCCTTGCGCTTAAGCAAGCCTAGTCACATCGGGAAATTTTGCGAGAGCCGCCTTCTTGAACGCCTCCACCTGTGAGCTCTTCCAGCTCTTGAGCACCTCCAAGCCCTCAATAGCATCGGAATATTCAACATCGGGAATCTCTAGGATTCCAATGACCGCCTCCTCGCTCTTGGCCTTGTCCTGGCCCAGTAGCCTCTGCGTCTTGATGGCGGACAGTACGTGGCGAGGACTGCTCTTGTTCACAGATAGAAACTCGTCGTTGTAGGCGGCGAGGTCCGTAGAAGGCTCAATAGCCTTGAATTCAGCATTTAGCACCTCAAGAACCTTGGGCGAAATGTCGGTAGCTGTGTTCAAGAGATGTCGGAACGCGACAGTCTGCTCATGCACACGGGGCGACTTGGGGTCAAGTGCCAAGGCCGCTGTGAGGCAGTGGAGCGCAAGAACATACTTCTCTGCCGAGGAATTAGTGATTGTTTTCTCAAAAGCAGTATTTGACTTACTTCGACGCATGTAGACCTCGAAACCAGCGAACTGGGCGTCGATGTTCTTGGGGCTGAACTGGAGCAGGGGGGTAATGAACTTCATGGCTTCTCCAAGAGGGTCGGTAGTCTCGGCCAACTTCAGGCCTAGAGGATCCTCGTCCTTCTTCTTTTCCTCTCCATCCTTAGCACCCTTATTGGGATCCTGCTTGGCTTGCCTCTCAGCGGCCTCTCGCTCCAGGCGCTGTTGTTCCTTCTTGGCCTTCTTGGCCGCCTTCTTCTTAGCGAGGGCGTCCTCCTCGGTTTCGTCCTCAGCACCGTTGACCCCGTTGGCGGAAGGCTTGTCTGCCAACTTCAGATAGACCTCGATGGCATCCAGAGCAGCACGAGAGAAGAAGGGGTGGTCGCGAACGTGGTCTTCCCATCGGATCATGTCGACGTAGGCCCGGATCTGTCCCTTTCTCAAAGAGAAGCTGTGGAAATCAAATTGGTCCTCGTGCCAAACATCAAAGATGTTAGCAATCTGCTGGAATCTCTTGAGGGCGAGTCCAATATTGCCCTGTCGTGCATATGCCTCGCCATCCTCAGTCAAGAACCAGATAGACTGCATATCCAAAAGGTCTGCCAGAGGGCCGCCGACCGTCTCCGCGCGGGTGAAAAGACCAACAGTCTTGAGCGCCTTTTCGTTTTGGTTGTTACGGAGCTGGTACTTCGCGGCCTTGGTGTTGATGTATCGGTCCTTAAGGTCAAGCTTTCTGGCACGATCCATGGTTTCGGCGGCCTTTCGCAGGTCTCCGCCGTGCTTGATAATTCGGGCCTTAGTCATTGAAAAGTCGACACTCTTAGGATCCTTCTCGATGGCCTTGTCGATGTACTCAGTGGCCTTGTCCAAATCGCGGCTCAGATGGTAATTGTAATGCTGCGCCAGGTAGTAGAGTCCTGCCGCCTCTCCCTTGTCCTTACTTGAAGCATCAGAGTTTTGGGAGCTGAGATACTTTTCAGCAAGCTCACGGAGGGTATCCTTCTTGAAAGAATCAGAGTAGAGGTGCTTCAAGTTAGCAAAGGTCGACGGAACACCCTTATTAAGCATCAGGGTCAGGTAGGCCTCAGCAGCCTGCTTGAAGTCATCACCTGTAGTCTAATCAGCTTCTGCGCAAGAGCCAGAAGATAGTCCAGCACTCACCCGTGAGGAAGTCGAGGGGCAGTCGGCGGGCGGCGTCGCATCGAGGAGACTTCTCAGCATACTCGTCATAGATAGCCTTTCGGGCCTTGGTGTCTTCCTTAGGAATCTCAAGAACCTCAAGAAGCTTATCATAATAATGGGGGTGCTCTGAGTTGCGGTCGAGGAGGGCGCGATAGGCCTCGGCGGCCTTTTCCTTTTGGCCCAGCTTCTCCAAGTACTCAGCACGAGCTTCCAGAACAGCCAATCGATCAAGATTTTGCTTCGCTGCGGTATTTAGATGCTTGAGAGCCCGCTCATAATCTCCTTGCTCCCCAATAAGGAAGTTCTTGTACAAGATGGCCTCGGAATGCTCCACGTCGAATTTCGAGGGCGTGGTCTTGAGAGTTCCCTCATAGGTAGTCATGACCTTCTCAGCCTCAGCAGGGTTTCCAGAAAGATGGTGGGCAATGGCAAGCGCCGTCCAGCTTTGGCGCATCTGGGGTCGGGCCTGGAGCATGGCAGTTCGGCTTTGGATGTAGCCAGCATAATCGCGGCACTGGATCTGCAGAATAGCCAAGTCTCGCTGAATCTGTGACGACTCCGGTTCTAGCCGGAGAGCAAACTTGTAGGCCTTGATAGCTTCCTCGAAGTTCTTGGTCGCCCGGTGCAAAAGACCATACACGTGCCAGCAAATGTGCGACTTCATGTCCATCGTCAGAGCTTCCTTGCCCAAAGCAAATGCCTCTTCCGTCTTGCCCTGCGCATTCAAGATCAAGGCCTTCATGGCGGTGGTGTCTCCATGCTTGGGGTGCTTCTTGAGGATAAGCTCTGCGGACTTCAGTCCACGCTTGTATTGCTTGTCCTCATAGTATCGAATGACGGAACGGAAGAGGGAGGCCTCTTTCGAGGGGAGAGGTTGCGGCATCGTAGATGTGGGCGACTATAGGTCGACTGGAGAGTCAATATGGTACGTGGGAGGTATTGTCGGGAGCCAGGTGCTTCGAAGTCTGGTTCCGCTGTCGGCGATCACGAGCTATTGGATGGCCAGTCAGGGTCGAGTGAGGGGCGTACTGTGCGTGAAGCGGTGGGAGGTACAAGGAAGCTTCTAGCAGGCAGGATCAAGCTTGCCTCGTAGAAGTGAAGGAAAATGAAAGGCAAAGAGTCAGCTTCCTTGACCGAGCTATGGAGGGGTGATGTTACGGCTCAAGGGTACTGCTGCGAAATGGAGTGGACAGCAATTCGTGCGGTAGGTCGGTAATTTCTCGGGGCTGTCTGTGGTGGGCTGCTGTGAGGTAGTGGTGATTTTGGCGGGGCAGCCCAGGATCCATGACTCTGTCCAGCTCTGGTCATTGAAGGCAACGATCGCCTCCGTGTATGAAGAGAAAGAGGCCAATGATTTGGGTAAATCTGTCATTAATGCTGAAAAAAAGGAATGATACCTCGTAGCTGTGTAACGGGCAATTCAGCTTGTGAATTACACAAGTTGAAATTTAACATGTTGCCTGATTCATGGCTCTCATAACCCTTCACAGATGGCCATGACCATGAAATCGTAATCTTGATATTCATTTTATTGCGTAGAAGAGTTTCGTATAACAATATCCATCGTACAAGAGTTGGTTCCTCTATATACAAATGCGCCTTTCCATGTTGTACATCATTTACAGGTTCCCTGCCTACCCAGAGGGCGGGTGGTCAGTCGTTGTCCCAATCATACAAGGCAGAGGCACACCAAGCCGTCATGACTGTGCCGGTGGCTGCGAGTTTCGTTCCTTCTTCCAGATGCTGATAGCATCCTCCCAACGGTCGAACGGATCACCGCCACATCGTTGTTGTATTACCTCCCAGGTTCTATGTCGTACGATGTTCTCCACGCCTCTCTCTTGTCGGACAAGCGAAGCCAGGCGCTCGGTGCGCGCCTCTCGTGGGAAGAATCTGCCAGAGTATGGATCCAATCGCTCATCAACTACTCGCTCACGGTCCTTCTCTTTCTCAAGCTCCCTCAGTGTTCGATCGGGATCGTCGGGGTCTGGACTCGCGGCCACAAGAGCACAGTAGCTCAAGACCTCGGCTCTCGCCTCCCAGGACGGGAACAGCACCTTGTCTTTGAACTCCGAGCATGCCTGGGAGTCAATCTGTTTTGAAACGGGCCTCGGGGAACGCTGGGAGGTTGAGGAGGGATCGAACCCGGATCGAGAAGGGGTCACCAGGGCATTGAGGCTCTGCGTGATGGAGTCGTCGATCGACGATCTCGATAACCGTAGGAAGTCTAGATTCAAGTCAATCGGCCGCGAACTTGTGGCGTTGTTACACAGGAGTCGCCCAGACTTACCTCGAAGGGTTCCATAAGAGAAACAGAACTGTGGAGTGAGCTGCGGTTGTGTGGATGGCTGGGTCATTGTAATGCGCGGCCGCTGGGACCTCTCGAGTTGAGTGTCCGCCGGCGAGCCTTTCCAGATTATTCCAGCCAGAGTGGGCAAGTCTTAGAGGGCGGTGGAGGGAACAGAGTAGCTGCTAGTGCGCGTTCGTGAAACGTGGCTCGCAGGGCGTTGGAAACAACAGCCGAGTTTAGTCGTTGGAAATGGTCCAAGTCAGCAATGGAAGGCCGGGACTTCAGTGACGCAACCCGAAGCCAAGCCGGGGGCTAGAAGTGTCGGATCCGCTCAGTTGGATCCGGATAAACTCGATTCCGTTGTCATCCACACTCTCGGTCCAGAGGGGGTGTGTTTCATTGCCATCAATGAGACGCAGATTGATAAGAAGAGTAAATAAATGTTATGACGTTTATATAAGAAGCAAATTGATATTGATAATTCTCACCATATTCCAGGTGCTCATAAGCTCGTAATATTGAGCACTGAGACAACTGCCGTTGAAGCGATCACTGCCTCTCTGGCGCTTAGTGTGCTTTTTATTTAGTGCCCACATCGTGAGCGCCCTCGTCAAGATTAAACAATCCCTGCAAAGATCCCCCAGCTTGACCCTGGTAGCCCCGATCCATCGCTGCACGACAGAAACACGACCTCTGCCAATATCTTCAGCAATGCACGCCCCGTCGGCAGTTCTTCAGCACGGTTGTGTTCGTCATGCAAGGCAAAGGCAGGGAGCCAAAGATTGCAGATGCGTTCAGCCTTTCAAGGCCAGGAACTGGTCTTCTCTCAGCCTGACCAGTTTCACCAATCAAACCAAATAGCCACCTGTGATTCTAGCCGCGCTACGCGTGATGCCACATCGTACGAAGGTGATGGAAGATGGGCTTGGGGACCACTCGCGGCCGGAATCTGCGGCACCAAGTAACGCCTCGCCGTTACGCACGAGACTACGGTAGAATTCCACTCCATCAGTGCCCTCAAGGTCAGCAACAACCGTCATGATATTGAACCAAATTGACTGACCACAATAGAAGCGTCAGCAATGCCTCTAGCGGCCTTGTTTCCCCATGCAGCTAAAGATCCTTCTAGCCTACCAACGCGAAAAAAGACGCAGCGAGAGCGACTCAAGCAAGACGCGGGCGCAGACGCCACTGTCAGGCTCCGTCACCCGGCAAGCCTGGCTCAGCTGCCGATTCGAGGCCGTTCTAGGTGCTGATCGGCAGAGACCCAAATGGTTGGGCGACGGTTTGTGGTGGCTGCTCGTCCGCGAGTCGCGCTAACTGCACTGCAACGCCCCGGATCCTATCTGCCACGCAGCCACGCTAACAATCATGATGTTGGCCTTGGTACCGGACCAGAAGCCGACTCGCTCTGCTTCTCGGGCCTCTGGGTGCCTGTGGGTTAGCTTGGCCTGTGCAGCAGGTAGAGCGCGGACAGTCGTCGCTCTGTTGCTTTGAGGCTTCAACCCTCTTGTAGCGCACGAACACGAGCACGGGGAAGCACGGCCTAGATCCGCTGGGGCAGTGGGCGTCCTCGAGCTGTCAAATCGTACTTTACCCCCAGGTTTCCTGCGCAAGTCTTGGGCAGTTCGTTGGCGCGTGGTTTTGATTACTTCATTTACCATCAAATTTTCCATCGCCTCGGGATGGATCCCCTTCGAAGCCGAGTCGAGAAGGAAAGCCTCGAAGATCTGATCGACACATGCGACCAGCTCTCGAACGATTGCAGAGGTCTCGCCAACTGCCTCAACACTAGCCCAGTAACCTTGTCGGCGCTGGCCAAGGAATGTCGGGCCATCACAGACGCGCTCGGCAGGCTACATGACCTCAGCCAGGCAATTGACGGCGGCGCAGACATTGTTCGGGCGTCAAATAACGAGTTCGTTTACTCAGTCTCGAAGGACGTCCACGAGCTGAGGGTAGCCCTCAAGCGCATCAAGGGACCAGACAGAGATAGCGGCATTCATCTCACAGAGCCGCAACTCATTATCGTCTGGAATGAGGCGGCGTTGAAAGAGTCACTTGGGCGGCTTCGAACCCACCAAGCCTCTCTTCACACTCTTCTCAACACCGCGACTCGGTAAGTAACCCGCTATCTTTCAAGATCAAGACTAACGCTTGCCCAGGGCTGGCTATAGCTTTAGTGAAGATGTCTCCAGCAGGCGTCGAGTGATTGAGCCCGATGTCGGCGTCGATGAGGCTCTGCGAAGCCTCGGTCGAAGGTTTACAGCGCCCAACCAACGATCCGTGGTGCTGCCCAGAGTCAGCGACTCTACTGAAATTCAGGTGCTCTTGGATACACTTGTGCCACCTCCGGGAGTGACCTATCGACGAAGCAACGAGATTGCGCACGAGCTACATCATGCCATCGAACGGAGCGATGAGACAACCATCTTTGAGATCCTGCTTCAGCGGGCTGATCCAAACATCATGTTGCCTGGATCAATGCTCTCTCCATTGCATCGCGCCTTTGACAAAGAACACATGCTCATCGCTGCGTTTCTCATTGTCGCTGGTGCCGATGTAGACGAGCCGACCATTGATGGCGATACATCACTCATGAGGGGCATTAAGTGCGGGTTTTCGGAGCAGTTTGCGACCCTTGTGATTCACATGAAGGCACGCATTGATGCCGTCAACAACGATGGACGTTCAGCTCTCCACTACTCTGCTGCTTCGGATGTACTCGAAGACGAGACGTTACCCGTTCTCATCAACGCCGGAGCAGACCTCAACCTGGTTGATTACGAAGGACATACTCCGTTGCACTTGGCGATCCAAAATAGGCGATGGGGGGCAGCAACGAGACTGGTACAGGCTGGCGCAGATTTAGAAGTACGATTACCGGACGGCAAGACGGCACTTCACCTGGCCATTTCTATGCGGAATCAAGAGTTCACGCAGGTGTTGGTGTCGCGAGGTGCCAACGTGGATCGAAAACTTCGAGAGCACACGCCCTTGACGATGGCTATCAGCTCACGGTGTACACCCATTACAGCGGTTCTTCTCGACAGCGGAGCGAACCCAAACGGGTCGAGCAGAAACGGCAACACGCCGCTTCTCGCTGCAGCCGCGACGGGACACGACGAGTCTGTCCGGTATCTCCTTGCCAAAGGCGCCGACCCGTCAGTGACGCAAGGCCAATCTGGATACTCGCCTATGCATATGGCGGCGCACAAGGATAAGCCTTTTGTTCTTCAACTGCTGGCTGGATCAGGGGCCCCTATTGATCTCCTGGACAAAATGGGCGAAACTCCCCTATTAGTGGCAGCTAAGCTGGGCAACAGTCAGAGCGCTCTTCGTCTGATCAAGCTTGGTGCTGATGTTGAACGAGTTGGCCCTGATGGTATGAGTGTGCTCTCTCACGCCGTCAAATTGGGTGACATGAACTTGGTGAGCGCGCTCCTAGAGCAGGGCGCTGGTTTGCAAATGACTCCCACAACCAGCTATGGCGATGATGGAGAGTACCTTGTGCCCGAGCCACCGACAACGCCTATTCATGTTGCCGCTCAGCACGCGCGAGATGATATTCTACTTCGACTTGTATCTTCTGGCGCCTCTCTGGAGAGCACCATCTTCCCTGGACGAACACCACTATCAGTAGCAGCCTCTCACGGCCATCTTTCAACAGTTCAGCTGCTACTACGACTAGGGGCCAACGCCAAGGCTTTGACGACGCATGGGGATACAGTTCTCTTCGAGGCGTCAGCCAACCAAGCGACTCTCAAGGTCCTACTCCAGCAGGGCATTGACGTCAACCACCAAAACGATAGGGGCGCAACGGCGTTGCATTATGCGGCTCTCCGCGGCCACATGGGGGGTGTGAGGATGTTACTGGAGAAAGGAGCTAAGCAATACCACGCGAATGCTGTTTGGGATGTTTGGGAGGATCGGGACGGCGCAGGAGGGTACCGACAAGGGACACCGGCTGGAATGGCAATGCAACGAGGACTGGACAAGGTTGCGGAGTTGATTGAGGGATGGAAGTACAGTTAATTGGGTACAATGGACGTTTGGCGCCAAGGTTTAGATGGATGGGTATTTGACGACGGGATGATAGAAATGTATATTTTAGTGTAAAGCAAAAAGCTGCAGTTTAGTTACGAGATACCACAAAAGATTTGATTCTGAGATTAACGACAGTCTTTGTCCATGGCCCTTGTCTCGTCAAGATGCAAGTGTAAATGGCTGCATCCGAGGATGCATACAAGATGAAGATCTCTTGACAGGGGTGGGATAGATGACGTCGTAGCACTAAACATGATGAGATATGGGTGATGAGATGGGGTCCTTGTATCAAGGGTTGTTCACCATGGATGCCTCTGAATAAGAAAAAGAATACGATCTCGGTTTGCTTCTTGCATAACTACCAACCAAGCAGTTGTTCATCTCAACGTGAAGCTTCGATTAACTCGCCAAGTTTAACAAGACCCACAAACCAATCATTGCCCTCGTGGGGTGTCGCGTGTTGCCCGTTCAAGCTAAATCGCCCCGTGGATAAAAAAAACTCACAAATGATATCCGTAAAAGCAAAGCAAGAAAATCCACCATTCTGGACACCGAAGTCCAAGGGCCCTGACTGACAAAGCGGCGCGCGGGAAGAAGCGTTTCCGGGCCGGCAGAAAAGTGACGTGATGTTTGATTAGCAAAAATTGCTTGTTGGGGGGGGAAGACCACAGACTATTTTTCTTTCCCGTCCCCCTTGCGCGTCGCCCATCAAACGCTAGAACAGGCGATGCATCCATGACAACCAACCACCCACCCCCAACCAAGGCGTCAAAAAAGAGGTGTCCTGTGTTGACGTAATGGGTTCTGGCTGGGGACGGACGGGCACAGCCGCGCTTCGCTCCTCCTGTAGTTACGGGGAATATCCTCATGATCCGTGATGGGCGCATCTCAATCTCCCTAAACCTGTCTAGGGGTGGTTTCTACTGATGAACAGGTGGTCTCGTGATCAGCCAGTAATTACCCGTTTATTGCCTTGTCCGCCTAATGTGAATCTCGACTGTAAATCAATCAATGTGCCTCCTCCTTGTCTTGCTCTTCTCCCTTACACCTTGGTTCTTGCTAGCTCAATTTGCCCCCTTTCTCCCTTGAAACCGGTTCAAGGAAGCAGTTTAAACGGACTTGAGACTTCCACAACCATCAGCCAACCTTCCAAAAAGTGTCACCGAAAGCTTCAATCCAACATCCTTCGACCGAGACTTTGACTTCCGACCTACACCGACAACCAACAGGAACGAACCCCCAACATCTGGTCCCTTACAGCTGGAGGTAGAAAAAGTGCCCCGCGTGCTCCGTCTTGACTTGCTGTTCTTCCCTGCCACCAACCCCGCAATCCGCGATCGGGCCCCTCGCTCAATCACACGAGACCGCTTCTCAGAACCTCCTGTCGCGACAACCCTACATCCAACCTCGACAATTCTTCCCCCCGTATTGGTACATCGCCGATCAGCAATCATGTCTGGAGCCACCACGCCTTCGCAGTCACAGGCGAACAGCAGCAGCTGGACTGCCTTTGTCAAGGTAATTAGATACTCCTTGATTATCGATTCCAAGGAGCTAGCAAGCTCTCGCGTTTCCAGCTGCTGACCCTCGTCCTTGCAACTTTCTCTATAGTCTATCGCATCCTTCAATGGCGATCTCTCCTCCCTTACCGCGCCTCCCTTTATCCTCTCTTCGCAGTCTCTCACCGAGTTCTCTGCGTACTGGGCAACGCACCCTCCCGTCCTGACCGCTCCCGCTACCGAGTCCGATCCTGCCAAGCGGGCCATGCTCGTCCTCAAGTGGTTCCTCTCGACCCTTAAGCACCAGTACGCCAGCCGCAGCGAGCAGTTTGGAAACGAGAAGAAGCCCCTAAACCCCTTCCTCGGCGAGCTCTTCCTCGGATCCTGGAACGACGAGGCGGGCAAGACCACGCTCGTCTCGGAGCAGGTCAGCCACCACCCTCCTGCCACCGCCTACTGCATTCGCAACGACAAGACCGGTATCGAGCTGGAGGGTTATAATGCTCAGAAGGCTACCTTTAAGAGCACCATTATTGTTAAGCAGATCGGCCACGCCGTCCTGCGTGTTCCTCTGCCCTCGGGCGAGACCGAGTCCTACCTCATCACCCTCCCTGGTCTCCACATCGAGGGTCTGATCTTCGGCGCTCCTTTCGTAGAGCTTGATGGCTCAAGTTTCATCACCAGCTCCAGCGGCTATACCGCCAAGATCGACTACAGCGGGAAGGGCTGGCTCTCTGGCAAGAAGAATACCATTGTCGCCACTATTAGCCCTACAAACAAGGAGAAGGAGGTCCTCTTCAACGTCACTGGCCAGTGGAACAAGACCTTTGAGATCTACTCGGGTCCCGCCAAGACCAACTCCAAGTCAACCCTTGTGGCCACCTACGACGCTGTCAACACCGCCCAGACCGAGCTCGAGGTAGCCCCGATCAACAAGCAGCACCCTCTTGAGTCCCGCCGTGCCTGGGCTCGTGTCGCCGAAGCTATCCAGAAGGGTGACATGGACGCCACTGGTATCGAGAAGGGCAAGATTGAGCAGGCCCAACGCGACATGCGCGCCAAGGAGCGCTCAGAGGACCGTACCTGGGAGCGTCAGTACTTCACCGCCGTCGAGGGCAAGGATGACGTCCTTCAGCAGCTCGGCAAGGTCGTCAGCGTGCCAGTCGACGGAGATGCCGACAAGACTGGTGGACTCTGGCGATTCGACAAGACCAAGGCCGAGGCTCAGGCAGCCCAAGAGCTCACAGACGAGGACGTGGCCAAGATTGAGAAGGAGTTGCTGGGCTGGTAGTTGCGCCCACAGCCATCTCGATGGGACAGCAATGACAGCGGCAATTGGTTACGGCGGTGGATTTAATGGCAACAAAAGAAGCGCAAAGAGGGAGAGGCAGGTCGAAAAAGAGATGGGCATAGCTTACACAATACACAGACAGCGCTCGGCACATGTTTCCTTGTGATGCGCGGAGCGGCCTGTGAAGAGCCCATGACGTCCCATGAGGGAAGCAAGGCTGCACGTGTACGATATTAACAACACATTATATACGTTCCACGATTAATGAAACGGTTTGAACGAACTGATGTCCTGGGTTGGGTTTTTTGGTCTGCTTCTTACTCTCGCCCTTGTCATGATCACGTCAATCACTACTAATAACCTGGGCAATAGAGTCAAATCACAAACAGTTGAAAACCAAACACTCGGCTTTTATACATCATCTATTTCTTTTTTCATTATTTTACTACTTTCGTCGACTCATAATGCCCCAACCGACAATGGACAGCAATTGTTACTTCAAACGATGGGAAGAGTCTCCCTTGGATTCCTCCTTTTTCAAGCGATGCATCACTCATCGTGTCCCAGTCTTGGGGATATTACAGTTACCGGAAAACGACGTTATCGACATTTAGACGGTACCGGCAGTGTTGAAGTCCTTGAGGGCCTCGGCGACACGGGTGGTCATGGTCTTCTCACCCTCGCGGACCCAGACACGGGGCTGTACACAGCATATTAGTATATGTCAAAAGAGATCAGCATTGAGTCTCAAACTTACGTCAAAGTACTTCTTGTTGGGCTTGTCCTCACCGTCGGGGTTGCCGACAGCGGTGCTGACGTAGTCCTTCTTGTTGACCATGTAGTCTCGGATACCAGAGCAGTAGGCGAACTGCATGTCAGTGTCCATGTTAACCTTGACGACACCGTGGCTGATGGCATCGAGGTACTCCTGCTTGGAGGAGCCAGAGCCGCCGTGGAAGACGAAGAAGACGGGCTTGGGGTTCTCAGAGCCGATGGCGGCCTTGACGTGCTCCTGGTGCTTGCCGAGGAGCTCGGGGTGAAGCTTGACGTTGCCAGGCTTGTAGACACCGTGGACGTTGCCGAAGCCAGCGGCGATGGAGAAGTAGGGGGAGATGGCAGAGAGGGTGTTGTAGATGTTGAGGATGTCCTCGGGCTGGGTGTAGAGGGAGGCGTTGTCAACGTCCTCGTTGTTGACACCATCCTCCTCACCACCGGTGATACCAATCTCCATCTCGAGCCACTGCTTCATGGGGGCAGCACGCTTGAGGTACTTGGCGGTGGTCTCGACGTTCCACTCAACAGACTCCTCAGAGAGATCGATCATGTGAGAGGAGAAAAGGGGCTCGCCGTTGGCCTTGAAGTAGGCCTCATCGGCATCGAGCATACCGTCGAGCCAGGGGAGGAGCTTCTTGGCGCAGTGGTCGGTGTGAAGGACGACGGGGACGCCGTAGGTGGGAGCGAGGGAGCGGACGAAGTGGGCGGCAGCGACAGAGCCGGCAATGGAGGCGGCCTGGTCAGTGTTGCTCACACCCTACATCTCGTGAGCTTTGATGTAACATCTCGTAATGATTATGAAACATACCTTGCCAGCAAAGTAGGCGGCACCGCCCTGGGAGAACTGGAGGATGATAGGAGCCTTGGCATCGCGGGCAGCCTCGAGAGCAGCGACGACGGTGGAGGAAGAGGTGACGTTCTGTCAAGACAGTCTTAGCTTCATCTTTTTTCATCATGTATTTCGGTCTGACGTACGATGGCGGGGATGGCAAACTGGTTCTCACGAGCGTACTCGAACAGACGGAGAACATCGTCGCCGACAATGACGCCGGTCTTGCGGGTCAGAACATCTTGGACGCCCATTTTTGCGGTGTTGTGTGAGGTTGTAAAGGTGGAAGAATCGATCGAGATGAGGTCAACTCAAGTAGGTCGAGGGAGAAAGAATATGAAAAATCTGTTGAGCGAGAGAGGTTGTCAGTGATGTAGGTCCAAGATGGGAGGCGTTGCGCGGGGTTTTCTGTCTGTCGAGCTTATCGATAAAGCAAACAAGTTGAGCAAAAGGGAGGGGCAAGGCAAGCAGGAACAGGGGCGGGGAGGGGCAGACTGCGTAGACGGGACCAGGGCAGGAGGGGCATCCCACGCTCCTTCCAGGGGATGCTCTGTGCGCCAGCGAGAATGAGTTCATCAAGTTCAGGCCATGAGCTGTTTCTACTTCCAACAGCGTCATGTCGGTGAGACACAGACCAGAGGCATGATAAGAGAGCGGATCTCTTCATCTCGCCAAGTCGTCAACCTCAATTTTATTTCGCAACACGATGCCTCTCGATTGGCGAGCACGAACATCTGTCGGGAATCATCTGAGATTCAGGGTCCTTGCTTGAGCTTCGGGGAGCTCCAGGGCTGCGGAATGGGCTGAGATGTTGACCGATTCACCACATCACAGGTGAGTCGATTGGATTCCGCCTCACCCGAATGCAAGATGCTCACCGCACACCTCAGCCCGGATCTGCTCCCCGGAGGCGTCAATGCCCGGTGTCTCCCCGGCGGCTTCGCGGCCGATATGTCTCTTGTCTGGCATTCTTGTCTCTGCGCGCCTCATTCTTCCTCTCATGGCTCTCTCTCACTCTCGCCTCGCCCACTCCGACTCCGCTACAGCCCGACACCGGCGCAGACACCCCCATCATACCAAGACATTAACAAGGAAAGGCTGCCAGCAGACTCACTCGAGCTAGCTAGCGGCAGCTCTTTGACGTTGTTGAGAGTGCAAGTATATGTCTCCTCGGTGGTAAAGTGGAGTCGCCGGCAGGGCGGCCCCATTGGAGGATCAATTGCAGTGGATGGGATTGGATTTGCTTTGCAACGATGGAGAGTGGCTCGACTTACACGCTTGACAGGGAGACGGACGACCCAGCGATGATGTCGACGACGACGTTTAGTGGGAAGAGTGGAGGAGTCTGGATTCAGAAATCAAGCACACCAAGGTCGCGGTCAGGAGGAGGGGCAGCCGACTTATATCATGTCCTCATTGCCGAGACCTCTTCCTGCCGTAGCCGATGCCTCGGGGCTCGCGACGGAAACATGCGGGACGCTCTGGGCCTTGGAGCACATCGATCGGGAGCCATCACTCGTCGCCGCTGGCAACACGCTGACTTTGTTCTCGTGTGACCCCATTTCCCCCGCATACTTGGACATCGTGAGGGACACGGTTGGCTGGCGCGCCATGATGGGGGTGGGCACCTCCGGGCAGTCAGCCCGCTGGTCCTACTCTCCCGGCCGTCCCCAAACCCCAATGTCACGAACTGAAGCCAGCCGCGCAGGCTAACGCACTCATGCAAGCTGCAGTGCCGACGAGAGCCAATCTCGATATGCCGCACTTGCGTAGCCCCGAAACGTGTTTTCCCGTTCCAGAGCCATATGAATTGCACACATCTTGTGCTGACACTATTCATGATCTCAATTTACCTCCGGCGGAGCTTCGACATCACTAGCGCGGAGTGGTCATGAGCTTACAATTGACCAGCTCTCGGTGATACATTCCCGGGAGGCCACTGGACTTCATCATGAAGGAGGACAAGAGCTAGCAGGGAGACAATGGCGGTTTATCTGAATTCTAACTCTGGGACGCACATCCCGAACGGCTTTCCTGCAGCCTGTGTGCGGTGAAGAATCATCATGCCTTGCACTGCTTCATCAATGCCGAAGCTTGCTTGTGCAGCATCGGACCAACATCCGTCAGGCACATGAGTTGATGTCAGTCAGTCTTCGGCTTCTCATGATCTGACGCCCCAGTGATGAAACCCGTCATGTCACGAATTATGTCTTCTCAGGCGCCGGAAAGTCACTCAATTGCAATCTGCCTCATCGGCTGGCCCTAGTCCGGTCCCTTTCACCCGCAATTGGACGCCATTCGAGGCCCTACATCACGTATCAAGTACGTAGTCCTTACGAGATCCCAACCCCACCTGTGCCTCCATTCGTCCCCTCGACCCCGCTTCGCGATGAGGTCCCGGAAGTCCTTCAAGGCTCCCTCCCGGCGCTCCGCTCCCCCACTCACATGCGTTGTCAACCAACGGCCGTCCACGAGACAGGGGTTTCAGCATGGGAGAAACGCAGTCTGGAGCAGGCCTTCCTTGGTGCCTGGCAGCCAGGCTCCCCTTCAACAACAGCTGGTTGGCTTCCGTAGCTCAGTTGGTTAGAGCGTCGTACTAATACTTCAATCCGAGTAAAGGTAATGCGAAGGTCTCAGGTTCAAGCCCTGGCGGGAGCATCGCTCTCAGTCGCCCACCCGCTTTCTTTTTGCTTTTTTTGCGATTTTTTTGTGCTGTTTTTGAACCGGTTGGCTGGCTGGTGATCTTGGGTCGTGGTGTTTTGGTGTTGATGACACTACACCCAGACAAAGTGACGTACCCTAAAATGAGGCAGGTCTTATCTATCTAGGTACCTACCACACTGCCCTTCTCATATTTATTATGGTGAATAGAAGACGAAATTAAATCTAAATTGTCATAACAAAGAATAATGTTATTCATACCCAATCTCATCTCTACCTTCGACGTGTGAATATTGTGGTCCTTCAATGGACTATCCAGAGAACAGTGTTGAGCGATATCCTCAAGGGTTCCGGTTTTCGCAATGCTTCCCAAGCTAAAGGTTTGGCTGCAGTAACCTGGGCAGGCTGGGGCGCCAACATAGACAGAAAGAACGGGTAGTCAATCGAGAGGCATTTTGCAGACCATGATTTTACTTTCGCTGAGGTTCTCCCTGTCTCTTTATATGTCGGTCCGACGAGATTAACATCGGACCGAGTGATGTCTTCGGATTGGCGATCGTCTTGTCAATGAACTGGAACCTGATCTTTTATGTGGAGTATGAAGATTCTTAAAGACGTCACTGGAGCAAACATTATATCATGTCTATGTACATGATTAACTGACAAGATCAAATTATCTAAAAATTGATGTCCTAATCCTCAACAATGCCTATCTTTAAAACCGGTTGCTTGGGTCCCTCGTGTCACCTGTGACAGTTTGGAAGACACCAACTGACGATGAGGCTTCTTGGCCACTATTCATGACAACTTGGATTCAAGGCGACTTATGTGTGGAATAATTGATGATTTACTTGTTCTTTCTGTGTTCCAAAATGCCTCCAACTACCATTCTGTTTTGACTGTATCCTCCAGTTTAGCTTCACGTGCATGGTTCTCCAGAAAAAAAAAAAGAGGGCCACACACCACGCCCTCTCTACCCATCTCCAGCATCACTTACCACGACGCCAGCGAATCGAGTTGATACACGCCCGTCAGCGATGATCGCAAGGGCCAATGCGACGAATCCAGCTGCGCTCGCCTAGCCACTCAACCGACATTGGTCCAGCCGAAGATGGATGAGGAAACGCTCAAAGAAGCTCTCACGAGCTTCCCCAATGCCAGCAAGGCGCCAGAACCTGCTGCGACCTCGGCGCTCAACATCAATGCCCTGTTCGAAAACCCGCTCTTCGCAGGTGGAATTGGTCTCGCCTCTCTCGGTGCTGTCGCAGCATTTGCACGAAAAGGCGCATTATCCGCTCTCGGAGCAGCTCGGCGTCGATTGCTCGTCAACGTCGAAATCAGCAAGCAGGATCCCGCGTACCCTTGGATCCTAGCTTGGCTGTCACAACCCCGCGAGAACCCAGGCTTCATTGCTTCTCGGCTGACACGAATCCACAACCTCTCCGTTTCGACAACCACCGCATCCCGAACGCCTGGCGTCAGTGGGCCACAACATGCGCATTTCTTCCTGCAGCCCGGCTATGGACGGCACATTGTCAAATTCGGCAGTGCGTACATTGCCGTCAATCGCGAGAAGCACAACACGGCGAACATGAATACGGGCGAACCGCACGAGATTCTTCAGATGACGACTCTATGGGCTCACCGACACGTTTTCGAGTCAGTCTTTAGCGAAGCACATCAACTGGCAGCCAAGGCGAACGAGGGCAAGACGATTGTATATTCGGCTCGAGGAATGGACTGGGTACCTCTCGGGGACCCTAGGAAGAAGCGACCACTTGGCTCTGTGATCCTGGATGAAGGTGTCAAGGAAAACATCGTGGGCGACGTGCAAGATTTCTTGAACAGGCAACAATGGTACGTTGATCGTGGTATCCCGTACCGACGAGGTTATCTCCTATTTGGTCCTCCTGGTAGTGGTAAGACGTCCTTTATCCAAGCGCTCGCAGGAGAACTGGATTTCAGTGTGGCCATGATCAATCTTAGCGAGATGGGCATGACGGACGACAAGCTCGCCTATCTTCTCACTAAGCTGCCGAAGAGGAGCCTGTTGCTGTTGGAGGATGCAGACGCAGCGTTTGTTAACCGACGACAACGAGATACCGATGGATACAGTGGTGCGACTGTGACTTTCTCAGGTCTTCTCAACGCCCTTGACGGTGTTGCTGCCGGTGAAGAGCGGATTGCCTTCCTGACGACGAATCACGTTGATCGTCTTGATCCTGCTCTGATCCGACCTGGTCGTGTAGACTTGATGCTCCGCATTGGTGAGGCTACGCGCTACCAGGCTGCTCAGATGTGGGATCGATTTTACGGCGATGTTGATAAGGATCACTCTGGCCGGGAACGTTTCCTCAACCGACTTCAGGAGCTGGGTCTGTTTGGGCAGGGGCCAGATGGAAAGCCATCGAATCGACACACCAGCGCGGCGGCGATTCAAGGACTATTTTTGTTCAACAAGAACGACATGAAAGGGGCGATCGACATGGCCGAAGGACTCATCCCAAGAAAGTTCGAGGCCTCGGACGATGTTCCAGAGGGAGCCATCAAGACTCCTGCATGAAGCTCCGTGTTTTCTCGGAGTTGTATGAATATGTACCATACTTGTAGCTACTGTGATACCCCGGTTTGAATCATGAGATGGGAAGATGAGTCGTAGATAGACCCGCGTTGCTAAAAGGAGGATGTGGCTTCTGGGTATCGAGCTACCAGGCAGGCTTTTAAAGGCGGAATTAGATGATGATTTCGCACGAGTCTCATCTTTCGAGAATATTGCATGCTCGTAAGAGCGCCAATCGAGGCTGAGCTGAACAACAGGCATGGTCACGACTAGCTTGGCTTGGTTTGCTCGGTGTGACTGATGCACTGTTGTTGCCTGGGCTTAGCAGCGCGTGCACGCGTGCGTATTCACAGCCCGCCTTTGCACCTCATAAGTGCCAACGGAACTTGGACCTCACAAAACTCCAAGCGAGAAAGCAATATAAAAAAAAAAACTGACGACGATTTCATCAAATCCAACTCGCTTGAGCGTCATTACCTTGAATACCGCATCGAAAATGTCCTCCAACTCCGGTCAAGGCCAGGGAACGCTGGATATGTGGCTCTCTAAGAAACCATCATCCAAGCCCGCCGCTTCTACCTCTGATCAGCCATCTTCATCATCAACACCGGCTTCATCGTCATCTCAACCTTCTCGTTCATGGCGCAACAGACGCAAAGACCCCTGGAGACAAGGCGCCGGACTCGCCGCCGTCGCCAAGGAGACGCGAACAGTTCTCCCCGATATTCTCAATGGGTTGCCCGACATCGAGGCCAGCAAATCCGAGGCGCTCTACTACGAAACTCTTCAACCGCTCAAGGCCTCTGAGTGTCCCAGGCGCACACCTTCGGGAACAACAGCTATAAAGATCGTCAACGATGACTCTTTCAATGCCGCCATTGACCTTGCTTCTTCAAAGGATCCCTCATCCGGCCGCGTCGCCGTCCTGAACATGGCCAGCAATGTGAGCCCAGGCGGAGGATGGCTCAAGGGAGCGCGTGCCCAGGAGGAGGCTCTGTGTTATCGCAGCTCGCTGTACCTGTCCCTACATCGACGATACTACCCATGGAAGCAGCGCATGGGTGTCTACAGCCCAGATGTTGTCATCATTCGCTCTGACCAGGATTCCGGGCACAAACTCCTCATGCCAGATGTTGACGTTGAGAACCTTCCCATCGTCAGCGTACTGAGCATTGCCGCTCTGCGCACGCCACCTGTTGCAAGAGCCTCGGAGAAGCAACCCGACGGCTCATATATCGACAGACTTGTCTTTGCGAACCCCGCAGATCGTGATATGACGAAGATCAAGATGAGAATATGTTTGCGAATGGCGGCGAGACGGGATCATGGGCTACTCGTGCTCGGTGCCCTGGGATGCGGTGCGTTCAGGAACCCGCCGAAGGAAGTGGCTCACTGCTGGTTGGAGGTTTTGCGGGAGCCGGAGTTCCAAGGCGGTTGGTGGGAGGAGGTGTGGTTTGCCGTGTTTGATCGAAGAAGCGAGGGAAACCTCGAGGTATTCGAGGAGGTGCTTGGCGGCGTGGAGGTCTGATTCGAGGTATCACGGCTCTAATGAGATATGACTATTGGTTGGATGGTTAGGCGACAGTCACGGAGGATTGGGAACATGGTTGTTTATGGATGAGCTTTTGAAATGGCATCGGATGTGCCAGCAGCGTTTATAAATCTTGATGCATTTACGAGGGTCAATACTCCCTCAGCTCACTGTTTCTCCTCTTTCTGAAAGCCAAGACGGCGGTTCGACCGCCACATTGCTTGTCCACATCCTATTCGGAGCTTCGGTTGGCCCTAATTTTGGAGATCTTTGGAGCGAGTTGAAAGGAAGCCGATGTCCCGGAGCCGTGTTCTTGGCCTTTATACGAAGCCAATCAAGGTCTTTATATGATAAAATCTCAAAGACCGGAAATCATTGGTCGGTCCGAAGAGCTGCGGACCCGGCCCTAACGACGAAGTCAAGGAAAGGCCGAGATGCTAGCGGAGATGGAGCGTGCCCCCGTGCCGATGGCCCGGACTCGCCCGGCGCTTCATACGGAAGAGGCCGAGTAAGGCTTGAGCTGTCAGGACACGTGAAAGTTGATGTTCCATGGACTGAAAAGACGACGTGGGCAAGTCCCAAGAGGCTGAAACTGACGAGATGTTGATTGGGCGCCTCGGATGACGGAACTGGTTAATCCCACGCTGCAATTCAACATCGTCATTGCGAGGAAGATGGCATAATCGATGTAATGACTAAACCACGTCTAACCGACATTCTCGGCGTTGATAATGAAATGATCTCTAAAGCCCCGTGCGCCATCAGTTGTCCATCCCAATGGCTAGACATTCACACCTTCAACGTAATATTCTGGCCTCACAGCTCTTCCGCCATGTCTCAAAATCTTCAAGAACCCACGCTGAATGTCTCATTGTTTTACGCTAAAGCATCTCCACCCGGCCACTTAATACGGGCCCTCGGCCGTTTGCAAAGCCTGCAAAGTTCTTCTGGTCCAGGATCCTCGATGTCGTGATCGGCATTGCCTATGGCGTACCTCGCTATCCCCGGGTTTCTTGCAGAACCACTGGGCGATTCACACGCCACAAATGCGACCTTGAGCACACGCAAACGGGGGATAAAGAGCCACATGCTTTGATTTACAGGGTGGGGGTGTTCGTTCCAGCCTCAAGGGACCAAAAGACGGCTCGACAAGGCAGATCGTCAATGTTGGAAGCCAGACCAGAACCCATTCTTTCTGCAGCTGAACTCGGGCAAAAGGCGTAAACACCCCCCATAACGAGGTCAGATCCATCTCTGTCTGGCTGGATCAAAGACCCCTGTGAGCGCTAAAACCGGGATGTGTTTCCCTAGTCCATCCCAAGGGCAACTCTGACTTGCGCAAACCCAACAACCCCAACCCCATTACCTACGAATTGTACCTAATAAGAGCAATCTCGAGGGAACCATGAGGGGGGTCGATCCTTGCTTCTTTCTTACGGGCTCTACGCCCGGCTGCGTTAGCACGGCGGGCCCTCTGGTGATGCCATAACCCCCAGCCCAAAGCCTCTCAACTTTATCTTGACTTTTCTCTACCCGTCTTTTGTTGTTTTTTGGCGTTTTATATATACGCGCCTCATCTCTCCTCGTGGGGCCCGGTTTCAAAACAAGCAGCCTTCCTCAACGGCTGTATCACGCCTTATCGTCTCGTACTTTTTAATCTCTCACCTGGCCACTATTCTCCTCCACACATTTTCATCTGGCCGAGGTGATCAACGAAAAATGTTCAATCGAAAGGAGGACGAAGACGTCGCCGCGGTTGATGGCCCGTCTGACTATGGCGACAACTACGGCGACAACTATGATTACAACCGTCATGATGGACCAACTGATGACAGCTCCGTGGATCCTGACTCTGGTGTCAAGCGTGGTCTCAAGAACCGACATCTCTCCATGATGGCTCTGGCTGGTATCATTGGGCCTGGATTGCTCGTCGGCGCGGGTGGTGCGTTGAACAAGGGGGGACCAGCTTCCCTTATCATCGGCTTTGGTGTCATTGGTAGGATCCCTGTCTTGATGTTGACAGAGGATGTGAGCACAAGTACAGACTTGAGATTGCATTCTTGGCGGCACATTGAAGATAATGGACAAAGCTGACGCTTAACCAGGTATCATTGCATTTTCCATCATGCAGTCCCTCGGTGAGGTGACAACTCTATATCCCGGCGGAGGCTCCTTCATCTCTCTCGCTGAGCGAATGGTAGACAAGTCCTTCTCTGTCGCTGTAGGCTGGAACTACTTCATCATCTGGGCCGCCGTCCTCGCCAACGAGTACAACGTCATCTGCAGCATCCTCACCTACTGGGCGCCCGTGGTTCCGCTCTGGGGCTACTTTCTCATCTTTTGGACCGTCTTCTTGGGCTTTCAGCTACTTGGTATCGAGGCCTTTGGAGAGGCCGAGTTTTGGCTCGCCCTGCTGAAGCTCCTCGGACTGACAGCATACTTCATCTTTGCCATCATCTACGCAGCCGGCGGTCTAATCGGCCAGGATAAGGCACTTGGATTCAAGTACTGGAGCGATCCCGGAGCTTTCAACGGCAATGGTTTCCGCGGTGTTGCGACAGTCTTCGTCTTTTGCGCAACATTTTACTCCGGCGTCGAGTCCATCGCCATTGCTGCCACTGAGACAAGAAACCCTGGAGTTGCTGTCCCTCAGGCTATTCGACAGGTCTTTTGGCGTATCATCTTCGTCTACATGGGATCTGCTTTCTTCTTTGGTCTCACCTGCCGGGCTGATGCGGATGGTCTCATCAATGGAGGGTCCAAGGCTCTGCAGAGCCCGATGACCATTGCTATTCAGACTGCTGGCTGGCAAGGAGGTTTGTCTCAATACTCTATAAGCATGTTCTATTCTAACGGTTCCAGGTGTCCATCTGATCAACGCTTTCATTCTCGTCACTTGCTTATCCGCCATCAACTCATCCATCTATATTGGTTCACGCACAGTCTTCTACATGGCCCAGTCCGGCAAGGCTCCCAAGGTCTTTGGCTGGACCAACGGCAGGGGTGTCCCCGTCTGGGCCATCCTTATCACCAACGCCGTCGGTTCCATCTCGATGATGAACATTTCCACCGGCGCTGCCAGAGCCTACAGCTACATCGTGAACCTCTCCGGCGTCAGCGCATTCCTCGTCTGGGGCAGCATCTGCATCATCCACATCCGATTCCGACGCGCCTGGAAGGCCCAGGGCCGAAGCATCAGCGAGTTGCCTTACAAGGCAATGGGATTCCCGTATCTTGCTTGGCTCGGTCTCGGAGCTTGCGTCTTTTTGGCCCTTGTCCAGGGCTGGACTACGCTATCACCGTTTGACGCAGGCAACTTTGTGGATGCCTACATTCTGATTCCTCTGTTTGGAATCATATATGGAGTCTGCAAGTTGCTCTGGCGTAGCTCTGATCCTATCAAGCGTAGCTGGAGCATCGATCTGGACAGCGGGAGGAGAATGGACCTGGACCACAAGAGCGGTCCAGTTGTTGGAGGTGTACCGGGTCAGGTCCCCATCTGGAAGAAGGTCTGGGACTGGTTCTAAACATGAAAGCCTCATCACAACATATGGGTGCATGTTATGATCACTGTGCAAAGTTATTACGAGCTCAATGTAAATAATGATACCCCTTGGATTAACTACATAGTGAGGGTTAGTAGACGAACCCGAGACGTCATGAAGTAATGATAAACGGGGATTGCAGATATGTCAATGTTGAGCCTTTTCCAAACCAGCCAAGTCGAACTCCCTGTACACACTCTCCCATATTTAGCACTACACTCACTTTTTCTTCTTTTCAAGCTGAAGGGGGTCAGCGAGAGTGATCGACTTCGTCGCCAGGTCGATAGGTACAGGCCTGACCCACTCTATCCTGCTTTCTCCGGGCAGCACCCTGAGATCATAGAACTCACCACCAGGGTATTCCTCTGTTAGCCGGAACCTCCCCCACCCAATAACTTTAGCCCAGGCTTTCTCTCCTCTAGACGCGTAGGTGCTCGCTAGACGTTCTGGCACTGGAGTTGTTGGTGGCATCTGGACTGTGACTCTCATGGCTCGGTAAGAGGGGTCTTCGGGCCAGGGATTCTTGTCAGCGTTGAAGAGTCGGACAAGCCTTGCATCTATATTAGCGTCAGCCTCTGTGAACTCGTCATCTTTTGTTTTGTCATTGTTGTTGTTGGTTTTGTTCTCGACCTCGATCTCGCTGATGAGTTTGTCCACAAACATTTCTGCAATCTCATCGTCGATGAAGACGGGGATAGTGTTGTTGGTCTGTTCAGGGTTGTTACGTGACCCGGAGACGGCATCGATGAGTCGCTTAAAGGGCTTCATGATGTTGATGGTGGATCGTAGTGATGTTAGTGCTGGGCGTTGATGGATGCATGTCTTGGTGTTTCTTGGCAAGACTTGAGCGTTTATAAGCAACATTTTGGTAAACATGATATCTAGCGTCAAAACGATTGTTCACGTTAGATCCCTTTATATCGTTGTTTTAAGAAAGCATTGACACCTAGTTTCTTTGAACAGAAGGCTTGATGCATGTCTAAAGGAGCGTTAAGGGACAAAGACTCAGGGCGAGATGCATGAACAACTCTTTGATACGCTAGCATGGCTCAAAGATGTCCTGAAATAGTCCTATGCATGCTGCAGCTTGTGTCATGGGTGTAGTTCAAGACAGGAGTCAATGCAAAGTGGTACTCGTTTGTCTCTACCTGCCTACCTACCCTGTGCTCAGCCCCTACACACAGGCATTTCAAAGAACAAGAGCAAAAGACCTAATATCGAGTCACTCGGAAACGAAGTGAAAATTCAATAATTCTACCTCACGTTACAATCACACTAAATTGTGAAGGCTTTGTGTGGATGTGGCCAAGAAACACAAGCCATCCGTATCTAAACGGTGGATGCTATTCACACAGACGATAACATGTGATACTTGGAGAGTCCGGAGGATTAATGGCCCGGCCCGGAGCTCAGGGGTTTATCAGTTAACGGTCCGTGCGCTGAGGTGCGTTCGGGAGCGGATTGGCGCCCGCCAGCAGCAGATTGAGTCTCGGTACATTGCCTCAGGGGTTCAACATGCCATTTATGCCTGACATCAGGCCAAGCTCATGTACCGGTACAAATTAGAGTTAGGCGATCTCCAACAACCGCAACGTGCCCTGTGTGCCTCCACTGGGTGAGTGAGGTCAGCTCCATCTCAAGCCTCCCAACACTCGTCGTCAATCTAGACTACATCACGATCGACAGCTCTCCTTATTAGCCAAGCGATATCCTTCTCCATACTCGACGACGACCGAGTCACTCAAGACCTTTTCTCCAGCCGCCTACGCTCACGCGCATACTCGCACTCTTCACTGAACTCATCTCGCTCTCCGCAATAGCTCCTTTGTTCCTGACCACCGCGCGCTATCGCTATCGTTATCGCCGCATGCCTTGTTCGAGTCGCTCCGTCATGAAATTTAGCCATACCTCTGTCGCGCCATAAACAACTACACGAACTCTACCTCAGCCCGAGATCCCATTTCTTCTGCATGTGTCTCGATCCCGATCGATCCGTTCACGACCTGCGTCATCTCCCCGCGAACTTAACCCTCCTCCACGTCCCAGACGTCGCGACCTTGGGGAGTCGACCAAGCTTCGACACGGCCGGCCACAAGTCGAATGAATGCAACCTTTAAACCCATTCCTGGCCGCCTTCTTCAAAAGCTCCCTCCCAAGCCAGTGCACACCGGTTCATCATCACATCCTACTGGTCCCGTCAACGGATGTGCTTCTCACGTTCCGCGAGACCGAGAGCGGCTCAGCCCCCGCTGAGGTCATCGCCTCGGAGGACTTTCTCGCCAGTCATGTCCTCCGTGTGCCTGCTCCGAATGGAGCAGCAGGATCTAAGGATGGCGCCCAGAACTTGCGCGAGGTGAGAGGAAAGGCGAAGCAGTTCTCTACTTTGAACGGCAAGAGCGTGGTTATCAAGGACGCATTCATATATAGCAACAAAGGTGCGTATCAACCTGCGCCGCGCAAGCGTGCATTTGCTCACTGAACATAGGCTTCAAAACACTCGCGCAAGCTCAACTTCTCAACGACATCGTATTTTACCCCGACGTCTTTGAACCACGACAATGGCTTCTCTACTTTATCTCGAGGCCCCTTGTAGGCATCTGGGAGGAGAACAAGATCGTTCCGGCCGTCTTCATACCTGGCATTAGGAAGCGAAAGACGAATGAGCAGAAGCAGACATCCAACGCCGAATCAACCGAGAATGCCGCCCCACGCAAGAAGGACATCAAGAGCTTCCATGACCTACTCAACAACTTCCCCATGATCGCAAGGCAGATGCAGCCCGGCCTCGAGAAGCTGTTCCTCGAATTCACCAACGTCTTCCGCAAACCTCTACCTCCTCCGCCATCGGCCGAGCATATCCCAGACCCTGAACCGGATGGGCCTATTACTAGTGCCATGAAACGAGCTCGATCTAACAGCACATCGGCAAGGACGGGCACGGGCGATGATAGTAGGCTTCCAGTCATGGAAAACTTTTACGCCGAAGATGACGAGGATATTATGAGAGCATCACTTGAAACTGCTGTCACAGCTGCTATCGACCTTTTCCAAGGAGTCGACAAGCAGCAGCTATCCTTGTTGGGAGCCACGACAGACCTGACAGGTCCTCTGGTTGAGAAGCTGATTGAGCGCTATGTCACGGAGAATGTTCACAATCAGCTTTTCCCTAGGCTAAATGCTCTAAAGCGACCATACGACCTAGAGCTCGAAGCCAAGATCAAGAAGATGCAGTTCATCGACATATCTCAATTGGGCATTGGCATTGATGGTGGCTCCAAGGCGAAACATGACCTCATTATTCAGCTCGGGCCTGCTGTCGAGGAGTTTAAGAAGATCTCTGCAGCTACATGCCCACAGGTCATGCTGGGTCTCTTGCTGTCAACGATCAAGATTGTGTCGCAGCTAACAGACTCCTCCAAGTCACATACGGTACCATCAGACTCGTCCTCTGAGAAGCCTATCATGACTGTTAACGCGGACACACTGGTCTCATTCCTTCTGTACGTTGTGATACGATCTCAAGTCAAGCAGCTCCAGGCTCGATTGATCTATGTCCGGAACTTCATCTTTATTGATGATGTCGACAGTGGCGAGCTGGGTTATGCCTTGAGTACGTTCGAAGCTGTACTGGCCTATCTAGTCCTCGACTCGGCGGGTTTGCGACGTGCAAGCCGAAGGAATAAAGCCCTATGGGATGCCGCAAAGACCGGGACTCTTGATGACCTCAAAAAGATCATGGAACCCGATACCAGTACCCCAGATGACGACGATTTGTCTGAATCTCCCATCTCAAGCCGTCGGCCGTCAACTGCGTTGAGCCTTCAAAATGACACGCGGTCTTCAGGCCCAACCAGGTCTCGGAGGTCCTCATTGGTCTTGTCGCAATACGAGCATTTCTCACACGGCTCAGGGCTCAGCCATGTGTTTCCCTTCCAAGCAAATGGTGACAATGAGGTACACTCACATGACTTTACGATACCTATACGAAGGGTGAAGAAGGTGTCTATGGACACTCGAAGTTTATCGGAGGCGTCTGAAGTGTCTTTCCACTCCCGTACTGGAAGCGTAGGCACGATTGGGAGCGCTCTGGAGGGAGACATCTCTGTTGCCCGACTGTCGCAAACCAACAATGCTTTTGGAGAATCTGTCCTCATGATGGCTATTCAAGCCGAACGAGCAGAGACGCTCAAGTACCTGCTTTCTCTCTCCGAGTACTTCCCTGCCTCCTTTGTTCTTGACGACATGAACAACGAGGATACCACCCTATTGAGCGCCGCCATTCAACTCGGTAATGCGCAAATCATAGACATGACCATCGAGTTTGTGATTTCGTCGACGACCCCCAAGCAACTCACATCATATCTTGCGCAGCAAGACATCTGGGGGCGCAGCTGTGGTCATTATCTCTTCAACGCACCCTCATTAATCACACGAATCGGCCATTTGATACCATGGCGACAACGGGATAAGAATGGCCAAACACCCTTGTTCGCTCTTTGTCGATCATACGACCACGGAAACTACCACGAGATGGTTGAGGCTGGGTTGAGTGTAGCGGCGGCTTACCAGCGTGACGGACAGCCCCTGCACATCGACGAACACATCGACAATAAGGGGAACACGATACTGCACATTATGAATGATGCAGGTCTCGCCCTAAGGATCCTGCAGTACTGCGATGTCGACGTCAATGCGACGAACGATAAGAGATTTACGGCGTTGATGGTTGCTAGCAAATACGGCAGATATGACATGGTTCGCTCACTGTTTGCTGATCCAAGAGTGGACGTGGGAGCCAAGGAGATTAGAGGCCTCACAGCCGTTGAACTGGCAAAGGACGACGATGTGCGTAACAAGATTGACGACCTTGCCCTCTTCAGCATGGCACCGGGGCCGGATGCCCGTATCACAGGAGTGGTCAGGGCCTTCTTTGTGGAGGACGCAACCGTGCGGTTGGTGTTGAAGTCGGCTGCTCCAACGGACCACGACAGCTACACGGTCACGACCAGTCGCCGTTCGCTCACGGATTTTGAGCACCTCCCTAACCTACTGGCACTTGAGAACCCGGCATCATGGATTCCATCGCTCAATGACGTGCGCTCACCATTCCAAATACCATCAAAGCCTTCGCGAGCCATCTTGCGAGACATGCAATCTCGAGCGGACTGGTTCTTGAAGATCATGCTCATGCATCCGACATTCGCAACACACGAGATGCTATGGGAGTTCTTCCTTGTGCCAGAGCTACAGTTGGACATGATGGAGCAGCGGACTCTTCTCAAGGCAGAAACCAGATCAGAAAGGGTGAGAGATGAGTATGAGCCAGTGGAGGATGTGAGAGAGGTGGAACAGTTTGTCAACCATGCCCGAGAAATGGTTAGGAGCGTCAACTACTCGACTAAGAGCGCGACAAGACGAGCCAACAACGTTGGGCTTGTGGTGGCAGGTACGTATTTCATGAGACGCCGTGCTCCAATGAAGGGCGATGAACTAACATTGCATCAGACATGTACGATTCGTCAGTGCTACTTCATCGAGCTGTTTCAACGCTGCAGTTCCTCCCCACCACGCACGTCGAGGCGTTTGAAACATATGTGCGGTCGATCGTGCCGACCCAGTCAAATGCTCAAGCGACTCTTCACTCGACACTCTTGGCCCTGCAATCGACGGTGCAGGCGCTCTTGGCATCCCTGTCACGCCCCCCGTCTCTCATATCTCAGATGAGAGCCGCAAAGCGTGAGGCTGATAGGAACTTTAACTCTCTCAACAAATCAAGGTGGCCCTTGGGGCTTTTGGATGATACAAGACAAAGGCTATATGACGAGAAGGAAGAGCGAGCACGGAAGTCCCGGGAAGAAGCCGCCAACATCGCAAGGGAACTTCGGTACACACAGCAGACAGTAGCTGGAGAGCTTGCAGGGTGGCAGGAACTACACGACAAGCTGGGTCGCCGGGCGATCCGGGAATTCGCGCGAGGAATGGTAGTGCAAGAGAGGATGAAGTTGGAGGGCATGATGAGGGCGCTCCGGAAAATCAGGACAGGCAACGGAGAAGGGGGGGCACATGCAGCGGGCAACGGGACGAGGTCACCAGCCCCTTCCTCACCGAGACGGGAGGCGACGGAAGCGCAACCGGCGGCGATGGATGACTCGGAGGGCGGTGGCGAGGTTGGATAGTCGGGTAGCCTTGAGAGTGGATACACGGACTGTCAAATCCACGATATTGGGGAACCAGGCAGACACAACACCAGGGAGACGCGTGATATGGGGAAAAGAGAGACGCGTCGGGGAGCTGCAGACCGCGACGGCAGCACAGACAAGACAAGTTGAGCTAAGCTCGGAGGCGATTTGCATGCGGGTCTTTGCACCTGGAACGAGGAGGGGCTAAGGATGCAGAGTGTACATCGAGTCACTTTGCGGAGGGTGGAAAGGACTGGATGGATACCCCGTGAGTTTGTGACATGTTTGGTTGGGGAGGAGGAGATGGATGGGGGAAAGATAGCTTGGTGAGGCTTGCTCGTGTCTCCTGTGCAACCCGAAGGTCACCTTTTTACCATATACTAGTATTCGACGTTAGATATTTCTTGGTGGACTGGGTAGATTTGGAAGGAGTTTATAGGCCTAATATCTTCATAGAATAATGGCCTTGAGGAGGCGGCATATTGCTTTACATACAGAGATAGCTGTATCTCATGTTCTATCGACTTGATATCACGACATGGACGACAATGAAGCTTAACCTGGACCAGACCACCATCATCAGGCCTTCTTTCGGCCTTCAATCGTGCATACCCGAGAGACGCCTCACCGGAAAAAAGACAACGAGATGGACAGCTGGTCTGTAGCATGGGTGCTCAAAGAGGCAAGTGGAGCAGAACAAGCTGCAGTAGGGACGAAAAAGGATTCAAAGGCTGGCCTGTTCGCGAAGATGGCGTTGCAGAGCCGTCAAAGCTGGGCGAAAGAGCTATGACAAGGATAGGGAATCGCCGAGGATCGAGTGAAACATTGAAACATGAAACCACCAGCAGCAGAAAAGCATCAGACAGAGCAGCAAGCCAAGCATGGAAGCCCGAGCTCGAACTAGGGACGTACAGAAGGGAGCTAGAGAAGCAGAAGCCACGGTGATGCAGAAGGCCACGAGCCACTCATTCCCTGCAACAGCTCGCGAGACACGGCCCGCCGTGGAGAAGGCGGAGGGGACGCGGAGCCGATTGGTCCACGGCGCGTGGTGTCCTGGCGCGTGGTTGCGAGCGAATGGGAGACGAGTTCAAGGGAGGACGACGTGGTGGTTACGCGCCGAGGCTTCTGGTGGTCTTTTTTTTCTCCATGGAGTAGAGCGGGGGGCGTAATTATGAGGCTGTGCAAGATGGAAGAGAGAGAAGGAGGAAGAAAGAGAGACACAGTGGGCCGAGGACAATCTCCGTAGCCGCTGGCGGTGCGCTTCTTTAATATCAAGTCTCTACGGTGGAAGAACGGCGAGTGTTAGGCGCCCGTTCGAGGTTCACGACATAGATTAAACGCCGGCGGTTAAGAGATTGGCCGGGACCACTATGTAGACTGTGTCAAGGGGGACCCCTTGAAGAGTAGAGTAAAAAAGTATGATGCTGCTTCTATTCTGAGGTTTGGGTTCATATTTTTTTTCTCCGATTGAGTGAGACAGTGCTGTAGCCTTGTGTGTATGTATGTGTATGTGTATGTAATGTACTATGAGTTGGCCACTGGCGCTTATTGAGGGCATACATATTAGTGTGCAGTACATGAAAAAAGAGCGGGGGACTCGCATAGACCCTGAAAGGAGGAGAGGGCTATGTCGGTTGTCCCTTGCAACGGAAATTGTATATGAACACGGTAGTAAATATTGAAAAGTCTTGATATCGCGACACGGTCTTCTCTTCGAGATGTAAGTCGCGTCTTGAACTTCTGTCGCGTCTGTTCCAGCTTCTCGCAATGGATGACAGCTTTCTCGTGGAGCTGTGGCACTAAAAGCTTGCCCTAGCTTGCCGAAAGGAAAGGTCCAGGATCTAAAAATGAGTCATAGGCGCCCGGCCATTCAGCGACCGGGGTCGTGCAGCAACGGGGCCAAGCCCAGAATCCTTGGCCCCGGGATCCGTGGATCATGCCGTGTGGATGGGAATATTTGGGTGTGAACCGGGGTTGCACAGTCCATGTCTTGGTCTCGCACTTGGACCACACACTCAAGCGCCCGCTGTGGGTACAGTGTCAATATCATTGGGCCGGCGAATCACTGTACATGTCTGCATCGCCAGATCTCGTTCTGTCAACTTACACCAGAGACAAAAAGACAGTAGCGCGCGTGTGGTCCCCTCCCCCCGCGCGTCGGCAGACACAGAAGAGACGTGTTTCACATCATTCTCTTGCGTGTTTGCCATGTTTCTTGTTTCGTCCAGTTCGGATGGGTCCCCTGCCGTCCAGCCGCCCATCGCCAACCATTTGCTCTGCACTGCTTTGTAACGAGCATAAGAAGACGGCCTCTCCCTGGGTCTCATTTCCTCATACTCGCTCGGTTCATCATCAGCCTGTCTTTTACCAATCATCTCATCTTGCTCCTTTTCCTTTTATCCTGTGCTATTGTGGTCCGGTATCACTTGCTCGTCGTCTCATTCCTCGCACCATAATCGTCCGTCCGAACCAACAAAAAAGACAACACACAAGGCCATTCCTCTGTCTCTCGAACATCACGAACCGAGGCAATCTTGCTCTCTGAAACTCCCCATACTCGCCGTTTCAAAATTGCATCTGCTGGAGGCTGGCCTCCTAATCCCTGACCTTGATACAACACCACCTGCATCGATAGACATACGACCACCACTAATACCAACCGCCCAACATGTCTGCGTAAGCCATCACATCCTGCATTATATCTTTTATACCAAACCGCTAACTCTCCTTTCCTCAAAAGTCTGGCAGTCGACATGCCCTTCGACTTCAACTTTCCTTCGGCCTCGATTGAGCGCCCAAGCCCACCTCCTGTTATGCCCGTGATGCCCTTTGACCAGGCTCTTCTCGACATGGCGTATGCTTCGGCCTCTGCTAATGCTGCCGGCCACATTTCCGGCCACTCTCGTTCATCTTCAAAGGTTTCGGTCTACTCCACCGCCTCTGCCGAGTCCGACCCGGAATCTCTTGCTTCCCGTCTCACCACTCCCCCCCGTGCTTCACCTCCTGTCCGCCAACATGGGCCTCTTCTTCTCCCCAAGATCCGCTCCCAGGACCAGGACATTGACGCTACTCCCTGTGGTCACTACCGCATGACGACGCCTCCTGCCCCCAGGCCATCCCGTCACACTCGCAGTTACACCAACCCCGAGTCCATCCACGCCATCACTTTTGACTCTCCCGCCACTGTTGCCTCTGTCAACACTTCATTCTCTAGCCAAACCGATGACCTGTCCGGAGCTCTCCTTACTTCCCCAGCCAACTTTGCCACTCATGTCTCGGGGTCTTCCCACTCGCGTCGTGCCTCCAGTCTGGACACCACCACTCTTGACAAGTATGGGTACCCAACCTACCGTCAGATGCCCACATACGTTCCTATGGCTACTCCTCAGCCCCAGTCCGACTATGGATTCGCTTCATACAACTACAGCCCTCGTTCTCAGTCTCCCTTGAGCATCTCTACTACTCCGGACCCCACTCCCAACACCAACCTCATCAGCTTCCTTACTTGCTCCAACCCTGCAGCTTCATTGGTCCGCACCATCTCATTCCCTCTTCGCGATGCTACTACTAAGCACTTCTGGTGGGACGTCCGAAACATTCGCTCTTGGTCCTCCTTCAACGCTGCCACCATCCTCTCTCTTCCTGGTGCCACTGCTCTGCTCACATCGCCTGTCCCGGCTTCTCTGCTTCCTCAACCCGCCTTTACTTCACGCCATCCCGAGACTGAGGCTGCCCTCCACTCCATCTACGCCTCCTACTACCTCCCCAAGCTGAACTCGGCCCTGGCCATGTCGTCAACCCGCCCACTGCACCTGTCCGTGCCCCCCAAGACCTCTGGCATCAATGACCTCGTGTTTGTTGCCAATGGTGCCGGCGAGTCTGCTACTGCCGCTGCCATGTTCGGCGGCAAGCCCACTGCCCGTGTTGTCGGCCTTGTCCGAAGCTTCGACCGCTTCAACACTGGCATGCGTGTCGAGGGTAACATCAAGCGGGTCGAGTACCTTCGCGGCCTCGCCGCCATCCACCATGCTATGCGCGAGCATGGATGCCGCTACGGCTTCATTCTTACCGAGATCGAGCTGGTTCTCGTTCGCAACGGTACAGAGACTACTCCATTCTTTGGTGACCTCGAGGTCACCTCTGTCCAACTTGCCTCATCCGCGCCTGAGGGAGACGCCTCCACTCTCCCTCATGAGACACCCTTGACTGCATGCCTCGCCCTCTGGGGCCTGTGCCAGCTCGCCAGTGACGATACGCCTGCCGGACAGGCTCACTGGCGCGCCGAGATCGGTGCTCCCGCCGAGGGAACCCGTCGCAAGGCCCAACCCAGAGACTCGTGGATCCCCCAACCTCAGCTGGCTGAGAAGCGGGAGGCTAAGCGGAGTCGCGGCTGGGTTTGGCCCGAGGATGCCATTGGCCGCAAGGAGCTTGGAAAGAGAGGTGTTCGATACGGCGGCATCTAAGATGGTTTCTTTGATAGAAACATCAACGCCTGGTTGCGAATGATGACTTGAACGCTGAACGATCGCCTCGGAGATGGATGAATTGGATAGAAAAAGACAATGATGATGTCACGAATAAATAGCCTGTGTTTTTTCTCTCTGTAATTCCTTTAGTATTTAATCAAATCAACAAAAACTTGTCCAAATCTAGCAGGTTCCTTTATCTCTTCTCGTGTCAACTTGCCCATAGCCTGTGACTCTGGCTTGTCAAGTGGATGCCTTTCCTGAGATCTTCAAACCCAACTCCCAGAAGTAACTAGTCTTAGAAGAAACGACACCAAACCAAGTATAAGTTGAGCTATTTACGCCGCTGCCTACGGATACGAGATCCGAGCATCACCCCCAAGAATAGGAATATCCACCAAGCACGTCCCAGCTTTCAACTAGTAAACTCAACTACACGCTACTACGCGAACTTCCACTTTCAGTTTCCAGCTCTTTAGCTGGGGTTGGCCTCAGCGCCCTGTGCATGGCAGACCTTTTCACAGTAGTACGTGATCTTTCAAACATGTTAGATCCGGAGTCAGTTCAGGGGAAAGGGCCTCTTACCTCGTCACCACCAATGTGCCAGCCAGCAGAGTTGCAGTATGTACCATCCTGTACAACCGTTAGCCAAGTAGAAACTCGTAGAGAGGAGGAGGACTTACAAAAGTGCAGTCAGGGCACTGATCCCACTGCTTATCACCAGTGTTGCGGTTCCTGTAGGCCTCGCACGCACACTTGGTGGCATCTGGGAGCATCTCAAACTCCTTTGCCCAGGTGTAGCTGACGCTGAAGGGAGTACCGCCGATTTCCGAGTACTTTCTGCCAGTGACGCACACGGCAACGTTGTGCAGGTCGGCAAAGACTCTGGGGGTAAGTTAGCATGTCTCCAAGTGTTGGTTTAAGGAGAGACTGACCCGCCGGTGAGGGAGAGGAGAGCGGCGATGGTTGTGTACTTCATGTTGAATTGTTGGAAAGTTTGATGAGGGAGAGAGATATGGAGTAAATGGAGGTAGGGAGACAGAGAGAAGACACAGGAGAGTGATGAGAGCTACTTTAGTTAATCCTCGAGATGATGATCCAGACTCAACTCGGTATATAACACCCATGAGCCATATTGTTCACAATCCTTCAAGGTCAACTAGATTACTCAATGAAGTCTCCGCCTCGTATTCATCAATCCCCCCACGACTGATGTTTCACAATGGCCTCCTCAACTATACCTCTCGAGGGCATGATATCAAACCACGCGGCCACGTTATCAGCCTTACCTTCTTAAAACAGACAAGACTTATCTCTACATCATGAAGATCTTGGACAAAAACACAACAAAACGGCAACGGCGTTTCCGAGAATCAATGCGACGACCCTTGCAATCCTCCACCGGTCTTATCCCAAGATGAAACCGAACCAAGATCTGCATCTGTGGGAGCATAAGCCCCCACCGATTGAGGACCCTTTAGGATCTATATCTATCCAGTGACGTCTCTTGACGCGCTGTTTTAGAGTTTGGCAGGTGACAAGGGGGGGTTTGTTGGCAGGGGTTTTTGTGAGATGGCCGGAAACCTTGACAGGGGATTGTTTCTAGAAGGATGATAGATGAGGAAAGGTTAGAGACTGATCACAATCTACAATGGAAAAGACGGCATCTCTATCTCGTAATAGAATCAACTCATGAAGCGCAGTCAACAGGATGGGGCTCGTATAGGTTTTCTGATATAATACCTTGGGTTGAGACACGATGAAATTCAGAAAAGGGTAGTTACACAACAAACCATCACTCTCTTCTACAAACTTGTTCTCTCTCAACACTCTTTGTCTCAGTCAATATGCTCTCCTCCAGTTTCTTGGGCTTGGTTCTGGCGACCACTGTCAGTGCTGCTCCCTTTCAGGGACTGAACAGCACCAGGTGGACTCCGGAGCACATCCTCCAGCCTGACGAGGTTATCCTCTACGGTGAAGGCCGCAGTATGTTCCATCCTACCTTGGTTTGATTTTCCTTGTCAAAGCCTTGCATCCCCTACCATGGTGTTTAAGATACTAACAAGATAACAGTGGAGGTTGTCCATGAGAGTGTCTATCACAGCCTCATTGCATCCGACGGCATCTCTGAGGACATCCCAGAAGTCCCTGAAGCCTTCCCTGCCCCCTCCCACCCCTTCAAGGCTCCCAAGTCCAGCAACGACAACTCTCTTTCGAAGCGTCAGTGTGACTTGACCACAGCCGTCGTCACAGACCGCACCCAGACCTTTGTCGACTGGGACGTGCAAATGTCTCCCGTCATCATCGGCACCGGCGACGGCATCACCGTCTCCGTCACGTCTGGCTACAGCGTCAGCAACAGCGTGAGCGTCAGCGGTGGTGCAGACTGGACCGTTGTCAAGGACAAGCTTGGTCTTTCTTTTGGTGTCGACTACAGCCGTACTTGGACTTCCTCTGCTAGCATCAACATTGCTGCCAAGGTTGCAGACGGTTACTCGGGAGTCATGATCACCAAGCCCATCAAGACTAGAAAGTATGGTAGGGTCTTGAAGGGTTGCATTGGCTCTCAGACTGAGTCGGGTACCTTTTCCGCTGATTCTTTTGAGGAGAAGGAGTATGCTGGTATCAAGTGGGTTTCTGGTAAGATATAATGCTGCTTCAGTTTGATATGCGTTAACTGACCACCTCATAGGTGCCATTACTCTCTGCTCCAAGAAAGAGTTTCCTCTTTCTCGCTGCACTGGAAGCGGCAACTTTGTTTAAACCCAAGACACCAGAGTCGAGCCCAATTATGCGCTCCAGAAAGAAAGTTAACATGACGGCTGGGGGTGAGGGGGTAGCTTGGTAGTGTGTAAGCGAGGGTATATAGAATGTATAGAAGCTTCGTGTTTCATCAAACAAGAGCCGTCATCGTATAGGGGTTAGTACATCAGTTTGTGGTCAAGTTGAAGCACTGAAAACGCAAGTTCGAGTCTTGCTGACGGCACAACAATTTCTTTTTTGCCATTTCGTGATGCTATAAGGTTCTGCCGTGCAGGATTCTCAGATCATGATGTGTCATTATCATGCAGGGAACGAGGGGGGCCAATGAGTGGAGCTAGGTCATGTCCTGCATGTTCGGTGTCTCCGAACTGTTCACTTGTTGTGAGGTCTGAATCATGGCATATAAGCTAGATAAAGGTATCGTGAACTCGCTTGCTTTTTGTAACAATGTCATATCTTGTCAGGTATGGTTGGGATGGCGAATATCATATTTTAGTCATCATGGACCTCCGCCACCACAACAATGAGAAACCCTTTGCAGCTTGCCCCAAGCAAAATCTGAACAAGTGCAATACAACTTATCTCTCTTCATTCAGCAGTTATAGATAGCCATCCAAGCTGTCCTGTTAACTAAGACACTGAAAGAAGCTAATCTAGACTTGAACGGCTGAAGCTATCAACTTCTCCTGTGCGGCCAACACTCGGACGGCGTCTTGCCATATTGACGGGGCGGCCGTTGACTTTGGTTTAAGAGGTAAGCTCTGACAACCAGCTCTGCGGAGCGCATCGCATAGTACTGTGTCCAACTCCTAGGATCTGGTGGTTTCTGGACTTCAAGGCTGTGTGGGTTCGAGGCCACCTCCGCCAGAGATGTCCAGCCACTCGGCCTTGAGCAATAACCGTTTGATGAGACGGATGACCAGTAGCGACAAAGTAGTGAGATACCTTTATTAACCATTTACGAAGGAGCTCCCGTTGTAGTCGGTTGCCAGTTGCCAGACCCAAGAGGCCTTTCAGCTGAGAGTTGGTCGTGTGCATCATTTACAAAGATCACGTCGACCTCCCTCTCCTCAACACTCTCCCCATTTCCTATTACTAGCCTCGAAATTCTGTGCCATGAGCTTTTGACACTCTTCACGTCTTTAGTCGTGACTAGGGCTAAGGCCTCTTTACGCAGGCTTAGTTGTACCACCTCCCTCACCTCGAAAGCCTCAACAACCCAGCCAACCACCACAGGCTGCACCACCATGATGTCCCAAATCTCATCTGCGCCCACAACAACAAAATCGATTAAAGCCCTTTGTGAATCCGACCCCGACTTCCGCAGGTGGCGCAACCAACCCTCGAGCTCGACGCCCTCAGTGGCCAACCTGTGTCTCAGCTCAGAGCTTCTAGAGAAGCGCTGCGTAAAGACTCCACCCAATTGTCCCAGGATCCAAGCTTGGAGAAGTGCATCCAGAAGCGCTCTCAAGACTCAGGGTGTGTCCTGATGGAGTCAGCCTGAGCAGGACTGCAACACCTTCAAGGGCCGGCTCGATGGCATCTTGCCCATCAACACTCAGTCAGTCGGACCCAGATTTTACGATAAAGGATGCTTCGAGTGTGCCTGCTTGTAGCGTATACGAGAAATTGACAGCGGGCCTAAACACCGTCTCAGAGGCATGACAAGACTCAAGGTACATGGCCGTTCATTCAATAATTAATCACAGGAACATGCACACACGAGGGGTACAACAAATATTGACTTCATCACATCGTTGCATTCAACTTTTGTCTATAGAATTAAATACGACCAGTGGCAGGGTGTTGTTCATTTAACCCTTGGCGGCACCAGCCTTGATGTGAAGAATGTCACCATCCTCCACGACATACTCCTTACCCTTGGTCATGACCTTGCCCTTGGCCTTGACCTCGGACTCGTCACCGAGCTCCTTGAGGGTGTTGTAGTTGAAGACGAGAGCCTGGATGAAGGTCTTCTCGAAGTCATTGTGGATGACACCAGCAGCCTGAGGGGCCTTGGTGCCATTGCGGATGGTCCACGCTCGGACTTCATCAGGTCCGACAGTGAAGAAGCTTCCCAGCTGCAGGGACTTGCGCATCTGGAGAATAACCTTGGGCAGAGCCGAGTCGGCGCCAACGTTCTTCTGCTCCTCCTTGGCCTCGGCCTCAGTCTCGAACTGGGTGAGACGAGACTCGTAGGACACGGAGATGGGGATAAGAGGATCGCCCTTGGCGTTCTCGTTGATCCACTCGACAATCTTGGGAAGATGCTTGTTCTTCTTTCGGATAAAGTCCTTCTCAGACAAGTTGACGAGGTAGACAACGGGCTTGGCCGTCAGGAGGAAAAGAGGGTTGATGACCTCGACCTATTCGAGCGGGTTAGCGCATGCTCGATGACCATGATCCAAAACGAAATCAGGTAGAAGGTGTTGCAATCAGAGTAAAGTTTATCTCACAATGCCTCTAAGCGTTATTTAGGTGAGGCATTCGACGAGCTGGGATTAGATCAGGCCGATTGGCCTTTTGTCATCATGCTAGGGGGTAATGAAACGAGAAAATTGGAAATGTCTTACCTCCTTGGGTCCCCAGTTGCCCTTGCGGACATCCTTGCCATCGTTGAGCCAAGCCAGGATATTCTCAATGATCTCCTGCTCTTGACGGGCCTTCTTCTGCTCCAGACTCTGACCACCCATACGGGTCTTCTTCTTCTGGTTCTCGAGGGCCTTCTCGACGAACTCAATATCCTTGAGTCGCAGCTCCTCACTGATGATGTCGAGATCACGAGTGGGGTTCACGTCACCCTCAATGTGAATAATCTCGGCATCGTCGAAGCAACGAACCACCTGGAAGATGGCATCGACAGCACGAATGTGAGACAGGAAAGCGTTTCCAAGACCAGCGCCGGTGGATGAGCCGCGGGTCAGACCGGCAATATCGTAGACGGTCAAGTTGGCGGGGACAACCGACTTGGGCTTGTACTTCTCGACTAGCCAGTCGAATCGGTCATCGGGAACGATGACACGAGCTTCCTCGGGGTCGATTGTGGCATAAGGGAAGTTCTTGATGCTGTCAGCACCCCGGATCTAAGGGCGACGGGCGGCGAGGGGCTTCATACAGCTGGGTTACCAAGGTTGCACTTGGTGATGGCCTGGAAGAGGGTGGATTTGCCGACGTTGGCCAGACCGACCTGGGTTGGGTGTTAGCACGCGATCAACATGGCATGACGATTGTCAATGGAGGGGTAGCATACAATACCACTCTTCAAGCTGTTACCGGGCCTGCCCAGCGGGATCTTCTCCTCGACAACCTTCTTCTTAGGAGGCATCTTCTTTCTTGACTTGGCGTAGTTGCGACGTTGAACAAAGACGACCAGGCCGAAGCGGGAGGATGATGGAACTTGTCCAAGAGCTGCAGAGCTTGCTGCGCGGGGTGCGAAGTGAGGGGAGATAGAAGCGAAGGTGAGAGAGGTAAAGGGCTTCGTGGTGAAGAGATTGGTTGGCACTAGCGCCAACCTCGATTGCCCTGGACGGCTTCGAAACGAGAGCGACGTCGAGGGAAGAGGAAAAAGGGAGGGAAAAAGTGAAGGAGAAGAAATTTCTCTTTTTATTTGCGAGACGGAGCTTGCGAGATGAGATGAGAATTTGTTCCACCCCACCTTGGCTGGTAAGAGAGGTTGGGCTCCGCCAAGATTTCGGTTACAGGAGAAGCTATTGATCCGAATGAGAGCCGGGGACAACGTCATTGGCTGACGAAAGCAGCCGATGTCGTAGGCAGGCATGACCGTGCGCAGAAGGAGAAAGATGGACCCTTGGAATTCTTGTGACGCTTACGCTGTACGCGGATAAAATGCCTGAGCAGTGAGTGGCAGTGAATCACAGCGGGTAGCAGCAGCCTGGGCCTGGAGACAGTCAGGTACTGTGCCTTAGCTTTGGAGGCGCTGCAGGTTGCTTCGCCGAGTATTTGATCAAAACCAACGTCGATCTAGCCGAGCCGGACACCTCCGCTTTCTTGACCTTCAAACTTCCTTTTTCATTGTTCATGATCGCTTTTGGCTAGATTCTTGTTTTAGGAGATCTTTTTTGTTCTCTTAAAGGAAGCCACCGACCCTCCGCGCCTTCCACCATATATTTGTACAGTGTCCCGGTGGCCCCGCCTTCACCCTACACCATCAACCCCAAGCTCTCCGACGCACTCTGACGTCGCATCGTCGCATCTATCGCGACGCTGTCCGCGCCAACTCTTATCATAATGCCTCGACCTAAAAAGAGCTCGTCGGTGAGCAGATCTCACCGATCAACGCTATCGCTACAAAAGACCGAGATAACTATCCATGTCTATGATCTACTCCCGGTGAGACAAGCTCCCCAACCCCAACCTCATGACGAAGCTCTAACCCGCATGCCATTGATAGCCCGGCCGCCTCTCCTCCGTACTATGGACAGTCGGCGCCTCACTTCTTCATTCTGGCGTTGTAATCAACGGCAGGGAATACGCTTACGGTGGACACGACAAGCGAGGGCTTACAGGCGTGTACTGGACCAAGCCCAGAACCGAGCCTCCCGGAGGCACTTTTCGATGCGAGATCCTACACGGCTTTACTCTTGCGAGCGATCAGGAGATTGATGCGACGCTTCGGGCGGCCTCGGACGAGTTCCTCGGTACCTCGTACAACCTTCTAACAAAGAACTGCAACCACTTCACATCATATCTATGCAAGAAGCTCACAGGCCAAGCCGGCCCGTCCTGGCTGAACCGCGCCGCCAGTATCGGTGTTGCATTGCCATGCGTCGTCCCGCGAGACTGGATCGAGCCCCCCGAATACGATACCAGCGACGGCGCACTCCTAGACGATTACGATAACTCGGACGAGCATTCCCGCATGTTGGGAGCATCTGCTCCACATCTCTTGACAGAGAGCAACGACGGCAGTGTATATGAGGATGAATGGGGTAGTGAAGAGGAGAGAAGGCGTGGTGGTAGTGGCAAAGGAAAGCAAGCCATGCGGGACTCTGACGGGCGACGACTGCCCCCCGCCGAAAGACTCCCACGGCGATAGGACTGGGAGTCATGATCTTGGGTATTGCAGCCAATTTGGCTGGGTCATTTTGTTTTGGTGTTTGGAGTTGGCGGCTCCTTCAAATCGGTCAGCACGATACCAATGGTTTTAAGAGTTGGGGCAGATCCATTCGTTAGGAACTTGCAGGTCAGCGCAAGTTAGGTCTTGTTCATTTGTATAGTAGTCGTACAGAGTATGAATAGTACATTCACTTCCAACCTTATTGCGGCTGAAGCATCAAACAGCATAAACCCGAACAACCCAATTCCAGCCCATTACAGACGTCTGGGTTTCTCGCTTCTGGTTCCGGCAAACTTGATTCTCGTGGAATCGGCCACACGGACAATCTTGTCACGCAGGACCTTGCCCTCTGGGCTCATCAGGACCTTGAGGGCCGCCTCTCGTCCCTGGCCGAAGCCTCGCAGCACCACCTCCAACCGGTTCATCTTCATGGGCCAGCCGGTGTGGATCAATCGCTCCAGGACGTACTTTGTGAGGGAGTAGGCGGAATCGAATGTCCCGCGTCGAAACTTGCGGAAACCAATGTTGCCGGCCGAGAGGGAAATAATGGGCTCGCGATTGGGCTTCGTGCAGGTGATGTGGGTGTTGTGCTTGTGCGAGTAGATGTGGAAGTGGAATGGCTCAAGGTCGTCCTCCTTGGCTTGTGCTGCCCGCATGCCCCCTCCTCCGAGAGGGCTCATGTCGAGATTGGTCTTCTTCAGAGCCTTGAGGGCGAGGCTCTGGGAAAGACTGGCCATGGCATTGTTCTGTGGCGTCTGGGCGGCGTTCGGCTGTGACTTGCCGTAGATGCTCTGAAGGAACGACGAGGCGCTGGGTTGACCCAGGACCCTCTTCCGGGGTGCTCGAGGCGGAGGAGGTGGGAGGTCATCATCGCGGCGGGCACTCGTCTGTGAGATTGGGCGGGCAATCTTGAAGGAGGACTTGGAGACGGTGGCTCGGGGGCCTCGGAGGATCGATTGCGCCGCGAGGCGACTCGTCAATGGCCGACTCATCTTGTGCGCATTGCCTGGTCGTGAACTAATGAGCGAATCTTTGATGGTGGTGTCGGCTCCTGCCAATTTTTCCTCCGATCCAATGCTCCAACGGGCCGGGGTCCGGCGGTTCTGCCGAGGCTTTGCCGTCTCGCCCGCCTTCCTCCCGCCCCGAACCGAGATCGCAAACCAAAATTTCCTCGCGCCTCTTCCACCACCTTCCACCGTCCATTTTTCCTATCCCAAACGCCTCAATCCACGTTCAATCGTGTTCTGTGGAGGGCTTCTTGTCTCTTTGTGTTGTTGCAATCATGAACTCCCTCGCGAGAAGAACGGCACCCTCGGAAAAGGCCCTCTCACGGGCCTCCGCTCACCTCTCCGCCGGCACATGTCCCGCCTACCGGAGACTAGCCTCCCAGCTCTCACAGAATGCCGTTCGCGATGGCGCAAGGTCACAAGGCCCAATGCTGTCCGGTGCAGTTCGATCGCCGCTGAGATCTTCCTTCTTGCCCTCCGAGCTTCGCCTTTCCCCCACTTACACCGTCCAATCTCGCCTCTTCCACCTCTCCAGCCGTCTATCTCAAGAAGATAAGCCAAAGACCGAGAAGCCAGCCTCGGGTGCTGCTGCGACCGACGCCAAGGAGAAGAAGCCCGCCGAGGCCGAGTCAGAGAACAAGTCCGAGACCAAGCCTGAGGAGGAGCAGTCCAAGAAGACCGAGGAGGGTGAGAAGGGTGAGAATGGCGAGGATGCCAGCAAGGAAGGAAAGGAAGGCAAGGAGGAGGGTAAGGAAAAGAAGGAGGATATCCCTCCTCCCCCTCCTCACGGTGACAAGACTCCCTGGCAGGTATTCATGGAGACCATGAACACCGAGTTCCAGAAGTCGCAAGAGTGGAATGAGTCAACCAAGCAGATCGGCGCTGCCGCCAACCAGTTCGCCGAGAGCGAGGGTGTGCGACGTGCTCGCGAGGCCTACGAGAAGTCCACCGGCGCCGTTTCTTCAACTGTTACCAAGGGTGCCAAGGTGACCGCCAGCGCCATTGGCAAGGGTGCTACTTGGACCTGGGATACCTCAGTTATGAAGGGTGTGCGTAAGGCCGCCAACGTGACTGGTGACGCCATGGACAAGGCTACTCAGCCTATCCGAAACACTGAGGCTTATAAGGATGTTAAGAATGTCATCGATGATGGCAGCTCTTCACGATATGGTGGATGGATTGAGAAGGAGGAGCGCCGGAAACGCCGAGAGGCCATGGATAAGAAGAGAGGATTCAAGGCTGGCGAGGTCATGGAGGAGGATCCCAAGTGAGTTTACGTGTCTCGGTTTCGAGTACAATTCTAACATACGCAGTGCCGGAACCAGCGTCACTGTCCACAAGGATGCGGCGTGGAAGGAGGCTTGGAGAGATTTCCGTGATCAGAACCAGTTTGTGCAGGGTCTCTTCAGCATGAAGGGCAAGTACGAGGAGTCTGAGAACCCGCTTGTGTCGACAGCCCGAAGTATTACGGACCGTATCGCCGGCTTCTTTGCCGAGAACGAGACGGCCATGGTTATCAAGAAGTTCCGAGCCATGGACCCCAGCTTCCAGGTGGAGCCCTTCCTCCAGGAGCTCCGAGAATACATTCTCCCCGAGGTGCTGGATGCCTACGTCAAGGGCGAGACCGAGACACTGAAGCTCTGGCTTTCGGCCGCTCAGTACTCTGTGTACGAGGCCTTGACCAAGCAATACCTCCAGGCGGGCATGAAGTCTGACGGAAAGATTCTCGATATCCGAAACGTCGACATTCTGCGAGCGCGCATGCTCGACCCTGGTGAGGTTCCCGTTTTTATCATTACCTGCCGTACCCAGGAGGTCCACGTCTACCGCAACGCCAAGACCAACGAGCTTGCGGCCGGCATGGAGGACAAGGTGCAGCTGGTGACTTATGCCATTGGCATCACGCGAGTGCCCGAGGACGTCAACAACCCCGAGACACGGGGATGGCGTCTGATTGAGATGCAGAAGAGCGGACGAGACTGGTACTAAGGGGCTGCATTCACATCCGGCGTAAGGGGTTGGGGTGCACTTTGTGGATATCCGGAAGAGGGCGGTTCACGACGGTTCGCCTAATATGTGTTTATAACTGTACAATATGTGCCATCATGTGGGATTATCAGGGCGAGGGCATTCGACACGAACAACAAACCACACAACAACATCAAAACGAATGAGCATTCATGGGGAGAATGGGTTATGGGGCTGTAACAATCAGCAAACAAAAAGGACAAACCACGCCGCTCTGCTTGCCTCGGGATGAGGCTTCTTGTATGTATGTATGATTAACTGATGGAGGAGATGGATGACGATATCAAGATGGGTGGGAGTATTTACAAGAAAAGGATGGACTATAGACATCATAACCCAAAAGTTACCTTGAGTTTTCAAGGCCAATACATATTCAAGGCTTGAAGCCGACTAAGCAATCTGGTATATACGCCGTGCATTGAGGTATCATTCGTCCTTGTCCTTCTCATCCTCGTCCTTCTTGTCAGTCTCATTCTCACATGCGTCTTTCTCCTCCTTCTCCTCCTCCTTCTTCTCCTCATTCTTCTCCTTCTTTTGCTTCTTAGTCTCTCTCTCCTCACCTTGCTCTCTCAAAATCCTCCTCACCTCCATCAACTCCAACCCCAGCAAATTCTGCCCCCAACTCTCCCTCGCAGCCTCCGCATCAGCCGCCTTGAACCCAATCCCCCAAATCCTATCAAACGGACTCGCCTCAACAATCTCTCTCTCTCCCGTGCTTAGCAGCATCTCACGCAGCGACCCCTCAATGGGCTCATACTTACGCTTAACCGCGCTCTTACCCTTGGCGGGCGTACCCTTCTGAAACCCCTCCTCGGAGACGGCATTTGTAAACTTGAGCAGGTTGCCGCGGCGCACAATCTCGCGGCGGTGCGCGTTCCAGGTGGCCTCGTCAAAGTTGGAGACCTTGCGGCCTAAGGACTTTACCTCGCGGGGGTGTCCAGCGCGGAGGATCTGCAGGGCGACTTTTTCGTCGTTGAAGAGGAGGGCTTTGTGATGCATCATGTAGCTTGACCTTGGTCAACCATGATATTTCACTCGCAGCCTTTTTATCAAATTGTACTTACTGCTCGGCTGTCTTGTACGTCTTCTTTTCATCTCCGTCATCGCGAAAGGGACAGTAGTACCACTGCGAGAGGTATCCCGAGACAGGATCCGTCTCACGCCAAAAGTACAAGGGGTTTGACGAAGAAGAGCTTTCAGCCATTTTGCCCGATGCAAGTGATGAAAGATGATGATGATTTCAAAGAAGTCTGGACAATCTCCCAGCTGTCTTATAAGTGTTCAGCTGTATATTCATGGCTTGCGCTGTCAGCCTTACAGGGGGTGGAACTTGTTAGTGCAGGGGCTGAGTCCTCGCCGTTGACTCACGGACGGGGCGGGCTGGGGTTGGCGTCTTTGGTAGGTTGGGGTTTGTTTTCTGCCTGGACTCTTTCAGCCAGTGTCTCGGATGATGCCTGTTGAAGCATGGACCGTGAACTCGAAGATTGGGGTTGCGGGTATTCGAGATTGGCTTGGCACTAGGTGTTTTAATACCAGTGTCTCTTCAAGTTAACCATACCTGAACTGGCAGTCACTCGTGGTGATAGAATATCAATTGCGGAATTAGAAAGCTCATCTGGGATCAGGAACAGGCAGAAGCTGTAGATGGCCATTGAAGCAGGCAGCAAAAAATGAAACTGGAGTGTTACACAAGACATAAGCTTTCAGAACACTACATAAAAAAAATGGAGACTGAGGGATTTGAACCCCCGACCTTCTGCAGAAGCGAAGATGCAAAGCAGACGTGATTCCCCTACACCAAATCCCCGGTTGCTTATCATCGTTCGACTTAAACTTGTTGATGAGTGCTTGCTTCGCGGGCAGGAACCAACCCTACACCTTCGACGAGATCCTTTTTTTCTAGTTTGAGTTTCACGTATGACAATAGAGAGAGCTTTCTTAAGCTCCGAGATAATTCTACTATAAGTTCACTTGAAATCGCTTAGAAAGACTGCTTGGTAAAGATCGATGTAACTTGGTATAAGTGAAAGCCAACACGCAGCTCGCTGGTCTGTGAAGAGCACTCAGACGGCTCAACAGTTTCATTGTAACGAACCCATGTATGATTAATTGTATGATTCGGAGAAGATAGTTCTGGCTTGATGTATTTGGTCTTGTCGTCGCGGGGGAAATAATAGTTCTAGATTTGTATCTATAGCTTAATAGTCTATCCACGTCGATCTGTTCTCGTCCATGATGGAACTTCTCTCCTATACCATTTATTATACGCCCTAAGTAAATACCTTTCCAAACCATCATAATCCGACGATCGTCATGTTCCGCTCACCGACCCCGGGAGCCGATTGATCGAAGCACCTAGAAACATTGCGCAGCATGCAGATGCAGGCTCGTGCGAATAGACGGCCAGGTATTGGTGAATCCGACGCCAACTGCCGGCATCCGACATGGAGGGGCCGGAATCATGTGGGCACAAGCCGAGGAGCGCTGAAGCTCCAAGGCACGAGGTAAGGAGTAGACATATCGATGAGCAGGCAGTGAATAATTGACAGACATCTGAGTGCTTAAGTTAGAAGAGAGGACGAGTGGATGTCTATCAACTGTGACTTGTTGGTCCAAAAGCCGAAGCTACCAAAGCTTTGACCAGCACAAGGAATACATCAACAGCCACTGAATAAACCAACAAGATCTACTAATGTAGAACGAATTGATCTCTCAAATAAACCAATCCTCTGAAATTCCGACTGTGTGCATACAGTAAGCTTATCAATCAGTGTCCTTTACCGACACACACCTCGCACTTCCGGCCGAGACTCCCCCGCGTCGGAAGCCTTTCCCCTGTACTTTTTGTCAGAGTGGGGGAAGAAGTCCAGAGAAAGGTGTGGTCGGGGACTTCGGAATCTCAAACCTCAACCATTACACTCCAACGTCAACAACATCAATCGATACTCTCTGTTTCACACGAGGCATCGCATACCTTCAGACCTGCCATGGACCACGTCGAGCGCCAGATGGCTCAACAAGCCGCCCAAGACCTCAGCCTGTAAGCAATCCTCTGTCCTTTCTCTCCCCCCTCTAGCTAATCCAATTCTCCAGCTCATCCCTCGCCACGCCCCTCAACCTCATCCTTCTTTCCGCCGTCCTCTATACAGCTTACGCCCTGCTGCGCCCATCCCCGCCTCCCTCTCTCCCACGCGACGCCCCCTCCACCGTATTCCGCACATACACGCCGCACACATTGCTGCCCTTTAACGGCGAGGATGACAAGCCTGTGTACCTGGCTGTTCGGGGCCGCGTCTTTGATGTGACGCGCGGGCGCAACTTTTACGGCCCTGGAGGACCTTACAGCAACTTTGCAGGCCGTGATGCGAGCCGTGGTCTCGCATGCGGAAGCTTTGATGAGGATATGCTGACAAAGGACCTGGATGGACCTCTCGACAAGCTCGAGGGCTTGGATGGCGAGCAGATGGAGGCGCTACAAGGCTGGGAGGAGAGATTCCTGGAAAAGTACGATGTGGTCGGACGTTTGATGTCTGTCGCCGACGCCGAGAAGGCTTAAGAGGAAGCAATCATGTAGTAGAGACGCAAGCAGCAATCATATCTTCAACAAAAAACCCGGCAGTGAACCGCATTCCTTCATTACTATAACAAAGCAGATATTTCCCCTCTGGCGCATGGGCTCTATCCCGACAGGTCGTCTTACCCAGAAAAAAAAAAGTGTAAACAAGTAGTAGAAAATATTCAGAATCCACGCAACCAAACTCCGTGCAATGCCTCCTATACACTTTGTGCGTGGATGTACACACGCGACTCCCGAAGCAGACAGGTACTATATATCTTTAAAAGAAAAAAGTAGAGGCTAGTTCGCCAAGAGTAAGAGGAGGGGGAAAAAAAGGGAAAAAGAAAGAGTTGCTTCGTCAGCTTGAATCATACATTTGCACTCGACATTTCTAGAATCGTCGCTGCTTTGCGTACTAGGGCCGCCGTCTTGGCTATGATGCGTTGGGCGCTCCTCCAGTCTCCCGTCTCAATTGTGTCGCGGATGGCGGGGAAGAAGGCCGAGTCATAAGCCGACCAAGCTTGTGGTCCAAAGACGACGTGCCTGAACTGTGTGCGGTTGGGGATCTACATAGGTTAGCAGAGTTTCTTGATCAAGGGGATCTCATCACTTACACCACCGCCTAGTTCTAGGTCCAGAAGCGTCGTCTCAAAGTAGGCCATCTTGTTGTTGTACATCAACCGGGCGTTGCCAATATCGTTGGCCTCCCAGCCTCCGTTACCCAGGACCTCGCGGTCCCAGTCCATCTCCCACTTCTCAAAGCTGGCAGCGTTATTTTGGACGAGTGTGACGGCGTCCTTGAGCTCCTTGAAAGAGACTGACTTTGGCTGATTTTGCTGGCCTGCCCACTTTTCCAGGTCCGCTACCCACTGTCCCAGCTTCTGGCCATACCACGCCATATCGAAGGGCAGGATGGGACGATCAGCAATATCGAGGATGAGAAGGCCCATTAGTTGAGCCATGACACCGTGATACCTGAAATCGGGATCAATCACGCTCTCCACCAGGTCGAACTTGTCGTAGCTCGTGTGATAGGGGTATGCGCCGCCCTCGAATCCAATGTCCAGAGAGCTGGTGCCCGCGATATCCTGGAAAGCCACGTAATCGCTTCCCGCGCCTAGGCCCTCCATCTCGGCACCGCTCTGATCCCAGATTTTTCGCAGGGTGTCGTTGGTTTGAGGATCAATGACACGGGCGAGGGCGTGGAGGACAGACTTCCTGAACACAGGAGATCCCGATGCGCGGAATTTGTCGCCCGCAACAACCGTATCAAGGTTGATATACGCAAAGGCGTTGTCTCGCAGGTTGTCCAGATTTCTCTCGACATACTCGGTCGATCCAATAAGGTTGTACTCTTCAGCATCCCAAGACATGAACTCGATGGTTCTCAGGGGTCGCCATCCTCTTTGGACGAGATCGCCAAAGATTCGAGCCATCTCAATCATGACTGCCGTGCCCGAGTGAGGGTCAGTGGCTCCGAAAGCCCAGGAATCGCGGTGGTTGCCGATGATGATGGACTTGGACGTCTGCTCCATGCCGTTGATGCGACCATAAACGTTCCAGATAGGCTGCTTCTCTTCCTCGTCCTGGATGTTCTTCAGACGAACAATTGGTGACTTGTCATCACCCGTCCACCACTCAATCTCTGAAACACCGCCTTGCCATTTCTCGGGCACCTTTTCGCCGTGCCCCTTGAGGTGTTCCAGCAGCACCTTGGCGTCTCTCCACGCCAGGGGAAGACTGGGAATGTGGACCAAGCCAGGAGAGTCCTCTGGCTTCATCCTTGGTGAACTCTCCTTGCTCTCCCATCCAGGCGTCAAGACGTCACCAACGACCCAACTCATGAGACTCACAGATCCTCTCTGAACGGCGTCTTCGGGCATCCACGGGCCATTAGGTGCGACAGTGCCCTTCTTGAAACCGTCGTCTCCTGGGTCGCTATAAATGATGCAGCCTGCAAAACCAGCCATCTCGGCGGCCTTGACCTTGAGAGCTCGATCCTGCTGAGTTCCGCCATATCGGACAAGTGCGATAGCACCCTTGGTGTTGATACCCTTCTCTTTTAGCACCTTAAAGTCCTCCCTTGATCCGTAATTGGCGTAGATCAGAGGTCCCTTGACGTCGCCTGACTTGGAGTGTCCGTGGAAAGCATATGTCTGTCGTCCCGCTGTTTCGCCACCAACCTCCTCTTCTTCCAACTTGGCCGTCCAAATGGCCTTCTTACTATCCTTGCTGTCCATAATCTGCACTGCCCGACCATCCTTTTTGGGGTAGTTGATGTAGACATGGTACTCGTCCATAGACACCTCGTCGAGCATCGCCCGGCTGAACATACTCTGAACGTCCATGGCCGTCGCGTAATCACCTTCAGTGCCGGCGATATGGGCGTAATTGGAAAAGTGCTGCACAGAGGCGCGCATCCTTAGGGGATCGACAGTGCGTAGAATGTATTTTCGTAGATCATCCGGGTTGTAGCGGAAACCACCTCCCAGGCGATCTGATAGACCACCAAACATGTCGCTGGCGAATAGGAGATAGAAGAACCCGACGACGATGGTAATGGCGAGACTGCGCACGCAAAACAGGATAATTGCGGTCTTGTCAATCTTGGGCCAGTTAAACCTCCTTGTCTCGGTCTGCGTCTCCTCACCTTCGCCTGTGGCGGCTTCGGTATCATCTGTGGAAGCGGCCGGCGCATCGGGTCGTTGGGGGAGGGTTATTCGCAATCGGGGTAACCTTGGCCGCCAAGACCACTTCCACCGCGGCAGAGTCAGATATGAGCCTATTCGTTTCCCCCACTGGGAGCCCCGTGATCGATCGGGTTCCTCAATGTCCATCTCCTGCATCTCGCGCCGCACTTGAGCGGCCTCATCATCGCTGTCGCTGTCGCTGGCCCATAGGCTGTCCTCGTCATCAGTTTCCACTGTCGGCGGCCGGTAGCCGTCGGGTCTGCGGGAGGAGCCAGCGCCGCTCGAAGACTGAAGCAGACCTTGCGATTCTGCCTCAGTAGCATTCCGCTCGTTGGTCGGCGACCTGGGGGCGGGAGCCCAGTCGTCGGGATCATAGTGGCTCCCACTGGCTACAGCCTGGTCGTAGGTGGGAGGTATGGGATCGTAGAAGGGAGCCTTCTCGGAAGGCATGTTGAAGGCGTTGGAGCGCTACGGCGCCCTCGGTTCTTTTCAAGTTCGGAAGAGGATCGATTCGGGTGTCACAAGAGACGGGGGATAAGCGAGAAATCCATCCGCTGATGGATGGATGGATAGATGGATTCAGATAAAGGAGTGGGCGATTCGGATCGTGTTGGAGCAGTCTAGAGGCGACGTACAGATAAGAAATGAGCGTCAGGAAGGAAAGACAAGAGACAAACTCGGACGCCAGGATCGCATCGCCAAAGTCCGCAAGCCAAGAGCCCAGGAATACGCGATTAGAGTGCCTGACGTTGCGTACGGGCAAAAAGTTGAGCAGGTCAAATACGAGGGCGTGGATGCGACGGGGATGATGGCGAAGCACTGGAGTGTCCACGTAAGGGACCGGAGCCCACTATAACCCGCCGGTTAGTACGGAGGAACGGCCTTGGAGCTGGTGACTCTGGGGAGGAGAGCAGTGGCTGAGTGAGATGATCCGGCTTGGCAGAAGACGTTGGACGTCCAAGAAGCAGACCAGGGAATGTAGCAAATTCTCAATTCTTTTTTCATTCTGGTATCTAATTCATCAATCCCTTATCCTCTGAAACCCTCGTGATACTCGCCTTCGAGAGGCATCCAACGACGCCTGTCTCCTTCTCCTGAACCCGCCCGTGCACGCCACGCCAGGATTACCCCACAAAAGCTGGGATAAGGAGACACGCTAACTCGGAGAGGGAGGTGATGAACAAAGCAACTTGGAGCAACTCTACAGACAGAAATGATGGCACAAATCGGCAGTTGGCAGTTGGTTAATCAATCCCGGTAAACTAAACGTTTGAATCATGGAAATCGGCACGAGACCATCTTGACTGTTCCTCCTCACCATTCTCAGCCGCACCTAATATCAACATTACCCCTGAACTTTGCATCCAGCCAAGCAACGCCTCACTCGATAGGTAAGCAACAACAACAATCTCGCCGGCATGCCATCAATTTTCGGGCCAAGTGTACAGAGTACATATATACAACTACCTGCTCCCTCCTCGATCCACGCAGGCCAAGCATTATCTATCGCTATGACTTCACGTCCCATTCTCTTTCCACCTTCTACTACTACTGCGTCATGTCTTAGTTGGGGTACAGCACAATGCCCTCGTACTGTCGACTGCGGATATTCTCCAAGGTCTGGTGGAAGTGTCTCCGGCTGTTCTCGACTGAAGCCGAGTCCTGCTGGTTGCCTGCCAGGTTGGAATGGATAAGCTCGATGAGTCCATTGAGATACTTGGTTGTCACCTAACCGTATTAGCAGCTGCTCGAGATTTGCGTTCAAAGTACTTACCGATTCATTTTGCTGGTCAAAGTAATACACATAACGATCCAGGATCTCAACAAACAGTTCGATCGACGTTGCCGTCTCCATGCATGAGTCGGCCACTCGGAGAGCTCGCTGGAGGCACTCCAACACTCGCTTGCCATCACGGTAAAGCTAAACATGTTAGTTATGTGTACCATACTTTCTGGGACCCTACATACCTCGGTCTCCTCCGTCTCGCCGTTCGAAGTGATGGGAGTCGCCCACCACAGATGACTCGCCAAGTACACGGCTCTGCACTGATCAGGCTTGCGGAGAAGCTTGCTTCCGTGCTGCGCACACTTGGTGATGAGCGTGTCGTAGTTTTCCTTGCCAAAGTTTCGGGTCTGGTGAAGGGCAGTAGCAATTACACAGACCGCCTGGAACTGCGCCTTTGAGTCCGAGATAGCCTCTTCGTACACTGTAAAGGCTTGGGCAAAGAACTCGTAAGCCACCTCTTCGAAACCAGCCATGTCTGCTGTCTGACCAGCCGAGCAAAACAAGCGCAGCGCCATCTCAGCAGCCCCAGCGTTGTTGACGCGCGTGTACAGGGTGCTCAAAGCAGAGTGCATAAACTTGAATAAGGCGTTGCTCTGGGTCTCCCAGTTATCGTCAAAGTGTTCCCGCAGCTTGAATCTTCTCGCCAACTTCATGCACGCCGTCATGAGTGGTGGCGTGGTCGTGCGGATGCGCTCGTTACCTTCCGAGTATGCCTTCCTAGTCATCTGGAGGAGCTTGAACTGGGTGTCGTTATCCTCAGCATCTAGCAAATGCACTATCCGCGCGAGCCATCCTTGCTCCTCCATCGTCTCGTCTGTCTCAACAGGACGTCGCTGCGCAACGCCGGGGTATCCTTGAGGGGCCTGAGATCCCTCCTTAATAAGCACCTTTAGTACCTCGAGCACATTCTCGAGCTGAGCCGTGGTCGAGATCTTGGTCTGGTCCTTGAGCAACGTGCGAGCGACACCGCCGGCGACGGCACGGCGGGTGGGGTATGATTGCGACTGAAACAGAGGAACATAGGTGGGAAGGGACAAAGCAGTAAAGATGGAAACATATCGATCGATGGGGGCTTGCAGCAGGGCAAGCAGGCTCTGTTGAGCCGGGGGCGAGTGAAGATCGGCATTGTTGATGTTCTCCCGCACCTTGGTTGCCGCGTATGCCAGGATCTGATCCACGTAGTCTAGTCTGTCGGGATAGATGTTGAGCGCAAGGTTGCAAAGCGATACAAGTAGGGCAATAATGTCGGGAACGGCCAGATGCTGAGCGTCGACCAGGTTCTTGACCTGGGCGAAGAATACTTCGTAAAGCTGCACGCTGTCGGTGATCGATTCCTGGCCGTTAACAGCGGTAGTTTCTGTCTCTGCAACTGAGAGTGCTGACTCGGCGAGTGTACTAGAATCGTCGGCGCTGGTCTCCCCAGCGGTCTCTTCAGGGGTCTCATCTGAGGCTTTAGCAGCAGGCTCAGCTTCAGACTCGGCCTCTGCCTCACCCTCAACCTCGGTCTTGGATGACTCGCCAGCCTCCTCGGTCTTTCCGGCCTCTTCAGAAGACTTGGACTCTGTCGGAGCAGCTGGAGGAGTCTCCTTCTGGAGGCTGACCCTTTCCAAAAGCTTTGTCAGTGCCTCGGCCTCAACCTTAGCCCTATCGTCCGACTTGTCATCTGGACCGTCGCGCTCGGCATATTCAGATAGCCGGTCCATGAGACCAATGACGATGGACTTGACATTAACATGAGGGTTGAGGCGCGAGACGGCGCCGAGAAATTGGTCCAAGGTGTGTAGGTGGAACTCGTCTGGGAAAACTTGCGTAATCACCTCGAGAAGATATTCCTGGGCGAGAACGTCCCGACATTGAACCACCTGCTCCAGAAGGGGCGCCAGAATGCTGGTCTTGTAGGTCTCGAGGTCGACAAGTTGGCTCAAGCGTACTATGTTGCTGCCAACTAGAAGCTGTAGCTCCTTTCGTTCCCGAACCCTCTGCTCGCGCTCTCTCGAGTGACCCTGGTGCTGCAGCCGGACCCATAGCTTGTTCATCTCGACGAAATTTGTGAGCACAAAGTTGATAGAATCGCTGAGGTTACCCTCAGGGCCGTCACCCTCAGTCGTCGGCAGGAAGTCCCTCGCTTGACCTGACAGATAGTACCGGAGGAAGAGGCCGCGAATGGGATGCTGAACACCTCGGCTCATGTCCATCATGTCTTTCATGAGCTCCTTGACGGGCGCATCCTCGATGGCCATGTAGGCCGTGCCGACTGTAATCATAAGATACAATCGTGGAATGATATTGCCAGCGTATTGAACAAGTTCGTACAGGTCGGCGAGATGGTTAACCGGATGGTTTTCGCGAAGGTGAACCGACAAGTAGCGCAAAGCGTCAAAAACGGCCATGTATAGTTCGTAGTACTGCTTGGGGCCGAGACTGCTGGTGCGAAGCTCGGAAACGAGAGTCGAGCTATGCCCATTAGCGACTTTCTAGGGGATTGAGACGGGCAGCTCGGTTGTCGACCTACCAGCACTTGAGGGCATCCATGAGCTTCCCGGGTGTGTCGAGACATTTGCGCATCAGCGACGTTTGCTGTCGCACCGCAACGAGGGCATCCTCAAGCAGACGGGCCTGGTCTTCGGGGGGAGCTGGCGTGGCCATCTTGTAGAGCTATTGCAGCGGGGTAGCTTGGAGCAGGTCGGAAGAAGCCAGGCTCCTAGCAAGTCATGAACTTGCGACAATGAGAAGCACAATGGCGAGGGAGATGGCGGCGATGTTGGGATCGAACGGAGGCGCCGGGTTGTCGTCGATGGGTAAGTGCGCGCGAACAAGGCGCTGGGCGATGACGATACGGGGGAGGCTGAGATAATGAGTTGGGCCTAGCTCGCTGATGGACAGCACTGTACCTGCACGTCTTTAGGCGGCAGGGGCTGCTCCCAGCCACACGACGACGGGGCGGGAGCTTCAATTTGTTGGCGCAGGGTCCTATCACGTGATTGAATGCGGGTGCCTGAGTGCTGAGGCGTGTGGGTTCACTTCCATGTTGATTCGGTTCACCGAATGGAACGGGCGCAGGAGAACAAAAGTGGTGAGAGCTTCATAGCCGAAAATGAGATATCAAATTTCACTCAAAACATATCTACTCGAGTCGTTCCATTCTTTTTACCATCTTTTTTCTCATTAATTCATAAAGATGTCATTACAATGATAGGCTGCGACAGATTACCCGATGCGCCAATGTCAGTTACGACCGTTCGTACTTGCCCTACCACTTGATGCAACCCAACTCCTCGCGTTCTGTCTTTACCGCGCCTCGTTTTCGACAATCTGACTTCCCCTCAACTCCTCTGCTTAACACGACTCAATTCAGCTTGTCAGACATCCGTTCCGTTGACAGTTCTTCGACCGCCCAAAAGAACCCGTACCGCAATACTTTGCTTTTCCAACTCGCGCAGGAATACCCAAATCATCTCGCAGGAAATCCACCAGCGACGTCTCAATCGACGCCGAGAACGCAGCTAGGACCAGCATCATGTTCGACTGAGGGTGCGGCAGGTGGTGAATATCCGCAACAATCTCCACCTCCTTGATCGTCTTGACAGACGCCAGCTCTCGCGCCCACTCGAGGCTGTCGTGTCTAGTCGTATACAACAGCCTAAAGTCGGAAACAGTCAGATTCTGCGGTCCATCCCATGGCCCTCTTGGCCGGGCACCTTCGATGACGAGTGTCAGCTTATCCAAGCCCTGGGAGTCTCGGAGAAAGCGACAGACTGAAGACCAGTCATATGAGTCTGGCTCAACAGTATTGGTTGGGCTGCGCTTGTAGAGACTGATCTCTCGAACTAAGTCTCTAGTGCGTGGTGTCTTATCAGCGAGGAAAGGCACCACGGCCTCCAGGTCCTCGCCAAAGTGGAAGGCGTGTCTTGTGTACAGAAAATGGGACGCCTCTTCCCGGATTTTTCTGTTGATGTGCATGACCGCCGTGTGCATCGCTCGATCGGTTTCGCCGTCAGCGCAGTATGTTGTTTCGTATGACATCTTGGCAAACGACCGCTCCACGATGTGGTAGGCGGACCTTTGACACTTTGAGCGGCGAGCCTGATACTCGCACTTCGATTGATTCCGGATCGCGATATCTCTGTTTCCGCCATTGTCGAGTAGGTATTCGTATATCAGCATGCGAATTTCCGGAGGGATTCGCATGAGCATGGGCTCCTCAGTAGCCATGGTGGTTCAGGTCGGCTCGCCACAACCAGGACAAAGGCAAAGACAACAGGATCCCAGAAATTCTTGGACTGGGAGGGATGCTCGTTTTGAGGACAGCTGAAAATTGGTGGCCTCAATGATTGGGCCAGCGAATGGCGTCGATGAGTTGCTACCACAATGACGGATGATGACGGGCAAGGCAAGGGGTCTCGCGTCAGACGCCACTAGTTGTCAAAAGAGCAAGTTTGCGCAAAGATATGGAGGTTGGGCAGGAGACAGCATGTCCCTCGACGCGGGCGGAGGCTGGACACTTATTTATGTGTACAGTCCAGCAGCGCAAGCCGATCAGCAATGTTGAGCCAAACGAGGCTTCAGGGTGGTCCATCAAGGTGCCCACTCCCCGGACCTTGAACAACTAGGCCGAAGCTCGGCTTTGTCGAACCATCCATTCAAGACGGGACCAAACCGTCAAGCCTCATCGCAGCCCAGCTAGGTCTTTGTAGGTAGTCGGCTCTTGGTACATATTCTGCGGATGCGGATGGTGGGTGTGAATCGGCGCTGGAACACCGTCCCGGCGCATCAAGACCCCGAAAACCGTCTATGCACAATCAGCCGTTCCAATTACAGAGCGCTTATAGGTGAAGGAAACCCATCCACCCCGGTGACAGGCCTCCCCGTCCTTGACCGACAGCCCATGGGGGTCACCTTGCTTCCTCCGCCTTCGCTGACTCGACCGACCCGTCATCCTCACCGCTGACCCCACGGTCCCACGGTCTGGGTAACGTCTCGTTTGCTATCGCATAGGGTAGTTGGCTCTCCTGACATGGCCTGCGATCTTATGATCCAGGGTGGGTTAGCTAAAGAGGTTTCTTTCGCTTCAGTTTCTGTTAGTAGTGATGTTGCAAGGTCAACAACTGCCTGCCAACTGCTGCCCAATAGAGGTATCGAGAGGTGCGGTTGCGGCTGCGCAAAGATTGGCTATCCACTGACTGGAATAGACTGTGACCCTGCCGATCATCCATCGTGCCCTTGCTGCTTGCAACCCAATTCTGTACGGCATCGCAGAGGGTCCCACTAGCATGCAACTTTGACCCAAAACTCGGAATGACGAGACGGGACTGGAACAACATCTTTGTTACAGTCGGATGTTGACGGACCAGCCATCATCCGAGTTGCAGCGGACGCTAATGAAGAGACGGGGCTAGAGAAGCTGCAGCATTTATCTTGCCTTATCCGAGCACGCAAGCTTCGAACTTTGACTAGAACGGGACGACTCTTTCACTTTGAGTTGGAGATGGCGCGTCTCTCGCGCTTCGAGAGACCAAAGTAATAAGGGAATTGGCCCCATCAGCGAAGGGAAATACCGGAGGCTCGATTCCTATCTGCTGGCAAAAGGCCTTTTCCCTTGGTCAAAGAATGGAACCTCTTAGCCATTGGCCTTGTCATGATCACGAAACTATCAGCAAGAGATCCATGTCATGCTTGTTTGCGGTTACTCTTCAGGGATCCTCGTTCGGAAACTCTCGCGACCACACCTTGATCACTCCGGGATGCTGTGCTACGGATCCATCAGATTTCTCCTGTGACTTGACTGCGTGAGGAGCGCATCGTGAGCCGCAAATCGCGAGCCGCAAGCGTTGCGCTGCAACCAGCCTCCACCGGGTTGCATATCGAATTGATGATACCTTATCACACAGCGGGCGCCACCCTGCTGCGATATGTCCGTTCCTTGGGCTGAAGAGGCTGCCGTCTTACATTAGCGCCCACTCTTGGCCCCGTTCATCTGCGGCATTGCGCGGTGACACGGCGTGCTAAAGGTGAAGGGCAGAAGGCATTGCACATGGACCGGGTTGCCATCAACACCAACAAACAGGCGAGCTAGTGGGGAATCAATCGACTCTGGACCCTCGCTACATCCTTTTCACCATCCAGGGGGAGATGATGGTGGCACGTCTTGACGACCATGTCTTATTCGCTGGGCGTAAATCAGCCATATCAGCGACTCTGCCGAGACACGTGGGACGATGGTACATGGACGATCCGCAAGGCAATCAATCATCTCACCTTGAAGCCCAAAATGTCGAATTCGTCAGTGCGTCGTCGGTCGGCAGGCGGACATGCACATTGACCTTGACCAGCAGAATTCGACGCTTGGTAAGGATTCCCTTTCTCACCGCGGGCCGCGGGTGGGGGTAGACGTCTGCCGGAGGGCTCAAGGTGAGGGAGGATATTCAAGAGAGAGGTCGAACAAGAAAGACCAATCCTGGATGGATATGTCCCTTCTCCATGCGCTCGCCAAAGCGCCTTACGATCTTGGAGTCCCCGGATTGACTCCAGCATCTCTTAAGGCTAAATGTCAAAGGCGACAGATTTGCTCGGGGGAAATCTGGGAATCTCGGCCAAAATAGCGGACACCTCGCTCGGTGTCTGTCCTCTCATTGTCGCTGCTGCTGATCATTCTTCTAGAAAGCCGCGTGGGATGTTCAGGGATGATGATCCCTACTAGCGTCCATGCACGCGTGGTGGCACCGGAATATCTCATGATGACCTTGAGCCGCTTCTTGATTCAGTCACCACATGCGATAACGTCTTTGTTTTATCTCGTCCGCGTACAGTTACAGTGCCGTTCCGAGACATTCCTCTCTGATGGCCCCCCCAGGTCCCGCAGCGACCTTACTGGCTTGCTAGTCGGAACTATGCCGAGACCATTCTATATCCGCGACGTTGGTGTGTCATCCCGCGATGCCTCAGTTCATCATCGACGCATTCGTCTCTACTGTATGCTGCCTCACCTCACCGCCGCTGGGAAATGTTGAAGGGCCACCACGGAGCCGTTTCTCAGCCGACAGGGGTGTGATCAAGCCATCCGTGACGCGCTTGTGCAATCGGAGAGGTTCCGAGAATCGGGAGTTGGCGAGCGGCTGAGCCTGTTTGGCGCTGAGGTCTAGCATAGCGACGTTACTGCAGGGGTCCCTGCCGGTGACGGGCTGGCCCGGCGTGTCCTTGAGCTCGGGATAGCTTCTGTTGCCGTCTAGATGATTGATGGCACTTGGTTGATTAGATCTAATGGTGCACCTTGATCAAGCCTCATGACGCGCTTACCATTGAGGAGGGTTGCTTTGTATTTCTGAGCTAGCTTAAGATCAGGCGCCGCTGCCATTCATAAGAAGAGGAGGACCCCGGCGCTGAGTGAGAAAGAGACCATCTGGTTTGACTGTTGGGTGGGAGATCACGGGGGTTGGCTCACCATGTTGCATCCGTGGTGGCATTGCCAAGGGCAGAATACTCTCCCAACTCTCGTTTGCTGGCTATGTGGGCAGATATTACTATGTAGGCCAGGGGCTGCCAACTCGAACTCCCTAACAAGGTCGGGACCGTCTACAGAGTGAGTACGTGGATAAGATACTTTGTGGGCACACTGCATAAGGGGGGGTAGGAATATTCTGGCCCAGTTGGGCATGCATACGCGCTGCACTATCGAAAGTAGGTCTTGCCTTCACTCCTGGCTACACTCATGCCTCGAGAGGAGCGGTGTCTGTGTAGTTTCCAAACGTGGGATCTCGCCCTCCCTCAACCCCGGCCTCGAGCACAAGTCTTCTCAGCTCCTGCTCCTCCCCCTTGCTCACCGTCACTCGCGACGCTCCCACGTTCTCCTCGAGATACTTGATCCTTTTGGTGCCGGGGATCACAAACACGCGTGGGCTCTGCTCCAGCAGCCAGGCGAGGACGAGTTGCGAGGAGGTGTGCCCCTTTTTCTTCGCCAGCTCGTTGAACTTGTCCACGATGACGAGGTTCTTGCGGAAGTTTTCCCCTTGGAACCGAGCCAGGTTCTTTCTGAAGTCTCCCTCCTCAAAGTCGTCGACTGAGCGGTACCTGCCCGTCAAGATGCCTCGTCCAAGGGGTGAGTAGGCAAAGACGGACACGTCTAGCTCCTCGCACGTCTTGAGGAGGTGTGTCCCCGAGGGGCCCTCAATGTCAAGCGTCCAGGGGTTGTACTCGACCTGCACGGCCGAGATGGGATGTACTGCGTTGGCACGGCGGAGCGTCGTGGACGAGACCTCTGAGAGACCCAGATACTTGACCTTGCCCTCCCTATTCGTTGTTAGCCCCCCTTTCTGCTGAATACTGCTTTAGGTCAACTCACTCTACCAGTTGCTTCATGGCCTCGACCGTCTTCTCGATAGGCACATCCTCCCTCGCTCGATGCATGTAGTAAAGATCAATGTATTCAACACCGAGCCGCTTCAGACTTCTGCCAATACATTCCCTCACATACTCAGGCGACGAATCAGTCACGAAGTTGCCATCAACCAGTTTGAGCCCAAACTTGGACGCAAGAAAGATGTCCTCGCGGCGCTCAGGGTGCAGCTTGAACCACTTGCCGATGAGGTCCTCGCTGTCAGCATAGGCATCGGCAGTGTCCCAGTTGGTGCAGCCCAGCTCCCAGGCGCGATCGAGGACCTTGAGACGCTCCTCATCTGATCTGAGGGTCGTTAGTGAGGGAGTGTTGATGTCGTCTTGGGGTTTACACACTCAGTGGCACCGTAGCCGATGCTGATACCCATGAGACCAAAGCCTACAGCTGGGATCTTGGGTCCATTCTTGCCGAGTTGACGGAGGGGAAGTTGAGCAGGAGGAGCCATGATGTTTTGTAGACCAAGTGAAGCTTAAAGATGTAGATTTCGGAGTTATGGTGTAAGTGCCAGTTGAAGATGTCTGTCTGTTCTGTCTGCTCCAAACAATCCCTCAACGAAGTTCTCCAAGCTCCTCTTTATACTTTTCCCCTCTCCAATTATACCTCCGCCATTCATCCAAATTTCCGTCAAAACATTCTGTCTTCCGGTGTCAATCCGTAGTCCGGACCTTCAACCCGGCCGAAAGACCCCGTTGTCTCCGGCGCTTCGGCCATCGTGCATGAATGACTAAGCTCGGCACTCGGCCGACTAACCACGTCTGGCAACAGACCTCGAGGTTTTGCGGGAAAGGGTCTCGAACAAGGTTTTTACGAGGTGAGGGATGATGGCAAGATTGTGTGTTGGGCCAATTGATAGGGGAGGACGGAGAAAAGTGTAAAGTCCGAGGTGGTTGTTGAACAGTTGCATAACGTTGATGCTTGGATATTCAGGACAAAACCAACGTCATAGAAACGAGCATAGCAACAAATTAAAAGGCAATAGTTCTTTTCCAATGCAAGGTATCTCGCCCCAAAACTATGAAAAACGCTGCTACCATTACTCAACCCCTCATCGTCTATTTCGTCTTTCGTCGCGCCTTGAACGTCTTGAGGGGATCCCGTTTCCTGGACCCGACCTTGAATCCCCGACCCTTCTTCCCCTTGACCTTGCGGTCCTTTCTCATGGCCACGAAACCTATGTCCTTTGTCAAGGCCTGCTTGCCGTCCTTGGGGAGGAGGTATTCGGGCACGTGCTTCAGGTGAGCCTGCTGTCTGGCGGTTCTGAGTTCTCCGTCATGACGAAGGTGTGTGAGTTCGGTAGGATTCTCCTCAAAGTACCTGGTATTGTTTGTCAGTACAAGTAGTTATAAATCGGACATCAGATGTAGACATACCGCTTCAGCTTTTCACTCTTGAGTAGCTCCTGTCTCAGCTCCCTCGTTCTCGCCTCTCGGATAGCAACCTTGGTAACGGCACGCAGGGCATCGTTCATTCGGTATCGGAAAGGATCAACCTGTTCCATGTTGAAGTTGTAAGGCTTCACCTCCTTGCCTCGCTTTGCCTGTTGCCTGATGATCTTGGCCATGACCTTCTCATCCTTCTCGGCAGTTGGTGTTGAGGTGGGTACGTGTTTTCGGTAGAGCTCCTTGGGGACAACAAAGGATAGGGCCATGCCGGTCTGTCCAGCTCGGGCTGTACGTCCTATCCTGTGTGTGTATGATGATGCTGTGGTGGGAAGATCAAAGTTGATGACTGCCGACACCTTCTTGAAGTCAACACCTATCGTCTGTGTTAGTAGATGATCTGATATGCCTCGAAAGATGGACTGGCGAGTCCTTTGAGTAGTGGATGAATCGCATACCTCTTGATACACCATACTCCTTGTCACCCTTGGATTTCTTGGCCTTCTTCTTTGGTCGTTTCGCCTCTACTTCAGCATCGTCATCTCCCTCAGCCTTCTCCTTGGCCTCCTCTCCCTCAGCAACCTCGTCGTCACCCAGCATATCGTTCTTCTCGTCAGCGGCGATAATAATGTCGTACACATTTCGGTTGAACTCCTCCACAACGTGCACTCGCGAGTTCAGGGGAAGCTCCGAGTTGAGAATACAGCTTCGAATTCCGAACTGCTCAAAGAAGAGCTTTAATCGGTAGCATCGGTCAATGTCACTGACAAAGATGATGCATTTGCCCTTGATGAGTCGGAGCTTGAAGATGACATAGGCCAGAAGGAACTTTTCGTCTTCACCACATCTGTAGACTGTTAGCAATGGTGTCGCATATGCAGGAAACCACTGTGCACGTACTTGGCGACAAACTGAGTGATGCCCTCGCCTTCAGCCTCCTTCTCCTTCAGGTCCAGCAATGTCGGGTCGCGTCGGAAGATTCCCTTGAGCGTATCAACCTCATCGGTGAGGGTCGCACTCATCATCATAACCTGAACACCCTTGGGAACGGATCGTGAGAGGTTCTCCAAGTCCTCACTGTATCCGTAAGAAAGGACAAGATCCGCCTCGTCGAGGACCAGATGTGTGAGCTTATCGAGCGAGAGGGCGGATGAGTTGACATTGTGCCAGGCGGTCGCGGGAGTCGAAATGACAATATCGGGAGAGTTGGAGAGGAGAGCGCGCTGGACGGCGTTGGAGACCTTGTCGGTCAACTTGACGGTGCTGATATCTTTGGCGCAGAAGCTGGCGAACTGTTCGATGGCCTTGAAGACTTGGTCGGCAAGCTCGCGAGTCGGTACGAGGATGAGAGCGGATGTGAAGGCAGTAGAATCGGTCTGCAAGAACAATGGTTAGTGAACTGTAGGATCCCCGGCTTGAATGGTACATACAGTCTTGCGCTTCAGGATGCTCGACAGCAGAGGCAAGACATAGGCGGCAGTCTTTCCAGAACCGCAATCAGCCTTTGCGAGAACATCCTGACCATTAAGAGCAAGCGGAATGGCCTTGCGCTGCACAAGAGTAGGCTTGGCAAACTTTTGCTGCGCGACGGCCTGGAGAAGTCTAGGATCAAGACCAAGATCAGCAAAGGAAGTCTCTTCCTCTTGCTGCTGCTGAGCAGGCTTTTCGACCTGTGTCTCGGTGGGCTTCTCGGCGGCTTTCGACTCTTCAGCCTGATCGCGCTTTCTCTTTGTGGCTCCCATCTTTGAATTCGAGGGTGTCGAGATTGTCGTGAGGAGATGGTGGAGGAATTGTCGATTTCTCAGCGAGACCTCGATAATCTTTCTTGGGTCTCGGTGCTCCTTCCTCCAAATTTCCAACTGACTGAGGGGCAGCTCTGGGCGGATCATTACGTGATTGGCTTGTCACAAATGCACCTAACCTTTTACGGCGTAGTCTACAAGCCTCGGAAAAACTCACTGGCCTTCATGAACTTTTTTTTTCTTATCGGTCTTATCGGTTTAAAAAAGCCTGCCTGCGAACAATACGGGTCGCGACTGGGAATAGCTTCATTTTTCTCCTGACACTTGATGTTTTCCAGCTCGGACAGCAAAAATGTGAGTTTCACTCTATGTGACTAAATCTATCCAGTATTTATTAAGGGGGTGATAAGTCCATTATCTTTCAATGAGTTCTACCTCAAGTGTCGGTGGACTATATCTACTGCCGTCTAGGTACGATACAGTCAAGTCTATCACCGAATGTTAATAAGCGAGCAAGGCTTGCTTTCACAAGGCACTCTCAATTCAAAATTTCACATTCAATGGACTTCAGCTCGGTGATCATCAACGATTTATATTCATTTATTCGCTCAATTCGATATGTCCCTAAATCCCATGGCCTTATTCCCTGGCCTACAAACACTCAAAAAAAACATGCTCTATATCGCTTTATTTTTCTTTTCCCTGTGGCACATTTACCACTTGAGGACGCGCTGGGGGAAGTACTCGTCAATGAGCTCCATGTAGTAGGGCTTGAGCTTCTCAGCATCAGGGACACCGTCGCTCTTGGAGTACAGGTCATAGGGGTTGAAAGCCTGGACAGCCTTGATCATCTCGTGGTCCTTGTCGCACATGAGGTGGCGGTAGGCGCCCTCGCGGTGCCAGGGGTAGAAGGAGTGGTAGCGGATCATGGCCAGGGCCTCGTCGGGGAGGGTGGACTGGTCCTTGACGACGTGGTAGAGGTACTCGTCGTGGCCCCAGCTGAGCATGATGTTGTCGAGGCCGCAGTTGGGAGAGTAGATGCCGTACTTGGTGTTGTAGTCGGGGTTGCTGGCGTCAGGGTTACCCTCGGCGAAGGTCTCAGGGTAGATGATCTTGTCGCTGAAGGCGCAACCAACGGGGAATGTGTCTCCCACCACATCCCACTGACCCTGGGTCTCGAGCTCGGGGAAGAAGAGCATCAGCTTGCCCAGGTCGTGGATGAGGCCGGTCAGCTGCATCCAGCGGGGCTTGCCGTCGCGGCGGATGGCCTCGGCGGACTGGAGAAGGTGCTGAATTTGGGAGAGAGAGGTGTCGGGGTCGGACTCGTCGACGAGGGTGTTGAGCTTCTCCATAGCCTCCCAGATGGTCATCTCGGCGCGGGGACGGGTGGCATTGTAGAAGCGGTTGCGGGCAGCAAGGTTGTAGGAAACGGTTTGCTTGTGGTGCTGCTCGCGGTAAAAGTTCTTGACGCGGTCGGTGGCGTCGGCGTACTGGCGGAAGGTGTTCTTGTCCTTTTCGGTGTCAAACTTGGACTTTTCGTCGTACTTGATGACGTTGACGTCGTCGATCTTGTCAGAGAGGACCTCGAGGGCCTGGCCGTCGTGGCTGGTGAAGTCGTCGACAACAGCGCCGGGAGCCATTGCGAATTGATGGAGTGTGTGTAAGTGGTGAAAGGGGTGAAGGAACTGTGATTGATGTTTTGAGACAAGCTTTGGATGTGCTTGCTATGTTCAAGGGATTGCTTGAGAGAGGATGATGAGTCTGGAGAATAATCGATTCAAGGTCGTGTCTCGAGGGTCTTTATGTAGTTTCTTGTCTCTTCCATCTCGAGTTCCATCTCAACGAGGTAGATGTCCCCATATCAGCATCCACACCAAGTTTGCATATCCTTCCCCCGCACAAAGTTGGATCTTGCCTCCGCGTCATGACCAATCTGCGTCATCCAAGTGGGTGTTTGGCCTCGTCTTCCCTCACAGAGTTGGCCTCGATGTGGTTGACTCTGCCCTCGCCGTGGCCGACGTCTGGGGACGGGTGGATCATGACCGGAAAGAGTTTCTCTGTTTAGAGGTCTATAACGGGTTAGATCCGCCGGGAGACGCCATATGGCATCTTAACCTCTCCACGTTCCTTTACCGTATTCTCCTAGAGCCGCCGGGCATATCCTATTCGGGCTTCAAACACACCCTCAGATGCGGCTCCACCGAACTAGAATTAGCATCATGGTTCTCTCATGTGGAGAAGAACCCAGATATTCCGGGGCTGGAATCTGCAAACCACGTTGAATTGGATGAGCCTCGATTCGCCGAAAACCTCTCATCTCTCTGTCTCCCCTGTCTCAGCTCCAACTTTTTTTTTTCTTTCTACGTCACGCGGGGAAAAATGAACCGGTAAACGGACCCGGGTCACGGCCGGAGCTGGGCGATGAAAGACAGCTCGGAGAATGTTGCTTGACAGGTACCAAAACAGGAACCGGCCGGGCCTGAATCTTGGATGCTGGACCCTTGGTTTTGCCTCATGGCCATGCACACGAGTAGATCTCTAGATCCTCCAGTGCTGCCTAGATTGGTAATTCTCGGCCGAGCATTGGCGCCCGGAAAAGACTCTAGAAGCTTACCACGAGTGTAGAAGCCTTCTTTACAAGTTGATCACCTGGACCAAATGTGAATTTCTCAAGTGAGACAAGTCAAGGGTCCATTCTAGAAGACCCTCAGTTACAACCAACAATGTACGGTCAGTTTACGAGCAAGACAGGAGCCGCAGTCTCGTTCACACACGCCCAAATCCCTTCAAGATCCATATCGATCGTGCATGTATCCATACTCTTCTCACCTATCAACACCATCGCGTTAAACATCATGGCCTGATTTTACCCCAGCTGGTCGCCGCAGACTACCCCATGCGTGCGCCTGGACCTTGCGTAGGATATAGTTCCCCCCACGAGATGAGAGAGCATGACCCGGGGAAGCCTTGCGATCTCAAGTGCCGGCCTGCACCTTGACATGGATGTTGTCGTCTCGAAAGCATCTCCATGTTCAAGATCATCTTATGACCTCAAAATTAGCAACAACTTCCCGGCCCTTCCTCTCATTCAATAGTTTTCGCCCCCCTCATTTCTAGTTTCGGGGAAATCTTTCCAAGATCGGCCCTCCCTTTCTCATCCCAACGGCAATTCTGTCCGGGTGGGACCTGAAGCTAGACTCGTTTCTAGTTAGATCCGGAGAAGACTTGGAGGGTAGATGCCAGATTTGGAAAGACGGGCCGTAGCTTTTTGAATCACGATGCATCATATTGCTTGTGTGTGGCTTCTTTGTATGGACCTCGAGTGTTTGAGGGCCAACACCAAGTCAGCCGGCAATGCAACGTCGCGTGGCCCAACTTGCATACTCGAGTGATGATATCTCGTCTTGGTGGAAAGTTGTTGTTGTGTAATTATTTCGGTAAAGCAATTACCTACTCTTTTTCGACCTTCGTTCATCCTCTACTTCATCATCATGCGATAAAGAAGCCACCCAATGTCCGAGAGCAAGCGAGTCAACTCCGATCCTTCATGCTCTGTTATTCAGTTATCCAATTGAGCCAGGCCTTCTGTGTCTCCAGCTCTTAAAGACCCTACCCGGAGCTGAAGGCGTATCTGTGTGCGTCGTTTTACTCACCCGAAAACAGGATCGCTCTAGACGCCCAGACAACTCTCACTCGACTTTATGGCCACCCTAAATCCGTCATCATGGAGAGATGGCCTTGCCTGGATGAACGCTTAACGGCCCGAGAAGGCGACAGTTGGTGCCAGGGGATGGCCTTGCCTGGTGCCAGCACCTACATACATATGTACGATGAGCGATCTTGCCTCGCAAGCCACTTGAGTGTATGTACTGCACTGTAAGCACCAGGATTTCGGCACTTGGCTTCCAGGACCGGCCCTGTTGCGCGAGTTGCTGCGCGTGACAAGGACATGCCCCAGTCAAACAGTCTCATCTGCCCAAGTTGGTAAACAAGGGCCAGATGTTGGTCGAGGTAGAACTAAGTGTCAAGTAGGTAATCAGGGTCACGGCCGATGTTAGAGTTGTCCTGCTTTCGCGGTACAAAATTCAACAATTTCTCTACCAATCTGGCGCATATCCTAGTTCCCTTGGATATGCTTTTCATCTTTTCTAGTCTCAAATACAGAACAATTTCCATGTACTTTTCATCTCCATCATCAACTTTGAATCGTCGACTTTTGCATTATCAAGCACTTCTCTAAGCCGCGCCACCGCGACCTCCAACTCCCCATTGTGCCTGAGCCTGCGCAATTTCGGCCGCGATGGGAGGCAGCTCGCGTCCCCTTCCGGTTGGCATAGGCATAAACTTGATCTAGGCTAGGAAGCGCAGATACCTTCCAATGTCCTCGCGGGTGATACCCTCGCCCGCACTATCATCGACGCCAGTCCAGCGGTCGGCATCAGCCTTGAGCACGGCTACGGCGTTTCCGTCGTCAAGCTCAGGGGCGCGGGTAGTCAAAGGCAGGTTCGAGGTTGCCATATGAAACAGAGGCATGAGGGCGCTCTGCTCCTGATCCTTCTCGGTGGAACCGGCAGACACAAACTCTTCCACTCCTCATAGTCCACCTCGGGAACCTTGTAGCCATAGTACTCCAATGCCGAGAGGAACTCGTTCATACGGAGTCTGGGGTGCGCCGTGACGTGGACAACGTTGACGCTGGGTAGACGGTTGAAGGCCGAGGCAATGACAACTCTAGCAACGTGGTCTACGGGAACGGCGTTCACCGAGTTGATGATCAACGGTGTTGTGCCCAATTGAACACAACCCTTGCAGAGTCTGATCAGGAAATCATCCGTGTTTGAGACACTATTTTCACGGCTACCGAGAATGTATCCGGGACAGTCAACAGCACCCCGGAGCCCACGCTTGCCAGCTTCCCGGACGAGCTGCTCAGACAGCTTGAAACGGTTAGCTTGATGCATCCCCTCTGTAAGAGCACTGACCCATTTAGTTTGGCCATGGCCAGTACCAAGGTCAACACGGCTTCCCTACATGTCGTCGGCTTCAAGTACCGCTCCGCGTCCAGTCGCGGTTTACTCGTGAGACAAATTGACGTAGTGGTCAGTGTCCAGAGTCGAAGTCGATGATACGAAAGAGAATAGCTTGGGCTTTCCCTCGTTACAAAGCTTCATTGCGTCAATAGTAGACAGAACGTTGGGGCGCATCATCTGCTCGTATCGAACGATCCAATGAAGATATGCCGCGTTATGGACCACGACATCCGCTGTCTCGGTGACATGCTTCCAGCTGGCATCGTCAAGACCAAGACGAGGCTTGGAAAGGTCGCCAAGAACGCATTCGATCCTCGTCCTGCTACAGACTATAGCCCTTGAGTGACCTCGTCAGACGATCCTTGGCAAAGTCAAGTCCCTTGGCTCCACGAATGTGCGCGATGAGCTTCGTGTTCTCTCTGCCCAGGATCTCCTTGACAAGGTAGGCGCCCAAGAAACCTGTAGCACCAGTGAGGAAGAATGTGGCACCACTCGATGGGCTCAGAGTATCCGGATCCGCACTCTGGTACTTGTCGTCAAGTGTGTTGATCAGCTCGCCAAACGACTCGGCGTAGGCGCTGTCGATAGCCTTGTCAACTGTAACAGCCTGACCACTGCGTAAACGGTCCACCTGGGATCCCAGACCTCTGAGACTGGGGTTCGCGTAGAGGACGCCGATGGTGATGTCAGCACCCAAACTCTTGCGAATGTTGAGGAGGAGCTGCTGAGCCAGGAGACTGTGTCCACCACAGTCGAAAAAGTTTGATTCAGGCCTGGGCTAGGTCAGCATCTGATCTACAGAGCAATACTCTGTCCCACATACTTGATAGTCTTGGGGTTGAGGCCAGGGATTAGTGTTGACCACTGTGTGGCAAGGGTCTTCCCCGCCTCAGATAGGGCCTCCCAGCTCTTCAGATCCTCTTCCGAAGCGTCCTCTGTTCTCGCGGTAGCATGGGGGAAAAGTAGGTTCGGGAAGTCGACCTTACCGTTCGGGTTAAGGGGGGGCTTCTTCAGCATGATGTACATGGAGGGCACCGAGTGGGCGGGCAGATGAGACTTGAGATGGTCTCGCACCTCGGCCTGCATACGCCGGAACCTCTTGAGGTAAACCACGGTAGGCCCCATCTCCACGCTCTCGTCTTCGATATCCTCGTGGTTCTGTGCCTCCAGCCAACGCTTCCACTCGGAAATCCCGGGAACTACATAGCTCACAAGCGTAGGTTCCTCGTTACGATCTCTTCGTACGAGAGTTTTAACGTCTCGAACTAAGAGGCTGCCGCCCAGGTTGGCATCGATTTCGTTGAGCTCGATCCGGAAACCACGGATCGTAACCTGAGAGTCGATACGACCAGAGACACGCACAGCTCCCGAGGGGAGATGCTGATCAAGGTCTCCTGTTCGGTATACCCTATCACGGGGTCCCTTGTAGTAGCGGCGCCATGGCTCGCCCTTGTCATTGGCCTTGTCAGCTTCCACCCACTTGGCATTGTCGACCAGCCAGTTGCCAACAAACTTCTCGGCCGTCTTCTGGGGGTCGCCGAGGTAACCCTCAGCCAAACCAGCCGCTCTGAAATATATCTCGCCCTGTTCGCCAACGGGGCAAATCTTGGTGTTGTCTTCCCGAGAAATGACGAGGATTTGAACATCTTGCATCCCCCAACCTGCAGGGATGGTATCACCAAGCGAGTCGAGGGCCTTCGGGTCTTCTGTGGCAAAGGGAATCTCAAAATACGACACACGTCTATGACAGACATGATCCTCGCTCTCTCGCTCTCTCTTTCTGCTATAGGCACACGACGAAAACCGGAAGAAAGTGGATTGACAAGTTGGTTTCTATAAACTTGTTGGCCGGCAGAAAATCACTAAATCTCAAACAATGATACCCGGGCCAAGTCATGTGCTCATCTCCAGATGGTGGTTTTCAAACACTATATCAACCCATCTCTTACAAGCAGGCTGCCAACCGTCTTCAATGCCACATCACTCATTTCCTTTGCCTTCACTTCCTTATCAACAGCCGACATATCCTGTAGCTTCACGCCACTTGAGGAATACGGACAGGACATTATCTTCCCTCACCCTTTCCACCGGCTGGGGACGCAACTGCTCGCTCGACCTCCTGTGCAGTTGAGCCCAGCCAGAATCCTCAGGCGTACGGCATCTCCCAAGCCGGTGATAGGTCACGAGTTTAAAATCCCAGAAGCCTGTTAATGGTGACTCCGAGAAGCTGGCGAGGTAGTCGGTGAAGCAAAACTGACACGAGTTCCCCCAGGCTCCCTGCAGGCCGTTTCTCTCGTCGGTATAATAACAATTCAGCCAGTATGAAAATGGCCAAGTCCAATCACCCAAAATGAACTCGGATGGCGGTTCCTCTGCTCTTTTCCAGGGTTCCTCAGGAGAGGGCGCGAATCCATAACACCGGATATGCTCGCATATTGGCAGAGTCAGTGTCGCCAAGACCTCAAGAAACTTTCTCAATGTGACAAAGACAAAGGGCCCTCTGACGTGGTGCATGCGTGACAAGTAGAGCTCGTCGTCGATAACCATGGCTTTATAATCGTGCGTGAAAGCCCAAGGTCTAGCAGCACCTGAATCGTCTAAAAGTGTCTGGGCCCCGTGTCGTTGTTTCTGGCTCTTTAACCATTCTTCCCTGCTGGGAAGCGTAGCCCAAGAATCGGCCGGTTGATACTTTTCGAGGGGAAAGTGGTCATCCAAGATATCGCCTCGGAAGATAGAAATGAGCCGAATAAACGAGTAGTGGCGCTGAAAGATACTGATAGGCAAGCCACATCTTCCACTTGTGCGGTGCCAGTTCATGACAAGGTGAGCCTCAGCAAAGGTGATTTCCGGTCCTTGGGCTTCTGGTTTCCAAGTCCCTTCAGGCAAAAACTCGATCCGTGTTTGTTGGTACCTTTGCCCGAACTTTGTCACGGCCACGAAGGACCAGAGATTTTTGACTTGAGGACCACAAGTTTGATGTCTGTGAGTTTTCCAACCTTTCTGGTCATCGCGGTCAATCAAGCTGAGTTTCAAACAATTGAAGCAAACGAAAGTATCCGGTCTCCCTTGTTCCAAGAGAAGCAGAAGCTCAAACAAGTCACTTTTTTCAAGCTCTGGAAATTTTTCACTCGGACAGAAATATTCGAATGATTCCCTGCAGACCAGAGCAAGGGCACGATGTGATGCTTTTGGCAGTTGGTCAAAGATTTGCATCATCAATGATGGAGGGAGACGGACAAGGCCGAATTTCTGTCGAGGAACGTCCACGTTTGATGTCATTTCAGGATTCGATGGAAATGTGCAAGATGCTGATTCACTTCTGTTTGAGAAAAGTTGACTTGGAAAGAACATCGTTGATCTCCAGGGTGTCTGCTACAGGTGAGCAAGGATATTCGTAGAGAGAACGAAATTCATCTGTGCGACAGCTTCATATAAAGATTGAGACTTGTTGAAAACCTTGATGTTTGTTCCTTGTCTTTTGGGGGAACTGCCCATTGTTTGAGTTTGTTGTTACTGCACAGCCAAAGCATCATCTGCACTCAAAGCCTCTACACTCAAAGTATACCTACTGAATACCCTCATTTGTCTTTCCAAACCAGTGTAACCGGTGTTTCTACTTTGATACAAAGTGATGAATGGGCTTGGTAGTCCACGTAAGTTGTATGAAAGACAGGGAGTACCTTTCAAAGGCATGTTGATTGTTCTGATGTCCAAGGTACTCAAACATCAGACATTACCTCTTTATTCAGGTCATTTCGAGATCCAAAGAAGGCCAAAGCAGAGCTCTGCATGCATAAATGGGTAAAGAAGAAAGGATTTTCAGTAGTCTGACATGGGCCATATAACAACTCTTTCAAGAGAAGTCACAAAGACCAAGTCATTCGAGCATGTTTACCCCTGAAGACTCTCCAGTTTAACACAAGACACATTTTTTTTCACACAACAAAGATCCTCGTGGTCTTAATGACTAACCGGATGATTCCTCATCCGCCATCTCACCGAAAACCAAGTCCAAACTCCAACCATAGAAATTAAAGTTTTTCACTCCAAAAGAGCCTCACCAGCACTTGACTGTCTGAAATGACCCCTAATTGTACGAGTGAGGCAAAAACACCAAGAGTCCAACAACTGCCGTGCTCACGTTATCACAACCAAGATGCCGCGGAAACTCCAAAGACGGTCTAGTTGGAGTTTAAAGGCGTAGTTCCTCTCTTGGGAAACTCCACCCTCTTGGTGAAAAAGCCCCATTTCATGAAAAATCGCACCATTATCCACAAAAGGGTCAAACCTTTTTTTTTCTTAACTTTTATCCAAGAGGATTTCGCCTCTTTCCCGGCTTCAGCCTCTTTTTTTTCGGTTATTTGATCGTCTTGGCATTGTATCTTGGTTGTCTGTCTTGTGTGAGGTTAGTGATAGTTTACGCTAACCCTGGAGCCTCATCGGTACCGACTTTCTCACATCAGTCCTGGATCGGTTCCGAGATATCACTTTCGGGCCGTTGTAGGACCTATCAATATTATTTGGATGCCTAAATATGCTGAGATAAAGAGAGAAGTGACAAGAAACCGCCACATTGACACAGCTTTCCCTCCATTTGCTGGTAAGTAGTTGATGTTGACTCAAGCTCAGGAAGACTTGTACAAATTTTCCACCAACCAGATTGAACCTCTAGTGAAATTTAGGCGGAAGAGTAGGTTTTACATACCCGTAGTCTTTGGACGTTTGATGAGGGCTTAGTAGAGGAATAAGAGCAGTCAAAATTGAAATCACAAACAGCTACACGGAAGCACAGAAGTAATGGCGTCAACATAGAAGACAAGCACTCTGGCTTTCATTCAAGAACTCTTTAGGACAGGTGTCTACAAGAGAAAGGCTTGAGGAGGGAAACACCAAGAGCCAGGGGGCAAAGGTGCGAAACATCCCGAATATGCCGGGGAATTCAACCCGGTGGCCGAGATTTTCGCCAAGAACAACCAGACAACTTTCAATATCGACTTACAGCCCCCGAGGGATGGTCTCATACCAACCGGCGCACCGTGCACATGATCGGAAGCCGGGAATGGCGGGGCGCTTCCGATTCTGACCCCCTAACCACCTCTCATCCGTCTTCCGCTCCGTGTCGTCTTACCTTGCTCCGACCTCAGAGGGTTGTGAGAAAGTTCATTTCCAATCAAAGCAATGTTCATCCTCCCTAATGACATAGAAGGAATCCACCAGAGGGATGGTGTGAGAGCTCAGAGTCATTAGGGGCTCCCAGCGCTGATGCTACCATCCCTGAATGAACGTGTCGACCCATGACCAAGAACCATTACTCGACTCGATAGATGCATCCATATGATATTACTTCATACTTTGATAACGTCGTTATGTAATTAGTTGCTGGTAAATGCGCCAGTGCAAGGCTAGGATGACGAGTTTCACAATTTGTGAGCGGGCACTGTTGCAATGAGCAACCCCAAAGATGTTGTCTGAACTTGGATCTTGGCGCCTCCTTTCCTCTATGACTTACCTACTATTGTCATGCGTCTAAGATGGTGACTCGTAAGATGTTCAGGGGTGGGCGATTATCAAATCCTTCGTCCGAGATCGAAACGAACCCCGGCTCGAGGAACGACTTGTTCAGTCCGAATAACAAACTCTCAATGCCATCTAGCTTCATTCTATCCGCTTAGACAAAGCGAGTCAACCGGCAGACTAATTCGCGACCCGAGATCCGCGGCACTTGGGCGGATGCTGCCCAAGTGTCAAGGTTGATACCTAGAAGGTCAGGGGTTGAGACAAGAAGTCTTTGCCCAGACAAGGCCTTCCCCTTTGAAAACCTGTAAACACTTCCTCGGCAAACGATAAAAACCATGGTTGTAGATCCACGAGCCTAAGCCCACTGTCTCCAGAGGTTCCAAGAGCACTGGCCATGGATCGCCAGAGCCAGCATGGGGCCGCGTCCGTCGCGTCGTTGGTCTCGTCGGTCCGGCCTGTCAGTGGGGCGAAGCCGTGATCACCAGCTAACTGCCGCATTGATATCCTGTCATCCTCGGAGGAACAGACGTTATGTCTCAACAGTTTCAAGTGATCGGCTGGTTCCCGTGCCCGTCGGCGCCAACAGGCTGTTTTCTCCCTTTTCGAATATATGCAGCTTTGCCTGCTGGGTGAACATGGGACCTCCTTGACCACCGACACCAGCTAGGTGGTCTAGACCATCCGGGCCGCGGCAACTCTATAGCGATTGGACTGGAAGAAGCCGGCTCCGCGCCGAATATGTCGCATCGTGAACCTCTTCTTCTTGTCAAGTCTATAGAAGACTCAGATATTGTTCACATGCGGAGAGAACATCGACGCTTTGACACCGGGGACCCTAGCCTACTCGTTAGCATCCCTTGCTTGTTAAGCAAGACATCAACCTTCAGCCGCGGTCGATCCACTATGTAAAGGTAGGTGATTCATCCTCAGGAGTTGCTGTTGGACCAGCGGCTGCAGAGCCGTTATCTAGCCACCCGCTTAGTGAAACGGCTGCTCCACGAGTCAGATGACAGCATTCTTGGTAAACCCGACGCCTGGAGATGGCATTTGGGATTCTTATCTTAGGAAGCAACTCCAACTTCCCCATGACATCGTGGCTGTCCTCTTTGTCATGGCTCTGGCTAGAGACATCCAGACTGACTCGGCTGCAGCATCCGCCTGGCCGCTTCGGGGCCGACCAAGCTATTCATCGAACCATCTTGACACAGCCGGGGTCCAAAATTGGATTCTCCTCATATTGCCTAATCAAGCAAGCAACGCAAGGATAGAGGACAGAACAGCGGCAAGGCCCCAGAGTGCAGAGCCTTGTCGTCAACAGAAGCCTGGAACACTGAGACACGGCAGAGCATCCCCGGGTTTGCCTCATCGAATAGCAAAAGAGCTGTGTCGACCTCTTGATGTGAAAAAGACCCGACTTGATAAGTCAACGCAAACCGACCCCCCACGTCACACTGGAAATGATCACATGCGCAGACTGGGTCATCAACTAGCCTCTGAGGATATGGATATCCGGCCGAGTCCCGCCTTGTGGGTTTGACAAGGGCGGCGGCGGGTAGATCATTGAACCAGCCGAGTTTCTCACTCGACCTGCCCCCGATGAATGCCTTCCCCCCTCCGGATGACCAGATTGGTGCTAGGTGAGCAAGGGACGTCCATCCTCCATTGCAAAGGTCTCAGGAGACATTGCTGTACCCGCAACGGCGCTTGAGCTAACATGGTGGATGGCGATCAGATATCAAACCCTATTGAAAGAGCAATGTCGTACCATTTCCCTCGATCCATCTCATCCATCTCGGAGTAGAGGGAGGGACTGTAAGCATGTGCAACCGCACCAGAGTCCCCTCACACCTGAAGGGAAAATTCTGAAAGGGTGTGGTGTCAGGGAGTCGAGCAAACGAGATGACAGGTGCCATTGCACAAGAGTGGGCGCAGTTGCAAAGCAATCACAAGCCCGTCGAAACTCTGCTGTGAGGGGACGTTGCCACGCCAATCCCCAGTCAGGAGAGACGCGATGACCAACCACCCTCCTCCAGGAACGTCCCAAACTGTGGTTGGAATAGCACGCCCAGAGTGCGAGGTCCACAGCTAAATTTCCTTGAACGCGAGATCCGTGCGCGACTTGTCTTGTTTCCTCTCCCGTCGCACTTGCAGACCGTCGCACTTTGGATAGCCCCAAAGCTTCCCCTACACGCGAACGGTCTCGACGCAGAGGCCGCAAAGCCCAGCCATCCAAGGCAGGAAGGGAGGCCTTGTGTTACCTGGCAGAGTTCCTGAGCTTCAGCTATGGCTGATTTTGCTCGCGAGACGAGGTACAGTCTCGTACAGTACGGTACACTCTCAGCCCAAGACGCCCGCGCCAAGGCGGAGACGGCCGTGTGCCTGGGATAAGCAACCGTGTTGAAGAGCACCCTGCCTGCCTCCAACAATGGACACTTTGTGAATCGATAAACAAAGACTCAGAGTTGTCGATATTTCTTCATCCTCGCTCGACTGAGTCGTCAGGGCCGTGACCCGGCCGGATGAGTCGGAGACTCGGACCCGTCGGACTGACCAGGCCAGCCCTATGAGAGACGCCATAAGGGACGGTCGATTTGAAACGGGGATACGAGAGCCTTGGCTTCGGGCCTATTGAGGTGTGCCCCTGGAGAGGACGCCAGCAAATTGGAGGCGCCATCAAGGGTCGGTTTCATGTCCAAGATAGCCACGCAGCGTGGTGTCACGGACGTCGCAGTGCACAGGCCTGCGCTGCACTGCAGGATGAATCTCAGGCCCCTCAGACCCTCATCAACTCAATTGTCGACACCCCAGATCAGAATCTTCAAGGTTTGCGCTTGAGACCGTTGACTCTTGTTTTCCGATGCATCGCGGATCATTTCCCCGTCAAACTTATCCTGGTTCGACGTTGCATTGTGAAGCGGGGTCATGCGAGCTGACGACCTACAGTACTGTACACGGACGGATCACCAACGAGCAAGAGGCACCGTTTTGCTCGACATTCGCAGTAGAGTTCTGCTCTATCGTCGCCGCCCTGGACGGTACAGGAAAGGCCATCTCTGGCGCTCCCAGCCCAGACCTTTCATCATCCATCATGCCCAGCGACCAATCAGAGAGCTCGGAGTTATTGCGTAGGCTTCCCCCCATCGGCGCCCTCCGATAGGGTCCAGCATAGCAAACGTTGGCATCCTTGGTAAGAAACGGACTCTGCCTGGACAGCTGGTTCGGCCGGAATCTCCAACGTCGCCATCTGTTCCCCAATGGGGACCAGTGCGGGCGCCAGTCGATCCGGGAACAGACCTGAAGCTGCTTAGGCTTGGGTCCAAGTTAATTGCGTCCATCTCCCGAAGGTGCTGTAGCATTGTAAGCAGAGCCTGCAGACGGCTGTATGTATGTAAGCTTGGGGGGACGATCGGCTGCTGAGGAGAGCTTCAATTCTCTAAGCGAGCCAAAGCTTGAGCGTTGCACCCATCCCCTCTTGGACGCAGTCAGACAGACATCCGGTCTGTGGCGACCTGAAATCCGCCGTCATCCAGAAACCACAAGGAATTGTTTGCTTTTCGCCTTTCTCGCTGCCATCAGCCGCTCTGTTGCCCTGCCCCTGCAGGGTCCTACCGCCGCCCAGGTACCCAGAGTCCGAGACCTAGCCCGCACAAACAGCACGTTATCTGCCAGGCTTGCATCTGCCTCTTGGACTGGGAATGGGAAAGCCCTGTGACGCCCTTGTGGGTATTCGGACTCAAGCTCCGGAGGGTTTGGTGCTTGAGTTTTGGAGGCAACAAAGTAGGCAGTGGAGGCAAAACGGCCGCCCGGTGCCAGGGACTCGGCAAACCTTGAACTCGGAGGGACAAGGTCGAGACCAGAATGCGCCAAAAGCCATCGGCGATCATCCAGGAGCCTCAAGATGTGACCCAAAAGCCACTGGCTGGGGGTGGCCTTGCCGTATTGGACGGCGGAGATACGCCGCGGTTGAGCTGGAAGCCACTAACTGCTGCTCCTGGGCCTGAGCAGCCCTCAGCCATCCATTCCATGTCGTACCCTGGGCTGTAAATCATGGATCAGTCAGTTATCAACTTCTGCAGCATGAACCCTTGAAAATGCACTCGTCCCCAACCAACATACGGCACTTGCTTTTGTGCTGGGTTGAGCTGCGATGGTACAGCGCGCGGCTGGCTGAGCATCCGGTCCGTGACATCATGCTGGAGCTCTGCCGATGAGATAGACGGTCCCATCGATTGCTGAGGAACTTCCCTCTCGTCATTGCCGTCTCCAGGGCCCAGGCCAATCCATGCACGTAGCACGTATTTGGGCCACACCTCTCGACGTGTTTAAAACCATGCGAACGGGCGTTAACCTCAAGTTGATGTGCCTTGGTGCCTTGGATGCATCGCATGTAGCTCATCCCAACCGTCAGAAAGCCTCAGAACGCCTGCTGATCTTCCAGTCCACCTCGTCAGCCAGCCAGCTGTCGTCAAGATGCTAGCACCGGATGGGGATTCGAGCAGCCGATGAGTTCCTGATCAACTGGGTCAAAGCTTAGTTCCTAGTTTAGCTCCATTGCCCGTCCAACTCGGATGCAAGCAGAGATGGGCCGGGCCCTCCCAGCCCTGGGGCCCCAGGCGCTCCCTTCATCTTGCAAGAGCCAAGCTTTGTTCCCGATGGACCCTATCCCGCAGATGGTTGAAATCTTCGGCCGAGTAGTGGTGGTCGGGCTCTGGGCCGCTTGGGCTCGGCCGTCGTCGGCTTCCCGCGAAACGCAACCGTCGCCGTCACATCGAACGGCGATTGATCGATTGGGTGACAATTGATAGCCCCCTCGATTGCGACGAGCTTGCTTTGAGATCGATCATACCCCGTTGTCACGGCTGCGATGCCGATGTCGCCGTTCGCCGACCTCGAACCCAAAGAAACTCTCGGAACTCACCGTGCCCTGTCCAATTTGTCTGTGCCACACCGGCTGCAACCAGAAATGTTGCCACGTTGAGGGCCGGGTTTGAACGTTTTCTCTGAGACATTCTCGGCGGGTTGTCAAGCCCCAGAAGGCGCACATCAGCGTGGCTCTCTGCTCTGACGAGGTCAAGGCTATTGGGACATGGCCAAGCCTCGTCCTCGTCTTGGGAGGTGGCAGCATTCATTTTCCGGGAGTAGGAGAATCCAAACGCCACCGTCCCTGCTTCAAGGTACGGTACCCATTGGATGCCAAAGTTGCCCATGAAATTTCGCTCGAGTTGCCGTATCAGAACCAACCATGGCGGATGCGGAGGTCCCTCCGGAGTCTGAGTCTGAGCCCAGGGCATTTGTTGATGCACTCCTCTCTTGCCCGCCCTAGTGCAGCTTGTGCCCAAGGATAATAGCTGGACACGCCATAGACCGTTTTGGCAACGGATGCATTCTCCTCCCCCAGCAAGCGACCTGCTAGCAGACCTGCAAGATGATAGTGGCCTGGTACTGGACGTGGGCTAAGGCAGCGTCCGAGAGGAGCCCTGTCCAATCAAGGACACTGCATCTGAGAGCCTAAGAGTGAGGGGCTTGCTGCTGACCCTGTCATCTTGCAGTGACTGTGGCGGACGGCATCTGAGAATCTCTCGCTCCCCTCTCGCTCTGATCGGGAAAGTCTATTTTCCCCTCACGGCCTAGCTTCTGATTTGCGCTGTCTCCGCTTCCTAGAGCCCGGCCAAGCTTTTGGCTACTGAGCCCAATGGTCGCATTCCGGCCAGGTCTGGTCCTTGGGTGGCTGTCTGGTGAGGAGAGCTGCCATAGGTATTTGATCGACCCATGCCCTCAATGAATGTTGTGCTCGTGTTCCTGAATTGCCATCGTCAACATTGACCCCTCGCCGAGAGGTACTGCTCGCTCCAGCTCCAGCTCCAGCTCCAGCTCCAGCTTATCAGCTTGGTTCTGTTCATCTGTCCATATATCAGCCAACCTCCCCTCTCACTTCTTTGCCCACACAACGCACCTAAGCTCTTGCTTCCCACTCTACCGCCCTGCAATCACCACGCCTTCGTACATATCTTCTCTTGGTATCAGAAGCTCACCACTTCCACTGTTCCCACGTCAGCAAAGCATCTCAACCATTCATCAGGCACTTTACCGTGGTCAGAGGGCCTGAAAAATCACCCGTATAAAGGATCAAGCAGAGCCATTGGGCCGCTCATACGACAGGTCCTTCGATGGCTGCTTTTGTTCACTCCTATCCCCACGCAATGGACTTTGCATTTGGGTCGTCGATGGGTGCAATGGCCACAACGCCTTCCCCAGGATATATGATGACTCCATCTCCATACTACGCCAGAACACCCTCGCCCACCGACCGAAGCAACATGGTGTATCAGCCACTCCCCAGCCAGGCACCCGATGCATCCTTCTTTGAGGAAGCAATCGGAGGTTCTCCAATGCCCCAGGACATCCCATTTGGCATCATCCAAGGGCCGTCCCAGTATAGCACCGCACCAAAAATTCCCGACTCTCCACAAAGGATAATGCCGACCGTTGAGGCCGACACAAAACCCAACCGCCGGACCCGGAATCGACGACAATCACAAGCAAGCTCGAGCATGTCGGAGGAGATGAGTGTCCCTGGTCTTGCCCCAGAGTCCCCGAAGCAGAAGAAGCGAGGTCGAAAACCCAAGAACGAACCAAAGGAGCCAGGTAAAGGGCGCCGGAAAGTGGAACTGGATGAGGATGATCTTCCCAAGGACCCACGACGTCGACGCATTCTCGAACGCAATAGGATTGCTGCCACCAAGTGTCGCCTGCGGAAACGGGATGAAGCATCAGCTCTTGCCTCCAGAGAGCAAGCCATGGAAGACCAAAATCGCTACCTCTCTTCCTGCTTCGACACGCTGACTGCTGAGATCTATCATCTCAAGACCCAGCTCCTGCAACACACTGATTGCAACTGTGTCCTTATCCAGAAGTACATTGCCAACGAAGCAAAGAAGACCGTTGACGGCCTGCTCTCTTGTTCTCAGGCATTCCAGATGGACAATGACTCAATGAGCCCATACCGTCGAGGTTCAAGCAATAGCGGCACCAGTCCCACAGAGTCTTTGGGAGTGCCTACACCCGAGTTTGAAGGTGTTTCGCCAACTTGGTCACATCCCTTCCAACAAGCCCCAGCATCATCAGAAGTCAGCGAGGACATGTTTGACATGACCATTGACCAGTACAACAAGGGCACGATGGCCATGCACGGCCAGCCCATTTCCAACATTCCCCTACCTAATTCTGAGTCGGAGATGTTCGTTGGCATGGGGCCTCAACCCCAACATGTGGACGGGATAAACTGGGACTCTTCTTGGGGTTTTCGATAACAGCGATAACCGGTTGAGTTGTGATATACGAGCGACAAAGTAATATTGATGCCATGCCCGATTCGGTTGCAAATACCTCATCTGTACATGGAGGTTGCTTGAGTAATGTCCACGCTGGGTCGCCATGGTCCTAGGAGTTTAGCGAGCTTTGTGGTTGATCCAGATTTTAGCCAGCTGGGTTTCGAGTTCTTGGGAAAATAAAAGCTCCATAGAGCAGTGTCATATTCGATCATCCGCCCCAAGTTGCATGTCCGTATAATCCCTGGTTGACATCCGTGGTACACCAAGTTGTCTCGGGATGAATTGACGTCCATAAATTGTGAGGCCATCTAGACGTCCGCGACTGCCCATGTCTCTCGAGTATGGGCAACAAACTTCTCCATATGAAGCGGTGTATAGTTGATCTAACGCATTCGACGCTCGGGAGATCCGCCGTGCCACCGTGGTTGCTGCATTAGCATCGACCCACCTCCAGATCTTGACATGATCCATTCTCGGTTTGTGATAAGGCAATAGCCACAGCACGTAGTGTACGCTACAAGGCAACATGGAAAAGTAGCCTTGGTGTTGAAATTCAACACTGTTCGGATCAGTCGGACGAGACTGGAGCTGCCGATTCAAGTGTTGTACGGGTTTTCCAAAGTCGACTAGAATTGTTCGAGAACTTCTAACAGACTGGGCAACTGAAGAAGAATTAATTGCCATGCCCAAGAGGAAGGTGGATCGTTGTACTGTCACCCACCCAGATCGCAGAGTGTGGGGGTGAACCCAGATCTCGTTCCTCCCCTGCAGCTGATTGAACGGCTGCAAGGGAACGCGCCCAACACGGTGATGGTCGATATTGGGACCCCAGACTTGGCGGATCAACACCGTCGACCTGACCGCTCAGGTTCTCGCTTCGGGGTGCGATGCAAGACGCGCCCAACAAAGGGCTCAGGTGGAGGAGGGAAATGAGATGGATGCAGATGCGAAAGTCGGTGAAAGCAAACGAAGCAAGTTGCGATGGGTCCCATGGATTTCGACGCCCTTGACTCGCAGGGCTAAAGGTCGCGTGGGCACGTGCAGACGTCAAACCAAGCCCAAGTTATCATCTGGTCCAGTAGCCAGCTAGCGTAGAAGAACTTCGCAGGGTGATGAATCAGATGTGCAGGCCGGCCGTTGTCAAGACTGCTGTCTGTAAGGAGGCGTTGTCTTGGACGTTGAACTGGCCAACGGCGCAGATATTGGGATGCTGAGAAGGCTGTCATGACGAATAAACAGCCACCGTTAAACCTTGTTGCCGGTTTAGTCTGGCGGTTCAGCCTAGCTGTTCTGCATGTTTCGTTGCTTCTTTTGCCCCCGTCTTTGCTTCTTTCCGGAGACAGGTGTGCGGCCGTTGCATGGTTGAGCCGTGCAGTACCTGAAGCCGGTCGACGTATCACAAGCTGCTCTCCTGTTGAGTGGCATGGTTTAACTCAAGGCCTGGATGTTGAGAGTGGCGTGCCAAATTGAGGCCGACCGTCATCGGCCGGTAATGGTAAACCCGAATTGGAGAAGCTCAAAGGCGGGAGAGCGGGACACGGGAGCACGCGAGCCTTGACCATGGTAAGATTTTGCAGTTCGAGGCGGCAAGAGGGAAGAACACTGACCGGACAAGGGAATCGTGCGTTTTAATCTGGGTTCCGGAACGGCTCATTCGAGCCCACCTGGGGCGAACTGAACCTGCAGATGGGACTGGAATCCTACATCGGTAATGGTGACGGCATCCCTGGGACATGGACATTGACTCTGACAAAGAGTCAGGGGTGTCGCGAGGCGATCCAAGTCACTGGAAGTCGGTTAACGCCAATCAGCCTCTGCGAGGCGCGTGAGACGGTGGCCAGACTTGAGTGGGTACGGACAAGAATGGCTTCGTAAACGACGACCCTTGTCACGAGTTAGGGAAATATCCCCCTCGGTCCACGCGTCCTGAATCGTATTTCAAGCTGATGGTTTCCGCAAACGTAGACTTGTAATCATCGTTATTCGTGAGTGGAAGTCTTTTAGGTGATCAACCGTGTCCCAATTGAAGCTGCCCCTGTTTGATCGTCTCGGAGTTGGCGGAGCCACGCGAACAGGCATCATCCATCACTCACTCCATCTCCCTGCGTACCTGCATTCGAGCCGCGCGAAACAAACAAACGGAGTCTTCCATGCGAGAAAGCGCATGGGAATCTCAACGTTTGACCGGTAAATTTACGAAGTGACGCTCGTTTTTGCTTTGTCGTTGGTTACACAAGGAATTGGTCAGGGGGAAAGAATTTGACCAAGCGGCGAGAATTGGAAGGGAGGATCTATCAAACGCGCCATCAACCGACGAATCGACCATCGGCCATCGGCAACTCCTCCACTCGAGCCAATTCGACGTGTGGAAGGCCTCAAAGAGCGGTGGTTCCAGAAGGCATTGTGCTTTAAGGGATTGGACGAATCCCAATCGGGATTGGGCAGTTGCTGAGTGAGAAGACTTTTCACTCTCACAGCTGACGATCTACAGCTGGAAAGAGTGTCCCGTGAGCAACCTCAAAATCGCACCTTCCCTCGAATCAGCCAACCCAAAACAGCAGCCGCGACACAGCATCCGCTGTGAAGGAAGAAGCAGCGAGAGTGTGCAGGCGAGACCCTGTTGGTCACGTTCCACCGCGTCCTGTGATCGCGATTCCTTCAACTTGCACCCTTCGATTGGTCTCTCAGATCATCCTTCAACGGAGCCAGACTTGAGCTTCAAGTCGATTTCCGCCATCGACGCCGCGTATCGGATCACAGCCGGCTAGCGGGACGCTCATTTGAACAGGCCAAAGGCCGTCCCTTTTTCACACTCTCCTCCTTTCTGCAGGACCCCTCTCACGCCCGTCGTCGATACCCTTTGCACCCGTCATTCTGACAAACCAGTCGTCATTCTGACAAACCAGTCGTCATTCAACTATTCCGTCTCTTGGCCGAACTATTGCCCTTCTTTCCAAGGAAATCATCCAAGGCGCGATCGGGATAGCTGCACTCCTTTGACCGGCCCAGCTGGTCGATCAATCTTTCATCACGATGGCAGCCGTCTCACCGGCAGAGTCCGCCTTAGTGGTCCTGTACTACGTCTATCCGGCCGCTGTTTTCCTCTACTTCCTCGTCTCCTCTCTTGTCTCGGCTTGCACAGTGGCCGCCTCCAAGAAGAGCGAAAATGGCAACCAGAACCGCCCCAGCCGCACGACTACTCTGTTGCTTTCCCTCCTCTGTATTTTAACGTTCGTTGCTCAGCTAGCCGTGGTTGGTACTGAGGCATTCCTGGCACGAGAGTGGCCTACGCAGGATCACATCATCATCGGACACTTGTCTTGTATTCTGGTCTTTGGCATTCACCTCAGCCGTTGCCTTGACCTTGAACATGATCCATCATACCCTTTTGTCGGCTCCTGGCTACTCGGTCTTGTCTTTGATGGCATCATCCTCGCTTTGTCGGCAGGCCTAGGACTCTTGCTCCAGCCCAATATTTTCATCATCATTGATACAGCTGTGGCCGCTCTGCGCTGCCTCTCGTTTCTTTTGCTGGTGGCTCTTTTCACTCTCAGTCCCTCACTCAAGCCAAGCTCGGATGAGGAGCGTCAGCCTCTCCTCCCCAAGGACACGACAGCCTCGCCCAGCAGCCCCACTGGCCTGTCTCAACATAGCCAGGAGTCCGGATACGGATCAACGCTCCAAGCTGAAGAGGAAGACACCGAGGAGGCTCCCGAGTATAACTGGGAGCGACGTGAGAGGGAAGCCAAAGAAGCTATGAAGAAGCGGCTTGAAGAAGGTGGTAATTGGTTTGAGTACGCCAAAGGATTCAAGGTATGACATGCCCCGACCTTGTTTTGACCCCGTTGATACCGAACTTGCGACTGACTTATTCTTAGATCCTCTTTCCATACGTTTGGCCAGTTGGCAACATCGGTCTTCAGCTTCGTGCCGCGGCAGTGTGCCTGTGCTTATTTGGTTCAAATGCGCTTCATTTGCTCATTCCTCGCCAGACCGGTATCATCATGGACAGTTTGAGTGGATCTGACCAGACCAACCCTTGGCTCGCTGTCATCATCTTTGCTGCTCTCCGCTTGGCCGCCTCTGAATCGGGTATCGAGCTGGTTCGTCAATGGCTCTGGGTCCCCGTCAAGTACTACTCACATGACGCCCTGACGCGAGCTGCTTACTCGCACATGATGCACCTTTCGGCCGATTTTCACGACTCCAAGAGCTCTTCGGACATGATGATGGCCATCTACGGAGGCAGCGCAGTTTCCAACGTGATCGAGAACGTTCTGCTCTACGCTGTTCCCATGCTCATCGACATGGGCGTGGCCGTCGTCTATCTTTCCATCACATTTGGACCCTACGAAGGACTGATTACTATGGCAACAGGAGTCTTTTTCCTCCTCATCGCCAGCAGACTCGTTGCCAACTCCAAGGCGGCAAGTCGCAATCGTGTCAATGCGTTGTACGAGGAACACTATGTTCGACAGTCGGGCTTCCTTGGATGGCAAACCGTCAGTGCCTTCAACCAGATTGGCTACGAAGACAACCGTCATGCTAATGCAGTCACCAACCGCTGGCTTAGGGAGCAGCAATACGTCCTCGGGTGGTACATCTCTATCGGATTTCAGACCTTGGTGCTTACATCTGGTCTTTTGGCGAGCGCCTTCTTGGCCGTCTACCGCATCAGGGCTGGAAGCGCAACCCCTGGTCAATTTGCTATGCTTCTCATGTACTGGGCTCAGCTGACATCTCCCCTTCAATTCTTTGCCAAGTTGGGTAAGAATGTCAGTGACGACTTCATCGATGCTGAGCGGCTGCTTGACATCATGAGAACCCAGCCATCTGTTGAGAACCAGAAGGGAGCTCGGCCGTTGAAGTTTGTTGCTGGCGAGGTCGAGTTTGACAAGGTTTGCTTCAGCTACGACAAACAGAAGGGCATCATCAACGATGTAAGCTTTCACGTTCCGGCTGGACAAACGGTTGCATTTGTTGGAGCCACTGGAGCAGGCAAATCCACCCTAATCAAACTTTTGGACCGGTTTTACGACGTTGGCGAGGGATCTATCCGTATCGACGGACAGGACATACGAGACGTTGATTTGTTCAGGTAGGGATGCGTGTGTTCTCTACTCACCATGTTAACTTGCTAACACATCACAGTCTTCGTGATCGAATTGGAGTTGTGCCCCAGAACCCGATTCTGTTTGACGACACGATCATGAACAACGTTCGATACGGAAGAATCACTGCGAGCGACGAGGAAGTGTTTGAAGCATGCCAAGCAGCGTGTATTCATGATAAGATCAAGGGCTTTACCCATGGTACGTTGTTCTTCACGGGCCGTCTAAAGAGCGTTGCTGATGCGAAATAGGCTACAAGACACGAGTAGGAGAACGAGGCGTGTAAGTAGTAGGAGAACCAGGTATATGATCGCTCGCTCACATTCACAGTAAACTCTCTGGAGGCGAGCTCCAGCGCATTGCAATTGCCCGAGCAATGCTGAAGAAGCCAGACATCGTTTTGTTGGACGAGGCTACCAGTGCAGTTGACACAGACACTGAGCAGCAGATCCAGGTATCCTTCAAGAGATTGTGCCAAGGACGGACTACTTTTATTGTTGCGTGAGTACTCAGGCGTATTTTGGTAGCCTATTCTAACCATGATAGCCACCGCCTATCAACCATCATGAACGCGGACCGTATCATTGTCGTCGAAAACGGCGAGATCCTTGAGCAGGGCAACCACGACGAATTGATCGTTGCCGGTGGAAGATACGCAGACCTCTGGTCGAAGCAGGTCTTTGTCCGATCCAACGATGAAGACAAGAACAACTCGGCTGGTCAAGCAGGATTTGTTAACGACTTGTCCTCGGAGCAGACCAGAACAGAACTGTCAAAGGTCAACAAGCCCGCGCCAGCCGCCAACGGAGCAGCGGACTCGTCGAAGCCAGAGGCCAGTGGAGAGGAACTAACATCAACCCCCAAGCGCAAGCAAGAGGTAGAGTCAGCTGAAGCAAAGTAGCCTTTGGCGATTCTAACCTCTACTTGTAGGGAACCCGGTTGAATCCTGTTGCCGCCACGTTTACGCCACGGACGCTTGCCAAGGCCAGACAAACTTTCGCAACTGAGACATCCGAGGAATCCGAAGTTTCCGGGGCGCAGAGTGAAACGATGGGCACGAGCCTACCCACCAGTCGTCAATGGTCCGATGAAGTTGCTGAACAAGATGAAGCCAGAACGAAGACAGCGGGCTCTGACCAACTCTAGGAGGGTCAGCCTGTCAGTGACGGCGAAAAAGTCGGACTTCGAGCTGGATCCAGAGCGAAACGTCAGGCTTTCATCGCAGCTGTGGACCGTGCCCTGAAGAACCGTCCAGGCCATGCCGAAGATGAGCATGAGAAGGCTGAGGTGGCGCCTGAAACGAGTGTGACCCAAGATGAGGGCGTTCGTGCCCCATCTTTTGAGCTCAAACTCCCATGCTACTCTCGACGGGTCCAGTCCAAGAGCGAGCCATCCCAAGTGTCGCAAACATCGGAGGGTCAGTTGTCGGAGGGGAGTGATATAGAGGGGGCCGCCTTGGATCCTGTCCCAAAGGAACCAAGGTCTCCGGTCGGTGACTCTCGTCAACAAGATGTCCATTTTCTAACAGGTCACAGGTCTATCGTCACGTCTCACTCCCTTCCATGAAGAGTGGTGCAAGTGGCTCGCAAATTCCCAAGCCTGTCGAGCACAACAATGCATTGCCCTCGACTACGCAGAGCGGAGGCAACCAGACACCTACCATTGCTCGCTCACCGGAGAAGCAACTTCGTGGTCAGAAAACGGAGCCCCTACGAAGCAACAGCGCGACCTATATCACAGCCAGCGCAGGGAGCTCCTCAGGCAAGGAGAATTCGAGTGTCAGAATCATGAGCGATAGCAGACCCGTCATGCCACCAAGTACCAATGCGCCCAACGGCAATGGACCTTCGGGCGGTGGCAATGAACCCACTGTATCCAGCCAACGTCGTGGCAACCGCGGGGGTCGACGAGGAAAAGGTTCCTGGTATCGCGGCCGACGAGGCCGAGGAAGCTACCGAGGTGGTGCAGCTGGTACGCAAGCAGGTTAGAGTATCACAAGCATGACTTGTGCATCGATATAGATACCGGAAGACGACGATATTACTTACAATGTCTACGGATTACTGGCAGGAAAAGTTTAGGGGGAAGGCATCTCTCAAACAAACAGGACATGGTGGGCCAGGTCATGGATTTAATATGGCGTTATCGGCAATAGATAAAAGGCTAGAGGCAGGGTGACCGAGGTAATACTGGTGGTTGTTAGACATGTATTCTATTCAGGGTGGCGGGATAGTGTGAGACAAGGAACAGCATAGCATCATAGCATGCACACTTAGGGACCATGAGGAGCTTTTGTAGTTTCTATTCAAAGCTCAAAAAAGAAGCACGCACATTGCTGCGTTGCCACGTTTATCAATGCGTCGTCTCGTCTCGTCTCGTCTCATGATGGTGTGTTGTTAACCCAGATCATCTAACAGCCATGGTATAATGATGTTGCCTCGTCTTCCACCTCCTTACTGTTGCGCACCGCCCTGTCCACCAGCACCACCAAAGGGGTTGCCTCCAGCACCAGGGGCACCGCCACCCATCATAGATCGAGCCCTGTGAGTATCGTTAGTTCTGTTGTTGTAATAGAGGAAGCGAGGGGAGATTTGGGACAAGACTTACATCTCGCCGATCTGAGGGTCAGACATGAGGCTGTTGAGATCGGGCATGCCACCGCCGGTAGAGTAGCGATCGGCCATCTCGCGCAGACGAGGGTTGCTCATGAGGTTGTTCATCAAGTCAGGGTTGCTCATGAGCTTCTGGGCCATGTTGGCAAACATGGGGTTGCTCATGATGCTGCCAAGGTCGGGCATGCCACCGCCGGCTCCGCCAGGACCACCGGCACCACCAAACATGCTGGCGAGGTTGCCAAGGTCGGGCATACCGGGGTTGGCGTTGACATCAACGCCAACGCTGGGGGCGGAGCGGTTAAGAGAGTCCTCCTCAGCCTCCATCTCCTGGACACGGCGCTTGGCCGTCTCGTAGCCCTTCTTCATGGCGTCAGAGCCACCGTTGCCCTCGTGCTCAATGCCGCGGGCGTAGGCCTCCATGGCACCTCGAGCATCACCCAGAGCGAAGCGAGCGAGGCCCAGGCGGGACCAGGCCTTTGTATAGCCGGGGTCAATGCTGACGGCGGCCTCGGCGTCGGCGCGAGCGGAAGCGTGGTCCTTGTTGGCCGAGTGGGCAGCGGCGCGGTTGGAGAGAAAGACGGCGTTGACGGGGTTGAGGCCAAGAGCCTGGGTGTAGAGGTCGATGGCGAGGCCATAGTTCTTCTGGGCCATGGCAGCGTTGCCCTTTGACTTGAGACCCTCGGACTCCTTCTTTTGCTCCTCGGTAGGCTCGGGGGCTGAAGGGGTAGAAGCGGTGGCGGCGGCGGCAGGCTTGTCGGCGCGGGCCTTTTCAAAGACGGAGTAGATCTGGAGGAGGTTCTGGGATCCGACGGCGGCGGCGACGGCCGAGGTGTCGGTGGGGTCGATCTTGAAGGACTCGGCGATGCAGTTGACGGCCACGTCGATCGAGTCCTTGTCGTCGGCGGTGAGGGTGCCGTCATTTGTCGAGGCAGAGAGGAAGTCGCAGATGGCGAGCGCGAGGCGCTGCTTGGAGGTATGTGTGGACGCCTAGAAAGAGTCAGCGATATAGATCTCAAGACACACAAAGGGAAGGGTTAGTAGTACATACCATGGCGAAAGAGAGAAGACCTATCAAAAGGTCGTAGAGGGAGACAGACGGTCTAGGTTAAACTGGGGGAAAAAGTCTACTTGTTGAGATATGATCCAAAAATCTAAAGGGCCAAGAGGAGGAGGAAGACGGAGACGGGTGCAAAAAGGGCCCCGCGGCTGAGAGGCGTCGTGGAGTTTGGGCTGGAAGGTTCCACGTGGGGCAGGCGTCGAAATGTGGGGGACTGGTTCACCTTCGGTGAGGGATACGTACCTTTAGGTGAAGGAGGCAGGGGGATCCCAACAACTACTAAACACCACGAGATATACCAGATAGATTAAGAATCACATCAACAAGTGCCAGATAGAGGCAATTTGTTTAGTCGTAGTCTTTTCATCTGCAATATCCCTTCAATCCGCTATCACCAAACCCTCGCCCTCATGTGCAGAGACACCCAAAACTCCATCTAATGCATACAATCATTCAAGTGTACTGGGTATGTCGAATACTCTGTCAACAGGTCATCTTCTCTCATTCCGCCTTCTCTCCCGGTCAACGTTCTTCACCCGTCGCTTTCCTATTGCCGCCACCTTGCGGTACTTGGTGTACAGCCTGAGTACGTCCTTCATAACCACGTACAGACATCCTCCTACCAGGCTTCGTCCCCATTGTTGTTGTAGCAGACCAGGTCGCCCCGTGCTTCCTTGCGGGGACGCTATGGTCCATGATTTGGGAAGTGCCAGGCGAAGCAGTTCGCCCATGGCGTAGGAGAGGCCTGGGAGGATCAAGGCGCTGACTATCGCATTGGACACCCCGGAAAGGATTGTTCCCAGTCCAGGCCGACGAGCTGGTGGTGCTTGGGGAGCCTCATGCTCGATTCGTTCCGCGGGTTGATTGTCAACCGCGGGTGCAGGTGCGGGAGCAGCAACCACCGGAGCCGGGGCTGGAGCTGGAGCTGGGACTCGCTGTGCTTCCTGCCCCGGACGTGGTGCGGGTTCGTCCTCGTCAAGTCGCGCGTTTTCACGTCTCTGGACACGCTCTTGTGCCCTCTCAACCCAACCCTCATCGTCAGAGTCCTCTTCGGGTTCATCCTGGATCTCTTCGATGACGAGCTCGAGAACCATTCCATCTTCACCCTCACCACCGATTCTCACCTGCCCTCCAGCTCCAGCATCATTGTCTTGTTCGTCGTCGCCATCGTCCGCTTCCAAAGCCTCAATAAGACCATTAAGGAAACCCACCACGCCACCCTCGCCGTTCCGGCGCTCAGGCTGACCGTCGTTGGCGGGGGCCTCGTTCTGTCTAGGCTCGAGAGGGGGTAGACCCATGATTTGTCGGTTGAGGCTCACTTCGTAGGGAAAGGCAAACTCGCGCCAGGCGTTGAGGTATGCCGATCGGATGTAGGGGAACACGGCCATGACCAGCTGAGGCGAGGGTGGCCAACAAAAGAAGTCGTCCTCGTGCATTGCCTGGTATACACCATACTATAGTTGAGTCGTTAGATGCCGGCGCATCGCATATAGAAGCAAAGGTTACATACCGCAGACGCTGTAGATAAGAAGACCTTATTGCCAATCCATGGCATCAGCTGCCCAAGCAACAGAGCGGGACCAACGTTGGTCAGTACCAGCGCATTGCGCAACCTCTTGCCTCTGTTCAAAAAGACCCTCGATGCTTCTCCGTGAGTCCAGACCTCAGGACCCAGGATAAACTCAGTCAGAGCCTCGCGACCAGAGAAGCAATACAAGGCCAAGGCGCCATACATCTGCAGACTGAACTGCACGCCCAGAGTAACAGAGCCGAGCAGCATAAAGGGACTCGCGCGGGTGAACTTGGAAGCGACGACATCGGTCAAGGCGACGACGGGGTCCCAGGGCCCTTCGAGCTGGATGCGGTCTTTACATACGGGGCACTGGAGGGGTTTGTTGGATCGCTCGCAGTCGGTGACCCACGAGAGCATGCAGTCCTGATGGGCCTCGAGGGTGCATCCGCAGGGGTCGACCCACGAACCCGGGGGGTCTTCAGGGTCTTGGTCGGTCAGGCAGATGAAGCATCGCCGCGGCGCATCGAGCGATCGGGGGGCGCCCGTGGAGGCGTTCTGAGGTTCGGCGGGCGGCATGGTCGGCGTTTGCGACCTCGGGGTCGCGTGCCGAGAGGAGATCGGCGAAGTAGACAAACGGACTGAGTTCGGAGTGAAGCTTGGTCTTAGAGCATAATCGAATAAATGTGCCAGAGAAGAAGAAGAGCAAAAGGAAAGAGAGCAAGAGTCAGACCCAGTCAGCCTCGTCGGGTGCTGGAGCTGATGGTGGTGATGTTGGGAGGTAACAAGGAAGCTGTGGCTCGGCACGCGGCGGTTGGTGGCTCGTGAGCTTGGGTGGGTCCTTGCATCATCTTCTGCCTTGGGGTGTTGAACAGCGATCTCAGATACGCAGCCAATCATGGACAGGGATCGTTCAGTTCGCCCAAGCACAAACATGAATATCAATGAGGATGTGATGTTTGTATTTTCATGATTTGAAAATCATTACTGAATTTTAAAACAATGTCTTTATCGAGATGGCAATCATTGTATCTGGCGGTTCACCCTAACCACCAAATAGGATCCCTACACCACTATCACAACTTGATACAACTTCCACTTGAAAAGCTCAACCCTTCTTCCCCATGCATATCAAATAAGTAAACTTCATCAACTCTCCAACCCCAGCATCCAAGTCTGGCTCACCCTTCTTAAGACCGTCAAACTCCCCAGGAAACTTCTCAACAAGCTTTGTATGATCCCACGCAACCTCAACTTTGACATCCTTGAACCCAACCTCCTTCATAAGGTTGGCCATCCACTCTCTTGGAATACCGTGACGCTCAACACCGCCCATCTTGCTTTCCGGATGGAACTTTCTCGCTTCGGGCCCAAAGTCTTCAAAGTCCGTTAGGGCTACCATGCCGCCCTCCTTGAGACATCCAAGCATTGTTGTCAGGACGGGCTTGAGATCTGCGATGTGATGGAGTACCAAGTGTGAGGTTATGAGGTCGTACTTGAGTCTTGGACCATCTGGCTTGGCTTCGTCCGCTGGTGGGAGTCTCTTATCCTCTGGGTCTTCGAGAAGGATGGCGAGAGGTTGAATGTTCTTAGGTGCATCTGGCTTGTTCAACTTGGACGAGAGGACTTCGATCATGCCCTCAGCCGCATCGACGGCCGCCAAGCGGTTCACGGCGGGTGCGACCTCCAAGCTGAGGAGTCCAGTTCCACAGCCAATCTCAAGGACGTCCGGTCGTGAAGAAGTTCCGCCAAAGAAAGAGGGAACAAACTTCTGGATGGCCTTCCAGGCTTCCAAGCTCATGGCATGAACAAACGGATTGCTATCCCAAGCGGCAGCCTCAGCGTTGAAGCGTTCGTTGCCCCCGCCAGATGCTTGCTTTGAGTCTGACATGTTGCTTGAGAAGCGTTAAAGCGTTGAGTGTTTTCGGTCAATTTCAGTGGCTTGATTCTGGTGAACAAACAAAATCAGAAGCTCGGGTCGATGGGATCCCCTCAGCTCAGCTTTCCTCGGTATGTCGGATCTAAAAGTCGGCGTCACGGACTGCGTGGCGGCGGCTACGAGGACGGCTATCGGTGCTCCGCCCAGACATGTCCTTTAGAGTCTCGGCCCGGATGTCAAAGTGCGGGGTTCCGGCGCATAAGCCGGAGCTGAAAAGGCAAGAAACCGCCTGAGGACTGTGTGAAATCACTCAGTCAAATCATATGTTGGTGAGGATACTCAATAGGAGTGTCTAAACTACCGGCTTTCGGTCTGTGAGCCAGATTGCTTGGATGATAATTGTCAATCATACCGCCAAACAAACATTCATACCTGGGCAACATAATTCCAACTTACAAGACTGATGATCAAATCAGCCGGTGGTTATGCTAAATTCATAAACCCATTCGAGCAAGTTCCAATCGCCATCCTGCCTAGCTTCGAGATGCTGCTCACCACCGACCGATTTGCGTCTCGAAATCATCCAAGGTTTATGGCGTGTTAAGGGCTAAGTCGCACTAGATACATCATCTGGACCTTGTGTAAAAATCTGCAATTATTAACTCCCTTGCCTTCCTTAGGATGGGCTGATTGACAGTTCCATCTCGCATTAGCATTGTTGGTATTGATGACAGCTTCCCCAGGCCTAGTATCAAAGAACAAAATGATAAACAAATGACAGCATTAAAACTCAAGACTGTTCGTATTAGCCTGCATCACGATCACGGGCCAGTTAGAATGTATCAGGTATAAACTTGCATGTTAATTGCAGGCATATGCGTTTTAAACAAGGTGAATTCTACAAACAATTATCAATTACCATTCCATCTAAGAAATATTCAAGTCTAGTAGCTGCCTTGGTTCATATAAATATGTGACCTTCAGCGTCAAAAAAAAAAAAGAAATCTGCCACCCCTCGACAGTTCCTTATGTCTCAGTTAGGAACACTTGCTTGCTTGAAATCTGCACCATACTGACTCCACGCTCGTGCAATGTCAAGATCCAGGTGTCCCTTTCCGGGAACCATGACATCAGAGCCATCGTTCTCCATAGCGTAGACGACATTCTTCGCTTTCCCCAAAGTCAACTTGATTGCACCCTCAATAAACATCTGAGGTTTGTACGTCTGGGACGGCTCCTCCCCTCGAATCATGGCAAGGATGTTGTCCAGTACGACTCTGGATTGCATCCATCCTGCTCGTGCCATGTGTGGACCTCCATGGTCAGCAACATCTCCGAAGGCAAAGATGCGAGATCCAGTAGCGAGAGATCCATCTCCTGATACTTGTAGAGTTGGTTCAACTAGAATCCGAGACGTTTCTTTGGAAATGGCACTGGGATAAAGAGATTGCAGAATGGATGAGTTGGGCCGCTGTCCGGTGCACCCAATCTGATTTCTAGTTAGCTTGCTCATGTTTATGACCAGATTCAAAACTTACAATAAGATCAAACTTCTCCTCTCGTCCGTCTGAGAAAGTCAAAGTCGCCGACGTAGCCATATTCCCCTGCGGCGGGAGCTTGGGTCTCTCATTCAACAGAACGCGAATCTTGAGCTCATCCCGAAGCGCAGTTAAAGTATAGTCCTGTAATCTCTTTCCAAAATATTTCATGAGCTGGCCACGTGAGTGTATCAACGTGACGTCTTTGTGTGGGTAAAAGCTCTTGGTGTCACTGGCAATCTGAACGCCCACGGCCCCTCCACCGACGATGGCGATCCTCTGGCTGGCTTTGATCTTTTCTTGTACGCTTTGCATCTCACGGCAAGCATCCTGAAGTTCGGTTGCTGAGACTTGCACTGGGAGTGGCTGTGAGGAACCCGTCGCGATGGCAAGGTACGTATAGTCGATTTTGTTCCCCGACGCCAGGATGATTTGCTCCTCGGTGATTTCCACGACTTTATCCTGAATGCGTGTCAAAATTCCAGGAGGCCCTCCCCGGCAGATGGCATCATAGGGGATGAAAGCTTCGTGTTCGTGCCCCTCCATGACGGAAAACCGAGGGAAGTTGAAGGAGTAGTTTAGATGAGAATTCTTCTCAATCAAAACAGCCTTGTATCCCGTAGGTAAAGTCTCTGCGAGGCGTTTCGCCAGCTCAATGCCAGCAAAGGAGCCTCCGATGACGACGACGTTCTGAGCGTTGGGCGTGTCGTGCCATGTCCAGTTGTGATAGGCTGCGGCTATGCGCTGAACTGCAAGTGTTCCGAGGTATGGGACGAAAAAGTTCAACGCTTTGCCGACTAGCCTGATGCTGTCCGGTACCATGGTGATGAATTGTGGTTTATGTTATAAGCAGCTTTAAGGGGTTGGGTTGTGAAGCTCAAGGTCAGGTCGGAGTTACAGTGCAACGCAACGGCGCGGAAATATTTCAATCAGATAGGAAATCATTAAATGGTTGAGAGATGGCTAACAGACAGTTTATATATGGCCTGGAGTTGTGTCCGGACTCTTCAAAGTCCGTCTCAGCCCCGCGGAAGCTCCGGTCAGCCTCCTGAGTGCGGCTCTATTTGCACACGGAACCGTTAATCAAGATTCTGAATATTATATCTACTTCGTCTATGAATGACGGCCTTGGGTTATGCTGAAATTGAATCATTTCCTTTTTTCAAGTCATTTAATGTTTTTATATGCTCAAGGGAGCTCTCTTTAGTTTTCAAGTTGTGTTCACGGAGTTCCCGCGGAGCCTAGCGAGAATCTCACGATCACAACGGTTGGGCCATGATTGATAAGATTATCTCACACAAGCGTACGTACCCCCTAGCCACCCCATGTTCCTAAATAACATTGTTTTTCAACTATTATACAAGACAATTGAACTCTGATGAAGGGACCTTTACTTCGGAGCGGCGAATGGTCAGTGTTCGTGCTCTTGAATCTTGAACTCTGCATCACGCTACCTTCGTACCCACATGATCAAAGAATTTCCATTGGAAAACATATCAATATTTCTTTCATCTCAGGTTATTACCCTTGAATTTATCATCTCTTGTCCAATGCGTGTAATCTTTCTGTTCGAGTGATCCTTCCAAGGGGATGCTCAAAGAGGAAACGGCCGAAGCGGTGACCAGATGTGGTTAGCAACACAGGGGTGTCAGCAAAAATACACAGGGATTGAACCCCTAACAAACACAACAGAACTCTCACTCATTCTCGTCTTCTGCCTTTGTAAGCAGAGCAAATCACTCTTTTTAAACTTTCTCACTTCATCACTCTCATTAATGGTCCTAATACCACTCTTTCTCCGGGTGGTCTCCCTCACTCTCTTGGCGGCCACCTTCACCAACGCCGAGACTGGAATCGTCGTCCCCTGGAACATCACAGCCGGTCAGACTGAGGAGCTCACAATCAGAACAAGAATCGACGCGTCAGATCACGAAGCCCGGAAAAGATTCAACGCCTACCGCGTCTACCTCGCGCTAGAGCCACCAGGATGGGGTTCGGGGCCGGTATGCTGGCTCGCCTGGAGTGTACCCCTGGACACAGATCGCGTCAACATCACCATCCCCGCCGACGTGGCGCCTGACAAGACACGGATCCGCATATCTGCTAGCCTGTACAAAAGAGGCCAGTCCCACGTTAATGGTTATTCTTACAGCAGCCGGACGACGCTGCTCGGGGCAAACGGGACTTGGAGCCAGAGAGAGTTGGACGGGTGGGACAGTAGCGAGGAGAACCGCATATCTTGCTGGGCTTATGGATGTACAAGACGGTGTCACATGAAGTATTACACCGGTGATAAGACGCGGTATAGTGATGGAAGCAGCGAGAAGGACTTGGACGCCTGTATCGACCAGTGTTTAAAGGATTTGGATCCTCGAAGCGCGGGATCCAAATCTACAAGTGTGACGACAACGACGTGCATGCTGGCGGCGGTTGTAGCCGTTGGAGTTATTAATTTGGTCATATAAGGCTTGATTGTCCTTACTTTATTCTCCTGCATTGTTCGGCGTGTGGGATACGGCACTTTACACTTTTAGACATGGATACTTTTCCTGGATAGACAATCAATCAAGCAGAGCTTTCAGCTCAGTCTAAACCTACCGTTTATTTCTGCCGCTTTCTGTGCTTGATGGCTCGTTAGCTGTGCAGGTTGCAGAACCAACTTGTATTGTACGACCTTACTCAAACCTTGAAGGAACCTCCTGGACCAAGCTGCATGCTCTGCCTTCCTCTAACCAAACAGTAAGTGTTTTTTTCAAGATCAACATCAAACTTGTCTGTAATGTCAAATAGGGGCGTATACCTAGCTCAAACTGGAGTGTTGAAAGAAAGATGCGGTACTTGTTGAAGCTTCACGAGACGGCAGAGAAGGCAACGATTTGAATCCCAAACTTGCTCAACACGCAAGATCCGGCACTAGTCAGGATATAGAGGCGGAGTGAACTCGGCACGCTCGGCCACCAGCCAAGGAGCGTACAACTTGCTCATCTGAGAGACTTTGCTCTGCTTTTGATACTGGGGGTTCTTGGGGGCCAAAGCCTGCAGCCAATGCTGAGTCACTGTCATGGCAGTGCTACGATGTTGGTTCGAGCGGGATAATTGGACTGAAAGGAAATCTTGAATTTCACGGAGATAATGTTTAGTCTCTGGTACAAAAGGCAGTGAGTGGCCCTTTTTTGTAGAGATGTGATGGCAGGGTCAATGAGCCAAGCAGAACAACACTGTGGTATCTTGGTGATGGTATCTTCAGTTCAGCTTTTTATCTACATCAAGATGTATATTTCAAAGGTTCGAGACAAGAGAGTGATACCCCAGTCCCTAGTGAACCAAAGTCCCAGATACACGGAACTCGAATGCAGTTGCTCCAAGCCTGCAGGGAGTGGGGTTGGCATCATGTAAGACGTGCTACTCGTTGAGAGCGAGATTACGCACACAGAAGGGCACCAGGATGGGGGTGCCAGGTGATAGGGCCATGCGAGTGATATTGAGCAGAATGAGACATGAAGAAACAGACTGACCTTCAAGAGATTCAGCATGGGTAGTAATCGAAGCTCAGAGGCATGGGGTGCTATCCACTACGTCCATGGGGGATCTGGTGGCGTACTTGACAAGCAACTCTATTTCAGCCAAGGTCAATACGATTTAATAAAGCAGTAAATCCCCCATCTTTTGGATGGAATTAATTATAATAAACAAGGGTGAATCACTGTCAATATCATGTTCAACGTGTCATACCCGGATAATCCCTGCTTGCGGGAGTATGAGCAAGTTTCACCCCGAGCGCGCAAAAAAAAAAATTACAGCGGTTGTGGTGGCCGAGTCGGCGAGGTCACTCAGTGGGCTCTCTCTCAGCGGCGAGACAATCAACCCACCGAGACATCTTCATGGCATCATCACCAGTCACGCATCCCAATCTCTTCCAGGAGATCACCACCTAATAACGCCCACATGGGAAAAGCAATGCCCCCGCTGCATGTCTCTCCTTCTTCCGGGGGATAGCTACTAGTTTTTTCTTTTCTGCGACACTCTTTCAATCATGGCCGCCCCAAAGGTACCCCTCAGCCTCTTGATGGTCGAGTTCACCATCGCCCTCATGGCCGTCATCCTCTTTGGCCTCGCGTTCCCGGATCGCTTCAGATCTAGACTCTGGGAGAACGGCGGAGAGGAAGGATGGAACTCGAACCCAAACAACATCATCTACTATTACGCCAACCATCGAGAGCCCCCCGAGGTTCCCTACCTCTGGCAGCAAAGGTGAGGAGAAGCGTCAACAAATCAATCACGAGACGATGAGCTGACGGTTGTCTCAAGACTGACAGAGTCCAACCTTGGCATCGCTATACTCGGCTTCTTCATTTTTTTCGCCCGCGCACTGTTGTCTTATTCCGGTTTCCTCTATTGGTACATCAGCGCATTCTACGACATCCTCCTCTTGTCGCTTTGGAGCCTGAGCCTCACGAACCAAGCTTCTAGCGACTTTTCCGACCCTGAACATCCGAGCCCAACACCTTGGTACCTCACTCGCAACTGCTCCGTCGCCTGGGATAAGAACCAAGGATACTGCCGCATCGCACAGGCGAGCTTTGCCGTGTCCATCTTGGCGGCTGTCCTGTACGGGTCGAGATTGCTGCGAGAGGCTATGCTGGTGGCGTATGAGAGAGGACGGAAGCACGAGCGACAGTTGTCGGTTCAAGATTTCGATGAAGAAATGGGAAACAAATACACGGATAATGAGCACAAGACTGCCAAGGGTTTGATGGTTCTTAAGGAGAGCTGGCAGGACGTGGGTCTAGGCCCAGTGTTGGCGTTCCTTGAATCGAACTATGGTGGTTACTGGGGAATAGGTCGTTAAGGATCGGATCGATGAGGCGTTCAAGGAGTTTGAGGATTGTAAGAGTTTACTGATCACATCATAAGCAAACATGGCAACATGGGCAACAAAGGTTGCATTTATTCATGACCAATCTGTATCTCGTGTGCCTTCATCATCATCGAAACGAGTGGATCCCATCCCCAGTCGATCTCACGCCGCCCATCTCCAGAAACAAAATAACCCTCAAGGTTCTCATCGGCGCCGTAGTTTATTTGTGCTTGATTGGCAACCGTCAGTCCTCCAACTTTGACTCTAACCAAGAAGAAACAAGGACACTTACAGGGCAGCCAGCGCAGGTGCAGCTGGAGCCGCAGCCACAGGAACCGGAAGAAGCGCAACCGCAGCCAGACATGTTGATGATGGTTTTGAAGTTGGTGGTGTGTTTTGTGATGTGGAGTTTTTTTGGAAAAGGTTGATGGAATTTGTGGAGGTTTAGTAAAGAGGAAGAGAGAGGAAAGACTCGGGAGTGGAGGAATACCTTCTTTTAAAGCCTAGTCAGTCAGCGGCGGCAGTGAATGGGCTTCCCCTTCCATTCCTCGTGGGGGGGGGGGGGGGGACTAACGGGTCCTATTTTTCCATCTCACGCACTTTCACAGAGCAAGAAGTACCATGACCTTCCCCCGTTCGTGTGGGCACAAAGATAAACGCCTCCCTCATTGGGCAACCTGCGGCCTTTTACCCAAGAGAGGAGGGATTCTCGTGCCCTCTTTTGGTCCTTCCAGACGAGGCGTGACGAATGACGTCTCGGGGGAGGGCGTTCAGGGTCATCGATTGGGCCGTGATTGGCGCGGCGTGTCGGTGGGCGCTGTGCATGTGCATGGCATCATGTTGACCCGACATCCGTACAGTGGGAGGTTTATAACGGACAGTGTCAGATTGACAAGTACATGAACATGGTTACAGTATCATCATTTCTCTAGTGAATCCATGAGGCTTCTGCTGAAAGGTTGGCCATCTATCTACAGCTCTTCGTCTTCTTTGAGGCGGGGTATCATGATGCCCTCGGCGGGGTTGAGGGGTAATTTATGGTTCCTCCCCAAGGGTCCAATGACGTCGAAACATCAGTAGGTACACACACTGCATCCCCGTTACACCAACAAAATATCCCACGTCAAAAACACGTCAAAATCCGATCCATCCCACTCATTCTTGCTCAAATAAAGCTCCCCCATCTCGTGGCATGCGGGACTCCCGCGGCTTCCCGCCTTCAGACGTGCCGGTCCGTAATCTGTCACCATCCGCTGTCACTTCACGCGCCCATCCGTGTTCCATGCCAGGGGCTTGGTCTTGTTTGAGCATAGATTCGAGGTTTGTTGGTACGACGGATGTCGGCTCGTTTATGTAACTGCTCTGTAAGAATGCACTTCTGTGGGATTAATAGCTGAGGGCTTGGCGTAGACAAAGATGGAAGCTATTCGGAAGCTCAAACAGTCTGACAAGTCACCCCCCGTTGACCTGTCAAGGCATCTACTTGCTCCTGTCTCTCATCTCGAATCACCTTCGAGTAACTAACTATTGACCTCTCGAAAAAGGAAACTCGTTGTGGCAAGTCGTTGGCCCTAGATGCGTTGGTGAATGCGGAGTTGAGCCACATTTCCGACAACAAAGAAAGGGCCTTGACCACCCAGACATGACTACACGAAGGCTTTTTTTTTCTATCTTTAGCATTCTTGTTTAGTAACCGTAGCCCTCTAAAAAGAATTACTGCTCTGTTGGTGAACTATTGTCCTCGTCCATGTCCCTACCTTCAACCTAGCTCAGCCATATCCCTTCGCCTGTAGGACCCTCAAATGCATCACAGCGATCCCCGGAGGACCTTTCTCCTTTCCTTACACAAGGGTCGTTACGAGCGCGTCTACTTATTGCCGATGTGGCATTAGGATCTCGTTGATGTCTTGGCTGACGTGGAAGTCACAGAGCAGACGACGAGTGAGAGCATGCCTTGGGACCCATTACTTGGCAAACATCCTATTATCTGCCCGCATTAATGCTTCGCGATGATGAGTCAGAGTCGAAAATCCCCCGAGCACATCTCCGAGCACCTATCTCTGGGTCACACCTCAGGGGTTGGCCTGACATTTCGCAGGTGACGGCCCGGCTTGGGGATGCCGACAACTCCTCCGATCACAGTTTGCATTAGTTCTATAACTTTACGTGGAGCCTTCCTTACACGCTTTTACGCAGGTTACTGAAAGAATTTCCATGGTCTTGTCGGCCCAACCCCTTTCTGCTTCGGACAAGCTTTACGTTGTGACCTCCCACGCCCCAACACCGATCAGGAGCAAGTTCCTAAACAAAAGCACGCATGCCTATCTCCGTTGCAGCTGAGTTTTCACCCATCCCACCTCAAATGGCTACACCTAAACTCGACATCATCCCAGGCCTGGACGCGGGTGCTCAACTGCGGTGCCAACCTGAGGGGGCTCGAAAAGGGCGTCGCTTCGGCCTCTTGGACGAAGAAGTGTTATCACATCCGCTTCGATTTCTCCAAGCGCATTTTCTAGTCAGAGCACTTAACAGTCCAACGCCCATCCATCGAGTCAAGCTCCCCCAGAGCCACCCGATCCACGAGGCAGGGACCTGACAGCAAATCCTGGAAACCCGTTCGACCCAACAGAGACAATATATCAAGGGCAAACTATGTATCATCGCGACTGCATTATACATATGAGCGTCACTCTAGGCTCAAGGAAGACTTCGCGTCACCGGGCAGCGCCCAGGTGGACTCTATTCAAGGCGAGCGGCGACGGCATCTAGAACATGGACACAACTTGCCAAACCCAGTCCTTGACCATGGTCTCACCAATCATTCATATTGAAAGGTCATATCTCTCTAGTAGACCAGTTCGACTCTTAAAAATGCAAGATCTCCAGGCGAGACGCCAGGTACAGTTGGCCAGCCAAGGTCAGGCGGATCCTTCACTGGGTGAGGTCTATGCAGTTGACACCAACTATCAGATACATCCAAACCAAGTATAATTTTACAATCCAAGCCCTCTAATGGTTTGACAAAACTCACACATCTACCGCCACGAGAACCTAACCCCTCGTCCAGAGTGAAGACAAACGCCTACCATATCCAACAATCATTCCTGCTTCATACGGGCCGCCTCCTCGCGCACTTCTCGCACCACACCCATAAACTGACTGGCACCAAGAGCCGTCAAGATATGCCACCAACCATGAAACTCAAAGATCCACGCCCAAGGCAATCCGACCCTCGCTCGAAGATCTCTGAGCTCGGCACAAAACTCGAGGTCAATGTTCCAGATAAAGTATCCAAACAGGCAAATAAATGTCGCCGTCCAGGTTCTGACGGCCCACTTGTGTGTCTGCTTCTCAGAAAAGCCCGGCTTGAGCCAGTACAAGAGGTACCGCATGCGAAGGCCGATGAGGATGAGGCTGAACCAGAATCCAATCACCTGGTAGATGATCTTTGCCGACCAGACATAAAAGACGGAGAATGAGATGAAGAATACAGGGAGGATTGCTGTGATGAGGCGGATCATTGAGGGAGTCTGTCGCATTACGAGGACGGTCCGGAGCATGGACCAGGAGAGCAGCAGCATCGAGAGCTCATCGACAAACTCGAGGGTCTGGCGGAGCGATGCGTGGAACAGGAACGATCCGATGCCAAGAACCAGCAGGGAGATGGACATGAAGTCCCATCGGGCAGGTAGAATCCCCCGTCTGCCCGAACCACCATACATGTATCGCAGAGCAAAGTAGACTAAAGAGGGTTACAGTCAGCGGAGCCTCAAAGGTTACACACCAAGCTTCAACAAACATACCATAGGTGACGTTGGTCAAGGCGTTGACAAACTCTGCAAGATACAAGGTAATGACATAGTCCTCCTCGCAGAAACTAACCACCCCAAGTCAGTAAACTCTTGCATAAAAGCACTTCCCGAAGGTGCCGGGTTTTTACTTTGCCCTGCTGGTTGGCGGACTCCAAGCTCCGCTGGACGAATAAGGATCGCCGTCAAAGCGAAGGTTGTGATGTCCCATGTTTCCGCTGCTTCAAAATTGAACCTATTCAGTCTTGGCGGTCTTTTTCGATATGTTCAAGGAGTTGCTGGCATAAAATGGATTGGATTGCAGAGGCTGGAGGAATGTCTAGCAGCCTGGCCTTGTGTCACGTGGTGTTTTGCTCCCTGGCTTTTTCGGTATCCTCGGCACGCCTGCTGTAAGGTACGGTGAAGAGATGGGCCAAACCTGTTTACCCTCGACCTGACTTTAAAAAACAGGTTTCATTTTACAAGCAAACGTTCTATTTAGGCTCTCGTACAATTTATATCGCCTCGTGTTCAATTCTCGTCCAATCTCACGTGCGGGAAACTCGGTAACATGCCCAGTAACAAACAGCAACAGCACCAATCGAGAGTATTCGTCACCCAACGTGTTCAACGAACCATCCATGTCATGTCAACCCGCTACGCCTCACTTCTTGATCCATCATCAACATTCTTATTCGACGAACAGGTTGTGATACAGAATGGTCCTTTGCTACGCGAGGGTTAGCCATGTCAGCTTCGCATTCACGATCCTCACTCACCAATTGAACCCGTCCTTGGACTCTCCTCACGCAATGCTTCAAGTCGTCTCCTTCTCGACTCCGACAGGCGGCTGATAGATCGGACGCGGCAGCTGTCCAGCCAGCGAATACCAAATCTCGTGATGCGCAAACTGCAGCACCTCGCGGATCAACCCAGAGGTATCGAATCCAAGCTCACAAATTCCGCGCACCTTGGCGACGTGCTTGCGCGTACGGCCGTAGACCGTCATGGCCTACATGACGCTCCGCTGCGCCTTCATGGCGGCCCTAGGTGCGAGCCAGTCGAGATAGGTCGTGATCTCAGGACCGGTCAATTCGGAGATGCGCATGAGACGGATGAGTCCGACGACGTGGTGGTGGAGACGGGGAGACTGCCTCATCTCCATGCTCTTGAAGGGATGCTTCATCTTGAGGCCAAGTTGGTAGGTGGGCAATTCAGGATCACCGGCGCGGTGCATCATGTACCAGGTGCCGTCTTGGTGGCCTCGATGCCAGTAGATTCCCCATTCAAAGTTGTCGGCTCCTTCCATGGGTGCGGCCAGGGCGCCTTGAAGCCAGGTCATGTCGACATCGTAGATGTGTGCGATGGCGGTCGCGGGCGCTTCAGGTGTTGAGATGGTCAGATACAGGGTGTTTGGCTGCAGCTCCTGCGCCGGGTAGGACATCTCGGTCTCGTTTCTGAAGTTTTCGTGATTGATCAAGAGGAGCAATGATTCTATCCCGTGTGTAACAACTGAGGATGGTGGGTTGGTTGGGTTGGAACGAACACCAGGTGAGGAAAAGTCATGATGAGGCCAAAGGCTCGATATTGCTATGACGCCTGCCAGTGTCTGCTACATGGCAGCCAGGATTATCAGTGTTGACAGCTGGACCAGTGCTGGCCAGCTGTCAGTGCAGACGTAAAGATTGTTTGCTACGAAGCAGTGATTCATGGCCATTGCTATTTTGTTTGTATCAAATTGATGATATTGCGAGTTGACTATTCGGCCGTCGGCGGAACTGACCCCGATAGTTCACCCGCGCATCCCACCACTGGAACCAATTCCATCATTCCACCATAGCCTGACTGAAATCCCTTCCAATCATGAGTTCTTTTCACCTGATTCCCAAGGTATGCAGTTACAAAGAAACGACATGCATCGGTCGGATCCAGAGCCGACCACAACCCCCAACAACGAGCTCAATGACGAAGAGCCTCTGCCCATCAACCCAGAGAAATCCCCACAGGCTCAAGACCACGCGCCATATTCCACCGAGCAGCGGACCGCGCGATACCTTTTACGGGGAACTGACCATAGGCAAAAAGACCCTGGGCTACACGCCGATAGGTGGGGATATACTCGGCGCAACAAGCTGAGGGGTTGACGGACGTTGAACACGGGGTACAAGATGTGTTGAGACCCGACGGCTCTGTCGGTTTCTTTTCCTGATACATTTACACTTGATCTTTTTGCTGGACCTCTATTTAAATAGAATTGGTCAAGTATCGCGACGAGCTTCAAAATTGAGCTCTTCAACACTACCTACGTCATCAATCACAAGCTGTAACCTCGACACATACCACGAGGGGCAATAGCGGGGCATAGAAACGTTGCAACGCCTACAGCTTCCTCACGCGACGAACGAACGACACTTGAGACCTTGCGGATACCAATTCCCAAGATTCTCACAAGTTGGAGACAATTAGAGACAAGCTGCAATTGCCAAAATGTCTCGCTCTGTACCCGTCGCAAACGCTCTCGCCGACATCTACCCTCCGGCCTCTCTCGCGACCGAAGCACCACGATGGAATCACCTCCTCGCCAAGTTTGAGTCCATATATGGGCATCCAGCTTCTTTTGTTGCTCGTTCTCCTGGACGGGTCAACATTATTGGCGAGCACATTGACTACTCCCTCTACTCTGTGCTCCCCATGGCCATCACCGCCGACGCACTCCTCGCCGTGTCTCACACTCCCGTCGCCGACGACGCCAAGACATTCCGCATCCGCATTGCGAATGTGGAGGACAAGTTTGAGGCACAGAACTTTGAGGTTCCTATCGACGGAGATGTTACGATCGATGCGACAAAACTGGAGTGGACGAATTACTTCAAGAGTGGACTTCAAGGTGTGCTTGGATTGTTGAGGAAGAAGTATGGAGCTGGATTCAGACCTTGCAATATGGAGCTCCTCATGGACGGGACAGTTCCCGTCGGTGGAGGATTGAGCTCGAGCGCTGCTGTTGTTAGCACCAGTTCATTGGCTATCTTGCTGGCAAACGGCGAGAAGGAGGTGGACAAGAAGGAATTGACAGAGCTCGCCATCGTCAACGAGCGTGCTGTAGGAGTCAACTCGGGAGGGTACGTGATATCAAGACTGCACATATCTGAACACACAGCTAACTCGGTTTTCATAGAATGGATCAGGCCGCCTCTGTTTTCTCTGAGAAAGGCGCAGCCCTCTTTGTCTCGTTCAGCCCGAGTCTCGAGGCTCGACCTGTCAAGTTCCCTCCTACACATCCAGAGCTCTGCTTCGTTATCGTGCAGTCCTTTGTCACATCCAACAAGCAGGTTACAGGCCCAATTCACTACAATCTACGTGTAGTCGAGTGCAGCATGGCTGCGGCGTATCTTAATGCTGTCCTTAACCCTCCGGGCACTCAGCTGCCAGAGGACGCAGGCCCCTTGGGTATTAGTCTTCAGGGTTTCCATGAGACCTTCTTTTACCATCTTAACGGCTCAGACTACGCAGCCGCCAAGAGCGTTACTAAGGAGGAGGAGCTTAAGAAGTTGATCGAAGTGACAAAGAACACTCTATCACAGGAGGAGGGTTATACGCGAGAGGAGGTGGCCAAGGTGCTCAACATTACAGTCGAAGAGCTTGAAGCCCGCTTCATGTCCCGTCTCCCTGTCCGAGCTGAGCGTTTCAAGCTCCGCCAGCGTGCCCTGCACGTCTTCACCGAAGCCCTCCGTGTCCTCCACTTCATGGCTCTCCTCGAGAACCCCGTCCACACAGGCGCAACCGACACAACGCCCTTCAACAAGGAACTCGGCCACCTCCTCAACGAGACGCACGTGTCTTGCCGTGACCTATTCCAGTGCAGCTGCCCCGAGCTCGACGAGATCTGCGACATCTCTCTGCGGTCCGGAGCTTACGGTGCACGAGTTACCGGCGCAGGATGGGGAGGTTGCAGCGTGCACCTCGTTCCGGCGGACAAGGTCGAGGCTGTTACAGAAGCGTTGGAGAAGGAGTACTTTTCCAAGCGGGAACTTACAGAGGAGCAGAAGAAGGGGGCCGTTGTCGTGAGTCGGCCCGCGACGGGAAGTGCAATTTACTATATTCAGGACGGTGTGAAGCCATAAGGCGAGAAGGGATACAACAGTAAAACACCTTGGAGAAAAGTAAAAACACATACAGAATTATAGAATATCGTATTTCTTGATATTACATTCGTCAACAAAGTTCCAGAACGTTGTTAGTCTTGTACGAATAGCACAAGGCTTGCCAGCCCGTGCTTCTTCGACTGGTTGAAATAGATTCCTTTCTGTTACGCCATGTCGAACCGAAATCTGGTGCAACACAGAAGGGTTACACGACATACGTCTCTTCTTCCCGAGTTTCAGCCCGAGCCCGTCGTTCTGCGCTCGGGAGAAAGCCACGGTATATGACCTTGTCGGGCCTACAATGCAAGCTACACGGCACGGCACGGAGGTTTTCTTTTTGTTACCCAAGTGCCGAAATTGAATCTAATCAATCACACCTCAAGTCCCGAGGTTTGACGATCCGGAAGTTACGGGAGACAAGGATGATGAGGAATTTCAGGGTCCATGAGGGTTGTGTTGTTATTTGAGTTTTGAAGGTTTACGTAGTATTTCTTGTCCAAGAATGTAGTGGCGTAAAAGTTTATGGGAGAGTGTCTCTTTTTTGTGCCGAGGTATGAAGGCGATGGACCCAGGACTTTTTGAAGATCAACCGATACGAGAAGAAAAAAGACAAGGACAAGCAAAGAAACTGGGATCTATAGCGACCCGACCTTCCCCGGACAAAGCTTTTCAGAGTTTAAAAAATATCAGGGCTAGCAAGCACGGATGACAGGCACAAGCCGGCGTCCCGGTAAAAGGGGGAGAGGACACCGGAAGCAGACCGAGAGCGAAGCGGACGATGTGTCAGCATCTTCAGTCATGGGTTTTTCTTGGGGTTGGGTTTGGGGTGTGGGTGTCTAGAGGTGGAAAGAAAAACAGGATACACATTTTCGCGGGGGTTGACACCAAAACCAGTCTCCTTTTTTTTCTTCCCCTCTCTGGGGGTGGGCTTTTCTTTGGACAGGGGCCGGACGATCGGGAAGACGAATCAGGGGCAGGGGATGGAACGTGGAGGGCCAGATGATAAGGGAAATCTAGTGTTTGGGGAAAAACTGATGGTTGTTCAAATCTTTCACGTGTTGTTTTTTGTGTTTGTGTTTGTATGCTCTAAAATGCCGTGAGACCCGAGTTGGAAAAAGCCATCTAGTAACATCGTAGCACAAAGTTGTAAAGAAACAACCAACGAGGACATGTGTTTTTTTTGTATAGTAATCTTTCATCCGTATCTCGACCCCCAATTGAGGGGGATGAAAGGCTTATCGGGCGGGTTTTTCTTGGGGTTTTGGGTGATTAATGGCTCGACTGTGATGACTGGCTGAATGATGCGTCTCTTATTGGCTGACGTGGAGACCGGGCAGAGTTCAGGTTCATCCCGTTCCGGTTCCTGGGGGGCGAGGAGGGGATTGAAGCCATCATGGGGTTGACGCACAACGAGTCTTGTTGATCTTTCGCTGTTGGTTTGTTATCTTGTCTCAGATTGAAGAATGAGAATATATATCAATCTCACAGTTGATCCCCCATGGCTTTCTTCCACCAACCCTCTTTCTCATTTTCAAGCATCGACCATACATCACATTTTGCAAGTTACACAAAGAATCACGATCCCCATCATGTCTTTCCTCAAAAAAGCACGTCAATTCTCATGACGAGATGGATTCACCTAAACCACCTTCCTAGGGTGGCACGGCGTCCGAGGCACGCCCCACCAGGGGGAGACTCGGGGGAAGAAGAAGATCTTGGGGGTGAGTTTTTTTCTCCCACTTGGTCTGGGCTTTTTTGTCCCTTCTTTTGAGTTTTTGCATCGTAAGTCGGCCAGTCAAGATTACTTGGCCAAAACTCCCCAAGACTTCAAGATCGTGGTTCAACACTCATCGGAAGGTTCGTTTTGGCAGGTAGATATTCTTAAATACCAAAGCCCAGGCACAAACCATGACCGGAAACGCTCTGGGGCCTGATCCAAAGCCTGGGGTAGTAAGTTCAAGGCTATTGACTCTGTAAAAAGCATCCCATTTTTCAAATCCATCACAGCAATCCATTAGGTCAGCTCATGACGAGGGAACAACATGGTTTCAGTGGCGATGCCCCAAGTCAGAAGAGTTTTGGCCCCCGTGAAATCCAGCCGCATAAGGTTCTGGTCAAGCCTTGGACGCACAAGCCCTTTCAGGGCCTGGATCTCTTAAAAAACTCCACAGCCCGGTTCCCTTCTGTCTCTCCACCCGGGATGGCTCATCCCACTTGCCGGCGTTTCTGTGATGCAGGAGAAACAAGAAGCATAGACGAGCAATGACAATTTTTTTTTAAAATAGAGTTGTAAAAGAGTAATTGACCATGATGATGATCTCCAGGGGACTCATGCTCACTCTCACTCATTCTCAGCCCTAGAAGAAAAGGCCGTGGTGTAGAGCGCTGACGCAGATCCTCAAGTTCCAGCCACGTTGACCTCGGCCAAACCGTTGGTTAGTGTCCCATCCCGTCATTTCTCGAGTCCGTCTCTCTCTACCTTGGGTCTCCATTGCAGTCAATCCTGTGTGTCCATGAATTCTCCAACAAGAATACCCCGGCCAGGTTGGGTCTAGGGCCCCGGGCAGTGCCCATTCCCCTCTTACTCAAGAGATCGACCGTCATCCAACACCTTGTGTCGGTCGGCCTTTTACTCTCGTCTCTCCCCGCTGACGTTTGACCTGCTGCAGCTTTCCTTTTCATCTACTCTACTCCTTCTTCCCTGTCAATCATATCCCATCCGTCTATCCGCCCCCTTGTCTGTGCCCCCCCTTGGTTCCCTTGGTTCTCGGGGCCTCTCTCCAAACTCCATACTACCCCAGAAATGCCCGCGTCCTCTCGCATCGCGTAGCGCTATCTCTCCCACCCAGGCCGCTATCAGTACCAACCTAGTGATCCCTGTTCCTCCGGCTTGGCCCTTTCAGTTTCCTGCTTGTCATTTGCGATCCAAATCTCAAAACGACTTTCTTTTTTGGCTTGGCCTCTTTCTTTAGTTGTCGCGCTGTCATTGCCACGCCTTTTCGCCTCCTTCTGGCCTTGATCTCCCCTTCTTCCCTTTCACTCTCTCCCACCCTCGCACATTATCTATCTTCTCTCTTCCCAACTCTCAGCCGCAACAAAAATTCCCCGAACTACAGTACCCGGGGTCTGACCTGCACTACCAATAACCCAACCCAGGGCTGCTGCTTGGGGCATCGCCTCCCTGGGCTCCACTACTCCTTCGACCGCCCCAATCCCTCTCCCCGTCTCCTGCCAACTCCATCTTCCGACATCAACCATGGCTCCGGACTCGTGGTCCGAGGCCGATAGCATATCTCAACATTCTTCCATGTCGCATCAGGATGATTCGCTCGATCGTCAACTACTCCGTCATCTTATGCGCCGCTATGGTCGCGAAGGTGTAGCCCAGTTGATGGACGAGGAGGCAACCTCGCCTGCCATCTCTCGTGAGTGACCGCTTCTTTCTTGTCGCTAATCTCACCAAGTCGAGACTGCGTCTACCTTGGCCTCGTTGTCGCTAATTTCTGTATTCATCAGTCAACGATGGAGCCTCAGTCATCTCTTCAAGTACTTATTCCTCGGTAAAGTCCGAGGATGCCGCCAGTCTCTTCGATACCGCCAGCGTGCGAACCTTTTCCTCCGATAACTCTTCTGTCCGTGGCAGCATCATCTCCAATGTGTCAGCACGCACTGCCAAGCTACTTGGTCGAAAATCGAATCAGTCTACTCGCCCTTCTACTTCGCAGTCGACAAGTCGAGAGGAAGAGGCCTCGACGACCCCGTCAGGTGATTCCGCAACTCCGGCTCCGCACGCGCCCAAGCAAAAGGGTTCCTTCACATGTGGCTTCTGCAGGGAAGAAGACATTCAAAAGACGTGTACGCGTAAAAATGATTTGAAGCGTCATATCGAGGACTTTCACAACACCAACGCTCAGTGGTTCTGTCGTCATTCGGATTGCAACATGGTTTTCGACTGGCAGACGGCGTACAAGACCCATCTGAAACAGGCCCACGGTGGCTCTCGCATGACTCTCGACGAAGCCAAGGTGAACTTGTGTCCCCAGACCGTTTTTGCCTGTGGCTTTGAAAACTGCCCTCAGGTTTTTGAGGCTCCCAGCGACGACGATGCCGACTCGACCTTTAAGGAGTTTGTGGCTCACGTGGTGAAGCATTTCGACGAGGGATCCAACAGTGGAGAGTGGACATATTCTGGCAGAATGCGAAATTTGTTGAAGCAGTCAGGATTGGTGCGAGCTTGGGCGAGCTCTTCATGGCCCGAGGAGGAACGAAATCGTCTGCAATGGCATCCCCAATCCAGTGGCATCCTACGGAAACGACTCGAAACGCGGCATCTGGGTGATCTGCAACTCATGGTTCAGTATGCCATTGCCCTGGGTTCGGAGCCCTCTTCCATCACCAAGTACCGCGAGGACTTTATCAACCCCGTCAAGGACCAGTGCCGCCAGCCAATCCCAGGACACAAGTCACGAGCACCTCCTCTTCCACCTTCGGGTCCCTCTCCTGATGCCGACCAGTATCAGTTCCGCATTTCTCGGGGGACAAACCCCAACTTGGCAGCGTATCTGGCTTCTCAACGGCGTGTCTATGTACCGCGTCCTGGTCCAGTTCGCTCCGGTCGTTCCGCCCGACCACCTCGGCATACGATGCCTACGACAACGGCAGCTCCGGCGCCTATGCCGCATCACTTTCAGTATGCAAACATACCCCAGGCGCAGATGTACGACCCTCGGCAGCAGCAGCAATTCGCCATGATGCAGCAGGCCACAGGGGGTATTATCGCCGAGGATCTCCGAAGCCTTCGGTCTATCGCCAATAGCATGCCTGAACAAGACATCGACATGAACGATGCCGACATGATGGACGCTGGATTCATGCAGGAGCCAGCCTTTTCGGCTCCTTATGATCCCCAGAGTATGACGACCTCTGCGTCCGACGCTTCATGCCTTACTCCTACTACTCCTATAGGTCAACAAATGTCGTTTGGAGGCTATGATTCTGCATATGCCTAGATCACGGCGAGCGATGGATTTGGTTGACTTCCAGATCTGAATGCTTGTTCAGGCCGTCTATTGCCCTTGCAGTCATTCTAATATTGATACGCATGGCAAACATGAGCCTTTACTTAAAACTTAACCCACTCACTCAGGGACATGGTCAATGACAACTTGACCATCCTGCTCATTCCTTACTCGTTACTTTTCATATACGCAAGGTTCAAAAGATGGAGGGGGGACCGTCGGAGCGATATATCTTTGGGATTTTTCTTTGTCTGGTGGAGTCACTGCTGGGTAGTTTTACCCACAAAGGCCTATACTTTGCATTGCAGCGGATATGGAAGTCTGGCAACCCTTATACATGATGGGATGGAGGAGAGCTCGTGGGAGTGTGTTGAGATTTGATACCCCGAATGTGAGAGTAAGAGACGTTGTTTCTGGTGCCTTGAGGTGTTTTTTGATGAATGGAAAATAAGGATATACGATCGAGTATATGACATTAATTTACATGTGACTTTGACGTTGGCTTTGATGGTGAGGCTATGATCTGGGACTGTCATCCAAAGAGCTGTATTCGTGTATCGGATTAACAGTTAAATATTGGCATGTCTATACGGAACGATTAGACCTGGAAAGCTGTAGCATTCCATGGTGAATTAATCGGTAATGTTGTATATCAACCTGCTACTACTATGAGTTACCCTAGGGTAGCCCGTGTCCCAGAGCCTTAAGTCCGTGAGATATCGGCAACGGCACGGATAGACGGATGGGACATGATCGATACAGATAAGAGCAGTACTGTGAAGGTAAGAATCTTGGGAAACCGACAACGAGGCTGTAGCCATGAAAGTTCTCGTGGTTATGCCACCAACGAAGTTTGTTCAGTGAACTTTACCTCACGGTGTTTCTACAACGTCACTACTCACAAGTGGATTTCCCCCATCGTGCCCCAGTTAATTACAGCATAACCCAGTAGGAGCAATATTACAACAGCCTCATAGCTATGGATATCATTACTCAATACCTATCACTTTCAATGCCATGGGAGCCTATGAAGTCGAAATTCTCCAAGTCAGACGACAGTGTAGGGTAGCTGCGGTTACTGATGGGACCTGTAATCTCCGCACTTCGCCACGGTCTCCCCAGGACGCGATCCTCCCCCATCCATCCAGTCAGATGCTAGCAAAAGAACGAGGCTTCCTGTGAGCTGATTATCTACCAGGGGGAGCAAAGACCAGGACCAAAAAGAGGGAGATAGATGGTGCGGGGATTAGAGGGGGAACGGGCAACTAGGATGCCGGTTTTTGATAAGAAGGGCGTGATGCCATGTCCCCGTCAGAGGAGATACTTGCAGGCTTCCCCAAGATATCGACGTGAGAGGCTTGAATATGGCGCGGTTTAATCATCTCAAGTCTGGGGGGGCACGATGGTTTGAGTTCTTTTCTGATGTGCGGACAGGGGACGGAAGGCATGGTCTGGACCTTGGCCAGATGGTGGCATGCGCTGCGCTGGATCCATTACATAGCAACTCTGTCAACCTCGTGAGAAGTCGCTGTTTTTGGAGCAGCCTCAACAGCTGACGACAACCCCAAGCGAGTCAGACCTTGTCACGCGCTGGTTGGCTGAGAGCCAGAAAGAGGGTGAAAGGATCTAGCATATCGTAACGACACAACCAACCATTTGCGATGGCGTGCGGAGAGGACGAGGCCTCCGCACTTGGTCAAATGGCTCAAAGGTTTGGCACGGCAAGGGTGGCCGGATAGCCAAGTAGAGATAAGGCCAACTCGTTGGAGCCAAGCACCGCTATTGCTCATCACCCCCGCGAACCTAGATTGGGATAATGCCGAGAAAAGAGGCAGTGAAAGGATTACAGCAACAATACCATGCCTTGATCCTGGCTACGCGACTGGCTAGCCCCGGGTGTAGACTGCATGTAGCCAAGCTGGCTGAGTGGCTTACATACTACGCAGTAGTACTGCGTCTGGCTGATACCCGGGAGGATGGAAAGGTGCTCTGTTGGTGCTGCAGAGTTGGGGTGAGAAAGGGATGAAATGGCTCGGAAGGATGAGCCATGGAAATGAGGGGATGGTGACATGGTCTGAAAGGGAGGACCTGCATGACTTCCACGTGGAATGGATGAAGCAGAGTTGCCACCAGCAAGTCGAGAAACGAAGATCAACAGACTGGTGCACAGTGATGAGGGTGTTCTGACTCGTTCCAGACACGGGAGACCGACACCTCCGTGTTGCCCGCGAGTTGCGATGTGTGTGTCCGTGTGCCTTTTGGGAACAAGGGGTGCTGGGCTGCTGACAAGGGGGGGATAAGAGACAACAAGAAGCTGACTTGGGTATGCTATATCTGGAGGTAGTAAGAAGAAGGGTTTCTGGTGAGAAGCAGCGACTAAGTTGCAAGTAGTTTGCAAGCAGTTTGCATGTCGTTTTTGCACGTCGTCTTTGAGCCAACATCTCGTTGACTAAAGAGCCATCGGTTACTCAAGGAACGTCAAGTATCCAGTTCAGTTGGGCCACAAGGATCGGCGAGCGGGTGGGCCACGTGGGAGGGCGTTGAAGAGAAGGTTTCACCTGACGTTGGGCTGCGTTTGATGTTGATCAGTGCGAGGTGATGGAATGGCTTCCATTCGTGTGACGGCCTTCTTCTGTGTGATCCAGGGCGTTGATGAACTCCAAGACACTTGCAGAACAGTAGACGATTGATAGCAAAAGTGATGACGAGCATGTCATCTCTCCAACAGCGTTGTAGCGTGGCGTGACATTGGGCGGTCTCGACTCGTTTTGGTTTCCCGCCGTGGGGAAGCGATGGAGGGGGAGGCACGGAGGATGGAAGTACGGATATGGGAGGTAGTCTAGCCGTGATTCGCAACGGACATGATCCTTGGTGGGTCTTTTGGTCTTGAGCCCTGGTTGGTCCCTCAAGAGTCGTGGGTTTGCTGCCCGGTTGTGCTGACGTGAAAAAAAGCCAAGGGAAAGAAAAAACGAAGATCATGAGTGAGACATTGAGAGACTTGAAGCCTGAGCGAGCAACAAATCGGAAGTCATGGGGGGATGGGGAAGGAGGGACCGGGGCCCCGGATAGAGGAAGATGCGCAGGAAGGACCACCCAACAAACGAGCAGCGCAGGCACAGGCAGGCACAGGCGGGCGGACACAGGCAGGCAGGCAGAAGGCACCTACCTAGGTGGGCAAGGTAAGAAAGTCAAGACAAGGCAAGGCCAGGCAAGAGACAACCTTGACAACCGCCCGGTCGGCTTGAAAGGAAAAGGAAAGTGCAATGTGTGGCCAGTGTCACCTACTCACCTCAGTAACCACGTCCACTGCAAACTTGCAGGCTCCCTGAAAGGGAATGGGGTCACGCACTTTTACGAGGGCGACGAATCAATCACCTCTGCCGTTACCATCTCCATCCTTGTTTTTAGCAAGTCTGTTGCTCTGTTCTGCTCGCCCTTTCCCCAGCCTGGACTGGGGGTATCATCGTTTCATGCAGGCATGCCCGTCGTGTCAGAAGCCTTCATCCTTGGTGTGAAATGCAACCACGGACGCCGTAGGAGCCTAAGATACGAAGCGAGTACTAATCTAGGTCCCGTGCCAGAGCAGGAGACCAAGAGATCGAAGCCGTCCAATGCATCTTGCAGTCCCTGTTGTGTGAGTGGGTGTTCGTTCGTCCATCCGGCAGAGCATTCTGAAAGATGGATGGATTGATTGATTTGCAGGTTGCAGAAGGAAGCTCAGCTCGCTTTCTGGACGGAAGCACCGTAATTAACTGCATTTCCATCAAATCTCATCTCGGTGATCATCAGGCGTGAGATGCATCTCGCAGCCAGCCACACTCGTCTCTTGTCAATCTGCGACACGAGATCCACCACTGGCGAAGCTGAAGAAAATTTCCAGAAGAAAAAGCAACAAGCTTACAGCGGCAGCCAGAGGCTGCTTCCGCTGGCGCAGGCGCAGAAGCCCAAAGGAAAAATAGAACAAGCAAAAGGAGGCGTCAGCCAGAAGCAACCTGCACGAAATAACACAAACAAGAAGCAATCAACCCGAGATGCATCTGGTAATCTGTCATTTCCCGACTCCGGGTCGTTCGGTTGTTTCTTTCTTTTTCTCGTCCTGCTAGCAGCGGATGGCGTTGCTTCCTACCAGGTGGAAGGATCTCATTGACCGACTCATCAACGGCGCATCTCGAACGTGTCTCGTAACGGTTTTATTGGAGATGACCCGTAATCCATCGAGTCAAATCAGAGAAACGTCGAGACCAACAACCATTGTGCAGAAATAGCATAGCTAGCAGTTGTTTGCCATGTCAAGCGAAGCGAGACGGGGCCAACAGAGAGAAGCCCTGCCAAGAATTCACTCCTCTCACCGTCTTCTACACCACGACATGCTTCTTCAGTATATTGTACGTACGAGAATAACGCATAGCCAGCGCCACACGAACCACTCACGCACGCCAGCATCCACATTCACCGTCTCGAAGGAAAAAAAGGCCACACTCGCCGTCGTCGCCAGGGTTTTGCAAGGGGACCTTGGAGTGGCTTGGAGTGGGCTTGGCGCACCTGGCTGAGAGCTTCTGGCTTGGGTCGTGTCATGACCCTCTTACGCAGCCAATGCCATGCATTGCTGGCCCTCCAGCTCCGCACCAGAAGTCTCGGCAGCGCCCTTTGTCCCCTCATGCTCACACCAACTCTCGCCTTGGTTCGCTCGACCCTCGATCCTCGCTGATTCGGCTCGCAAGCAGACCAAACAGACGTCGGGCCCTGGAGCAGAGGCCAGAGATTGGCCCATCGTCATTTCCCGCTGAAACAGGGTCGTCTGCTGGCCCGCGTCCAGCCAGAGAACTCGCTGATGAACTAGCAGCACTAGCAACGCTAGACCCTCTCGGGTTCACGTCGTCTTGGGCACATGTACCTGCTAGGCTTGCTCTAGGCTCTCGGGGCACTTGCTCTCCGTCCGCATTCTTGTTTCGTCGGCAGGGGTCAGTCCATTGTGGATGTCGTCGCTGCAGCAGTGCGTGATGACCACGGTGGGCCCTCTGGTCTGCTCTGTGTGTTGCGTGCGCGCCTTTTGAATCAGTTTCGATTTGGTCAGCGCAATCTGCCTCTGTCCCCAGTGCGAGACCCGGTACTCGGCAGAACCGACTCGATGCTGACTGGGGATTGGACGAAGCCTGAAGAGAGAGATGCGACAAGGCAAAGAAATAACGCTAGGCTGGGCGTGATGGGGTCGTTTCCCAGTTGCTTTGACTAAGTGACTGACTGATGATTGACTGTTTTTGGCGTGTTCGGGGTCACAGGTCACAGCGGAAGAGACGATACGGGGTGCTCAATCAATCCTTTGCGTTGCGTTGCGTCGCGTTGCGTTGCGTCGTGTCGTTCCGTTCGGCACTTGGAAAGGGAGACAAGCAGGGCCATGCTTTCATGCTTTCATGCTTCAATGCTGAACCACGCCGGCATCAGCACGGTTCGCCGCCAGCCAAACCCTATTGCTGAGAACCCCGAGATGCTGCGGCGCAATCAAAACGACTGCGCACAGTACCAAAGCCTAATCGTCGCTCGGCTGTAACGTCTTCTAGAAGAACGGCAGAAGCACCTCAGGCCGTAGGGGTTACGGTCACGGCTGCTCACCGTCGCGACTCGCATGCTTGGGGCTGCAGGGGAAACGAGGTTCAATTTGCGGGCGCAATCACGACTTGCCAGGGGGAAGGGGAAGGCTTGTTCCGTGGCCTGCGAGTCGATCACTGAGAGTCGGGCATCACGGGTCAGAAATGTTCTGTTGGGAGGCTTATGCCATCAGTCACAACTAGGACTTGTTCGTCCACTCCGACACTGGCTGCTGGGCCACCACTGCCCAAACAAGGGACATGGCGACGGATTCTCCTCACACTATCGAGGATCCAGCAAGGCGCCCCCCAAAGAGGCTGCACGCCGCCTGCTGCGCTGGAGGGGAATGGCTGAGTGTTTGGCCCTATTGAGTGTGTGTGCGCGTGCGCTACGAGTGACTGTGGCATCGGTCATGATGGATCACTTCGTCCAAGGCAAGGCACGTCATCTGGACATCGTACTCGGGGCTCATGAGATTGCCGGCACCCGCACGATGAAGACAAGCCCGCAGCGAGACCCTCCCCGAGCCGGCTTCGAAAAAAAAAAAGAGAGAAAAAAAGCTTCTTCTGCAAATGACGTTCCTGAAACGGCGTTGGTCGTATACTGGGGTCCCCTGTCTGAGGGAGCAACTAGTCGAGGAGCTAGCTAGGACATGGGTTAGCCAACGTGGGCCGACCAAGCGATTCACTCCGGCAAGCCCGTTATAATGTCTCACGCCGCGTCCAGGATTCGATGAAGGCTTCTAGAAGGGTTTCCTCTCTCGTGCGTCTCCCCTGTTCCCCTGCCTCTTGGTTGCTGCGCTGCGTACACTCGCCCCGTCCGTCTCCCCTCGCTTCTTCTCGCCCCTCCCATTGTCTCTGCCCTACCCTTTCCTGTCTTCCCGTCTTGGAGCAAGGGCCTGTGTCTTTGATTGACTCTTGTCTCTGGTTTAATCTGCCTCCTCCCGCTACCTACCCGTGCCTGCGCTCAAACCCCGTCACACTCAAACCTGTCCCCTCCACATCCATTCACCACAAACCACCCTCGACTGTGTCACGACTCTACGACTCGACTCGACTCGACTCGATCCTCACTAATCGTCGCGGGCTGGCGATTTCCTCTCGTTAAACTCACCTCACGCATTTCCTCTTGTAGCGTGCTTACGAGTTCGACTTCTGCAACGACCTACTAGTCTCAGCCGCACAGCCATCCTCTTCGCTCTCTCCGAAGGACTCCTGGGATCGATCCGCCACCGCGCACACGACGCTTCACTTTAGAGCGATTAATTCTCACCTGTACCGCCTGCTTCGAATAATACTCGCCTGGAGCCTCATGCGAGTCTCATCCCCGACGGCTGCCTCCCGCACTTGACACACATCTAAGACGGCAGGCCCTCCGTTGCTGACAGCGACCCTACTCGCTGTAGATTTTACATAACAAGCGCTGAGCGCGCATCAACGTTCTGTCGATTGACACGGACGTTGTGCACTCTTGCTATAATGTTTCCTTTCCAGGTTCAAGACGATCAAGCCGTTAGGCCTTTGAGTGAAGACGATCAGCAGATCCTTCTGGGTCTGGCCCGTCGCTATGGTGTCTCGAGTCTCGTCTGCGCTCTGAGCGGTCTGGGCACTTCATGTGAGTTTCTGTTGGATAGTCTATGCTGTGACTTAACTGACACACGGTAGCCCGGGCCTCGACCTTCTCAGCGACCACGCTTCTTAGCAACACAAGTGCTCCCTCATTGACATGGAGCAGCTCTGAGGCTTCTCACGCTCGATCCGATGCCGCTTCGATACGCACCCAGTCTACATGGCAAGACACTTCTACCGACGTGCCTTCGATTCATGAGGGTGAAGTCGGCAAAATTCCTGACCGGACGTGGCTCGACTCGCCCAGCCTCATGCAGTCGCCTATTCCCTCATGCGATGTCACCTCTCACCCCTCGCCTCGACATGTCGCACCGACTTCCAAGAAATACCAGTGCCCCATGTGCTTTTTGGACAACAACCCCGTGGGCTTTGGTCGCAAGAGTGATTTTAAGAAGCATCTCTACAACTTCCACGGCTCTGATGTGACATGGCTGTGCAAGACGAAGGGCTGCCACCTCTCTTTTGCTACTGAACGTGCCTACAGCACCCACGCCAAGGAGACGCACCGCATGGACGCTCTCCCCAACAGCTCTGCCAAGACAGAGTTGTGCCCTCAGGTTGTCTTTGCGTGCGGTTTCGCCAACTGCAAGGACCGTGTCTTCGAGGCCCAGACCAACGACCAGGCGTCGGGCAGCCGAGACAAGTACTTTGAGCACATTGCGAAGCACTTCGAGGACGGTTTCGACGTCAACAACTGGGAGTACAAGGCTCAGTTGCACAACCTCATGCGTCAGTCCAAGGTCAAGTCTATCTGGAAGACATGCATCTGGCCTAAGGAGAAGAGGCAGCAACTCACATGGCGCCCACGATCCTCTGGTGATCTCAAGCGAATGCTCGAGGCGCGCCACCTTGGCCAGGATATCTCGACTCTTGTTCGCCTCGCCTTCATCCTCGGTACATCGCCATTTACGAACCCCAACACGCCACCTCCTAGCGAGATCGATCTTCAGTTCTCTCTTCCCGTCCGATCCGAGTGCTTGATGGACACCGTTGGCCATGCTGATGGAGCGCAACCCAAGATGGAGAACAACGTTAATAACACACCGCCGGAACCCGTTGTTAAGCAGCAACCACCCACACCTCAGGCGAGCACGTTCCCCAACCGAAGGATTAAGCAGGAGACTCGACCTACGACACCAGTGGACGGTATTCCCGAGCCCATGATTCGAGACGACATCGCAGCTGGTCCCCATCCTGGAACGCCATTCCCGATCCCCAATGAGCACGTCTGGCCCATCGATGCACCCAAGTTCGCCCCTGACCAGATGAACACCTTTGCCGATGCTTCGATGACCTACATCTTGCCGGGACAGGAGCTTCCCCAGCAACAATGGGCAGACATGAGCGGCATCCAACAGTTCCCTCAACAGGATGAGGTCATGACCAATGTCTACATGACCCCTAACCACAACCAACCTCAGTCTGCTCGCCCTGCCACACCGATCCCATCAAAACGACCTGGTTCCTGGGGTAAGCGACTCAGCCTCGAGAACCTTCGCCCTAAGAAGAAGACCAGCGTATACGGCAGCCCAGCATCCAGCACCGACGCTGTACCCCCCGTGCCACAAATGTACGCTGAGATGATTCCCACGTCCGTGCCGGCTGGTTACGAACTGCCCATGCGGATGGGCCACCCATCACAAGGGTACACATCAAACCCAAATGGCTTCATGCAGCAAGCACAGATGCAGCAGCTCGGCTCACCGACGTCCTTTTACCTCGATGATGGGGACATGAGACTATAAGGCGTTTATCATATCATTGGAAGGAAAAGCATTTAGCATCATGATTTCAACATTTTTGCTTCAACGTTTTATATCTGTACTAATATCTGCCCTTCATGGGACAAGAGGAGGACAGGAACGTTATGACGACGGGATACCCATCCTCTTGGATCTCTGAGGAGACCATCACTTGTATCTTTCTTTTTGTCCATGTTTTACTGTTTCGGATACATTACCAGCATGTGGGACCGACACATACACACCCCCTTTTCTTTATATGTCTTTTCTCTAGTCTGCATTTCTTGTTTTTGAGATACCACGGTGTTGAAGAAGGGATGGAACGAGAGGAACGAGGCCAAGGCCTCTCTACGGGTCTTTCTTTTTTTTGCAGTACATTTTGGCTTGTGTTTCTGTGTGAATATTGGCATCTTTCGGGACATCATGCGAGGAGGATATACCGAGACGGGCAGATACCCCTTTGTGCCAGTTGAGGAGACATGTACGGGAAGGAATTGATACCTGGTAGATAGGTGGTGACGAAGAGGTGGGAGGGAGAGCATTAATGCGAATCTTTATAAGATTACTTCTGGTGCATTCATGAACGTGACTGAACTTAAGCATTTGATGATAGAGCCAAATGATTAAGTATAACATGGCGTGTCATGAATTGAACTTTGTCTGGAGGTGCGGAGGGATGTTTGTCTGGAGTTGGTGAACTTGGTCAATTTTGTGGTGTTTCCAACTTCTCAAGACAGACTCGGCGCTTTGCAACGTCACACCAACACTTAACATTGGCTGACGTAGACTTGGAGTTCTAATTTAAGTCAAGCACTCATGAAAGAGAAAGTCGTCGTTGGTTTGTTATGTATGAATATTGTTCCGCCAGTTACCCCTATTGATGAAGCCGTTTAATTACCTGGGCAACCTTTCCTAGTCCGCCAACTACTGACCATTGGGAGTATTAGGGGCGCTTAAATCGCCCATCCCGGTCAGGAGGAAACCCAAACATGGAGTTTGCCCTCCTCTTGGAAGGTATCTATGCAAGCAAGTGTGTGCTAAAATGACCTACTCTAATCCCATGTTCGGTCTCCATTCTAGATGGCCATGGCACTCACTGACCCGAAATACATTCGTCTGCCTCAAATGAGAGATCTTCATTTGTAAAACTGGATCCGAGACTATTAGACCTCCTTTATGAGGTTCAATATATGTCAAATGTCTGGTAGTTTGGTGCAGTTTGGTGAAACTCTCCGCCCATGATGCCGTCGACATGGGCGTCCCCAACAAACGTATACCCCCCTTCCTCACGCGGTCGCAAGATAATTGGCACTTCGCACCCAGACAGAATAGTGACAATATCACCAGGCTGCACGAGAACATGCCCTCGTCCAAACATGGCCTTGTTCGTTTTGAACAGAGTCCTCCCCACGGTGTAGTAGAGGATGTCTTCTGGCCACTCTTGAACGATATGCTCGAGCTGCTTCTGGGGAGTGTCGAGATCTAATCGGACAGTGTTAAGATATAATGGGCCGTTGTTGATAAACTCTTTCTGGGACTCTGTGAGATGCTCGGAGTCAAACTGCCCCTGACGCATGATGCTGCGAACCAGGAGCCCTACATCACCGTCCATCCAATGGTGATAACGATGATAAGAACCAGGTTCTCCATACTGCCGACCGATGAAAGTGCGCCAGACGTAATCTTCGGCTGGGCCTGATTCTGGTCCAAGATTGGCGAACTTGAGAACTGATGCTATGAAATCCTCGACGAGGTCACCGTAGGGGATGCCTTTTCGGAAGCTGTGTAGATCTTTCGGGGTCTCCATGACGTCGGTTATCGTGGAGACGTAGCATCCAAAGCGTCTCAAGACCCAGGGACTCTCATCGTGAGCCATGTTTTCCGATGTTGGCATACCAGAAGTGGCGTTGATATAAAGGCCAGCGTCCTCTACCAAAGTGCCCTTTTCTCCAATCTCTCTCCAATCCGGGACCCAAGAAGGAAGACCATCGAGGTTCTCAGCTCTGGGGGTGACGTATTCTAAGCGGTAGGAGTTTATACCGGCATCTTGTTGAAGAAATGCCTTTGTCGCCGCGGTAAAGACCTCGGCCATGGACTTTGTATAATCAGCCCGTAGACCCAACTCATCGCCGTCTTCGATGACACCCAGAAGCCCGAATATGATGTCGCGCGGGTCAGAGGCTGCGTATATTGTATGATTCGCCCTGAACGAGAGACGTAGGATCTCGGAGAGCCGGAGTGGTCCTGTGCGCCAGTACTGTCTACGTCGGCGGATGAGCAGCGGCAGGATCCAGTTCCAGGCCCATTCGAAGCCTATTCCCCCGTTTATGCGGCTTCCATGACGTTTGTCGAAGACGCCGCAGTCCCATAGAGTCATAAAGGTCGATTGGAAGTGCTCGAGGGAGGTGGTCTTGGTGCCACACATGATGAGACCGACTCTGGCGAGGGCAACTTCTTGGACGATCCATATGCGGTGCCAGTTTTCCTTCTTGACAATCTCGGCAAGTCCGTCGATCAGAACACCCCGAGGGACCTTGATCCCGTCAACCTCCTTCGCGGCTTGCAGTCCTGGATGATCCAACAGGCCATACATGTACTGGGCCAGCCTTACGGCCGGATCTTCATCAGAACGACCAAAGTCCTCACCCGATACGCGACTCCTAAAGTACGTACTGACGATGCCGTTTTGATAGGAGCCTAGTATCTCCATGGCGTTCAATTCGACAAGCGTTGGTCCGATTTCAGCCATGAACTCTATCGTCTTGTCGGTGGCATCGGAACCTGGGCCGAGCCACATGTAAACACACTCGGCGCGACTATAAACGGTCCGCATCTCTTGAACATGCCACCCCTTCTCCTCAAGGTCTGTCTGTTGGATACAGATTGAATCGATCCAGATCCAAGAGCGGAAGCCATTCTCACGCAGCTGCTTCAAAGCAGAATGGAGACTGCGACCAACTGGAAAATTTTGGCCGTTGAGGGTGATGTCGATTGTTTCGGAGCAATCGCCCCAGACGTAGGAGAGAGCGTTGAATGTGGTGTCGTTCATGGAGGCGTGGCGCAGTTCTAGCTCAAGGTTTGATGTGTCACTTGGACACTCGATGAAGCGCACGAGGCGGATCTCGGATTTATGCCGGTTGAGGGGTGAATAGACAAACATGGTTTCATTGAAATGAAGTTATAGCGGGTTTGAGTTGTTGTGGTTGGTAAGGAGAGTTGAGGATTTGGGTGCTGACGCTGCCTGGAGGTGGGCGATCCTCCAGACCCATGAAACCCCGTGGTTTCTAGGCGCTTAACCATTGTTTTTTGCACCAAACTTGGCCCAAGAGGCATGAATTTGCATAATGAAAGAAAAGAATTCTGAAGTTCTCCATATCCTAGACTGATTGCAATTATACCAGCACCAAGTAGATCAAGTTCGAGTTCTGGCCTGGCGTCTTCAAAGGTGGACAGGCAGACGGCTGTCCCCGCAGAGCTTTGCACGTGCCGGATTACATGGCGGCCAATTAACAGGCGGCAGTCGACGGGTGACTTCACGCCGTTGTGGTTGCTCTGTTAACGCAAAACTATCATGGGACTTCACTGCACTTCACGGATGACTCTGGTGACCAATTTTTGTGTATTGACAAATTCTGAAAGTGTTGGGACTTGGTGTTTGTGCACGAATGAGGTGCTCTGACATGGTCAAGTTAGGATCGTAGGCTGGGAAGAGTCAATAGGTGGATGGATTTGGTACCAGTTGTTCCCCTTTCACTTAGACTCACCAATTAGGACATGTCCCCTCCCTATTATAGAAAACCTATTTTGATATACAAGAGATTAGTAGTTAACATCAATTTGTTGTTCAATTATGTGACCTTCTGTCTCGTCACTGACCCTCAATGGCTCCTCACTTTAGAGACTAGCACGTCCAAGATCCCAACACATTCCCAATCGAAGAGCATTACTCAAGGATGAACATTCTCGAAACATCCCATGGAACTGGCTTTGATGTGGTCTAGCTGCGCCTGAACTTTGACAGGGGATATCGACTTGTACGAAGTCTATCTTGCATATCTTTGGTCTTTTCAAGAGGCACAGGGGTCACGCTGGACATCCTCTCCCCCCAAGTTAGATCTTGTATACGGGGATATACGGTATTGAGTTTTCTATCTTGCAGATTATTGTGCTCAACAACCTCTATCCTATCACTCTGCCTGCTTCTTCCTGACGGTGAAGAGTCATGGAGGGAGTGTTGAGATTTCGAAATATCCATCTGTTTCCATAGAAGAAAACCTTGACTTCTGGTCATCTATATAATCCCGTCCTCCTGCTATGATTTCCATTCTTTCTCTTCTCTCCTTCACCATCAGTTCACACACACTTTATCTCAAGAGATTCAAACAACAACTTCCAACAACCCCTTCTCAATTCCCATCAACAATCGACAGCAGTCTGTCTTGAACTCTCAAGACTTACACTCTTCTCAACTTCTCCACAAAAACATTCATCACATCAATACTCGACAATAATCTCGTTAACTTGTCGAGATTCATACCCTTCTCATCTTCTTTCAACCCAACAACCAAACAAGATGCCTTTCCGTTTCTCCTCCCGCCTGGCCAAGAGTGTCAAGGCCAAGTGCCGCACCATCTCTACCCAGTACGCCGACTACCGCCGCAATCGAAAGATTGCAAAGTCCACCAATTCTCCGGTGGCACAAAGCCCCCAACCACAACATGGGGCGGCCAACCCTGCTTGGCAGGGCGAGCCATACCGGTTCGCCAACGACCCTGACGACTGGGAGAAACACCTGTCGTCAGAGGTCGAGTCCGAGTATGGCTCGGAATATGGCAGGGAAGACAGCATCTCGGTCCAAGAGGAAGACTTGAGATGCGAATATGATGTCGACGCTTTTATTGACTGGTGGCTTTATAAATCTTACCTTTTGAGGCAAGTTCGACCTGACTCCCGACTCTTTGATAAAAAATGCTAATAACTTTTGTAGATTTCCTCCTCCAGCATTTTAGGATGCCAGACTGGCGTTAAGGTCCTTTTCTGAGGATCTCAACTTGCGTTGGGCGCAGTCCCCTTTGAGTTTAAAAGTGTTTGTTGAATAAGGAGTTGTTGGTTGCTGGGGCAAAATCGAAGTTTGTTTGATCATGGGTTGTTTTACTTTTATCTCTATGATACCCTTGGAGTTAAATAGTGTTCTAATGGTATGCGTGTTTCTTTCTTTGCTTGTATTAAGCTGGTTATGGCATATTTCAATATTCAACGTTGGGCCTTGGCCTATTGTGATTCATCATTCTTCTGCTTTCCCCATTGTGATACAAGTAAACTTCCAGCGTCAATGTGGGACGTTACAGAAGTTGGTATATCTGATACCTCATTTTCTCATATCTCTACAATACAAAGCTCTATATGTCACGACGTTTGAAATGCTCGCAATAATAGACTGAAGGTCGTTATATCAAGGAAGCCATACTCTCACCTGCATGAAATGGCCAAGGTCTTAGGCTGCTCGAGCTGCTCGAGACGTCTCTGACACAATGGAGCGTAATGATTAGCATCGAGACTTCATTTCAATGTCTGTGGAACCAGCTCCCTCTGCCATGAAACAATCCATCCATGCCTGGTTGGTATGGCCGAAGTTGTCTGACGTGATCGATTGCTCGTTCTTTGGACTCATCTAGCTTACAATACTGGTGGCAGGGAATCATAGTCTCCTAATAGCCTCGTGGGGGATGTGTGGTACTGAATCTAATCGTAGCCAGGTAGATGGGCATTTTCTAGCCAAACTCGGGCCCTTAGTATTTTGTGGTTGAGTTTTAATATTGGTACGTGTTGATGACTCTGTGTTTTTTGCTCTGAAGCTGATGCCCTCTCTAGAGTTGCCATGATGATCAACAATAGAAAGCAGAAGAGGGGGAAGAGCATCAGCAACAGAAACAGTTCAAATGCTAATTCGAGACCCTTTTGATAGACTTCGGATTGCAAGGCAAGACAAATGATCTCGGGATCAACTGGGCTCAATCGATCAAGCGCCTAGTCCTCGCCAGGTGCTCCAAGCCAACCAAGTGTGTTACAATTGGAGGGATCTGCAGCCCTCCATAACTGTGCCATAAAATTGCCTGAAGAATTTCGCAGCCATGGCATAGAGGGCTGAACTCACCGCTTGGGAAAGAAATACTGTCGTATCCTGTCAGATACAGACACCTTTACGAGAAACGCCGTCATCGGGCCTCAACGGGCGCTTCGCATGTGGCTTGCAGATCCGTCAGAGACAAGTGTGGCACCGAGAGTTGATGGCTGATGTGTGGATGGTGAGTGTAAGAGAAGAGACACCGATTGAGACACTCAAAATTGGCGCCATGATGGTGAAGTACTCATTTCCTGGGGATTGGCCTCGCAAAGCTTAAATAGGGTCAATATGAATGTTGAACGGATCAAATACGGGTCCTGCGCAGGGGATTAAAGCCAACCATGTCTGGGTTACATTGAGGTTTCCCTGCACCGGAATTGCGGGTTGGGATGCTTGAGGAGGGTTGCGAGGCGAGGGTGCCGTGGCGGGGTAATATCGCAAGCTGTCGGGACGAGTCATAGAGGAATTGATGACCAGAGGGCGCAATCTACAAGCTTCTTATATCGTGTCGCTATCAGTCCGGGGTCGTGATGACAGGTTGTCAGAGTTGAGTTTGTGGGGAGCATCGGGACCAAAAATGATTGCCGAAAGGGGAATTCAGGGACGTGCTACTTTTATTTTTACTTTCACATGGTGACGGGCAAAATCCGAGATGGCATCGAGGACAAGAGGAATTGCGGTAATTGCAAGGGTCCGTCGCTTGAGATGAGACACGTGATCCGGATGCATCATAACGAACCGGGCCTCTATGGCATCGCAATGTCAATTGAGAGCGACCAGACGTAAATTTGATGGTCAGTCAGGAATTGCTTCAAGAGAGACACAGAAATACCAGAAACAAGTCGCCGCATGCAAACATGTCTGAACTAAAGCAAGGAGGGTATGGAGCTGCTGCAGGAGGAGGTTCCCCGCCACATGTGTTCCGAGAGGCCAACATCACCTTCAGCATCTTTCCGCCGGCAAAATCAAGGTGAGTCAACGGGTTGCATGTCAATTGACCTGAAATGACCTGAGCAGGCGAGACCTCGAGCTGTACATGTACGACTCATCCGACTTTTGTTCCCTTGGCCCAGCTAAATGCCAGCTAGACCAGCTTCTCTCACAATCCAGCCAATCCAGGCGTTCGTGCTAGTGGCGATATCGGCCATTCATATGAGTCCTGATTGGCCCGCGCCCCCCGATCCGCCCCCTCACTGGTGGCTCTTCTGGCCGTTCTGGTCTGGCGCCTCCGCGACTGGCCCGTGCTCCTGGTTACTGCCCTGAGCAGTACCGCAAGCCGCCCATGTTTTCGCTGGGGGAAAGAGTCACCATCACCCAATCTGCGCGGCACCTACCCCACACCCACGCCGGTCCCACCCCGGCCACCGGCCGTCCGACTTGCTGTGATATTTTTTCCCGGCTCCCCTCTGCCTCTGCCTCTGTCTCTTTTTAGCGAAACAGACTTTTGACTCTTCACCTCTTTTTTTCCGTCGCCTCCCGGGTTGTTTCTCGTCATATATCTCCCTCTTCGCTTCTCGTCGGGCTCTCAATTGATTCTGCTTCTGAATCGTTGACCTCCTAGACCCCATCTCCCCTCTACCCTTTGAGCCCTCCTCGAGCCTCGTGGCTCCTCGACTCACCGAGCTCCAGCTCCTCCTCACAACCGTTCGCGATGCTCCGAACACGCCAGGCCGCAAAGGCCATCCGGGCCGTCGCCCATACCCGATCATTCACCACCACATCCGCCATCGCAGCTATCCAGACTCCCAAGAAGATCACCACCGGTCAACGGAATCAGACTACTTCTGCTCCTGCGTGAGTCGCCAATTCCTGATTGCGCTGTTGCGATTGCCCCTCGTGTCCTGTTTGCCACTTGGACTGGGGTAATATTACCCCAATGCGCACATCGAGTTTCCACCTATTATAATATGCATATACTAACATTGCGACTGCAGACCAGCTCGCGATATTCCCAGCCCAGCTTTCAATGCCGAGAAGAACCAGAGCCATGTGCAACCTCTCGTCAACCCCCGGAAGAATGACATGGATGAGTCGTATGCTACCTACACCGTCCCTACATATCCCGAACGCAGTCTCACCAGGTTATAACAGGTTCATTGGAAAGACTGGTGGTGAAATCTTCCACGAGATGATGCTGCGCCATGGCGTGAAACACATTTGTGCGTGTAACCACTTCCCGATACCGCACATAGTACTAACATGAGTCACAGTTGGATACCCCGGTGGCGCTATCCTCCCTGTCTTCGATGCCATCTACAACTCAAAACACTTCGACTTCATCCTCCCCCGCCATGAGCAAGGCGCTGGCCACATGGCCGAGGGTTACGCCCGCGCTTCTGGCAAGCCCGGTGTTGTCCTCGTCACCTCTGGCCCTGGTGCTACCAACGTTATCACTCCCATGCAGGATGCTCTGTCCGACGGAACACCCATGGTTGTTTTCACCGGTCAGGTCGTCACCTCTGCCATTGGCAGTGACGCTTTCCAGGAGGCCGATGTCGTCGGTATCTCCCGAGCCTGCACCAAGTGGAACGTGATGGTTAAGAATGTCGCCGAACTTCCCCGACGTATCAACGAGGCCTTCGAGATTGCCACCAGCGGACGCCCTGGCCCCGTCCTCGTCGATCTTCCCAAGGATGTCACCGCTGGTGTCCTCCGGAGAGCTATCCCCACCGAGACTGCTCTGCCCTCTCTGCCCAGCGCCGCTTCCCGCGCCGCCATGGAGGCGAGCAAGAAGCAGCTCGAGGCCTCCCTGAAGCGCGTGAGCAAGCTCGTCAACGTTGCCAAGAAGCCCATCATCTATGCTGGTCAGGGTATCATCCTCTCCGAGGGTGGCCCCGAGCTGCTGAAGGAGCTGGCTGACAAGTGCTCTATCCCTGTCACCACCACCCTCCAGGGTCTTGGTGCCTACGACGAGCTCGATGAGAAGTCTCTGCACATGCTCGGCATGCACGGTGCTGCCTATGCCAACATGGCCATGCAGGAGGCTGATCTCATCATTGCTCTTGGTGCCCGATTCGACGACCGTGTCACTCTCAGCATCGCCAAGTTCGCCCCTGGCGCCAAGGCTGCTGCTGCTGAGGGCCGCGGTGGTATTGTTCACTTCGAGATCATGCCCAAGAACATCAACAAGGTCGTCCAGGCCACCGAGGCCATTGAGGGCGATGTTGCTACCAACCTGAAGCAGCTCATGCCCTTCGTTGACGCCAAGACCATGGAGGACCGAAAGGAGTGGTTCGGCAAGATCAACGAGTGGAAGAAGAAGTGGCCTCTGTCCGACTACGAGCGGGCTGAGCGCCAGGGTCTGATCAAACCCCAGACTCTGATTGAGGAGCTTAGCAAGCTCACAGAGGACCGCAAGGATCAGACCTACATCTCCACCGGTGTCGGCCAGCACCAGATGTGGACTGCCCAGCACTTCCGATGGAGACACCCCCGATCCATGATCACCTCTGGTGGTCTGGGTACTATGGGCTACGGTCTGCCTGCCGCCATTGGCGCCAAGGTTGCCCAGCCTGATGCTCTCGTCATTGACATTGACGGTGATGCTTCCTTCAACATGACCCTGACTGAGCTCTCCACCGCTGCTCAGTTCAACATTGGTGTCAAGGTCATTGTCCTGAACAACGAGGAGCAGGGCATGGTGACACAATGGCAGAACATCTTCTACGAGGACCGATATGCCCACACCCACCAGACCAACCCCGACTTCATCAAGCTGGCCGATGCCATGCACATTCAGAGCCGTCGCGTGTCTAAGCCCGACGAGGTTGTTGACGCGCTGAAGTGGCTGATCAACACTGATGGCCCTGCTCTGCTGGAGGTCATCACCGACAAGAAGGTGCCTGTCCTGCCCATGGTGCCTGTCGGATCTGGTCTGCACGAGTTCCTTGTCTTTGACGGAAGTAAGTTAACCTGATATCACACTATGAGACCAAATAGATGCTAACAATCTCATAGCCAAGGAGAAGAAGAGACGCGAGCTGATGCGAGAGCGCACCTGTGGTCTGCACGGTTAAGACCCTAGGTTCTCATCAGGCTTTAAACCCGCTTGATCACTAGCCGCAACCCATCTGATACCATATTCCCTCATGTCCTTTTTTATTCATTTCATTCTGCTTGCGGAGTTTAGCTGCTTTGCCGGCGGGCAAGCCTACTTGGGTTCTACGAGGATCGACGCCAAAAAAGACCAAAAGTTGGGAAGGCTGGATTACACAGGGAAGAGGATATACATGTGCAAGACAAGACGAGGCACATGACGCACTGGAGCGTGCGACAAAGAGAGGGGGAAAAGACAGCAGCAGAGAAGCAATGCACGCCAAGGGCCAGGAGGGCCGTGTTGTATATACCACGTAATGAATGCTGTGCACGACTCCATATTTGGTTCATTGACTGGTGTGCTTTTCGTGATCTCAAGTCACACTCTGTGACACTCATCCCAAGGCGAGAGGCTCATCTGGAGCTCACAGCTTCGACCCCAGGTTCACATGAACTGCCTTGCTCTGGGTATACGCATCCAATGCATATTGTCCAAGTTCCCTCCCGATTCCCGATGACTTGTAACCGCCGAACGGAATGCCAAAGTGTGAGTCTCCCGACGAATTGATCCACACCATTCCCGCTTGAAGTCTGCGAGCGACTGTATGAGCCCTCGCGACCTTTTCAGTGAAGAGGGCAGCTGCCAGGCCGTACGCGGTGTCATTCGCCTTGGCGACGACTTCGTCGTCGGTGCGGAACTTGGCGATTGCGACGACGGGCCAAAGATTTCGTCGCGAACAATGGCCATGTCTTCAGTGGTCTAAGCAGGTTAGCCATCATCCAATTATAATAAAGCATTTGAGTAAACTTACATCGGCGAAAACAGTGGGCTCGAGATAGTATCCCTTTGACCCCGTCTTTGCGCCGCCGTGCAGGAGACGTGCGCCCGAAGTCTTGCCCTGGTCGATGTACGAGAGGATCTTTTCGTACTGGGTGCGTGACACCTGAGGACCTTGCCAGGTATCTTTACCAAAGGGATCGCCAATCTTTTGGTTCTCCTTTGTCACTTCTACGAAGCGCTTGAGGAAGTCTTCGTAGATGTTTTCGTGGACGTAGATTCGCGAGGTTGAGGTGCAGACCTGGTGTTGTTAGTTATAGTGTGAGATGGATGGGGGAGAACGAACTTGTCCCATATTATCCATGATGCCGACGTGACACCATTTCACAGCCTGCTCCAAATCGGCATCCTCAAATACGATGCTGGGACTCTTCCCGCCGCATTCAAGGGTAATATTCTTGAGGTTATTAGCCGCCGCCTTCATGATGGCCCTCCCCGTCGCCGTGCTTCCTGTGAAAGCGATCTTGTCAACGCCCATGTGGCCGGCGAGCGCTTTACCCGCCACAGAGCCCAGGCCTGGGATGATGTTGACGACGCCGGGGGGGAGGCCGGCTTCAATGATGAGGTTGCCAAAGTAGATTGCTGAGAGGGGGGTTTGCTCGGCGGGTTTAAGGACGACTGTGTTGCCGCATGCTAAGGCTGGGGCGACCTTCCAGGCCAGCATCATGAAGGGGAAGTTCCTATACTTGGTCAACATCTCATGCTTCTCCGCGATGGTTCATGTAATGAGTACCATGGAATGATTTGACCGCATACTCCTAGAGGCTCTTGGAGCACGTATGCAAGCTTCGCCGGCGAAGTCTCAATCGTCCGACCGGTGATCTTATCAGCGGCACCAGCATAGTATCGAAAAACGTTGTAGGATTCATCAAGGTCACCCTCCAGCGCCGCAGTGTAGGTCTACCAATTGTCAACTCACAACTCTTTTCTTTGTCAATTGGGAGTGTATACCTTGCCATTGTCAAATGCATCGATGCTTGCAAGAAGCTTGCGATCACGATCAATCAGCTCAGCAATCTTGTATAAGATCGCACCACGATCGACGGCCGCAAGTTCCGACCATTCACCCTCAAAAGCACGACGAGCTGCATCTACAGCTTTGTCGACATCCTTTTCCGAGGCGCCCTTGATAGTGATGATTTTCTCATCAGTTCTTTGTCTTCGTCAGCAAAGATTGAGATATGGAGGTGAGTGACGCACGCTGGGTTGTACACGGTAAAGTCATCACCCGTCGCGTCGACAAACTTGTTGTCGATGAACAAGCCGGTTGGCTGCTTGTACTTGAGCCCGTTAGGCAGCGAGATTTCGACGGTTGAAGCCATTGTTTATCGAGTTTATGGAGCGTGAAAGGAATAGAGTCTTCCCCGCTTCCACGGACGCCTCTTTGTGAGGAAGGCTGATAAGACATTCTGACGTAGAGGTGTGTGACACGGCGAGGCGGGGTTACAGGCCGGAATGTCTCTTGGTAAGTACAGTGCTGATAGGTTGAGAGGATGTTTAGGTTTGCTTCCTATATTGCAGGACTACTGATACAGAAGGGGATCATTATTTCATCCCTTTGTGTTCTTATGCATGAGAAATGCTGCATATTGTACTCAGTGTCTTGGGGATCGCTTCTCTACGCGCGGTGAGAGGATGACAGAACCGTAACCTCTCACCCGTGATGCTATCGCATGATCTAATGCTCAGGGTAGGTAGTCTCATTATAATATCTAAGAAAAATAATAACGGTCATCATAAATGCATCATATCTTCTATGTATACGATATCTATTAGACGCTTTCACCTTATAAGACCCTAGAGCAATCACATCTTCATCGCGCAGTTAGGTACGAGCTGTACGGCCAAGCCTGGATGGATGGTTCGCACGCACCCGGACGTGAGAAAACTTGAGACACCAGAATGTCTATTCTTCGCAAAGAGTACTCACATAATAAGCAAATTATATACTAAATAATAGATAAAAATAAAGAATAATATCATAAATCTTTGAGTATTTTATTTATTTATTATATTTAGGGACCCTTTTTGCCCCAGAAGACAGAGATTATGGACGTAGTATCTCATGTTTTTCTACGAACGCGTGGCACGCAAGGCGACCTTGCCAGCGACCAACACGTCGGGGCTGAGGCCTCACCTGCAGGCCGTGGCTGTCACAGCCTGATTCCAAGACACATAAACCCGGCTCCCCCCCTCCACCATCTTTTCACCCTTTCTGACCTGTTCATCCTCATTCTCAGCTGTTCATCATCGCACCGAACCAAGCAACACAAAGTCCCGAGCGAGCCCGAGCCCGAGCCCGTGCCTCGAATCGACTCGAAGCCAAGGGCACCGGTCGAAGCGAGCCCAACCGACCGAGACAAGATGGGAGACGCCCTCGCCATCGCGACCGCCACAACACAATTCATCGAACAGACTGTCAAGGTTGTTCGACTATGTAAAAAGGTTTACGATAAGGTGCAAGATGGGCCTGAAGAGCTGCGAGCCTGGAGGTCAGAGCTCGAACAGCTTCAGACCCTCGTGGAAGGGATCCCACGGGCAGGTGACCGTGGGGCTCCGGCCTTCGGGAGTGAACCGACCATCATCAAGACTATTCAAAGCTGCGCATCCGTGAGCACCGACCTATGTGAAATTTTCGATCGGTTCGATTTCCGTGCCTCAGACCCTGTCGGCCGAAAAACGTGGAAGGCTATTGGAGGCCTCGCCAAAGAGTCAGACATCCGAGACTCGTTTACACAACTCGAACGCTTGAAGAGTACGCTGGCTCTACAGGTCCAGGTAATCAGCTCGTAAGTGATTCCGGTGATCGGCCCTTGATTGTGTTTGTACCTACTCAAAGCAACCCAAACCCTGTTCCATCTTAAACTGAACCCTAACTTGTCAAATCCTAATCTTCACCTATCCTAAACCTAACACTAACTTGTTAAATCCTAATCTTCACCTATCCTAAACCTAACCCTCAATTTCACCTATCCCTTGGCCCATAGTATGCAAAGAGTGATAAATTCATTGCCTAAGGGGTCGGCTTGTCTGCCCGCACACAGGCCTGCATTTCTACCTTGTCATGGCTTGACTGACACAGAACAGGCGCGAAAACCACCAACAGTCAAGCCAACTTAACCAAGTGATTGAGAAGGTTGACGAGATTAAGAACTCAACTCAGACTGGAACCGAAGAGGAGCGTTGCCTCCGGGCATTGTTTGTCACTGATCCGACAAGTGACCGAAATGCCATAATCACTGCCAAAGGCAAGAGGACCGCCGGAACTTGCGAATGGATCATCTCGACCGAGGGATACAAAAGCTGGGAAAACACACCTGAACCAAGCCTTCTCTGGATATCTGGCCCTCCTGGAAAGGGGAAAACGTTCATTTCGATCTTTCTCACTCAGCATCTGAAGGCCAAGGCCGTCTCGTCTGGCGGTACCGTCATCTATTTCTTCTGCGACAACAAAGTGTCGACAAGAAACACCGCAGTCAATATTCTCCGTGGTATTATGTACCAGCTCATTCAAAGCCATGAAAGATTACTGCCACTTCTGTTAGGACATTGGAAAGTCCAACAGGGCGGGCTGTTCTCCGAATCTTCATTCGAGAGCTTATGGGCCATCTTTCAAGCAATGATTTCAGCCCTGATCGATACGCCAATCTACTGTGTGCTTGATGCGCTTGATGAGTGCCCCGAAACGTCTCTAGAACCACTTTTATATAAACTCAAGGAGCTGTTCGACGCGGACAACAGGGCGAGACACAAGGTCAAACTCACTGTTCTGAGTAGGCGCTATCCTGTATGTCTTCCTGAGGCACTCGGCACCTTTAACTATGTTCGACTGGACGGTGAGGGTCACGACATTGAGTTGTACATTCAGGACCAGGTCTCAGCACTTGGCGCGAGAAAGGGCATTCGCGACGCCAACTTTCTCAAACACATCGAAACCGTTTTCCACGACCGTGCAGAAGGCACATTCCTTTGGGTCAGCTTCATGGTTGCAGATCTCAACAAGAAATCGGCCCGGGAGATTGAATCTTCCCTGCACCAGCTCCCTCGCGGTCTCGACGCAGTATATGAACGAATATTGGATCAAATCAAACTTGAAGATCAGGCAGTGGTAACTAAATTGCTGGCCTGGATCACCCTAGCTCAGGTACCATTGTCAGTCTCGGAGCTTTGCGAGGCGCTTCGGATCGAGGGCACAGAATTCATGAATCGGGAAAGCGTGTGCCAGAGTTACATTGAAGCCTGCGGCCACCTACTTCAATTTACTGAGATGGATGATAACAGATATCTCGGCTTACTCGGACCGGTGAATGCGAAGGTTGAATCGTTGCCACGAGTGACCGTTGTTGGTTTCGTTCACCAAAGTGCAAAGGACTTCATGCTTTCAAATTCATCGCGTTCTGGGATGACAAGATGCCATGTGGATGGGGATCAAGGTCACCTGACCATTTGCCGACGTTTGCTTCAACACCTCATCCAGCAAGTACCTTCTCATGAGTTATTGGGGGAGTACTTGCCACTTGAATCTTATGCTGCACTGTACTGGTCTGACCACATGAGACAACTGGACAAGACATTAACCCTCTTACTCATGAGGGAAAATAAGGAGTGGTTCACCAAGAAATCTGGCATTAGGGATGATGTGCTAAAGTACAAGCGTCGATTCGACTCGTACGGAGTTGGGATGCCGCTTTTGCATCTTGCTTGTTATTTGGGGCTGTACCATGTTGCCGAACATCTTCTTGATGGAAAATCGATCCTTTCTCGACTCCAAATGCAACTGGCAGTCGACAAAGTATTCAAGACATGGCGTAGAGGAAACCAGACTCCAATTTACTTGGCAACCGTCGGGGGTCATGAACGAGTTGTGTCACTGCTCCTGGACCGTGGTGCGGATCCTACCAAGCCAACTGGCTTTCTCTTTGGAACCGCCCTTGAAAATGCCGTGAGGAGGGGAGACATGGGCGTCTTTCATCAATTGGCGAAAACGAAGAAGGCTCAAGCAATGATTCAGTGCCAGGTACGGCAACAGAACGGCAACGGCACGGACAACCTGCTACATCATGCTGTGGAATCTGGAAACGAGGACCTTTGCAGTGAACTAATTGAAAAGTACAAGTTCAACGTCAATATCACAACCGTATTTGAAGGGTCGCTAGGGGCACCTCTGGCCATGGCCATTGCTCGGGGTAATGCCCATCTTGCGCAGAGGCTGATCCAACGCCACAAAGCTTCGACAGGCAATCACACAATGCTCCTCGAAGCTGCTTGCCTGGGGCTTCGATCGCGCTCCGACATTTTCAGCTTTCTTGTTGAGGAATTGCAAGTAAACATCAACGCCGTGGATGACAATGGGAACACATTCCTTCATCTCAATACATCTCAAATCTTTAGACCCAACCCGCTGTCCATGTTGGAAATCCTCCTTGCCCTGGGCTACAAGTTCCACGGGGTCAACAACAAGAAGGAAACCCTTCTTCACTCTGTATTTTCCGCACCTAGACAGCGGTTTCTCAGCGATAAAGAGGGGCTAACGTCGGTTTTTGCATTTCTTGTTGGAAGAATGGGGATTGACGTCAACGCGCAGGACCACGATGGGCGAACTGCGTTACATTTAGCGGCGAAGGATCAAATCCTACATCTCTTGGAGGGATTTTTGGGGCCCACCGTGGAATTCGCGGCACTTTTGGATTATGGGGCAGACCGCACTCTTAGAGATAGAAATGGGAAGACGGCCCTAGACTACGTCCTAGACCGCGAATTAACCCGCTCATATGCCGAGGAAAAACACAGGATTCTGTCGGATACAATTCGGAACTACTCAACGGTCCCGGAAGTCCTGATGTAGGCACGAAGAGGGTCTCTCCAGAGTGGTTAGGTTGGTTAGCGGCAAGTTGTTGGAATATGGAGATGATTTAGCGGGTTAAGATATCGGACTTTGGTATGATGGACTAAGAATACTTTTGACTATATCCTATCAATTGCAGCTATCGAGCCGGCGCATTTGGTACGTTCAAAGACTTGCCACGGGCTAGGAGCTGGCACGCGGTCGTATGAAAGCTTGAGACACCAGGACGGACGGACGGTTGCGCTTAGTTAAATTAATAAAGAGTATTCAATTAATAATCTAATTATGAGCTAAATAAGAGATAAGAGGGAGAAAAAATATACTAAATCTTTGAGTATTTTATTTATTATATTTAGGGACTTTTATTTGCCTCGGAAAATAGAGATCATTGACTCTATGTCTCATGTTTTTCTACGGACGCGAGGCTGGCTCTATCTAGTTCTTACATCAACAACCCTTAGGCCACTTTAGTCCTTGGGTGGTCGATTGGCGTTAATCTCCTTGAGGATCTCGCTTGCACCTCCTTTCGCCAGTCTCGCAGCCAGTTCCCGTCCCAGCGCCGTGGCCTCATCGTCATTCTTCACTGTTGCATCCATCGTGTCCTGAACGCTCTGGGTACCGTCAAGACTAACAACAATTGCTCTCATTCTCAGGAGAAGTTGCGACTCATCAACCCACTCCGTCTCGACGCCAATGGGGACAGTGCAGCCGCCTTCAAGTGTGCGCAACAGAGCACGCTCTGCAAGACATGCCAGAGTGGACTTTTGATCGACCAGTTGGTTGATCAGTTCAAGGGTTTTGGTATCTCCTTTGCGAATCTCCAGCCCGAGAGCTCCTTGGCCAACTGCGTGGTAGATTCCCCCGTCCTTGGAGCCCAGAAACTGAGTGATGCGGTGTCCAAGGCCGACTCGCTGTAGGCCGCATGCAGACATGATCATGCAGGTGTACTCACTTTCCGGGTCGTCAACCTTGGCGAGGCGAGTTTCGACGTTGCCGCGTAGGTTGGCAAAGCGCAGGTGAGGGTAGAGGCGTCGAAGTTGGGCTGAGCGTCGTACCGATGATGTACCAACTACAGCACCCTCGGGTAGCGTCTTCAGGTTGTTGTAGGGCAGGCTAGCCTTGACGATGAGGGCATCGCGGGGGTCATCCCGCAGGGGGATTGCTGTCAGCTCGCAAGTGTCGGGCAACTTGGTTGGCATATCTAGCAGGAATTTAGCACCAGGCATTTAGAACAAGTAGTTGATATACCTTTGAGACAATGAACAACCACGTCGATATCGCCAGAAGTGAGTTTCTCCTCCAGCTCAGTTGTCCACAGGTTCTTGGCCCCGAAACTATACAGCGCCGTAGACTTGTCCTTGTCGCCCAGTGTCTTCAGAGCCTCAATCTCAAACGTGCGGTCGGGCGCAATCTTTTGCAGACTGTCTCGAATGCCCTCAGCCTGGACCATGGCCAGGTTGGACCTTCGGGTGCCGATTCGCAGCGGCGGCTGGGTAGTAGAAGCGGCTGCCATGGTTGCGGTTGTTCAGGTACAAAAGTTGCAATTGGCAGAGAATGACTTGTTGTCAGAAACTAGCGCCGTCTTATATACCATTGTTGGTGGACCTTGGGTTCCGTCCTGTGATGTGATTGGTGGGGTTAAGAATACGGCGATAACATGGCATTGTTGGATTTTGATAGAAGACATTGGAAGAGGTATGAGTCAATAAATTGTGGTTGTTCTCGCATTGGCGTCAAGATGGGATGAATGCTACTACTTAGTTAAGACCCTGGCAGCCCTGCCAATACTATCTTGAAGTACCCTCGCCCTGCTTCCACATAAAAGTCAGCATCACTCTGCAGCCAAATTGTCCCATCTTGCGATACCCTCACTATCTTCTGCTCCTTAGTAGACACAAACGCCAGAAGTAGCTCTTCCATTTTCTTTGCCTCCGTCTCTCCAACCACCCCATCTTTGACTGCAGCCTCCAAAAGCATCAAGGGCGTGAAGCCCGTATCGGTGAGCCGGTCGAAATCGTTAGAAGCACAATGCTTCAAGAGCGTCAGTAGCATGAGAGGATCAGAATCGTAACACGCAAAGTGTAAGGGTGTCCCTCCTGCACAGAGGGGCTTGTCCCGGCTTGTCCCTTGAACTGCGTGGATGTCAGCGCCCAGTTCCAAAAGAGCTTCCAAAAAGTCTGCTCGTCGTGACGCAAAGCGCGTTTTCTTCCTGTGCCACCACTGCGTAGATGGCGCTGGAGTGAATAGGATCGCAGTGGCTCTTCCCAGAGGAGTCATACCGTCTGAGTCGCGATACTCAAGGTGGCAGTCTCGACGGTGCCTTCATTCGAATAACCAGCCGTATACATCTCGATCCCATTCCCATGTCGTGACTTGCGCTAATATCCCGTGGATGGCACAGTTCTCCGCCTTCCACAAGGCGTTAATATCCGCACCACCACAAAACAACTTATCGACTGCTGTTTTGAAATAGAACCTATGGTTCAGGTTGGTTTGGAAGGGGAGTTGGCAGAGTAGAGCCAGTGGAGTGTTGCCTTTAGAGTCTGGTTCGTTTGGATCGGCTCCGAGATGCAGAAAATACCCGAGAAGACGGAGAGCGATCGCTGCATTGGTTTCTGTATGGAAGAAGTTGTATCCACTGGTGAAGAGAAGGTGGATGGGTGACCTGATGACTGGGCCTTGGCCATGTGAGATTGGCACGCCTGCCAAACGGTCAAGCAAAAACATGCATACCCGTTCAAAGACCTGGGGGAACTTGTCCTCATGACTCAAGAAATATTTGAGGAGCATGGAGCTGTCTCTGTGGACGTCAAAGACAAGGCTTGCGCGGTGATCAAAAAGACTGAAAGCCATTGAGAGATACCGGTCAGCATCTTGAACTTCGTCTCTGATTGAGGCATCCTTTGCGTTCAAGAACAGGCTAATAAAGAGACTAGACCTCTCTGGAAAGAGCTCGAGAAAGGGGGTCCAGCTGTCCCGAAGTCTCTCTAGATCATGGGCTGAAACATCCCAGATTGGCCGTCGTAGGCTCAAACGCGAGTCCCGGTGTGATGGGATGTCGATCCGCCATCGTGAGCTGTACTCTGAGAGGTTTCCTTTACCAGAGGCCTCATGACCGGTGAGAAGCTCAAGAAGACGAAAGGTAAGATCAGATGGATCATTCTGGCGACAATAAATTGCTCTGTATACAAGGGAGTTGTTCCCTGACACCGAGGGGGTAGCGTCTAGGCCAGCGTTCAGAAGAAGCTCCAACGCCTCGACATTTCCCATCTGAATTGCAGCATCACCAGCTGTGAAACCGAGCCATGTGGCAGCATTTGGGCTACATCCTAGCCGCAAAAGGCATTGAATGGCACTCGGGTGAGGCTTCGTGGTAAGGACGTATGTCAACGGGGGCAGTGTACTCTTCCCCAGTGGGTGGATGGAGCTTCCATGCCGAACAAGTGTCATGACGACACCTTCGTTATTTGCAAAGTGAATCGGACGGAGATTTCCTGCCACGGTTGCTTCAACGCCCGCCCCGTACTCGATAAGAAGATCGACAACTTCTGCGTGGCCTCCCTTGGCGGCGGCGTGGAGAGGCGTCATTCCAAACGAGCCTAGAGACGTGCCGTGTCCGGAGCTGAGAATGGGCGTATTGATCCATGGTCCCGGCTTTTGCACGGACAAGATATTCCTCGCCAACCGAACATGTCCTCGAGAAGCGGCCCAAACCAACACGGCGCCACGCGAGAGTCGGGGTGTAGACTGTAACTCTCCTTCATCCCACTCTCTCATAGGCCGACACTGACACGGACCTAGTTTGTGCAGGATGACTCTTGTCAGTGTTTCATGGTGAGCGCGACTGGTTAGCGACCAGGCAAGGAGAGAGCTGAAGGACAAGTATCGGGAGATCTCTATAAGGATATCCTCTGGGTAGAGGGAACTCATGTTTCTTGATGATGTTTTGGGGAGGACGTAGTGGAAAATAGATGACTGGCTGATGAGTAAGGGAAGACTTATTGGGAGTTCGTGCGACAGGGACTCAATCGGCGGGCGAATGAGTCTTAAATAGAGTCTGGGTAATAAGTCACAACCGTGGCACACCGTTTATGGAGTATCAGCCTTTGTTCTGGTACCAGCATCCTGCTGCGGCTAACCGTGAAGGCTCTTTTTGAAAATATAGGAATATTCTTTGAGCTTGCGAATCGCAATGGAAAGGATGACAAACGTTCAAAGCGTTGATCGCGGGTAAGTACATGGTCTCAAGGCTCCAATACCTACTAAAGTCTTGCTTGGGTGTTCGAAATGTCGGTTTACGACAGCATCTATTTGAAAGAGGACATAACACAGATGAAACTGGCCGTTGAGAACAAAGAATGATATCACTATCTGGCAAACTTCAGCTGGTACCCTTGCCAAAGCCCAGACTCTCTTCAAACTTCTTCCATTTCTTCCCAATCGGCTGAACTAGCGTGAACGCCGCCCCGTCTGATTCATCTCTTGAACACTATTCATCATGTACAGAGTCGTCATCTCTCCATCGTCACTAAAGAATAAGTTGGGTTTCTCCCTGCGTTTAAACACCTGCCACGAGCCATAAGTAAACGTGACGTTGGAACTAAACGCCTCCTGGAGCTTGAAATGCCAAGGTCACTGTTAGCTTGCGAGCAAAGAGATGAGAGACAACTCGCGGCCACTGCTGCCCATCGTGCTCGACGTAGTATACCGGCCAGTGGTTGATCGAGTGCCAGTTTCCACGCTTGTCACGCCAAAAGAAGGGATCTTCGGTCCACCAAGGGTTCTCCCACTCTGCTACGTTCCAAGTTGCTTGTTATTTGAGGTTTCAATCCCACGACTTGGCTTTAAAGATGGAGTAGTCTTTCATGCCGAGGACGATCTCGCTCTTGGGGTTTTTTAGGCGTCCAAAGGGGAAAAACCGAGGGGTTTGTTACATGTATGCCAGCTGGGCGGTCACTGTTGACGACCACGTCAAAGGGGGATCAAGGACCGCGAATGTTATCTTCCGTGGAGACGGAGATGTTGTTTGGTCATCTCGTGTAGCTGATGCTCTCGCACTTTGTGTACTACTTCTCATAATCGATGCCTATAGCGTACGATAGGTACTTGTCGTCTGCCGGGTTATAGACAACATCTAGATTGTGACGAAACTTGGGAGATATATCATCAACGGGGTGACATGGGCCTTGAGGACCATCGTGTGATTCGACATTGTGTTCAAAGATGATGTGTGCGCCAACCAACAAGTTTGGCAATTCGCCGAGATGTTGCATTTAAGCTCTAACTAAGCCCGTACTCCTCCACCACCCAAACCTTTCCATCTTCACGACCGAAACCTTCTTCCTTCCCCTTGAGTCACTCCTGTGACTCAACGACTTAAAAACCTTACGGAGGTCAGAGCAGTTAAAATACCCGTGAGAGATTAGACTTTTATGATGATGTAGCTAGGTATGACTCTTCTGCTGCTGCAGAAGTTTAACTAGGCCACTGTGTTAACATCGGGTCATGATGTTATATTGTGTTTAAGATCTGTTCTTTATTATAGTTGCAGCCCGGCCCTTGATGGGTTAACTGAGCCCGAAGATCGTGTGATTCGACGCGGATGATGTAAGAATGAGGTCGTCAACCCCTGAGTCCATAGCCAGGTGTGAAGTGGACCATGATCAGGTGGAAGATAGACCGATGTTCCATTATATAACCGACCCGGATAGCCGCAACTCCCGAGAAGACGATTATGTAGGATATTACTAGCGCGATTTCCATAGGCAACCGTCCCAGCTTAATTTTATTTGCAGACCTGTCGTCATGGCGAGAACGAGAACGAGAGCGATAGTTATACGATCGCTTAGCAGAGTCCGGGGCCTCAGGGGAGTCGGTCTAGATTTCGCCTGTACACGATGCAGAGCATAAAATCAACGCGACACCGGTTGTTATGCGATGGAGGATGAGCCCAGGATTGACGGAGATTATGTATCCATAGACGGCGTAGTTTCAAGGATAGATCCGTTTCGCCAACTCATGTCTCACAACACAAAGCACATTGTACATCGCACGACGGAGACGGGTTTAACTCCACAAACATGTGCTTTCGGAATGTTCTTCATGGCGTACCTTTTTGTTCTCGTTCCCCATTCCTGAGACTCATTGTACTGATGCCCGACATCAGAGATTTACACGGCATAGATACTTCAAACAAGCCCAATGACCTCACAAAAAAGACGGAAAGCGTGTAATGCATCATCAGACCCATTCTGAATGGTCAATATAATAATAGCATTGCTTTATCTCTACAACTCCTTAACAAGAAGCCAAGACACACATGCAACTCGTCTTTACGCGTCCCAAGATGCAACAACTCTCTTTATCCAAGAGAGCTTTGCGCTTCTCGCAGCCACGGCAACTGGTGCAGTCTCCCCTAGCATGTCGAATCCATGGTATGCCCCAGGCCATACGTGAAGCTCCGCTGACACACCGCATTCCCAAAGTTTCAACGCAAACCTGACAGCCTCGTCACGAAAGACCTCACAAGCACCTGCGTCGACAAAGGTAGGTGGCAGTCCGGTCAAATCAGTTGCGCGAGCTGGAGCAATTAACTCGCTAACTCTTGGACCAGCACGTTCAGAACCCAACACGTGGTCCCAGGCCATGCGATTTGTTATGCCACACCACGGTGCACCCTTTTCAAACTGCTTTGACGATACAGTATCAACGCGGTCGTCCAGCATTGGCGTCAGAAGCATCAATGCGCCCGGAAACGGTTTCTCTTTATTTCTGCATAGCATCGTTGTACCAGCAGCAATTGGCGCCCCGCCAGAACCGCCACAAACGATCATCTTGGAGCCATCGATGCCAAGGTCGGCTGTATGCTCGGCAACCCACAAGAGACCGGCGTAGGCATCGTGGAGGGCAGCTGGGGCACGATGTTCAGGCGCAAGTCGGTATTCAACCGAAATGAAGACAGTCTCGATACCGGCCAAGTATTCCATGACCACCCCCAATGCCGAGAATCGGTTGCCTGCCACCTGACCACCGCCATGGATATGGTAGAAGGCTGGAAGCAGCTTGTTGCTTGGGTCTTTGGGTCTGAGAATGGATAGTACGACCTCTGGGTCGCCCTGGTTCAGACCGGGAACAGAATACTCGGCATGATCGAGGCTCGGGAAGTCTTCAAGGATCTTGGCGAGTTCGAACCCGCCGCTGAGGTTGCGCAAGGACTCAAGCTCAAGAATATCAGGCAGTGACTTCTTGCTGGTCTCAACTGCTGGTACAAGCAAAGGGTCATATGGAGGTCGAAGCACGGCCAAATCTTCAACAAGGTTGGCTGAATGGTGGTTTTGAGACATGATTGGCGGTTTGGCGTGATGGTCAAGAGATGATTCTGGAATGAGGAGTAGTTTAAGATGTTTGACGGGGTTTTTGGGACTTGGGATGTTCCCTCTTCTTATAGGTACATGCCTCTTCGTACGCTGGCCAGCTGGATCGGTAACCATTCGGGTCCCATCGATGCGAACAATTGAGCAGAGGAAGGGTAGCCTCGGGACCCTCGATATCGGTCTCGGGGAGCACAAGGTGGCCGAAGAGAGAGCTGAGCGTAGTTGATTAGATTCCAAAAGGGCATAGAGGTCGTGCGCGTTTGTTGCTGGACGTCTCTCCGCATAGTCATTCAGTCCCAACGTCAGCCAAGCTCAACAGAATGCATGGCAGCCGACCACATCTGCCGAGTAAACCATGATCTCTCAGCCACCACTGGACAAGATTGGAAGCCTGTGTTACAAAGGCAACCCCTGCATGTACGACTCGCATGGAGCCTGCTGACCCGCTTTGAAGTTCTATCCTGTAACCATCCCCGATAGGTTCTAGCTCGGCGATCTGGACGAGTCGTCCAGTGCATTAGCGTTCGAACCAGCCACGATTCTGTAGACGTCGACAGACTTTAGTTTGTACAAGGCTATGCTTACGACATGACGCACCGCAGCGCTGAATAGTGTTGGCGTCCAGATCTCCGGATACAGGGCGTTTTCTCGGACATATGGAATCAAGGGCATCGAAGGTCCTCGGATCAACATCCGAGGAATCTACGGTACCTTGGTCGGCAAGTGAGTTGAACGCGGTCCATTCAATGGGATCGAGCGAGTTGTAGCTTATTTGTTAAGATCTTGCGGGGAGGGCCTCGAAGAATCTGGGGAAAGCGGGGAAGTCCAAGGGTCGCGTTAGTTGGCCAATTGTATCGTAATGTGTTTTGTTCAGCTGGGTAACTATTGATTGCAAAGTCTTTCAGCCTCCAGTGTTGCTGTCGGAATCGTAGATGTGTCATGAGTTCCCTTTATTTAAGCACTCTGTTTCCCGTGCCATGTCAAAGAGTACCTGCATCATTCTGATACTACCTCTATTCTCCAGCTACTGCATCATCCTATTACTCTTAAAATACTCGTAAAATACTCCGCCAGAGATCAAACACCATATAGAGCCATCGTGGTTCGCACGCCCTCCTCTCTCGTCTTTCCCACACAACACTTGCAGGGAGCCGACCTCTCTTTGTGATTCACCACCCTTCTTTCCACGTTCAAGAGAACTCCCACCTGGTGTTGATCATGACGAGCCATGCAGACGAAAAGAATACGGACTTGACGGTCGAGTACCATGAGAACGGCGGCTTCGAGCACAGCCCTCGACAGGAATCCCCTGGTATCGAAGACGTGGACTCCAACAACTTCGCGTGGAGTTTCGACGTACTGGCCAACCTTTCTACCCTCTACATGATCATCTTTATGGGTAGCTGGGCCACATCCGTCCCAGCCAGTGCGATCGCCTTCATCGCCGCTCGGTTCCCTGAAGACGCCGGTATTTCGAATTGGATCGCCACATCCTCCTCGGTTACCAGCGCCGTGACGGTTGCCATTATTGGGAACATGTCGGATGTTTTCGACCGTCGCTCATTTCTTCTCGCGGGCTGTGTATTCGGCGGCGTTGGTATGCTCATCAGTGGACTTGCCAATACCCTCAGCATGGTTATCGGCGGCCAGGTTCTCAACGGTCTTGGTATCGGCTGTGACCTCCTTTCCAATCCTCTGATTCAAGAAATCGTCCCAAAGAAGCATCGACCCATCGCTACCGCCTTTGCAGCCGTCTTCAGCGCTGGGTCATTTATCGGGGCACCCATCCTCGAAGGTGTGTTCATTCAGAGGGCCATTGGGGGGGCCTTGGACGGGTGGCGTGTTGGCTTCTATATCGGAGGTGGCCTCTATGCCTTATCGTTCATCGCCCTCGCACTCTTCTATCGTCCCATGCCTCGCCCGAACCCCGAAGGCTTCAGTTTCAAGCAACGCCTCTTGAAGATTGACTGGCTTGGCGTGGTTCTGGCATGCTCTGGCCTGACATTGTTCCTTGTGGGCATCAACTACGGCGACAACCCGTATGAATGGACGTCGGAGATTGTCCTGGGAACAATGATACCCGGGGCTCTTCTCCTGGTCATGTTTGGGCTATGGGAATGGAAAGGAACATCGACCGGGATTCTGCCCCACGCTGTCTTCAAAGACCGGAACTATAACGTCGGGTTGATTATACGCGTTTCTGGCGGTCTTGCCCTCTATGGATGTCAAGCCTTCTTACCCCAGATGGCAGTGTACGTCTTTGGTACCGGTGGACTCGTAACGGCAGTTTGGCAGTTGCCTCTGAACATCTCAACTGTTCTAGGCTCACTGCTGGCCGCTATCCTCCTACGCTATCTCAAAGAGGTCCGTTGGATCACCATGGGCCTTCTTGCCATGTTGCTTCTCGGTGCTGGCTTGATGATGCTGGTGAAACCAGGTGTCGAGTTCGCCGTCTGGTTCTTCCCATCGGCGTTCATGGGTCTTGCGATTGGGTCCGAAGCTGCGGTCCTCACCATCATCGCCGGCTTAGCCTCCCCAGACGAATCCATCGCTACTGCTGTATGCATCAGCACCGCGGCAGGTTTTCTTGGCGGCGCCATCGCCACAACTATGTATGGCCAAATCTTTAATGCCAAAGTCAAGGACTTCCTACCTCCAGCCGTCTCGGGGGCGGCCATCTCTGCGGACCTCCCAGAATCCAGCCTCCCCAGGCTGCTGTCAGCCATCAGCTCTCAGAGCAGGGAGGCGCTGGGTGCAGTACCGGGAGCCACTGAAGCAGTCCTTGAGGCCGTCACCAAAGCATCGAGGTCGGCGTATGCAGAGTCCTTTACCTACATTTGGTTCACTTTGATTGCTTTCTGCGTCATCTCAATCATCGGGAGCTGGTTCTTCACCTCCACAGCGGAATACTTCACCGACGAGGTTACCGCACCAGTGGTAGAGCGTTACAACAAGGTTATTCAGCAGAAGAGGGCCGAGGTGTCAAAGTAATTCGCCCGTAAGAACCAGGGAGCCATGTTTTCAGTGTTGAAGATTTAACTCTCATTTTTGGAGCCAAGGCTATCATTCTTGCAGTCATTCAGCGGCCGCTTTTCCGGACACTGCTTGTTGCCAGGGGGGATGTGAGATTCGAATTCCTCATTAGTCCTAGATGAAACAACATCAAGGTGGAAAGAGGGGGGACAATAGCTATCTAGTAACTGATTTATAACATCCCCTTAGTCCATTACTGAAATAGGCTGTGATTGCTAGCCAATCTTTGAAAGTACCGATGCCCGTTTCTTTTACGATGCGGCGCCGTAATGGCCCATTTAACAGCGTCGTGGCTCTGCCATGTACTGCCCTGGTCTTTGCTGGTCTCAATGACGTCTCTGAAAGATACCATGGACCACAACAGCCACGAGCACGGTAAACTACCCTGTCCGTTTCCAGAGGGAGATACTGTTGAAGGACTGTCTCGGGATAGGGATTTGGGTCTAGACAAAAGGGGCTAGTGAATTCAATGGGATATTGATATTAGCGGCCAGGGAATTTATGAGACATTGAGGCCTTGTAAAGCCCAATGACACAGTAAGCGAAAGGTACTATAGTCGTAACACAGTTGGACCTGTCTTTGCCCTTGCGACCAGTAGATGAGTACATCCGAGTTCTTGCGCCTCTTTCCCCTGTCCATCGCGGAAAGTCGGTGGCTTGGAGCCTGAAAACAAACTGAATTGGTGTCCAATCATTTTGTGCCGGTGGCATCAGAGTTAGACCCCCGCACCTTCGGGGGTTTCCAACTCCCCGGGCCCGGCTTGGACGACGTCGTCCAGCCTCGGAACTCTCATCGTATTTCTGGGCCTTCATCCTACCCGACAGTCGCCAGCAATACGATTACCCACACCCCCTATGGCAACGGCGACATTCCCTTTCCATCAAGATGACTCAACTATCGGCCGATACCGCTTCGGCAAAGACAAGGAGAAGGACGTCCAGACAACTTGAAAGGAAAAGAGTATTGGACAAGATATCCCAGAGGCAGAAACGCGAGAAGCAGAAGGCCTTTGTTCGGCAGAGCGAAAAAGACATCCACGATGCGCGTAACGAGATTGAGCGTCTTCGCGGCGTTATTCAGGTCATGCGAGTTGGATCAAGCCGAGATGCTTGTAACATTAACCCTGTTCCACTCAGACCTGGGAGTCCTCATTCCGGTCAAGTCCAACACCCGGTGTCGATGGAACCAGGCCCAGGGGCTGCACCATCCCCATCTGCCCAAGAGATCAAACAGCCGGTGATAGGGTGCTACTGCAACCCGAAGACACACAAGTCGTATTCCGATTGCTTCGAGCAGACTGTCTTTGACAGTCTGATGACGCTCAACAGTAACCCCACTCCTATCCCGCCAATTCCTGCCACTCCCGACATTGCAGATCTGTTGTTTCTCAGAGACCCAGGAGACCCAGTGTCCGAGATTTTGTACAAGCTGATGAGAAGACCAAGCATGGACAATATGGTTCTCCTATGTGCAGTCTACATCCTCGCCTATCGCATTCTTCGGGTAAACACCCTTAACATGACTCGTTCATCAGTGGTTGACAAACTCATAGTACCGGTTCTTCCCTTCCATGAAGACGTACAATGACGTCCCCGAATGGCTCCGTTCAACAGAATTCCAGGACAAGATTCCCCATGCCCTGTACATCGACTTTGTGCAGTTCCCTCGCCTGAGGGATGCCATGGTGCTCGGCTTGGTCGACATTGCCTGCATACGAGAGGATTTTGATGCTGATTTTGGACGATACTTGGCTTTGGATTGGCCCGTTTCAGAGAGTTTCTTGATCACGGATAGCTGGCGTAATACGGTCCTGAATCCAAAATTTGAGCGTATTGCATGCACTGAGGAAAGCTGGTCGCTAAGCTCAAGCTTTGGGAAGAAATATCCCCATCTAGCCCCTCTCGTTAGAATTCGACATTAAAGTACCTGGGTGCGGTAGATTTAGATTATATCTAAAAATGCCGTAGTAGAATTTCTAGAAGTGAAGCCTTTTACTCTACGTTTATCCATACTGTTGAGATATCGACAGAGATTCACTTAAACGCCCCATTTCCAGCCATGCCCACTGCTCCTGTCTTGGAACTCGGGGATAGGTCATACCCCGGTATGGGTAAAGCAGTCACTTTGGCCCAGGCTGTGTAGTAACTAGGCCAGGTTGTTGGGGACGCTTTAGGTAGCCTAGCGCTCGGGGTCTTAAATCACCCCGTCATTCTGGTTGCCATCTACCGCAACTACGAGCCGACAGCAACCGACACCGTGCTGCATCCGTTGGAGCGGAAGAGAGAGAGGGGCAGCTACGTTGGAAAGCCGTTGCCAAGGAGGTCTGCACTCGGATGAAGCAATCTGGGTGGGAGTTGGAACACCCACGTCAAGTGCTTTTAAGGATTGTAAGGCCCGGCCTAGCTTCACTCTCATCTCTCCATTCGCTGTCTCTTACTTTCAAATTCACCACTCAAGAAACACTCCGAAAACATGCTCCAGTTCGGTTGGGATACCTTGAGCCCTATGGGCTGGGCCAACCAGTGGCTCTCCCAAACACAGCTACCATCGCACCCCAGATGCAGCCCGCTCGGACTCTCGCTCCCCAATATTCAAGGAGTAAGTGTACTCTCAGTCAGCGCCCATGAGCGTCGGAATTACACCTATGCCCCCGATCCATTCCCAGGGCTGCCACCTACCGACCCTATTCCTGGCCTCAACTTTTGCAACGTCTCCGTCACTTACACGCACCCTGGCTGGGGTGATACGATCCACGTCAACACATTGCTGCCCCTTGACAATTGGAACTCCAGGTTTCTGGGGATTGGAGGAGGGGGCTTCGTCACCGGAGGCATCTTTTCTGAGTACATGATGCTGCCTTTCATGTCATCCGGGTTTGTCGTGTCTACCACCGATGGCGGGCACTCTTCCGACGTTGCTGAGACTGGCTCTTACAACAGTTCTTGGGCCTTGACTAGCCCTGGAACTGTGAACTGGCCTTTGCTGGTGGACTTTGCCTCACTTGCACTGCACGATACCGCGACTATTGGAAAGGCTGTCACGGAGGCGTTCTATGGAGCGCCTCCCGCGTATTCGTACTTCCACGGAGGATCTACCGGTGGAAGGCAGGGGCACATGCTTGCCCAACGATATCCAAAGGACTATGACGGCATCGTGGCGCTGTACCCTGCCATAAACTGGGCCAAGTTTCTATGGGCAAACATCTGGCCCAAATTCCTCATGGACCAGATGCAAATTTATCCACGGTCTTGCGAATTCGAAGCCATCACGGCTGCTGCTTTGTCTGCGTGCGACAAGTTGGACGGCCTAGTGGATGGTATCATATCCAAACCAGGGCTCTGCGACTTTGATCCCCACACCGTTGTTGGAAGCAAGGTGGATTGCGACGGCGTTGAGACCGCCATTTCGCCTGCGGCTGCCGAGTTGGTCGCCGCAACATGGGATGGGCCTCGGAGCTCTAAAGGAGAGTTCCAGTGGTATGGATTCAGCAAGGGCACCATCATGACTCGACCAGGCATCGGTCCACTTCTTACTCAGTGTGCCCAAGATGGCGGCTGCACAGGGGCTGGCTTCCCCATCTCCGACGTCTGGGCTCGATACTGGGTCGTGAAGGACCCTGCCTTTGATATGAGTAAAATCGCTCATGAAGAATGGGACGAGCTTATACACGCCTCGATTAATGAGTATGAGTCCGTCATCGGCACGTCTGATCCGGACCTGTCCGCCTTCAAGAGGAACGGCGGCAAGATGGTCAACTGGCACGGGATGGTGGACCCGGCTATTCCCGTCAACGGAAGCACCGACTACTATGACCGCGTCTTGAGGCATGATTCCGAGGCCCAGAATTATTACCGACTGTTCTTGGCGCCAGGGGCTGGTCACTGCTTCGGCTGCGGGCCAACACCGCCCATGTCAGTGGACTTCATGGTCGACTGGGTGGAGAGGGGAATAGAACCTACGTCTCTGCGGGCTGTCGGTGCTGACGGGCATGGTAACATGGTGGAGAGGAATATCTGCATGTACCCACAGGTTCAGCATTATGTGGGCGGGGACCCAACAGTCCCCTCGTCATTTGTTTGTGTATAGGGTGTGCTATGCAATAACCTTCTCTCACTGGGGAAATCAGTTTATAGATATATTTAGATCTATTATTCTGTCTTAGCTGTCCTTAAGAAGTGGATAAGCGAGTAGTTGCTTAAGAATCTATAAACTTAAAGCTTAAAGGAGGCTAGTAAGATAACTAATATAATTAAAAGTATTTAATAGCTAATAATATATAACTAATCCTAGAGATATTATATAAGACCTAATTTAATAAGATTAGCTATATAATATATCTTATTAAGATACTAATAGAGGGGCTAGAGAGTTCATTTAGGCTATGGGTTAAGCTTCTAGCCTATATGCTAGTCTGGACACGCATTAGGAAATCCGGCAGTATAGGTGCTCGGAGACTAAGCGGCAAGGTTGCCTATGCAGACCACTTGGGGGTTATTTAAACCTTAAAGAGCAGGTACTAAAGGACAGAGCAGACAGCTGAAGGATTATGATAAAGTGTGAAGCCGAGTCTATGAAAGAGGGCTATAGAGGATAATACCCAGACAGACAAAGATGTGAAAAGGGGCAAATAGTATTAATCCTAGTAAGCACTTGCAAAAACAAGAAACTAAAGTAAAAGATAAGGCATTAAAAATAACTAGAATAATAAGATCAATCCAAGTGATCCTCATGCTACACGTCAAGGTATCTTCATATACATCCATTTCCATCAAATCATGTTCTCCTAGCCACATAGGTTCCAAATACCCATGTACTATCGTCTATAACGAGAGGATACTTCCCAAGGGATAAACCGGTTATATTAGTTTATATTAGCACTAGATTATATTATATAGCCTTAAAGGTTAATATAATATTATATCTAGTAATATACTTAAAGGTATTAAGTATAACTAAGTTATTACGGCCTGATATACAACTATTACGTGCATAAGCGGGACCCTATAATTCCTTATTAATTAAATAAGCGATTACCCTTACTACTAAATAATCACAGTAATTACCTTACTAATCACTCTAATTACTTATATAATTACCCTAATTAGGGTTAATAGGCAGAGTAATTATAATTAATACTTAAAGTATATAAAATATATTTATTATACTTTCTTATATAATAGCTACCTTAGCTATTAATATAACTTAGTTATACTTAATACCTTAAGTATATTACTAGATATAATATTATATTATCCTTTAAGGTTATATAATATTCTCCTTTACTAATATAAACCAATATAATTAGTTTATCCCTTAGGAAATACCCTCTTATTATATATTAATAGCTCTTATTTAGAGGATTACTCATATTACCTTAAATAATATTAAACATAATAGCTACTTAGGCTACTCCTAGTAATAACCACTAGTAGGTTCTACCTACTAACCACCTACTTACCCCTATCGTATTAGCTTAGGCTAACCCTAATAGCGACGAAGAAATAGATAGCGATAATAAAGAAATTAAGTAACTCTATGCCTAAGTTACTATTATAATTACTGAAATAAAGGAACTTAGAGGACTTATTGACCGCATAGCTATTACTTAGTAAGTTTAAAATTAATAATACTATAAGAATATCTAGAATATTAATTATATAGTAATTACCGCTATAAAGGGTAAGGATATTAAGGAAATCCTAAAGCTAGAATAACTAGAGAAGTTTAATAATACCGCATATAAGCTACTAATATTCCTTATATAACTACGCGTATTTATACTCTATTACCCTATATAATTTACTATGGCATTAAGTAAGGTTTAGTATACTATAGGGCATCTTACTAAGTATACTATAGCCTAATTTAAACCTATTATAAAGGAATACCTTATTAAATTACTTAATAAATATTCGCCTTAAACTATAAACCTCTACTTTAGCTTTAAAGCCTTTAAAGCCGCGCTCTAATAAGCCTTTAGAATAATAAATAAAAAGGCCTAGGTAGAAAAAGAAATTAAGGTACTCTAATAAACTCGCTCTATATTAGAATATAGCACTAAGTACCTCTAGCTTACCTTAAAGCTTAATTAGGACTAAGAACCCCTAATATCCTTTTTCTTTAATAAACTTAAGAAAGAAATATAGGCTAAACTCTATAAGAAAAACTAGCCTAATAACCTTATTAATTATATTAGCTAAGTAATTAAGATCAATAATTAATAATTCTCTTAGAAAAAACTCTAGAACCCCTATAATAATAAAGAAAACTATTAGAAACCTCGATTTAATATTAACTAGGGGTAATCCTAATAAGCTAATATATCCTATAGAACCTATATAGGACCTATAAAACTTAGAATAACCTAATAGAAGAAATACGACTACTATAGGCTTAAATGCTAATATTACTATAAGATAAATTATACTAAGAAGATCTACTATAAGAAGTAGCGAGATATTAAGGAGGGTTACTATTAGCTATAGTAATAGCGGCTCCCCGAAGGTAAAAAATAAGTAAGATTTATATAAGCTAATAATAAATTATAGATAGCTCTTCGGATAACTAAGATACTTAGCATAGCCTAGACTAGGTATAATAATACCGGTCTAGAACTAAGAGAAGTTACTATACCCTATGGCTAGGTATACCTCACTAAGGAATAATTTAGGCATAATAATTACCCCTAGCTAAAGCTATAGTATACTATGATAAAACCTTCGAAGATAGAATAGCTCTATCTTATAGATAGGTTAAGATAGAAACTATTACCCGAATTAACTAGTAAACTAAATAAGGATCTTAATATAAAAACTATCGTGGTTACCTAACATAAGAAGTCTATTAAGATAAAGGATAACTAAACGCCACCGCCTTAGGCCCCGAAGGAATAAGCCGATTACTAGGAAGCCACCACAGAAGGGTTCGACTATAAGAAATAGGTCATAGGGTATAATAGGAATAGCAAATCCTAGATACCCGCCATAGTCTATCAAAGGGACTATTAGTAGAATAACCCTATATAATACAATTATATATTATGCCCCTAATACTAAGTCGAGGTATTATAAGAATATAATAAGATCTATAAATAATAGAAGGTAAATTAATATAATAGATTACTATATAATAACTAGATTATAAAAATAATAAGTAGTAGTTTAACCTAGGCATAAATCGCAAATACTATAAACCCTTAGGAGTACTAATAAGAAAAACTTATATAAGTAAGAAAAGGAATATAGAAAACTAATAAAAAACTATGGGAGGAAGATCCCTACCTATGATTATATAACTAAGATAATAACCGATATTAGAATAATATATGGGAATAATATATCTAGATAGCATAAGAATATATAAATACCGCTAATAAATAAGAAATCTATATTTGCGCCTATTATAGAAAATTAATAGAAAACCCTAGATATCTAGAAATACCTTTTAACCTACGAGATAATATATAAATATACCTAATATACTAAGAATATACTAATATCTTATAGATATCCTATTAGTAATACTAATATAAGACCTATTAGAAGGAAAAATAAGAGTAAGATTATTTTCTTATTATATTATTATATTAACCTAATAAAAACTTATACCTATAATACGAGATAAAAGGATATCAAATTTTCTATTAGTATAAATCTATTAGCGTAGCCTATATATAATATAATAATAACCTCTATTATACTATTTAAGAATAAAAATGGGTTACCTATAAGATTAAAGACTAATAGAAATAAATTAGCTAGTAAGAATAAGAAAACCTAGGAGCCTAAGAAGAAAAAAGCTACTAAGAGTATCTATATAGCTAGATCGATGACTATAATTATAAAGTATATAATAAGAGCGAATATAAATATAATTATTATAGCTATGCTTTCTATAGGTTAAAAAACTAAATACTTTATCTAATATAGGGCAATAGATAGATAAATAAGGGAATAAACTACCCCGGAAGGCCTTATACTCTATAAATAGAGGATATAAGTAATAATACCTAGAGTTAAAAGTATAAGTTAAGGGAGAATAATTAAATACTTTAGTAGATAATAGAGCTAAGCGGAATTACTTTAACCTAATAATAGTAAATAGGCTTAAGCTACTATAGAGGCATAAATATAAGCCCTATATAGTATATAACCTCGAAGGAATACCTTTCGATTATAATAATAGAATTATTAATTATAAGATTAATTACCTTAAGGTTTTTATTAAAAGAAAAAACTAAGAAATCTTATTTAATATTATATTAAATTAGAGCTATAATCTTATGCTTAGGTACCTATAGTTATAATACTTTAACCTATATTTTAACTAGAGAATTAGCTAGATAATCTCTTATAATACTAAGATATCTTTTATATTAAATAATAACTTAGATTAAAGATCTTAAACTTTTATTAATAATAGAGAAATTAGGAAGAGATAAATATAAGATACCTCTCTACCTATAGAGATAAAATATAAATACTATAATAAATAGAAATAATAATAATAAAAAATAATTATATAAATTATATAATAGTTCTATATACTTGAGAAAGACCTTAAGAAACTAAAAGGGGATAGCTTAAAAGAGAAATAACTTAAGAGTATACTATAGAAATATAGAATCTATAAAAGACTCTTTATAGAAGAACTCGAGATAGGTTTACTAAAATATACCTTATATAACCTAAAAATTAAGTTTATCAACGGGAAGTAACCTAGCTTTAGTAAACTCTACTTACTTAATAAAACATAACTTCTAATATTAAAGGAATATATTAAAGATATAATATAGAAAGGCTATATTAAGGAAAGTAAGTTACTTATTAAATACCTTATTATATTTATACTAAAAAAAAATAGAAAGCTTTAACTTTATATCGATTTTAGAATACTTAATACTATTATAGTTAAGGATCGCATATTACTACCTCTTATTAGCGAGTTAAAGGATTAACGTACATGATAAGTGAGTGGATCAAACAAGTGAGTGGATCAAAAATCCCTCATCCTCCACCCTCTCTACTTAATCAATTGATTCTTCACCACCAAGCATATCACAGACAAATTATGAGGCAAGAATCCTT